AGGCCGAAGGGCATAGCGCGAAACTCATATTTGCCACTTCGAGTATTAAAGGCAGTCTTTTCGATGGCATTTTCGGCCATTTCGATCTGATAATACCCTTGGGTGAGGTCAATCTTCGAAAGCAGTTTGGCTTTTCCGATCGTATCGAGACAGTCTTGAATACGAGGTAGTGGATATGCATCTTTCACCGTAACGTTGTTGAGCAAGCGGTAATCAATGCACATTCGCCACTTTCCACCAGGTTTCGGCACGAAGAGAACAGGGAATCCCCACGGGCTTCGAGATGGTTGAATCAAGCCCTGTTCGAGGAGATCCCTGATCTGTCTGTCCAACTCGTCTCGATGTTCCTTCGAGAGGGGATAGTAGGGCAAATTGATAGGTTTGGCAGTTCCGGTATCAATTTCGTGCTTGATTTCTCGAGTACGAGGAAATTTCGAGGGTAAAACTTCCTTGAGAACGTGTTGAAAGCGTTGTAAAAGGTGTCGAAATCGTGGGTTCTTGACGGAAGGAATGGGTGATGAATCTTGTTCTTTTTTCTGAGGCTCCACAATGTATAGAACGGGTGGACGGTCTTGAGCGGGCGGCTTGCGAAGGGCCTTTTCCGCTCTTCGATAACTGAGAAGATTCAACCCAACTTCCTTGAGACCTTCGTAGTCGACGGTTCGGAAGGGTCTCAATTCGACAGCGGTGGATTTTCTGCTTCCATTTCGTAGTGTCACGCACGAGCGCGCGAAATCCCATGAAGCTTCGTGCTTCTGAAGCCAGTCGAGACCTAGAATGACATCGTAGGCATCCCAGTTCAGAATTCGAAGAGTAGAACGTGCTCGGAAAGTTCCAATAGTAAGGCCAATAGTCAGTTGCTGGTTCGTCGTAGTTGTCTCTCCATTGGTCAAGCGCACACGAAGGGTGTTGGTCTTCGAGATCTTTAGGTCTCCTCGAAGCCGGTTGACCACCTTCTTCGAGACGTAGGAGATATCGGAGCCAGTGTCGAAGAGGATACTAACCGGGTACGGGTTCTGCGTCCAACCGAGGTTTCCACTTGCAAGATTATATCCTTGCAAGCGTTCCAGGTCCTTATCGAAGGTATTGGCAGTTGCGAGGGAGACGTCCCAGGGGTTAGCAGTGAGAGACTCAGCCTCTAGAGGCACAACTCCAATATGCTTCGAGGGGTCTGGAGCTTCGTGGTCGTCAGGTTCCCCTATGCTTGACGACCCTTCCCTTTTCCCCTATGTCCTCGACGGGTCGACTGATTAGCTTTCGGACAGTCTTTCCTCTGATGGCCGGGCTCGCCGCAATCGAAGCAGAGATTCTCTTCCCGACACTTTTGACGGGAAGGAGGTGTTTTGCCCGGGGTCTTTTGCCCACTGGCGGCGTTGTTCGATTTCGGCCGGGTACGCATACCATTGAGGGTCATTTCGACGTCACCATCGTGGTCACGTCGAGGTGCTGCTGAATTGCGTGCGTGAGAGGGACTATTGGTTGTCGAAGTCGCCGGTTTTCCATAGCGGGGCTTGAAAAAGGGAACGCGGTTAGAGGTGGCAAGCATCTCTCGTTCGCTTTTATCGGCGAATTCCACATACTTAGTGTAAGTCCCTGGCACAATCGAGTCAGGAAGGATTTCGATACGGTTCCGGATAGACGTTTTCAGGCCACGTTTGAAGACAAGCAAGCAATCGGCGTCAGAAGGACGCGGCTCAAGGTAAAGACGTCGAGATTCAATGGCCTGTCGAAACGCTTGGACGGTACCTGTCTGCCGAAGCGAGTCGAACTCGTCTCGCCGTTGGTCTTGGGTCCTGACGTCGCCGAATTGACTGAGGAAGGTGTTCTTCCATTCGGCCCAGGACTGGATCCGAAGCTGGTGCCCTTGGTGGTCTACGTTGTGAATGTAAGTTAGGTTCCACCACGCGGCAGCGGCCTTTTCGAGGTAAGAAGTTGTTAGAGCAATCCTTTCGGGACCCGTAAGGTTTCTTCGCAGAAGGATTTCCTTGGCCCAAAGCCATCTTTCCATCCCGATTAGCCAGACTCGAGCGGCGTCGTTCTCCCTTTGCCCTCCATACTTCGGGGGCTTTTCGACTCCCGCCCCTCCGATGTTTTGGAAGAGCTCGAGGGGGACGACTGTCTCGAGGGTGGTCGGGTCGGCTTGTCCCTGTTGGGAAGTTGAAGGGGTGGCTTGGAATCCAGAAGACGAAGGCACCTGGTGAGTGGGAGATATTCCAGGGGGGGCTCGTGAGGGCACGGTTGGTCCATACGGGTCGAAAGGGCTCCCGTCGGCGTTGGTCATATCGGTGTCCATTTCGATTGGGAGTGGACGGCATTTGAACGTGAAGTTCCGGGCTGGTTTGAGGTGTTCGAAGCACAGAGGATGAGAGGAAGGAAAGATGAGAGAATAGAAGAGGGAAAATGATGGCCTCGAAAGGGCACATTCTTATATAGGAGCTGTCTACCTCGTCCAGCGAGGGCGCTATCTCGGACCGGTCTTCATCATTTGCACTCTGAAGCCGCCACTATACCGAAGGTGTTCCTTACCGAGTGGCCTTGCCACCACTTTTCAGCTTCCATGTTCCCATTGATCCCCGTCGAAGGTAACATCTTGAAGGTCTGAATCACGTCGGGTTGTCCTTGAGAGCTGAAGAAAGCTCGGAACCGAAGTGTTTTACGTGATGTTCCGAGGTTGCCACCTAGGTTCGGCGAATAATATCGAGTTCGAGGCTGTTTCCAGCTCCGAATGTCGTCGTCTTCAGCTTTGAATGTTCCGGCTTCATGGTCTAGACGTTCACGACCAAGCTGAAAGGGTTTGCCGTTGTGCAAGGTGTGCGCGGACCTTTTCGAAAAAATTCTTTCTCCGCCCATCGCCGTTCAGAGGGCTCTCCTACTGTCGGGGTCTCCGAGGGGAATGAGGAGGCATTCCTTTCTCGTGGAAGAAGAGACCATTTTGTAGGGTAAAGAAATCTTTCGAGAGAGTTGTGATGTTGTCGTCGTCGGTTTCGTCTCAACGCTCCGAATTTGCTTCGAACTGAGGTCTGGTCGTTCAGAGACCTCTCGGATCGCCTGACTACGCCTCCCTCCTCCTCGAGGGGAGCGTAGAGGTCCTCGCGGACCCCAGTCCACGGTAGAGGACTGTCAAAGGCGTTGCTACCAGATGTGATTTTACGGAGGACTTGTCCTATTTCGAAGGGTCCGGGGGACCGTCAGACTATATACTTTCGAAGCGTGTACGAAGCGTACAACGCTTCCGAAGGTCTTTACAAGCCTTGGCGTCGCCACATATCACATCTCAGCCTTACTCCGCCACGTGACCATATCTGTCGTCTCTCACATTGTAATGAGAGAGGCTCGGAGACACAGTCAAACCGTCAAAGGCTATGAGTTGATAGCATCGACACCATTCCTTTCCTCTCCTGACGAACGTAACCCGGGACCCAAAATCTTTTTTCTCTTGGAGCAGAGCCGCATGTGGAGGAATGTGCCGCCCTTGCCGTCCAGGTCCACCGTTTTAGTGTGGTAATGTGTTGTCCGTTCCGCTGCACAGGAGACGGGACAGAGAGATGGACTTGGTCGGACCCAATTAGTAGGGGAACAGACTACTTTGCGGGTGGCTGACACCTCCGGAACAGCATAGCTCGGAACGCTAATTCAACCACTAATTCTTTGCCGGGTGTCGCTCTCCGAGAGCACCGATCAGGCTGACGATTTTTCCACGGCTCCTCAAAGTGGCAATTTGGAGACCATTACGTCTGGGTCAAAGAAAAACAGAGAGGTATGTTGTCGAGCTAGCTTCCTCAGAAGAAACCTTTCGTACTGGTCCCGACTGCCAAAAGTTCCGGCAGCTTGACGGCGAAACAACACATCGGTGAGGGTATGCAGTTGAGGCTATTTTTTCTCTTAAGCGAAAAACATGCGTGGGGTCTACGAGTGAATTCATTGGTTTGGGCCAATGGCCGAAAGAGCATCATGGTGGCTTCAATACTACGCCCCCGCAAAATTGGACTGATGAGCTACTCGGAGTGGCATAACTTTCAATGCGTTTTCTCTGTCTGGCATTTGGCCTCTCCAAACTAGACCTGTTTTGCTCTCTGCTGCGCGGCCTGCGTCGATTTGTAAGTGGTCATTCTTCGCCGGGGGACGTTTTGGGGGCCACTTCGAGCATGCAACTCGTCGCTTGCTGCGCCAGGCGTACGGTTTCCTTTGCCTCAAATAGCTCTCCATTTTCCATTTGGTTCCACTTTGGCGTCGACTGCATCGGAATTTATGGACACTAGTGCTTGGATCCGGAGGGCTAGTTGCCTGCTCTACTAGTTTGATTTGTTGGGGAGGCGGGCGCTGCGCCGTTGCACCTGAGGATTATGGTGAGTGATGATAGAGGCCGCTCGATTGAAAGCAGGACGTTGGAGCGATACCCCCCGTTAATGGCTGCGCTAGGGACGTCTTCTCTGGTGGGAAAATTCATCGCCATGGAGCACGTGGACTGCCCAGACCTAGGTATCTTTTTTCAGGCTGTTCAAGCGATGTGACTAATGGTACAGTAGTAAGGCTTCGGCGGGGGCACCGTGTTCCTTGTTCGATCGTTGTTGCAAAGACGGCTAGACGGGGGGGACGGGAAATGTCACAAGAGCCTCAAAGCCCATATAAGAGATGGGGAGGGATTACCCCAGCTCCTCCCTCATTTTGTTTCTCTTCATTTCCCAGCTCAATTCATGCCCCTTGGTAGCGAGAAAGTCATTCGTTACATATTTCGTTGAGCTGACATCATGAGGCTGAAGATCGTGGGCCTGGTCGGTTCTGTTCTTATTACCCTCAGCCATGCTGGCAACTCGGGCTGGGAGAGCACGACATGCTCACCCGTGACGGAGTATACTACGGTCTACTCGGTCGATACTTCCTATGTCGAAACGACGGTCTACTCGACCGCCACCGAGTACAGCACGGTCATTGACACCACCACCGAGATACAAGTCCAGCCCACCACTCTGGTCGATACCACGACCTCCGTCCAAGCCGTTCCAACCACGATCGTCAATGAACATACGGTCACCAGCGTTGATTTGAGTACCGTCACCACCACCACCACTACCACTGTCGTTCAAACCACCACTGTCACGACATGCCCGCCGACAACGACCCTGACCGGATTAGTCACTTGTACGTCGAGAATCGTCAACCCGACCTACACCCCCAAGGCTCCGTTGCCCAGCGACTACCTTTGGGGCTGCCCTCCAGGAACCATCTGCACCCCGCCCCAGATAGATTGCAACTGGGAGCAGAACCCGCCCGCCGACACCTACGTGTGCGCCCCGGACGAATGTCAACCTCTCCCGGATCTCCCCTCGGTCGACTTCAACGCGACCTGGCCAAGCCCCACTGAGGCCGATTGCGCCTGGTACGAGCCCACCCTGGGCTATTTCCACCTCAACCCAGAGCATTTCGGACTTACCTTTGCCATCTTTGACGTATATGGTCAGCCCATCTGTCCTTCTGAGCCATCGCCCACCACCGGCGGCTGGGATGACTGGGCTTCTCCCACACCCAAATCCACGTACATGCCCCGACGGCGACGCGAAACCAACAACCCCCTCGCCGAAATCCGAAGACGTCAGAGTCTGGCTATTGCTCCGGCACCATGTTACAGTGTCTACGACCACACCAGCGAGGCTGGCCAAAACGCCGGATATGTGTACGACTTGCTCTGCCTGCCCACCACGGACTTCCAGACTGGCGTCGCGGCCTGCCGAGCCTGTGCGGCGACCTATGCGGGCAGCTCCACCAGCACTGATAGCTTTCCTGACATCCAAGTTTATGAATCGTGGTGCCTGGCGAACGCTCCTTAAAGCGCGGATTGGCCACGAGAACCATGCACGTACGGTTTTGTACCGACTCCTCATCGCTCGTTCCTTCGCGATTCTCATTCTTTGGCATGGCTTTCACTGCAGTTGACCTTAGTTCATACCCCCTCCAAATTTCTTAGGTATGGAAATGACGCAGCCCTGTCCCAGCTAGCCAGCGCCTCATTACTCAGAGTGACTACCTTGGCCAGCGGATATCGTTGAACAAACGGTGTATCCTCCCGCGGGCACCAGATATCCTTACAGCGGATCTGCTCAAGATGAGACATGTCTGTCGCATACTCTTCATTGCTTGTATACCCCCCCCGTCGTGTCCTGTTTTCACTCGATCGGGGTCCGATTAATGGTGATAAGGCTGGAAATGGGGTCAGAAACTCACACGCAAAACTCGTTGTCGCTGATGTAAATAGCCCCGATCAAGGGGAAGGAATGACACGGCTGCAATGGAAAGGAAATAAAATTCATCTTCTTTTTGGGGTAATGGAAGAACAATGCCACAGTGTAGGTAATGATAATGAATTACAAACTGTAGAAACCCAACCTCGATCGCGCCTTGAAGGTATAAATCGCATCTCATTTGGGTCATTCTCGGCAGGGTTACCAACTGTTAGCGCTGTGTTTGCGTTTGTCGCGATGAGAATTTCTCTCCCTCGTGCACCGAGCAACGCGACATGGATGAGTTTCATGGCAGATTGTTTGGCCCTACGTTTTTCTAATGCTCTCCTGCGGCATTCACCAAAATTGACGTTTCGTCGGCTGTGGCCTGCTGATGCTGCAGCAGTGGCACATCATTTCCAGCGGCAGAATCTGAGAAAGCAAATCAACTTCCAAGGATATTGGAATTGTGATTCCGAACCAGATGATGATAGCCGAAAACACCGGAATCCAAGGTCTGGAACCCACGGAATTTGATGGGGATCAATGATAAATTTCTTGTGGTATCGACTATGTCGCTCGTCGGATGGGATTTGATCCTTTGCTTCAAGCCTCTCGGTGCTTGGTCTTTGGCTTTAGCGATGATGGAAAATTGGCCCCTTTGATTTTCCTCTACCTCGCGCAATCTGCCATGGAAAAAGATGTCACGGATACTTCTCCTCGAGCTCGAAATGCGTCTCTGTCACCTTCGGCTTACCAATGACCTTCTGACAAGTCAGCGGCATTCCGTATGATTAGAGGGTTCGCCAAGTTACAGCCATATAGGTATTCTGGAAGACGCCTATAGCACATACCACGAATCGATATCGTGTATGTGGCTTAATACCCGCGGCCGTGATGAGCCGGACAATTCAAAGATCGGTTCGAAAAAGATTCGATGCTTCGTTGAATGTGTAACTCTCGAGTCTCTGCTCACGCTCGGATCTTCGAGGTCCGGCCGTTTCCCGTCAACTCCCCCAGAATAAGGATGACAAAGTGACTGCCTACACCTGGTAGCAGAGGGGAATAACACAAGTGGCGATGACAAGGAATATGCACCAGTCGCCGAAAATTCTCAGGTGGCTTTGCAATCATCTCAAAGACTGTCATGGCCATCTTCTCGATAAAGGCCCATTCATCAGCCTAAAGCGCAGCAGAAGGCGACTTCGTGGTCATGAGCTTCCATTTCTGGAAAAATTACGTGGCCTCCAATTGAACCATCTCTTTCGACTGCTGTTTCTGATTTCACGGGTGTCTCCATGTCATATTGGAAAAGTGGGGGAATTAGGCCTAATGGGATTTGGTCAAGTCGTGCTGGAAGGCCTTTCCTTTTCAATTTGAGACTCCCTCTTGAAGACAATCGCCGTATCATTTGGCAATACTAGGTGAATGATGAAGGTTTCAACACGAATGATCGGGAAACACCAAGTCAGTTTTCAACGGCATCAGAGTGTGCAGACTTGCAATTATCCGGACTCTCGGAAAAGCCAGACACTCTTGGAATAACAAGTCACATTGTTACTCGAGGAGAACGATCGAGCCTTCGGCCAGCGTGACGTCTTTTGATCTTGACAAGAACAAGCGAGAACAAGGAACAATGTATTAGAGTTGGCATTTGGGAGCCTGCATTATCTAGTGACCTCAGTCACAGAGACCGCCAAGGCAGAGACAGCGTTGTTAGCCAGTGCTGTTCAGAGAAGATGTTTCAGCATCGTCTGAATTCGACCAATGTAGCTGGAAAGCGGAGACAGAATAACTGGTCCCCTTTTGCGAGAGTTCCGGTATTTCAGGGCAAAGAGATTGTGAGAGTACATCTTTCGGAACCCCTGTGTCAGACTCGGGCCTTCTTGCTCGTCACTGGCTCGCAGAAGGAGAACCTCGAGAATCTCACCCTCTCTCTCCAGGGTAGAGTAGCATTCTGGACCACTCAATCACTGTAGAAATTAATATTGTGTGAGTCAATTGACTCGATGATCGAGCTTGCGATGCAGTCTTAGGATAACTCTACTATCGGATCAATTATCTGATCATCGCCACACAACTCCGGAAACAAATCTTTTAACAGATTTTCGACATCGACGTCCAGACTTGCATGTTCATTGATTACCGTGGGCATCGATCCCTCAAGCCAGTTCACTGGGGTAAGGATGCCCTCGCTCGACGATCCAGACGTGGCGGAGGGATCAAGGGACGTTCGACTTTGACCGTCGTATTCCACTTCGATCATGCCTTGATTATAAGAGGTCCACGTAACGGTATGGTCTCCCGTGGTACTCTCGTTGGCTTGCATATCAATCATTTGCTCGGCCATTTCTCGCGGTGTGACGCCTTGAAGCCGCTTGAAAACCCGTTGCAGATGCCATTTACTCAATCCCACTTCCTGGGATAGTTGGGCGAGGCTCAGTTGCTGGCCCTCTAAAGCTGACTGGCGGATTAATTGAACAGCTCGGTAGATCTTAGTTCGAACATCGTCTGCATCCGCGTTCGGAGGAAGAGGCTCAGTGGCAGCGGGACGTGAAGTCAAAGTTCCCAGAGGACTTTCATGCTCGGGTCGAAGAGGAGTAGATATAGGGTGAGAATTGGGCTTGCACCGCTTGCAAGCTCGGAATCCGTTGTGTTCGGCTTCTGAATTGTTGTCGTAGAAAACAACGTTTGCCCTCCGTGCGAGTCGTGCTCGGCAGTCCGGACGGCAGTAGATGCGTGTTGTGACCACTGCATAGACGAAGGCGTTGGTTGCTCTGGCATCTCGGGTTGTGACAGCTTTCCAGCGAGAGGAAGGAGTAGTATATGTCAAGGGAGACCGGGAGTCTTTGTTAATGTCGAAAGCTATCACGCCGGGAACAGACTGATCGTTCATGTCGAAGAAAGATGGTGATGGGATAAATATCGAGGCAGATAGATCGTGGCGAGCATTGTCACCACCGTGACTGCGTTGAGTTCTACACGGACTCTGCTTCAATGCGGATTGTTCCTTCTCTAAATCTCCTTGAGCATGATATCGGGTCGATAGGCTATTGAGGGAAAGAGGATAGAAGGAGGTGTCATCGCTAAGTTGAAGGGGGGCAGGCGTTTAAGTTCCGTGGCTGCGATTGGCTACATCAAGAGCAACGGTAATTTCAACCACAATATTGAAACGGCGGAGCAGTAAGTATCTTCGGCAGCAAATGTAAGAGAGATGATCTTGCAGACCGGTAGGGATTTCTATTAAAAACATAATGTATGCTCATGACCTGGATGTCCATGCCCACCTATAAATGCGATATGCTAACATAGCCCTACCTAATCACCTCCTTAGACCGGCTCCACCCCAGCCATTACCATCTCTACCGTCGGCTACTCGCCTTACTCCTCTTGCTCCTCCGACTATCCACCGAAATCTGACTGACACTGTCTTCAGGCCTGACCTCACGATCCGTAACATCAAGCCGCGCGAGATCCTTCTGCTTGGACACCACACTTTCAGTTTTTGGAGCCACGAAATCATGACACTGCGTGTCATTTCCGGTTCGAAGGGGGTTGAGTTTCCCAATGATAGTCCTAGGAGCACTCACAATATTGGCCGGTCCGAGCTTCGAGCGTGCCGACACGAAACTGCCCGCCTCGGAGCCTGCCCACGTCGCCGCGCGGGATGGCGGGAGCGGGTATTCATGCGGTTCGTGGTCACGGTCTGGTGCTTTGGTGCGAAAAGCGGTGTGTCTCGAGCTTGCGCGCGAAGGGGCCTTAGATCCAACTTGTGAAGTTGAATGATGGACTTGGGAATGCTCGTGTTCCGCACGCGATTGTTGGCTGGTCGTCCGATGGAGTTTTTCCGTGACGCGAAGGACCGTTGTTGCTTCGTCGTCAAACTCGTCTCGACGGCTCCTCCTCGAGCTATGGCGGGATTGTGATCGTGACCGCGTCGGTTTCTCCTCCGGTCGCCCACTCAGACTCATAATCCTCGACAGGCTGCGCGTTCGGGATCTCGAGCCGCTACGAGATCCAGCCTTCAGCTTATCCTTCCCGGACGCCTGTGTCTCGGCGGTGGTCAAAACCGTGGGGGCGCGATAACTTGTCGGCGGGGCTTCGAGAGCCTTCATGCCCTTCTTAGAGTGTCGCGAAGCTTTGGACGACACATGCGAGGATACGGCGTCTTTGTCTAGATGTCGGTCCTGATCTCGAGGACCAGGGCCAAAACCAGAGTCGACGCTCATTCTCCTCGACGGTGGGCGGATTGTCGATGCGTATTCAGAGCGTGGAGCAACCAGGGTTTGGGGTGGATCGTTATCTTGCATGGTGATCAATCGCTGGCCTCCATCTTGGTCGTATGTATAAGCAGAAGGGGCGGGCTCAATTGCGCGATAACCTCGTCCACCTGTGGCTTGGCAGTAGGCGCCCGATCCAACAGACGAATATTCTGGGCGGGCTATGGCGGGGTCCGTTATACTACGGCCAACGGCCGAGGGCCGACGTGATTGAGGTTTTGGTTCGTCTTGGTCATTGGACTGGCTCTCCTTGGACCGGTTGGTGAAGGCGTAGTGCAGAGCTGCACCGGCAGCGACCCCGAGGAGGGTGCCGACAATGGCTTCACCTGCTCCGACACCACCATTACTGGAGGAGTGGGTAGAAGGTGCCGACGAGGCTGATGCGGTGAGGTTGGGCCGGACACTGTTGACCAGGTTTCGGGCCACATTTGCCGCACTGTGTGCTTCATTGATCAAGGTGTCGAGTACGTCACCTTGAGGCTTAGGTTTCGGTTGTGTTTGTTCGGGTGTTGGTGTTGCTAAGCTGGACACGGAAAAAGGAGCGGCGACACTTCTGGTCTGAGATGGTGCTTTGCTTCTAGCTTGAGAGACCACGGTGGGAACCTTGGTAGAAACAACACTTTTGGACGGAGCCTTGACACTTCTCGACCTGTGTGAAACCACACTCGCCACGTCTTCATTTTCTTTATTTGACTCATCGCTGAATCCTGGCCTGTATACGGCCTCGATGGAGTTGCCATCGAAATCAATCACAGCGGCGGAGTAATATCCTGAGGCATCCCGTTGACACGGTTCGCCGTGGATTTTGCCACCAGCCTTGAGAGCGGCCAGGAAAAAATCCTCGACTTGTGCCCGAGACGAAGCTGGAAAGGCAACGTGAGCAGCACCAGCCGGGACACCAGGAATTTCTTGTGTGATCCAGAAATCTGCCGGAGTATTGGGTGGCGACACGGGACCAAATCCGATTGTGTGTTCTTCTCTGCCACGAAAAACGTAATTCAACGGTTGGAGAGCAGACAGGAAGAAGGAGGTTGATGTTGGGAGGTGGCTGACGGTAAGGGTGATGGAAGAAGGCATTTGGGATTGTGGAGAAAGGAAAGCAATGGTAGATCAGGAGGGCAAGACAAGCGTGTCGGACAATGGAAGAGAAAGTCAACGAAACGGTCGAGATATATAATCCTTGACTTTTATGAAGAGGTTTCGTGAAGAAGTATGGCTTTGACAAGTGCAGCCCGGACTGGAGCCTGGCGAGACTGTGAACTCGAAGTCTGAATTCAATCTTATATCACGGACTGTGTACCGTGAAGAAGTTCTGTGCAGGTATAATTTGCAAGAGATCGGAAAAGCGACTATGGCGAAAATGAGAAATAGATTTTGGTCAAAATGATAATGGGATCTTGGGATGGTACCTGCGCCGCCGCTAATTGAGCAGGCGAAGGATGCAGGCGCCTGACTTCGACTAAAGCGGAAGGTTGTGTTGGTGAGGCGTGAAGATCCTCCAGATGTCGTTGGTGGCGACGAATAAGAAAGGACTCGGGTCAACGACCGAAGCAGTGCCACGTTGAAGGTGAATGGATCGCAGGAATGAATAGTCGGAAGCTTGAAGGGGTTTTGTTTTTGTCTCTGGAGTAGGGTATTTGTGCCTTAGAGAAAAAAGTGGGCGCGGAAATGGAAGATGCTCCGTGGTTGGTTGTCGGCGGACCGTCGCGAATCGGGTCGGGCGCAAATGCATGAAAAATATTGTCACGATTCGTCTGTTTCTAGCCGATGATCGCTCCAGGCTCACCCTTGCCCTGCCGCCAATGCTCAATTTGAGAGAAAGAAAATAGGATACATTCCTGTGAGATGACTTGACATTGGAGGAGGTCAATATACTCCTGAGAAATTCCCTGTCGTGTTCGTGTGATGGTAGTACGATCTACTGCAGGGTTGCGGCCCCGCATATAACGTTTCGTGTCATGTCTTTCATGTGATGAGCCAGAAAAAGAATTTGATGGTGGCTGACTCAAGCCATAATGCTGCTCCGTGGCCTAATGAGGGAGTGACACGGCATTTGGTACGTGCGCATCAAACTTTTCCCAATACTCTAATCCGATCTGTTCGTAACTTTTACCATCACATTATTTGTCTGCAATGGACGGGACGGTCCAAGTCCAGGTATTTGGCCTCCTTTTTGATGTAGGGCAGGTTGACATGCACCTACGAATATAGACGATAAGAAAATCGCCTTGAGGTTTGTTGAACCATGTTATGTCTTGTTGTGAAAACAAACGCCAGATCCAACTCCCCCAACGCAAAGTGGCGACAGTGTTCATGCAAGATAGCTTCGATGTTGTGATCTAGCCTTTGCAGAATGGCCACTGGAAAAGGAAAAGAAGGGAAGAAGGTTGGTAACGTCATACCTTAGACAATGCTCCAGGCATCTTCGCAAGCGTGACAGAATTTGCTGCAGGTGACGCTTGCACTGAGACTGTAGTTGCTGATACTGATAGATTCGTCCCTGAAGGCGTCTGCAAAGTCGTCCTTTCCTTTGGCCATGGCGCCGACAAAGACACATATACTCTCTGAAGGGCCTAACGTGTCGACGTAATCCCGGACTCGGACGACATCGGCATCGAAACTCAGGGTCACCTTTCGGCAGTTTGGTGGGAGATGGTCCGTGATGGGATTTCTTATGACCTTGAGAAGTTTCTCCTGTGAATTTACCGATCGAATGGACAACCTGTGGAGGAGTTGAACCATGAGACCGGCGAATCGTTTGAACGTTCTCGGGATCCGCACGGTTGGGCTAACTTCGATCAAAACGCCCTTGGCAGTGTGAATGTAAATCTGCAGCTTGCCGGCCTTGTTGATGGGAGAGTCCAGGAGAGTAAGCAGGCACTGGACGTTGAAGTCAGCTCGCTCGCCACCACAACCCCAGTGGGATTATATAGCCACCTGATGAGTGATGTCGGGTCTGGCATCACTTATGTCACGGCCCATCTTCCTCATCACACCGATGTGTTCATCGCTGTTCAAGAGCGAATACTTCTCTTCTTTCCCGCCTGGTTTCCCACTGTGGGCTGCTCGGTAGGTTTCGAGGCTGGCGTTCGACAGTACCACGATCAATCTTTTGGTATCCTTGTCACTCGCAGGTATGGGGACATGTTGTTCAGCAATCAAACGAGGAAGTTCGGGTGGAGGAAGAGACTGCGTTCCTGAGAGATGTGAGTAATATCCAGCCTTAAGCTCAGTGACCACAAATGACACATGTCAATCCATATTTTGCAAGCCGGGCCAAGGGGAGCTGAACGTACTCGAACGCTTCCTTTTGACACCAGGTGTAATAAACATCGGGTGCGACTCGGGAATGGTGGGGGGTGATTGGTGGAAATCTGGTGAAAATTCTAGATTTCAAAATCTAGACTCCAATATGAGGCTGACTGGAGAAACTTAGAAGGATGAGAAGATGATCGAAACACCGTCAAAAAGAGCCAAAGGTGGTAGATGAGGTCAGAATGGACCGGAATAATAATCTCACTGTTGACTCTCACAAAATATTCCGAGATGAGACATCTGTTAGCGGGGCCGGCCACTGGAAAACCAAAATTTACACTTTTCGTCGAGAAGGTTGTAGTTCGCTACCACGTGATCGAATTTTATGACCACTCCCAGATTCACATCGAACTCTGCCGGCCTGACAACTTTGTTGGAGATCCTTCGACCTACAATCTCATGAATTCAGGGCGCCTACGAGGCCCGCTGTGGCGGTGCCTGAATATGCCGAGAGAGAGAGATCCTATGAGCAGATCAAAACGAGTTCCCAATACGTCCCCTGGGACCAAACTAAGGACCAAATTCCGCCTCGTAGCCATCCTGCCCTGTGTCTCCTCCGATAAAGACTCATTGCTCATCCGGTGCAGACTCCGCAACGTGACTGTTGGGTGACTTTTCCAAACATGGCGATCACCGTATCTTCCACTGGAGCGCCCACGAACGCTTGACCGACGAACTTTTCAATGTATTCACAAGCCGAAAGAAACCAGAAGAAAGCAGCAACGCGGTTCCAGAACGATTTCAAGGATATGTTTCCAATCCTCGTTTGATGGAATTCGGCTGCAGCCTTGTCATCAGCCGCCAATAGAACTGGGCAAGATGCCTTGGGAACCGGGGTGCCTTGGTTGGAAAAGGCTGCCTGAAAATCGGCTGGCTGGCCATGACAATGAGGCCGAGGCGTCGACTACCTCGAAGAGAGTCACACGGCTTCTATATCATCTCACCTCGTACGGGACCGAGGAGTTCCCTCACGACGAACTCGTTTACTGGGTCCCGACTTCGAACCTCTCCCACGTACGTCAAGAGAGCTTAACTACAGGCAAACCATCGCGCTGAACGGCCATGACTTCACCGTGATGGAGAATCTCTGCTCCGTCCTTCAAAGCCTCCAAGACGAGAAGAGAGGCGGGATCATCTGGATTGATACCATTTTCCCTATGGTAGCGTCCCATTTAAGACTAAGCATGGCTTTCGGGCTTCGAAGGACTGCAGCTCCTATCACATGGCCGTCTTCCCTTGCCATATCCTTAGAATAGGCTTTGATATCCACCCAAAAGGCATCACCACAGTCACCCAGGACAAGTGTAAGATATTTTGAAATGCGTTAGCGCTTCGGCTTTGGAGAGAACAAGGAGCGGCTTCAGAAATATCCGTATGGACGATGCCGGCCTCGTGAAGAGCATTGGTGATCCCATTTGCCACAAATCCCAAGTCTAGACTCTCCCGATTCTTCAACTTTGATGCTTCCAGAGCGGTATCACCCATGCGTTTGAGGACCAGTGCTGCAGGCTCCTCGATCCCGTCCACCAACTGGCGAATATGCTCATGTCCATGGAATCGCTTGAGAACCCAACGTTCGGTTTTTCTAAGAAGATATGACCAGACCATTGCCCCGTCTGATGACAATCCGAGCAGGCGGTGGTTCAAGTTGTTGGAGTTCAATTGGAAGCCGGAAGGCCAAGTGACCGTCAGGCCTGTCCTAGTGATCCCCAATTGGACATCCGTACGGATCAGACCTATACTCTCTCCTACCTGACCCTTGATCCTAATACGGTGTAACAGTAGGGCATATGAGATATTCCAAGGGTATTATGGGAGCACTGTGGCAAACAGAAGCCACTTGTGTCCGACCGATTAAGCTGGAATTCTTGCAGCGACCAAACGATGAGGCCATTAAACCTTGTTCGTGGCTGTGGTAGGATTTTGGAAGTTTGACACTCAGACACGCAGGCCTCACCGAAACGTCGTCATAAAGAAATCCGCAATCCTTACTTTATCATGTTGATGTCATACGCATGAATGAACGTCGGATTGTGACACTTCGGGCTAGCTTGTTCTGTGAACGCAAGAGGGCATGGTGCGAGAATCATTTCATCTGGGTCAGGCCCATCCAGTAAGTGTTTCTTCCAGACATCAAGAGAAGTGGAGATCTCATTCGAATAGCATTCTATAAACCTAGGGTATCTCTCGCCTCTTCATTGCAACAATGCCTACCCATCGTAGCTCCATGTAGCTAGCTACATAGAGTACTTTGCCCTATTGACTTTGTCGCTCTGCGATTCCCACATGAAAAGCACTCCCAGAAAACCGAAAAACACACACACACACACTCTCTCTCTCTTGCTTGAAAAACTAATCTCACAAGACATGTCCGAAAAGAAGTCTGACAACCTCATCCCAGGAGGCTCCCCCCCCAAAAAAAAACACAAAAAAAAAAAAAAGAATTTTACCTACTTGCTTTTCCTTTGGTTCATTTCTTTAATCCTTGATCACTTTCGTTACAAGAACTCCTAACCCAGATCCAATGTCATAGTATCCGTTCATTGACCAAATTGTGCCCTTGCGTGGATCCAATAAGGATATCAGTGGGGGAAAACGTGCCATGGAATCTAATTGACTTATCCACTCAAAATCCTGGGAAAAGCTTAGAAAAAGTCGCGTAAGGAGGGGTGGACGTAGCCATTGTAACCCTCTCTGTCAAAATCTTCATCCTCTTCATCAAAATCTTCATCCTCTTCGAAATTATCATCAAAGCCAAAGAGGATGTCATTGTTGTGGACGGATCCGAGAATGTGGTGGAGATATAAATCGGTTATATCGGCATCCCCTTGGTTAATGTCCCAGTCGTCTTCGTCCTCGTCATCCTGGTAGTTGATCTCCCAACTACCATCACCACCGAAGAAGTCTTCGTTGGGAACAATGATTTCGCAGCCAGAAGCATCCAACTTGACAGCAGCAGACTCGACTGGACATTCTTCATCACTTCCTTGGCCGCTAAGCCACTGTTCCGTCCGGTACTTCAGAGATGTCTCCTTAGAACAGGAGGGGTAATGGCGTTCATCCTCTATCTCCCATACTTGGTGAGACAAATTGTTGAATCTGCCAGATAGCTTGACGGATGGGATCCCGTATGACCGTATTTCCTTAAAAATACGCACGAAACACGCAGGAAAGTACTGATTCGAGCTTGGAACGAGAATCAGGTCTTCAAGCGAAAGACGATTCAACATGCCCTTGTGACTGGCAATGAAAGCAATCAGCTCAGCTTCCAGACACATCATAGTGCCTAGGGTCAGATTCATAAGTCGTGGAAATATTGTCTTCTCGCATATGTTCCCGTCACGGTCCCTGACTATTGGAGATAACCAAGAATGTTCTTCGTAATACCCGTCTTGATATATTTCTGATACGTCATCTCCTAGCATCAAGCTCAATGTTTCCAGCTGAGTGGAGGTCATCAAAATGTTGGCAAGATTTTTATGAGCATGTTCGAGGTGCTGGTGACAGGAGATTCTGAACTCTAGTTTAAGGGATTTGAGATGTTTGAAGATGGGGCGGTACAATTGTAGATCGGTGGAGTGCCGTCGGCCGGGTGGAGGGTCGAGGAAAGCTTCTGCATCGATTCCGCTAGCAGTAAATTCGGACAGGTTTGCGTTAGTGGTCACAAATGAGAGGAGGGCCGACTCAGAGGCTGGCGGTGTCTCCGCAAGAGTATTCTCAGTCAGAAGGAGGTCATCTAGGCCGAAGTGCTCAATTTCGGTCTCTCTGAGAAAGCGTTGGAAGTAGGCTGGTATGGTTGCATCCCATTCTGGGAAACCCCTCACACAGCCAGAATACTCTCCCACCAATTCCCGAACAAACAGTTGATGTAGAGCAGGTAGTATCCGCACACATCCAGCCAGATAAAGCGCCTCTGGGGTATCATCGGATGAATATCTAAGGCTATCTCTGCTCAGATTATTCAGAATGGCAAACGTTTTGTCATTTCTTGGGTAAATCGTGAGGTACTCCGTGTATCTCCATGCGGCATCATACACAAGGCATTTGATATGTTGTGTGATCGGGTTATCCTGCCAGAAACTGACAAAGGACTGGAAGCAATGTACAAACGGAACGAGGGTTATTCGGTGGAATAGGCGAGGCTCTGCCAGTATGGCCAGCGTTTTGCTTGCCAGACGAACATTCTTGAGGTCTGATTTGCATTCAACAGAATTAATGATTATTTTGAGGATTTCGACTGGGAGATTGGGAATTCGTGGGTCGTCGGACATGTTTGCTGTCGGTTTGGGAAAGGATGGAAAGGTGATGGCAACTGAAGGCAAGATCAACTGCGTAGGGTTCATACATGGAGGTTCACGCGTCTCCGACTTTTGGCTACGCGAACGCGTTGGGTAGTGCAGACTAACTTCATTAGGCAGGTGATGGCTGCTATTACGATGAAGGCTCTCCTAACTGGATCGGGAATTTTCTTGCCATCAAAAGGGTTGCATCTAGGTAGTGCGACAGACGGCCGGTTTGCGCCAGTCATGACAAGATATTGTACTTTGAATATTAGCCAGTGGTATTCTCCATCCACAGGTTTCTACTCAGGCCGGCATGAAGGGCTCCTGCCATTGTGAATCGCCGTCTCTCTGGCACGGCATAACACGTAGCCGGCCCGCCATTTGCTATTGGCACAAGCCGCCGGGGTCTATTAGTAGTGTCCCGACAGTCTTTACTTGGTCATTGTGTACTGTAATATACCTATAAGCAAGGAATGGACACAGGGTGTTTGATCTGTCAAATTGTGGTTATCCTCCATTCCTGGGCCCCTCTGGCCGGAGGTATCGATCTGAAGCTGTTAGCTGTTTTCAAACAAGTCCATTCATCATTCATACTGGAAATTGGGCGTTCACTTCAGCCAAGGCATTACTGGCCACTCCGTCAGAAAGCTTGAAATTCGCTATACGGCCTGACGGGGAGAGCACTCTTGGTCTTCGTGCTAATCGGGCCAGCCGAGATCCAAACGAAGAGACTGAAAAGAACGGTAGCCGACGAAACGTACATTGTGATGATTCCATTTTGTAGAGAATGAATGTCTTGAAAAGACAACCTACCGATTGAACAAAACAAACTCAAAGGAATAACAAGACGAATTAGCTGCTGTTCCAGATCAAAAGAGAGAGAGAGATGCGCCGTGAAGGGTGTCAGGGCTAGCTTGAGCCAACTCATGCTCATCATGTAGTCCCCAGCTTCGAGATTGAAACGGTAAGCACCGCACCTGACTTCTGGGCAAAGGTTTCACCAGCTGTAAATCACGGCCACGTGAGATCGTGAAGCTTTGGTGGGGTTCGCTTCGACGTAGTTGAGCCTCGTGACGTGTCGCCTGAGGGTTGAGGCTAGACGAAAGCTTCATAATGCTTGAGTCCAGAGACAATTGCGACATTATTTGACTTCCGTAGCCACAATATGGCTTGGTGAAAGGAAGGTTTGTGAGATAAGAAGAAAGTTGTTCACGTATTCGAGTAGCTTGGAGCCACGCAACTGCCACAGCGGTCAGATGAACCTACAGCTCTTAGACATGGTGTTGAGAAGCTGTAGACACGGAAAGGCAGGCTCATGCGCAACCAGAGGAATGTAGAGAGTATTCAGCTCCTTGCATACCACATCTCCTTGGTGGGCGTAATAGGTGCTGATCTCAAAGTGTGTTGCCAGGACCTTGCCTGGACTCGGCATACAACAGCTGAAGGAATTCTTCAAAATTGCCGCCTAGGGAATGGCGTCGAAGACAGATAAGCTGCATCATGAAGCGTCGCATATCGACTCGTTAAGTATTGGTGATGATGGGAAGTTGACAAGCAGCTGCGGGGGTAGATACGTTAGTCCCGTCATTTCCCCCAATTCTGATTGGGCATTGTAGCAGACAAAGGACACGGCCCTTTCAGCCTCATTTTGACCTCTCAACCTCCAACATCTCTCCTTTATCACTCAAATCTTTCCATCAGAGAAGAGAACCCCTGTTGCAGCAACAGAACCGTGGATATCCCTCATGGACGTCGCTGAAACTATAGTGCTAGTCGCAAATCTGGCTGATGACGTATATTTTTGCAAACTGGCGTTAACCCCCGTGATGTCTGAGAATAGAGAGAAAATCGCTAGCATCGAACTAGCCGCAGACATGAGGAATGTTGTGAAGGCCCTTTCTAACTCTGACGGCGACCTTATGACAATATCAAGACGAATTTCGACCTTCAGTCGGCTGAACCTGGCCAAGCAAGTGAGGCGAACAATCCGTATCTACGAAGACTTGCTTGATCAAAGTCGAAGTCTTCTGAACCTGTTGAAAGAAAGGAAACCGAGTGTCCTCCGTGCAGCTGCTGGCCATAGTCAAAAGAATATTCAGAGAAAGCTCACCGACAAGGTAGATCTGATCCTCGAGATCTACAATGAAGCAAGTCACGAAGCCAAGAAACTCAACACTCGGTATCGTGCGTTTCAGGCAGCCCGCCAGAGAACAGCAATTAATATAGTTTACGACCGACCACGATGATTCCCTATCTTGGCCCTTCCTAGTGGTTTCTGTGAAAAAGTGATGAACTCCCGGAGCCACATTAAAGGTCCCCAACATGGCGTTCGAAGGACCGACTTCGATGGACCCAAATTTTACCCTCAATACTCCTATCACCAATGACTGGCTGGTCCTCCGAGAGAGCACGCCTAGAGGTTTCACTCAATTTATGGGGGATTCTGTTCCTATCAGACGAGGAAATCTCAAATGCCCGATGGAGGAAAGACACACCAAACAAATTCTCGTAATCTACAGCAATCCTACGAAACTGGAATCCGAATGAACGGAGAGCCAGCACCCTTGACATCACTATTGTCCCTCCAACACATTGTATGTGAATTTGAGATCGAGGAGGGATGAACGGAAATCACCAATCAGAGACCGGACTCTCATCCTGAACCGGCCATATTCCATCATCGGCTTGAATCGTTTGGTAAAATACAAAATACTCATTGCCAAATGTCGGACTCGGCACTGTCTGGAAACTGACTGTGAAGTCGGCCAGCTATGAAGGGCATTGGGAATCCGTTCCGGCAGCCAATAAGCCATCCTCCAGCTGTCGAAATTAGGGTCCGTTACGAACAAGCACGTCACGAAGCTCATGAAATTGATTTATAATACTTCATCGTCATTTTCGGAGTTTATGTAAATATTTATTGGATATGTGCATGATACGAGACGGCATATTCTATACATATACCGCATCTCTTCCTCTCAAAGATTCAAAACGTCCATTCCATTCCCTCCCATGCTCCATTGTCCTTGTACATGTGCAAATCCATATCCAATGTCCATTCAAACTCCGGACCAGACCAGACCCTGAGACAAATTGAACCGGGACATATGGTGCTATACTACAAACCTTGGGTGGGGAAAAAAAAAAAAAAAAAAGAAAAAAATTCTGAAACGATTGCTTTGAAAAATCTGTATCTGTAACCGCAAGCTTTGGGATTTCTCCCTTTATATGCTTCATTTCCCATCTCTCGCCCAAAAACTTGGTATCACACCGATCAAAGAGACGAGGCTCAACCACCACCACGCCCAGCCGACGACACCCTTCTCCAGGCCCTGTCCATACCAATGACCTGCAACAATGGGCCCAATGGTCCGGAACGCACTGGAGGTCGCGGCGCCCATGCCATGAATCGTGCCCAGCATAGCGGGGCTGGGGCTCGAGTTGTTGATTAATAGCACAGAGCCCGGGATGGCGAAGGTGCGTGCAGCGACCTGGAGGACCACCACGACCACAATGCCAAACCAGAGTAGAATTGGTGCCGAGATCAGTAGAGACAAGTACGGCGCCAGGGCGTAGGCGATGGGGAACACGAACAACGACCACTGTGTAGATCGGAGCAGGCCGAAGCGCGCGTTCACGCTTGGGTATAGTGTGAGTTGCAGGATGATGCCCACGAAACCAAGAATTGACATGGCAAGGCCAATCGTGGGTAACGAGAATTGAAGACCACCTGCAAAGACGAAGGGGAGGCGGATGGTGGCCTTTTCTTCATCAGTTCGCCGAGCAGAGGATAGGAATACGGTCCAAAGTTGGGCAAAGCCGCCCATTTGAAAATCCATCAATGCGACTGTTGCAAGGACCAGAAGCACATTGCGCGTGATAGCGTGGTAGAACGGGGGAGCAGACTTGGGAGACTCAGATGGTGGTGGGGGTTTCGAGGTAGACGGGTACGAATGGTCGACTTCCTTGGGCGGTAGCGACGTGAGCGGCGTGCTGGACGGGATGTTTTCGTCATCTAGTGTATCGGAGCCGGCTACCTCGACCTGGCCGAGCTGGCTGTATCCGAACCGCCGGAAGACCATAGTATTGATGCGATAGCTGATGTGTTCGGCCAACTCGATGCCTCGGTCTCGGTTGTATTTGATCGATACAAGAGTCTCACGCAGGCCCAACCACACCAGGAGAGCGTCTGCAAAGAGCACGAAGGCGCAGAACAAGTTGGGAGCCGCGTAGGGGAACGTCTTCAACCACCCCACGCCGTCCGCGCCGCCGAATGTCGAGTTCTCCCCGAACAGTCCTGGGTAGTGGTAGACCGGGTCGGAAAGCAGACCTCCAAAAAGGGGCCCAATGATGTTGGCAATGTTCCACGCCAGAGGCAGTAACAAAAAGGTTCTCGAATGGAACTTCTTCTCCGTGCTCTCGGCCAGAGCCGTCCTGGCCCCTCCAACCGTCGCATTGACTGCGCCGCCCAAGCATCTCCAGACGGTAGCAACCGGGAAGCTTCGTGAAAACGCTACGCCCACGCAACTGATTCCTTGTCCAGTTAGTCCAATGAGCAGGACAGTCTTTCTCCCAAATCTCGGCGAATCAGCCACCCTCCCCCAGAGAATGCCTGTAAACACCTGTGCGGCCGTGAAGACTCCCTGTAGCACGCCGGCCTCGAAGGAGATCTGCGAGTCTGGTGCGGACGGAGAAAACGACTTTAACTGGTAAAACATGTAGGCCTGCAGAGCGGCCTGTTGGAGGAAATCTACTATTCGGACGGTGCAGATGATGAAGAGTTGGAATTTGTTCGGGATCGAGGCCCATGATGGCGCCGCGGGCGGCTTTGTCCCTCTGGTCTCGACTTCTTGAGACATTGTGTTGATAGAAATTTTATGGATATGGTGTAAAATTTTTCACCTGCGTGTCTCTTGGTATGATTTTCTCTAGGCATGCATCGTAAGGTTCGGTCCACTGATAGACAGCCGGGAGGACGAGAGCAGTTCCCGTATCAAGTACCTTCGTCGCGTGCTTTGTGGACTGCGGCCACAAAGATTGCCAGCCAGGTGTGTGGAGTGGACGGGGGTCTCGTAGGGTACAAGCAACAGTTAAGTGCTCGTATGAGGACACGGATATACGGATATGTCGATGAGAGGTCTATTCAACTTGGAATGAAGGGTATCGAGGCGGGGGAGAGACCATCTATAACGATAAGCCGACGTCGGGGGAAAACAAGTGAAGAACAGGACGTGAACTTGACTAGGTCGTGTTCAAGCCTCAGCGTTGCGAAGTCGGGCATCCGCGTGGCTTTTCGGGGGGTTGATTCTTGGTCTTTTGCTCGTCAGTGGGCCGACAAGATAGCGCACCCTTGGGTGATACGCTGGGCCCAGGCGGGTACCGTGGTGGATAGGATCCTGGTAGAGCCTCGGGAGTCGGTGGATAGTAAGGGAGTCGGGGTCTTCTCTTTCAGTAAGCCTGCGACCTCAAATTACGTCCAGCAAGGCACAAGGAGTGCCGCACAGCGGCTCACGATAGAGAGATGATCGGGCCGCTCGCAATCATCCCCCAAATTGGATATCGATCGAGGGCCGCCCAATGGCGTGACGAAAGACAAACTACTGTCTGCACCCATGTTAACAGACATCTGTAGATTGTATCTGATCTTCCTGCAATTGATTGTGATCAGCTCTTCTCCTTTATTTCGCATCTAACCTCTGACCTTTTGTGTTGAAGTTCGCTGGGGTCACCGAAAAGGGGAGGCTCACGGGCCTCTAATAGGGGTCTCAGGCCCATAATACTCCGGCGACGTCAATGCCTATCCTTGCCTTAAAGATAATACGTGGGAACTTCTTGAAACTGCTGGAGCCTCCTCTGTAGCTGCCTTGTGCGCGTAAATCGGGGTGGTTGATTAACCAATCCACCCTTCAATGAGTGGTATCTGCTACGAAACCGAAACAGCCTCCAGGCCGCGCGACATCTAGGATTCTCTGTCCACATACGTTCTGTGCTCCTTACAGAGTACATGACGTACGAGGTACTATTTACTACACGAACACGCACACACACGCCAGCCACCGTTAGGATTCCAGTACTCCTGCCAATCTTTTCGCGACGGCACAGCATCTCGGTTACAGTCAGGTCAGGCAGGCAAAGGGAAAGGAAAAAAAAGAAACACAACCAAGATCATGGACCTTTTGTTCGACCGTGGCCATGTGGCTCATTTGCCTATCAGCTTAGCTCTGGGCGGTAACTAGGGGGGCCTTTTGAACTTTCAGACCCTCCCGGCTACTGCGGCATGGAACGGTCCAATGAATCCTGGCACGTCCATTCTTTTTACAAATATCACTTGTAATGACGCTGTGAAATTTCCCTCGATCGAAAGCCAGTTTGGGATTGGCCTGAGATCGGTGAAGCTTGGGTTGGGGCTAAAGGAGGCCTAGCACAGCCCGAGGATTTTCTGATCTTGTTTGATGAAGTGGCTTTGATATAGGCCTTGCTTCCCTTCCTCCTATAGTCGCCTCCCTTTTCTATCTCGGACACGGACACGAGTTATAGGAACACCCTGAAAGTTCAACCCGAGAAAAAGAGGGCGCAAGAGCTGCTCAGTTTCTTCTAAGAATCAAGATTCATGAAGACATCAGTTCATTAGTCACCAATTATTAAAAATACTCCAGGTCCCAGATGCATTTGCAACGACCAAAGCAGATAGATGCCTTCTCGTGTTTTTTCCCCCATTCCGTTACAATCAAGAGGGGTCCGTAATCATGGGGGCTCCACTACTCGTATCGCCATCCTGATCATCAAGAGCGAGAGCCTTATATCCAGCACCAACACCCACGTCTCTTCCTCCTTGTCTCATCCCCAAAAACCTTGAACTGATTGCGCTCCAAATATGGTGAGAGAGCACATGGACGGGGCGAGAAACGAAATTCTTCGTCGCCAATATCATAATGATGACGATTAAGCCCGCCAGGCCGCCCAACGTACCTCCAAAGATCTCCGCATTCTTTTTGGCTCTTTCATGACCAAGACGTGCTGCTTCTTCCTTCTCTCGTTGCTCTTTGGCCTTTTGTTCCCGTTCTTTCTCTCGCTGCTTGTTGTCTGGCATGAATCGACAGGCCAAGTCGTCGCAGTATTCGCGCATTTGCTCGTTGGGGATATAAGTAGCTTCTGTGGCGGATTTGCCAATCACCTGACCGTCCTTGTCCAGAGCTTCGGCATGAATGAATTGGTAAGCCGGTTCGTGGCTGCAGATGGTCTCGAAGCCAGTTTTGGCCACGGTCGAGAGCTCCTCAAAGGGACCTTGTTTCGAGTCACCGCCCCAAAATCGCCAGGCTCTCACTTCGGTGGCACCGTTCCAGGAGACGTACATCTTCATTTCCGCTCCTTGTTTCGAGTATGACCAGATGGCAGGTTTGGTCAGTGGCAATCCGACCCAATTGTCGAATTTGTGCACCCGATAGTTCATCACGTTTCTCCAACCCAGAGCGCCGTAGAACACAATTTCGTAGTCGGACGTGTACTCGGTCCAGAATGCATCATTGCCCCAGCCCATGATGATATTGCCGTTCGGAAGACGTTGGAAATTTCCCTGGGATTTCGAGATGTGTGCGTGACCGTCGACGAAAGGCGGGTCGAGATTCAAGAGACAAGTGGCGACTTTGGTCGTATGGTCCAGGCTGATGATCTGACCGGTCGAATGGGGCTGAGTCTGATTGAATCCATTGGAGCCATTGTCGAACAGGGAGATGACGGTATGCGTCTCGTTTTCCGACACAAACCTGGCATCGTGCTGGAAGGAGAAGGAAAAGCCATCCAGGTAATAATCGGATTTGGCACCGTTCAGTCGCCAAATGACATGCCCATCAATGCCCGAAATCTTGTACACTGCAGAAACATGCCGGGCGGAAATGAGGTAGTCCCCATCCTCGTTCTTGTCAATCGAATTGATGTGGAAGTAATCCCAGGGGCTTTCAGGGTGTTCACCACTTCCACTGATCTCGGTCGTGCTGGGTTCGACATAGCTCTCGGATGGATCCACATGATCCAAACTGTGCCATTCAAAGATGACCTCGCCCGTGTCGACGTGGACTTCTTGGAAAGCTCCTTGTTGGATATATCCGAGACCATCGCACAGGTTCCAGGGACAAAGATCGTAGACGCTGCGTAGATATTGAGTCATGAGCGCGGATTCTCCGTCATTGATCAGCCTGAATTCATGCATGTCCGAAGATGCTTGATAGCTGCCCGGCTCGACGGATTTGACAATACGATAATGCTTGTCCATGATGATGCCATGTCCATGACCCCAACCAAGCATCTGAGTGCCTTGGTAGAAGCACAGATGGACTTCACCTTTATACATGCATGTTTGAGGAGCATGGGATATACCCGGACCAGCACCTCCAAAGCCAGTCCAGACGAGATTCTGAATCAGCCAGGTCAGCACAAGAACAATTTCCGGGTCTGATGAGATCGCGTGACGAATTTGTCTTACCGCATCGTTGTCATAGATATGGACCGTTTCTTGAACTTGCTGATAGGGGGAGACAAAATAATATCCCGGTGCTAGTTTTTCGGGGGTTATTCTAAAGACCGAGAGAATGGGAGCCACCAGGTCCGGCCTCTGATGTCGGTCAGAAAAGGTTTCCGTTGATGGGGATGGGCTCGCAAGCAAGGCGTACTTACGGATCGAAAGATAGAAATTGGTTGCGTGCCATTATCGGCAGCTATCCTCCAAGCCAAAAGGCATATGAACCAGCACTGCAGATGCAGAGAGAGCCTCATCGCATTACCCTGTTTCGGATCTGGTCCAACATATAGTAGAACCAAACGACCCGAAAGAAATGCCTTGGACGAGATGATGCAAAAGATCAATGGAGAATCAAATCCCCAAAAAAAAAAAAAATGACAAACCTACAGAAACGTCCCGTATCAGCCGAGCTTATCCAGATCGGCTGTCAATCTCTGAGACTGACTACTGGGTAACTCCGGGCTTGCCAAGAAGGGTAGAAGTATTCTGGTTCTTCTCGCTATCCGAGGTGGCGATGCGGGAGGGATCAGGATCAAAGATCAGATTTAGGGATTGGGATTGGGGTCGGGTCTTACGCCCACCCCTCTCCGGGTCAGGAGCACAGCCTGACAGTCTCTTCAACAACCTGAAGGATCTAATTGTGGCAGTTCAGGATGAAGATATGCAACCGGAATGTAGTTTCAGCTCTAGGCAAGAAGGCGAAGCGAATGAGGACGAGGGATTCGCAAGGTCACCACCCACGCAGCCCACGGACTCTTCTATCTGCCCCAGCCATTCATTATATTTCCGCATGGCCCACTGACCATGAACTATGAACGAAAGTTATCTATTTACAGAATGAGACCGGGCTCCGCCTATAAGCGGCCTCTATTGATCTTTTATTTGACAGATAGTGACCGAACAGGCAAACAGACTCCATTCTCCATTATCCAAAAGAAATCCCTGCTAGTCCATCTTATCAAATCTCACTGTTTCATTTACGGTATCCTTTCATCTGGGTGGGTCTAATCGAAATAGGGACAGTTGCAGAAGACTACGCGCAATCCGGATCTGGGTTCTCCCCGACAGCCGGGAGAAATAAGGGTGAATGTCTGCCTCTGACGGCATTTAGAATCCTCGACCAGCGGGGACCCATTCATGGATCGGTTTGTTGCTTGTTCATGGGGTGCCTTGATACTACATGCTAACCGGTACAAGCCGAACATTTCTATCTTTCAGAAAAAGAGGCATCCCAAAACCAACAATCCCAATGAGGACAAAACCTAACAAAATGGCTACCCTGCCACTTTTGTTCCAAACAGTTCCCAAACCTATTACGTCTAGAAACAAATGTGAGCAACGGTCCTGCAATGTCCACGTCATGGTAGTGTAAACATCTCAGGTACAAATCCAAACGCCGGGCTATATACAAATCCTGCTCTGTGATCAGGAGGAAAATTTCTGTATGTCCAACCTTTTTGGGTGTTTTTTTAAGAGGCTGTGGTCCACAATGGCGCATTCTGAACGAATCTCGGGACGTAGTGAGTATATGCGAACGTGGCGGAAAGAGCAGTGGCAACCACAGGGACTCCCACAACCAAAGCGCGGAAAATGACGTTCATCATCTGTTTGCGGTTCTGTGTTCGGCATCGTTGGACAAAGTTGTCGGCGTCGTTGGATCGTGGGAATGGCTTGTCGGGAATAGGTTCGCCGAGGTATTCACACAAGGGCCGCCAACCCGAGCTCACTCGGTATTCCAGCAGGTTGCCCGGTGGCACGAGTTCTCGGATCTCCTTGTAGTAGTCGTGGAACCTTTGCTTTCCTTGGTTCTCAAAATCGTCATAGAAGAAGTACTTCCAAAATTTGCGCAGCATGGGGTGGTACAGGCCGGCAGCCCAGTCGAAATTGGCAACCGCCTTCAGTTCGGGGTCATTGGCACGCCAATTAACCGTCTTCATGACCGACTTGTGCCATGAATCAACATCTCGAGTGGTGATGATGACTTTGGCTTCGGGGTATGCCTCGATCAATTCTTTGGCAAACGCAACGGCTGGCCAGTCACAAACGGCCTGACAGTGTCCAAATAAAGCGTCCCATTCTTCCCGGCCGAATTTCCCTTTGCCCTCATATTTGGCAGCAAAGGCATCCATCCAGCAGAGACAATCAGGGGGATTTTCAACGCTGGCGGACATCATGTGGTACGTGTCGGTGTAACCCAGCTCTTTCAGTGCGGCTCTCAACGAGGCCGTACCTGTCCGTCCCAGACCGAGTGCCAGCACTCTCATGGGCACAATTCTTTTGCATTGTCGCCGGTCAATGTCAGTTTGGTACGGGGTGAAGATGTCAGTTGCGGGTTTAGGGGTATATGGAATGCCGGACGCCATTGCGGGATATTAACGAGAGTAAGGTGGCTTCTGCAAAGAATATTGGAAAGTTTGTTGGGTTTCAAGAATAAAAACTGACGATGAGCTGAGGAGGATAGAAACGCGCAACAAATAAAACCCGGAGGTTTGGGCTCAATGTCTGGCAATGGGCCAAGAGATAAGAGACACGGGAGAGAAATCTCGTGCTTGTTAGCCTCGAAGAGAACGACCAAAAGTATAGTAACGTGGCGACCGAAGGGAGGGTGGAAAAATAAAATGATTGCACCAAATGGGGAGATCTTGGAGGCTCTTATGCGAGCAGTTGCATGGCGCAGAAAGGATAATCCTGGCAAGACCTAAGAAGCCCAACAGAAAATTAACGGCAGACCCAAGTTTGGGGTGGCTTCGAAAGAAGCAACGGTTACGAGTCAAAACCTTCCAGGGCGGAACTCACTGAGGATAAGGGGTAGCGAAACCGGACCCAGCAAATCCAGGAAAAATGACCGTTTCGTCATTTCACCGTCCTCGCAAAAAGTATTCCATCTTCTCTCTCAATATATCTGACAATCATTGCCCTTTGAATTTGCGGTCTTTTGAGGGTTCAGTTAGCATGGGCCTCACTCAGCAGAGTGGGGGAGCCCCCGACAGGAGAGCCAAGCAGTCCAACGAGACGCTGACATTCAAATGACAGGTGGTCAACGCCAAGGACGCCACGACGCCTCAAGAAGCTGTAGTTCCAGCGATTGGCGAATAAGCCGGTCAATGGACAATGGAAGGTCAAAAAGGAGGTGGAGTCGAAATGAAACCGGCTTCTTGGCCAAGGAAACGCGTAACACCTGGACACCATTTTCCTTCTCTTCAAATGCCGATAGCAAAAGACACGTAGACATTTGACCCAGATGTCTGTGACCGCATCCACCATCAAGACACCCGGGAACGGATCCTCAAAACCATGACATCTCGGAACATGCGCTCCGTTTGAAGATGGTGGCGGCCGCGGATCGAAAAGATTCAGCTGGCGAAACTGTATTCCGCAGCAAATAGGGTCATGCCAAGGTGCCCAGCCCCAGAAGCTGTTTGATGACGACGCCATCTCCATCTGGCAAAGTCGACCAGGGTTAGGAATTTGGATACATGTCAAAGCGCAGGAGACAATGGCGGGAAATGGCCGGGGGATACATCCATCATTGATCAAATGAACAATTTTTTGGAGCTGCTTCTGCATGGTACCGATTCGAGGCCCTCCTGAGGATCAGTGGTGCACACATCCCCACAAGAAAGGCCCGAGAGTTGGAAAGCCAATAACCAACACTCAATAAGCAGGAAACTGAGAGGTAAATTGTGTGGAAGAGAGATGATACCAGGAGCATCCGACAGAAGCATAATATGGGGAGAAATCCACGAATCTGTCACCTCTTACGACTCTTCCAGGCCAAATGGCGACATCAAAGAAAGTCAGCCACCCGCGAAATTCGAATCCGGCGGTTGATCTTGGCTCCGCACGTGATAAAGCTTGGCTCAATATTGGCAATCTTGGCGATGAGGAGAAATTGCTAGTACTCAAGCCTGGACGAGGTTAAATTGTGGTTAATAATGACAGGGGAGGTTCAGTCATCCACGGACCGTCAAGTTACCAAGGCCAAATTCAACCTCAGCTCTCCTCCAAGAGTCCAGGACATTTTTGTTTCTGAAACAAAGACGTGGGTTCCAAGGTCTGTGACAGGTTTCATGGCCGCAAGGACCCAAAATTTCAGCCTTGTCCTACCCCTGAGAGGGGTCGTGATTGGGATTGACCACCGGACCCATGCTTTTCTTTTGCATTGATCGGCAGTGGCATTACGACGCCACCAAATGGCCAATTTCGTTGACAATTTCTGATTCTCGTTAGTACAGTATATGGCTGTGGGAAGACATCGAGTCTTGATACTACGAAGAACCAATCCTATGCAAAATCCTCGCCACAATCAAGGTCGCAATTCCACGCTCATTCGTTTGTCGTAAAACTCGTCCTGTGTCGAGCCCGAGTTATAGAATACTGCACACCAAAACTCGGAGGGATGTCTGCTATTCCAAAAGATCTTGAGACGACTTGGCAGCAGCAGAGCGGGTGTGGAAGCTTCTCGACCCCTGCACATGTCGACACCATCAAATACAGTGTGCAATCCATTTTTCCATTATGGGTTTTCTCTATGGGACCGCCAGGCAGCCCTTGCCAGACGTTGAAAGATTGTTCCTCTGTCACCTAAGTGGCCATCTCTTTCCCAGTGGACTTCGAAGTTCGATAGCGGCAGCTCTGGCACATTTGAAAGGATTCTTTTTTGGATTTGTAATATGATTGTCATGTTTTATTTGTGCATTGATTGCGGGCATACAACCAAGTGTATCCGCCAAGTCAATATTTCATTGACAGGGCCTTGCTCCCCGGACGATGAAACCGCACTCCCGACCTTCTCTCAACTTCCTATCAACCAGAAAATGCCTGAAACTAGTAAGAAAGCCCTTTGGGACGAAATTCTCGCGACGAAACCAGCTGAGAGAACCCGTGCTCCTCTCATGGTTACAGAGACTGTTACTTACATGGTTCCTGACGAAGACACAGCGCGATACTACCCCCCTGACGGCACAACGCATCTCAACATTTCTAGATATTTCCCAACCTCGTAATCCTCTCCATTTTCAAAAAGGGGACACATCGAGTTGAGTCGACTCTCTGTCCTATGGAGTCCTGCCACTATACTTGAGGAAGCAAATCTGAGAAATGCAAGAGTGGTAAAATGCAATCAACTGCGAGGGGACAGATACATATGGTTCTCGATGCCCTTAGATCGAGTACGCAACCCTTGACGAAGTCACGACATGAGAATCGAACCGGCTACGTTTATCTCCCTGGTCTCTGTCTTTTCCCCAGAGCACTTCAAAGACCTTCAGCAACGATAGCTCCAACAGAATCTCAAGTTGGGGACCTTGAATTCCTTCACCAACAGCGGAGTCGAATCGGATTCTCTTTGCTTCCAATCAAAATCCGATCTACCAGCAGAGTGGTATGGCTTGAATCGAAGCCATGTCCATCTCTTCACATTCGGCCTTGTTCTCCCGGTAGTCGAGTGATGTACTATCTATTGGCACACTTCCTCCCATACCAGTCTGAACAACGAGGACGAGTAAAGTACATGTACAAGTCCAAGACATGTCCATGTAGATCCATTTTCCCCCTGACCCGTCTTAACCAGTTAGTCAACCAGCACAACCAGTACAACCAGAACAGTTCCGGCCACCAGCCTCTCCTAAGGGAAAGAAATAGAAGTCACCACATCAGCATCAACATCGGCATCGGCATCACGTCGTAGTGTACCACTCTTTTCCCAGCACAGCAAGCCAAATGTACAAACTTGCCGATATGAGGAGGTATTTTGTCGTTCGAACTATGCAGTACGATTCAGTGTACCATTGTCCATCGACGGATAATGAAGTGCCTTTGTTCTTACCATACCATTAGGTACGTGTCATGGCCCTCCGTTTGGCTGGTTGGCGGATGTACACGGCGCACGACAGTACAAGCACAAACTCTGAACGGGAACCCAAGGCAAAACGGACTGTACGAGATATCTGAGTTCAGGACGCGGATGTATGTACGTGTGCAGATTACATTTACGCCTTCCCTCCCGAGGTCTACCAGTCTCCATTAACTTGAAATTCAAGCTCACACTCGCTTCTCGGTTCGCGTTGTTCATTGCGTGCCATGTCGACGTGCATCGAAACTTGAGAACCGAGACAGGGCGCTGGATGCATGAACCCATCTGCTGTGTCCCCTGCGCCGTGTTGTACGTAACCATAATGGCTTGACAGGTCACGCGTTCAACATGCACGGAGCTGATGGGAATGGATATGGATCAATGCACGATTACATGTTTGTTGGGACAAATCTCAACGGAAAATTGTCGGTCAATGGTAAGGGATATATTGATCCGAATGAGTGTCGGATCATTAGGGGATCAGCTTAGGCTACCACCCCACCCGAAGCTATTCATCAAGCCCTGTGATGAGGCCGTTGAACCTCGAGGTTCTCAGGAGCTCAAGATCTTGCAGATAGCTTTTGCCTCGGCACAAGACATTGGGGCATAGACAAAGGCATGGCATTGAGATTTCGCGCTGTTCATGTATCATGCGGGATTGCAGGGTCTAGCAACATGGCAGCCTGACAAGCAAGGAGCAACAGAGCTGAAGAAACATGCAACATGGAGGTAAACTCGTCCACAACGTCGGACCCGCGGAACATGTCGGGGATGAGCGAATACTGGGCCAACGCACAAGCCCACGAGAACTGTAGAGACGGTCAGTTCGGAAAGGGACCAAAAAGGAAAAAAAATAAAGTAGAAGACCTCATGTTTGAATGAACAAAGAAATCATTAAGCTAGGATGGTATTATATAAAACGTCCTTGGTAGGAATCGGAAAAGGGCTTGTATGTACATGAATAATGTTCCTGTGCGCAATGCAGTTGGAAATCCAAAAAGATATCTTCCCCTGATTTCGTGGTATTTGTTCCACTTGTTCTCGCTTGACGTAGGATCTGTCTCGTATAACATTACTCGCCGGGGGGGAGTTCGTTGAATGTACGATGTAGTTTAAAAATGCGTGTGCTTTTCTCCTTCTCAGCAGCATCTTCTCTTTGTTTGTTTCAAAGACTGTTCAGATGTCATTCCAAAAAGGTCCAACACTGAGGTGTTTTACTGGAAGGCGTTTCCTCCGCAGCAGTCAGTCCTCGTCTCTGGATATTCGGCATCGAGAGACTGTTTATTTGCTGGGAGGAGGCAGGCCATACTCGTAGGCGGTGTAGATGCCAATAGGGCACTCGTCCTGGTCTTGGAAGAACCAGAAGTTGGTATCGTTGGTAGTGGTCATGCCAGCAACGCAAGTACCGGCACCGACAAAGCATGGGCCGACGTCGATGGTATAAGCATTACCTGGCTCCATATGGATGGGCGGGAAAGGCGGGAATGGGCCCGGAGCAGGCTGGTTGTTCCAGGTGGTCTCAGGTCCAGGACAGCTGCCTGGGTTATAGCCGGTGAAGAAGAAAGAGCCGCTGCCCTCGTATTCGAAGTTAGAAGTCTTCAGCTGTGATTTCAAGGGGAAGATGAATTCGAGAGTACAGTTGGCGTCGGCGCGTGAGGCGGGGATATCAAAGCTAAAGATGGAGGCGATGTCATTGGGTGTGAAGACGCCATTGTATTGAGGTCCGAAAGCTTTGTCGGGCTGAGATTGGGAGATCTGAGTGATGTAGTGAGGGAATTCGAATTGGCCGGGTTCGAGGTCGCGAGGACAGCCATCTCGTTCGGTCAGAGCACGCTTGCGTAGAACTTCTCCTGGGTAGGCGACGACAGCGCCAGCCAGTATGGCGAAAGCGGCGAGTGACTTCATCTTGATGCAAGTCTCGCCTGCAAAATGAATGTATGTAAGTACTGGAAAAGTAAAATCGAGCAATTAATAAGGGTGATGTATTGAGGTTAAGCGAGTGACCGTGACAAGTGATAGAGAACGAAAGTAGAAGACAAGGTATCTGAACGAAAGATCGAGGATATGTGGGTGTTATACGAGGAGATTGCTTCTGGAGCTCCAAGAGCCGTTGCCTCCAGGGAACAGAGGCGTTGGACCCCGTCTTAGCCGAAATGGCCCGCGAGGCTGAAGGCACCCAAATGTGATCAAGGTTTGCAAGGCCTCGAAAGCATGTTCACGTTGGTGAGACATAACACCGGGTCCTGACCTGTCCGGGGAGAGCGATGTGACCATTAAACAGTCCACCAAATGGCGTGATGTTCGAGGTTGAAGAGATCATAGGCAACAAGCATCTCAAAGACTTGCACCATGGCTGAAGCGCATGGCACGCTAGAAAGCTTGAGATTGGAGCTTAGACAGCTTGTCTGGACAGGAGACATCCGAGGGAACAAACCAAGTGCTCAAAGTGGGTACTGGGGGCAGGGTCTAACCTCCCAATTCGAATTTCGTCTTGATCTCTCATTCGTGGAGGAAATCGGATGAGAGAACACTGGACATTGTGATCTGCCATGAGCAATGGCTTTGAGGGAAAAAGCAGGCATCGAATCTTGTTCTCAGTCACAACGGTAACACCAGATCGAATGAACGGCTCTAGCCAAGTTTGAGTTATTTTAGCGATGGGGCGGCTTAATAGTCTGGACGCCTGTAAAGCATGAAATTCACAATCTGAGGCACTTTGTCGAGCAGTACTTTTTGGTGGAATAATAGATTGCAGGTTAGTGAGAAATAACGCCCTTCTTCCCCCGGGTGGGGGGTAGAAACATGCGCCAGCAGGGGGGCTTTGTTGCCTGTTCCCGTTCGATCGGGGATAGACTTACCCACTAAGAAGCCGAGCAGGAGATTTAGAGTTTCGACGAACCGTCAAAAATAGAAATAACAGCCACATTGCCCACCGATCTTTGAAATCTGGGCTCTAGCTGAACCAGAGAACAACTCCTGGACCTCGAAGGCGCCTTGAATTAAATTTGTGTTTTGGCTTCAATAGATTGTTGACCAGGAAGGACGGCCCTGAAGCTGGCCATAGGTGACGGCGACCTGCTGCTCAAACATTTGATGCTCGATAGATTGGGAGCCCTTCTCTGCGGCCGTCGAGCACTAATGAGCCTCCATCAAGTAGAGAATTGAGGATCGAATTAGCCGCCTGTCCTAGCCGATAGGCTGCAACACGAACATCTCGGGAGACCAGGGGACACACATTGAAGGCAGCAATCTGGCCGCCGATGGCGTGATCAAACCCGGGGATTTCGCAAATTTGCGATTTTCTCCTCGTATAGTATTTCATTAGGCACTTTCCTTCTACGCTCCCATTGCTGTAGCCACACTTCTGTGCGCTCTGTTCTTTCTATTTGCATTTGGGAAACTATCATTCGATGTCTAGGAAAGGTGGAAGGTTCCTGGCAATCGAGCCAAACGCGTTGATGGATGGCATCGATCCAGAGGTATTTCTCCTTGAAACTCTCATGACCTGGTTGCAAGATCTCCTTCGTTGCTTACCTTTGTTGTTTCCGCGCCTTCTCTTGCGATCAACTTCTCCGGAGACAATCCAGCTAAATAGGTGACAGCAGGCAGCCTCGCCTACCCTGGCACACTCCCACTCCTCACCTCCTCACGCCATAGGAACGATCTCGCTCGCTCTCTCTCTCAGTGTCACACACAAGAACGTGCCGTATCCCTCCCAGAAGATGATGTCCATCTCCTTCGCATGTCATTCTCAACAGCAGGTGTTTCGTTATTGTTCTTGTCCGATGACTGGACAGTCGTGTCTTCGTCTCTCTCTTTTGCGACTTTCTCCGTCATGACTTCAGCCAATTTTGGCCTGCGACTTCATAGGTGGCAGTGACGTTGTCCAGAATCCCAAGTTTACCTCTCGAAAACAGTCGCACCCATCGAAATGGAATCAATGCCACAATGAGTACTGGGAATCCGATGGCGACCATTGTCTGACTTATTGCCACAGCTGGCCAGATAAGCAATTGCCAGCCGATGAAGTGCACAATGACTCGTTTGTGAACCTTGAAGAATGGATCATTGAGCTGTTGAAACCGTTTCTCTCGTAACAGAAGCAGAATCTTCTTCACGATACCATTCCCTTCGATCGAGCCCCATCCCACCACGAAGAAAGCCCCAGCGAATACGCCTCCTAGCATGAGATGCAGCATGACCCGCAGAAGTTGTGTCATTGTGCCAGTAATGGCCAAACCCATGAGGAAATGGCTGACTCGTTGCCTAGGGACCGACTCCGCACGAGTCTCCTCTCGAACAAGAATAGCCCCAGACTCGGCTTTGATCTCTTTGACGTCGTCGACGTAGTTTGTCAAAGAATCGGTATGCACAGACGCTTGAGGAATAAGGTCATTAGGTAAAGGTATGTCGACCAACCCAGGCACCAGGCAAGTCCGTCTCAGAAGAGAAAGTCTGCAATGGAATCCAAGAAGCTTCTTTAGTGGAAAAGCTCTAGCCTGTACCATGAGCGATGATACTCCGTGGTCATAGTCGAAGAGAAAGGTTCATCAGAAAACCAAACGACGCTACGACAAACACCCCACTTGGCAGATATGCTCCAGAACTGAACGAACCAAGGACAATCTATGGTCGGATAAAAGGCTTTTGTGATCAAACGGGCTTGAAGTCAACTGTCAGGTTTTCAGGAAAGTGAGCAAAGCTGGTCCAGGGAATGATTGCCAGGGGGGTTAGGCATAATTGCAAAGCAGTGTACGAACCATACCATTGAAGAGGGTGGTCGGGCCGATGGATTCGAGGAAATATATCGTCAGGGTGTATAGTACCGCGATTATTGCAGACGCGAAACCATTCAAAATCGTACCATCGTAGAAACTGATAAACTCTTCAATTCCCAAGAACATCGTGCCAACGTATAGAGCGAAAGTCTCGGGGGGGAGAAAATCCGTCACAGTGCACGTGTAGTCACAAAGGTTGAGAATAGCTGTCATCCAATGGAAAATGGCGCTCCAAATTCCCACCTGGCCAGTTGCTATTAGGAGACAGAAAAATTGAGACGAGGAAATTTGCCCAAACCATGAATTGTGAATAAATGCCGATATGGTGCAGTTGAATAACATGGAAGATCGTGTGGTCGAATAGCGAAATGAGTCCAGCGATGCGACGACTGTGATGGGTTGCAGGGAGAGAGGGCTGAAATCCACAACTGCCAAAGCGAAAGGCAAGATCGCCCTGTTGATACTGTAAAAGCCATCAGTATTGCGGTTCATGTCCGATTGGAAAGCCAAAGCAGGGAGAAGGCTAGCAAACAAACAAGTGTGGCACGTGGCAATATCGAACATTGTCATCTCATACCTGACAAAATACATTCGCACAGCGGAGGCAAAAGTCCGATATGTCCAGCCATCTTTGATGTCCACTTCCAGCAATAAGGTAACTGACGATGGACATCATGATACATACCTCGTCTGGATGAATGACACGATATCCTCACCAGTTGCCAGGCTTCTCATCCCATTTGTAAGGACTTTCGGCAACATTTAAGGCCATGTTATAATATCTCTTGAAATTAGCAAAACGAAGGGCAAGATTTGTTTTTTGGGGAGAGAGGAACAAAGGAAAGCCATCAAGGCCATGAAATTGAGACTGCAGAGACAGGCGCATAGTTGAGAAGTGACAGATAGGCTCGACGGACCGGAACGGATAAACAGGAGCTGCCTTGAATCTTCTATAAGATCATTGTCACCGTAAATGAGAGACGACAAGGAGTCTCCGAATCATCGATGTCGTCAAAATGCGGCGCCGGTACATGAGAAAGGGAGTGTCGAGGTCTCCGAGCCTTTGAGTTCCCTTTGACCAGAAGCCACCATAATTGCCCGAAACAGAGATCTCTCGTTAAAGTGGAATTTTGAGATTCCCATCGACCTCGTTCGAAGGAATGACCCACGTGGTCCGACATTTTGCTTAATGAATGCGGGGGTCTTCGAAAGAGAGGCCAGAGGGAATATTATGATATAGGAGAATGCCGACTCACTGTTTTGAGGCGCAGCAGGAGGGTTAAGGAGGCCAAAGACGAAACCGTGAGATTGTGTGGGCAACGATGAGTCACCTCACCGTTGACAGCGAAGCTTCTCCACTGGCACCCACGGAAGCCTGAGGGCCCATTACTTGTCGACGGCTAAAGAAGGCTGGACAGGTTCAATAAGGACAGCCTTCCCTGGTATCACAGCGCCCCTTTCAGCTTGGCCCTTGTAAAATTGACAGCTAAGCTGCCCGTCCAGTGTGCACAGTGTAACGATCGTGTTGACTTTTCGCAGTAATGTCTCATTATTTCGTTTCAAAAGATAACTCCGGTCCCAGAGAAAGCAATGAGGTTTGTGTGGACATCGACCTCCGGTAAAGATTCGAGAAACTGATATCGCAAATGGAAAGGCGAAAAGCAATTGTGGCAAGCGGGAGTCCATTCTGGATCGCGGAGGAGCTTTCCGAGACCAAGAGTTCAATAACGATTCCAGAGTCGTTCCTCGCAAGAAGAGCGGTTTCGAGTAAGACAAAGTCCGGGTCTGGACGCTTGCACAGCTCCATCGCCGCCATGATCGTCATCCGCCGTTGGCAGAATATGTATCTCATCCTTCACGGTGTGCTCATGTGGTGTGGTGACGTTGCTCCATGCTTGGTGTCATCTGCATTGTTTGAGAATGGCAGCCTGACGTATCTCCCGCCTATGCAACTTGTCCTCTCTCGGACCAAGATCTGCAGAATCACCGAACGCATTGTGCCTACTTCCAGCAATCCAATACAAATCTCTAGATGGCCTCTCGAGCAGAGGTGACATCGCCAATCACCCAGATTGGATGGTGCAACCTGAATCATGTCAAGCGAGACCGATGCAAACAAGCCTGCCAGTCGCGAACATTCCAGAATTAATCAGACCACACCAGGTTCCCCAATGTTTTGGTCTCGCCGAGCCTATTATGCTTACTAGATGCAAGAGTGGTGTGATACCTGGAGAGTCAGGCATAATCAACCCCATGCAAGTCTCCTTGGCCTATTTTTGGTGCCGGACAAATTATTTTGATAGCAGCACAGACTGTACGGTAGCCTATGGAATTGTCATGCTCATGATACGAGAGGCGTTCATTTGCGGTTGCTCATGAATCCGCATTGTCATTGGGCAGATTACCTGCGGTTATCGCCAGGATAATTGGAACCAAGAATTTGAATATTGATATCAGCCCCCATGGCGAGCTCACCATATCAAAGAGCTGTTTGCCATCGACTACACCTCGATGATACTTTTGCAGAATTTGACTATCTAGGTAGCAAGGAGGGCTGGTGTCGTGGAAGGCGCGATAAGGCTCATAACACTTGTGGGAAGCCTCGGTTGAGCAATGGATCAGAGAGGCCGCCTTGGACTGTTGGTGGACGTTGATACGGAGCTGGAGATTGATGCTCTGTGCGACGAATGGTTGTTGCCACCGGCATGCACCGAAGACGACGAAGAGGATCAAGATGGGATTGAGATTCAGCACGTGGAATGGATTGACGGACGAAATCCATTAATTCCAATTGAATATGACGGTTCAGGAGAGAGCTTTCAGACCTTCAGAGGTGGCAAATCTGAAGCCGAGCAGCTCTCACACATCATCTGCTGTCAACGATAGCGAGAAATGTCAAATGTTGACATGTTTCCCCCAGACCGAGTCAGGTGAGTTCGTGCACTTCTCTCCATGTGCAAATATCTCGTATTCTGACTTGATGCGCAAAAGAGTCCCAGCTTGAATGTCACGATCGTTGGCCATTCTTGGAAAACATTGATCAGGCATCCAGTGGAACAAGGACGCAGTGCGTCAGACAACATTCAAAAGCTAATGAATATCCGCGAGGCTTGAGATGGGCCAAGATATTGATCAACTCTCAACCCTGTAATGGATCAGACCTCCTTTGCACGTCTTGTTGGCTTTAGGGAGGATTTTGGTTTCAAGACTCCTGTAAAAAAAATTTTTGAACTCCCCTAATGACGCAAGCCTGTGGGCGGTAGATCTTTATGATTAGCGAGAGCTCTTGGTCCCTAGTTGCTTCAGGAAATACAGTCAACCACCATTTCAAAACCAGGGTCTTTCCCGAAGCCACAGCCTTATCGAGGTGACCGTGAAGTAGATCAGGGGTTCTTTAGTGTTCGAGAGTTAAGGGCAAGAATCAACCAATTGCGATCACTGGGTGAGGACATTTGCAAATATCCGCAAGCTTCTGCCAATAGCGATCACTATTACATGATATATCCACAGGTGGAACGAATTGTCGAAACCTTCAGATTCGTCCGTCAGCCAGCCTGGGGAAAAATTCAGCAACGTGGCTAGCAGGCCGGATCAAAGGGCAAAGAGTGAGTAACTAAAAATTTCATCCAAGACGGTGCCGGAGGAGGCCGAAGCGAGAGCCACAGGCGAGGCCCTTGGAGCTCTGAACATGGTGTGAGCGCTAAAGGATACCCGAGTATTTTCTACTAATCAGTCAGCTTGACGAGCAGGTGGTGTGACGATCACGTTCCCCCATTCACATGTGCCAGCCCTTCTCGAGTAAATATGGATCCACATGGCCAGAGTGGAAAGGTACCTACAGGATTGACCGCATATACTTTGGCAAATAAACGCGTCTTTTTGTAGAGTTATTGCAGTGCATGTCTCATTCCTTGTTTCAATGATACCGATCGCTTCCGTTGAATGTTGGGTATAGGAAGAACATGGCCACATGAGACGCTGAGCATAACGGTGAGTGGGTTGGAGTTACCTAACAAGTAAATATCCCTCTCTGGGGGTTTGGTATCTTGTACCTTTAGCGCCAGAGTATTTGAACAACTTCAGATGTCCTCACATCTACCATTTCCCACTCCATCAAACTAGTCAAAACAAATCAAAGTGATAACACATCCTCTTTCACAAACGTCAACTTAAGTCAATACTTGATTGGGTCCTGAGACAACACCCACCAATCAAATCGCCAATGGCATCCAACGATTGCAAAACCTACCACCAATCTCGACGACCATCATACGACCGAGCAGAAAAGGCCCGGGAACAACTTCTCTTCCGCGGTGCCAGGATCTCTGGCCCCGCAGTTCAACAACACCTGGAACGATCAAAAGCTATCGACGACGAATGGCGCCGGCAACGTCTCCGAAGCTCGGGCTCAGACACATTGACCACTTCGACCACCAGCATTTCCGATATTTCCCTGGAATCAATGCACAATTACGGAGACAGCTGGTTTGAAAACCTCAATGCTCTAAGCATGGAATATAACCGACAAAAAGCCGCGAAGAGTGCCGCCAAAACCCGATCAGGTCCGGTCACTGAAGCTGTTCCAGCCATGCACGGATACGGAGACTCGTGGTTTGAAAACCTCAACGCCCAACGAGAGGAGTACGAGCATCGGAAATCCGAAGAGCTCGAACGCAGCGCACATCAAATGCACAATTACGGCACGGACTGGTTTGAACAGTTCGAACCAATGTGGGAGGATTGGCAGCATACGAAGATGGGTAAGTCTGCCTAAAGCCGAAAGCCTCGGCGGCTTCTGGAGTCCTCCGTTCAAGCGGAAGAAAGTCATTGACCGATCTTGTATCTCTGCAATTAGACGCGGATAATGTCAAAGGACTCAGTCTCGTGATACAAGATAGCGACGATGAGAGTTGCGAGATCGGCCAATGAAAGCCAAAATGGTACTGTATGACCAATTATCACGGGAAAAAGGGAGCCCACCGGTTTATCATGACGTCTTTCACTGGAGTTTGTCGAGCATGGGGAGTGTGATGTACCAACATGTTTCTCGAGCATAATAGCGGTATTGGCGTTGGGGGAGGGGCGTTGTCGAATCCATTTTAGAAAGCATCGGTCGAAGCAGCATCATGAATGATCAGACTGGGTGGCCAAAGCCTTCCCCTAGTCATCAATAATGACAGGTAAATACAATCAAATACAACTAATCATTGCTTATCTATTCTCTCCACACACCATATAGGGCGTCAATCTACCAGCGTGTGACAGCTGAGTTACAATTTTGTTTCTTTGATTTGGACCTTTGTCAGCTGGGCAGGTGTAGTACTAGTGCTGAATCTGGGTGGGTGCCTGGCCTGGACCACTCCGCTTTGGAGGCGACATCGGGCTGAGAATTCAGGAGGTCAGGAGACAAACTGGTTGCTGAGTTCTGTCAAACAACAATCAGACCACAACGGGCAAACCGAGGACCATCACCTTGCAAAAGGAACAACGAGGATTCGTCAACGATTGGCTTTCGTGTCTTTCACTTCCACTGCGAGACCAAAATGAGTTGGCTTGAGAGCACGTATGTGAAGATACGTGGCGGAGGAAATGAGCCAGGAGAGGTGGGAAGGAGAGGGGGGGTTGGGGGGTTTACACGTCCCTTGTTATTCCTGCCTTGTCGTTACGATCATCCCTGTGTGCATGCGTTATTTTGAGTAAATGAAATGAGTCCATGTCCGTGTCCATTATACCTGTTCGTTCCCTGACCGTAAACCAGCCCTCCCAAACGCCTGAATAGCCAATCCACTCCAGCCACTCATGGGATGTATTTTGGACTCAAATTTGTATCCCGTTCGTATCTGGCTCCAGCATCACTCACTCCAGTGTCTCTCAGTCCGTTTTGTTGAGTATTTGATTACTGTAGAGTAGTGTAATAGTCATCATCGGCCTCATTGATCAAAAAATAAGACGGTGGTTAATATCTTTTCCAGCTCTGTCTTGACGTGTGGTTGCTGAGCATCAAAGACGTCGTCGGACCCGTCATCATCGTCGCTTGAATGTAGCTTCTCGTCTTCCAGTCCTGTCCTGAACCGATACTGAGATCGTCTCTTCCGTTTCCGGAGATGATGGCCAGGGGAAGACTGCAGACGAGTCGTGACAGTCATCTTCGAGTCCTCTTCGCCTGGATTCTGGTAACTGGAAGCCACGCTCCCGGTTTCAGAACTTTGCAACGAGCTGCCGCCATTACTCGAGGCATCGGCATAGTCTCCAGACACGTCAGAAGATTGAGTCGAGTCGACCATATTGCGGTTCAGTACTGGAGTGGTTGGCGTCAGAGGCGGCTGGCCCCAGCGTTGACTCCCGGTGCTGTTGCTCGCTTCCGGGAAATGGACGGATTTCTGGTCTGACAGATGATCGTTGTTCGTTTTCTGCTTCCGAAGTTGTTCTCTAATCCGACGCATAGCGTGCATATGGCTTCGAAATCCTTGTTCGATATCATCCAGATTCAAGATGCTCGCTGGACGCTGAGAAGGACGTTCGTTTTGGCACCTCGGGCGAGCTGGCGAGGACGGGAGATCGGGAAATGCTAGTCCAAGACCTGAAACTCCGCTGTTTGGCGACGACAGTATGTATTTTGGGGGTGGGTTGCTATTGTCGTTGTTGTTGACATATCCCACAGCCTCGACTGGTTGAGTCACTCCCCTTTCCGTTGGACGTCGAACTCCCGAAGTCACGTCTTGGTCCCATTTGTGGAGGACATTCCTGGTGACTTCGGAAAGGACCCGATATTCTTCAGACTCGAAGGCGGCTTTGGCTCTGGCCAGCTCGGCATGCGTTAGACAGGAGAGGAATACGTTGAGGCTTTCCACCAGCATAGACAGTTTTCTTCGGAAATCTTGGATGGTCAGCCCTTCGAACGCTACCTCCGAATGCGTGAGCCAATTTTTGATGCTCGCCCGGTCTTTGGAGGAGCTTGAAAGATACAATTTAACAAGTGAGTGTAATGGGCGTAAGACTGCACCCAACGAGGTCAGAATCTTAGAGAATGTCAATGCCCAGCGTGCCTTGTCTGGTTGGCGATCGATGAGAATTGACGTGGTCCCGACGCTGTGCAGCGAATCGAGGCTGATGGCAATGGTCCAGACCTCGAAACGCAGGTTTTCAAAGTCCTCGGACGCTTTCTGCATGCCGTAGAAGGTATGCCACGATAATTTGCATACCTCCGCCAGCGAGGCAGGCTCGCCGGCAGTGCTGAACCTCATGGACTGGGACATTGGTGATGAGAATTGCTTCAAGGTGAGAACTTTTGTTAGTCTAGGAGCTTCAGCGGTGAACGATGGATTTAAAAGGTCGATCAGAGCCTTGTAGGTAGGATTAGGCATGCCGCGACAGCGGTGCCTCCCCTCCAATGCTAAAAGCCCCTGCAACGTTCCCTAGCAGACAGCTGATTTGGCCTCGGTTTGCCTCTGCAGTTGCGAATGACAACGGTACTGAATGCGAACCAAAGAGTAGCGCAGAGCCATAGGACCCAATATGGGGGAGGGAATCTTCTCCTTGGCGGGTTCGTTGACCCAAAGTGCTCAAATTGTCGCACCACCATGTGGCCTGACTGAATTACGCTCGCCTCTCCCGCCCTCTGGAAACAAACAATCTCATTCGGCCAGGAGTCGATTTCCAGACGGCGCCAGGCAGAAGCCGCCGCCCGATGGCACTGATTTGATCATTGACCTGAACAAGCCACAGGCCACTGACTAGACTGACAGGTTGAGAACGTCCTAGGGTTGGATAAAATGGATCTGGAATGCTGGGGAAGATCGAGACTCATTCTCTATTGAAATTGCAAAGCGGAATTGGTCATTGGCCAGTTGCAAATCTTACCGTACGAGGACGCTCAAGCACAAAAGCTTGTTGATCTCCTGATGCCCACGGGTGAAGAGCTGTGGAGTCCTACATAGGGTAGATGGAAGACGAAGAGGTCGATGAAGAGGTCGACCCAGAGACGACAAAAGTGGATCGGACCAAAAGAAGCCCCCAGGGTCGCCAAGAGGTAGGACAGCCAGCGCTTTTAAACGGTCGCACCAGACCACCTGGGGGGTTGGAGCCGTCACTGGTGCTTACCTATGATTTAGGTACGTTTTCGGCCTTATGTCGCCAAAAGTCCTAACCAGGAGAGACCCCATTAGGCGGTGCCGCCTAATGAGTACAATTCTACGCGACGTGCTATCAGGTCCTCGGATCGGATCGAGATATATCGGCCCCATGTAGCCTTGCCGGCACGTCCGGCCACCTATCAGCTTTGCGCAAAGGATACCATGATTTCGACCAGTGGGATTGCACAGTGCTTCACGCCAGGCCTAGTTGGTGTACGTATAGGGACTAGGGGTGCATACAGCAAAGCAGTATGAATGGCTCGTTGTCAACATCAGAAGAAATCAGAGATAATTTTGGATGTAAAGTGTCAGGCCCCTGGACATGAAGATGGAAATGTTCTGAGGTATTTGAAGATGCTTGGAGATGTGGTGGACTGAAAGCCCTTGGACGATGGCACCTGGCACATATATGTATCGCCACTCAGCCTGGTTCAACATCTCCTTTGAAAGTAGGGCAACCATGTTTTATACCTCAAGGAGTTCAATCGAAAGCCACGAAGGCTTTTATGATGCAGTCATTGACGATATTTTTGTGTGAGAGCTCGAGCGTTCTGTCAGAGTCTGGAAGACACTGGGAAATTTTCGATATTGGGAGTGATCACCTGCTTGTCGAGGAGCACCCACAGTCCTTTTTTGCTCTCTTTCGAAGGAGACCCACTATCTCCTGTCTTTCACTATCTTCTAGTTGTCTTGAATGACGGGAAGTTCAAGGAACAACGGTGAGTCTGTCCCTTTTTGATGCAAACCTTGCATATTCTGTCAGGTGAATAGTCCTGACCTGGATCCAATATTCCCTCATTTCGATATATCTGTGCACTAACCGCCTAGATAGCTTGTTTATTTTGGCGCCAAAAAAGCTCCTACCACGATATATATGTATAGGCCAGCTAGATCTCCTCCTGCCTTTGGGGGAGCAGCAGCATACCATATGAAGCCGCCTTCAATCGCCCTTTTTCTGAGTTCTGCTGGACCTGGTTTTGGTGTCGACCGCACGAATACATAAAATCGACCACGGTTCAAAACCCAGGAGAGATGTCAACAAGCACAACGATGATCCGCTGCTCCTTCTATACTCAGAGTAAGGAAAAGAAAAGAATGGCGCAGGTCAGCGTTTCGAGATTCATTATGGCGGTTTCCTGCACGATCACCCAGACCTTTTAATATCTAGGTCCTTTCAACGAGCTTTCAATATTCCTCCTCCAAAGCAGAGAGGCCGCGTTGAATTGAAAGAATACCTGAAATCACCAAATCGGTAAAGGCTCAAGCGAAGCAGGGAAGCATACGGAAATGGCAAACTTGACAATGACGGAGGACTTTGCTTTCCTCTCTTGGGGTGGAGTGACAATGACAGTATGCACCCATCGATCCCATGACTGGGGCCACGGAGGCCTAGATACAGTGAAAATTCGGCGCATCCCAGCACCAATTTGTCCTAGTCAGCTGGGCGAATCCCCGGCCATATCCGATGGGCTTGGGCCCAGACTCAGGTTCGCAAACTATACTCGCCTTTCATTGGGCTGACGGCCAATCGCCGAGATCAATCTCGTTACTCATCAACGCGATACCGAAGCCCACTTTTTATCACACCACCTTTTCATCAAACCACTTCAACATCCTTCGATCATTCTATCTCACCTCTTTAGTCAGTTACGTGATATCACGCAGGCACTAAGTTCTAAAAGAGGTCAATGAATGCCCCTCCACGTTCTAAGGACATATCGGGCAAGTCGTATGAAAACATTTGCGGCCTAGAACCATGATCCATTGTTCTTGGCCCCATTTAGACAACATTGTCATACGATGAAGCTTTTGAAGGTTATAGTTACCATGGAGAAACTTGGACGGTCAGTGATCTTGCTTAATGTTGATGATATTTTGTCTGTTCGTTCCTCTTACGAAGAATATTCGACTTTCGGTCTCCTAATCAGAGACGATCATTTCCAGCATCCAATCTGTGAATCCTTCAACGGTTTAATAAATCTGAGTTCGGCAACATGATGAACTCAAATGCTTGTCCAAGTCACCGCCACATCCAATCCACAATCCCTATAACCAATGCATCACCAACGTCGACCTATTCGCCCGTCTTTGTACCTGAAATGCGATATTTGGCATACAAACTCGGATACCTCTCCAAGTCAAATATCCAGAGAGAAGTCCGCAAGGCCGAACCTCGACTGTACAAGCTCATCGGGCACGCGGCCCTCTTCGACAACGCGAAGAAATTCATTACGGAGCACACGGAGCACGATGTCAGAGAGGTAGAGGGAGCTGAATCCCTGGCTCAAGACTACGACGATGAAGACGAGGATGGGCCCTCATTCGGATACGTTGAGGATCTGCGGGATGAAGAGTCGACGGAGTCATCCTTCCCACCACTGGACTCGTCGAATTATTCTACTCAACAGAACGGAAAGAATCAACCGGTGCTGAGTGTGTCAGCAACCGAGATTGAGCTACCTGCGACTGAGGGCGATGGGTGGGAAAACGATAGCGATTCAAGCACCGAGGCTGGCGATGACGGCAACCAGAGTGATGGCGACTGGAGTGATTCCACTTGCGAGGAATATGAGGACGAGGATGATGAAAATGTCCCCCCAGATCGGAAGATTGTCGACATCTTCCCAGAAATGACTTATGATTTCACGACTGCTTCCAAGTACAGCCCTCAAGATGACGATTTGGTTCTTTGGTCTCAGCAACCGCGAGTCTTGTCGCAGAGCCAGGCTGATAGTCTACTTGTGGAGGCCTTTGGCTAATTCCCTCTGTTGCTTGACAGTTGTTACGATTTATTCAAGTGCACTCTCGCACTTCCTCACTCGAGTTCTCGAGCCGCATAGATGTGAGCTCTCGCCATTTACGACCCAGGTCTGATGATTCTTGGAGTTGCCCTTGTGTGGTGACTCTCTTCGTCTGTGATGACAAGTACAAGGCTCTTTCGCCCTCTATTGAATTGAATGTTGTCAAATCTAGCGAGGCGTTGGAAGATATGGATTGGACCTTTCCAAACTATTCGGGGACTATCCTGTGTCAGGACTATGCGCTGCCAAAGACAGCATGTACCTGTAAATATCAATCTACGAAATACTCAGTCCTTCATATTCATATGAACCAACCCAAGTGATCCACCATCTAAGTATCCTGTGGTACACTTCAATGTCTGCCCACAGAGGATCGTAGTTTATCCCGCTACTAGTATGACTTCCCAGCGTTCATGGAGCGTAATAATCCTATAAGGTAAACCTTTCGTTTCCCTATGATCAAATCAGGCAGGACCCCCCTGGTTGGAAACGTCAGTGGCGTATTGGACCCTGCATTTGTCTTTTGTAGTGGTATTGTAAAACCCCAGGCTCAGCTGTCTGGACCAGCTTGGTCATCCGTCCGTATCGAGGCTGAATTCAGTCAGCATCGCTTTGGCAAGATATGACATCAATCATGCAATACCCAAAGAAGATTTCGTTCTGTACGCAATCTAGAGGAAAAAGTGGCTGAAACAGCTTAGTTCTGCTTTCGTGGCTTATAACATGTACGATCCATCAGTTTTTCGTAACCATTGCCTAATTCCATATTAAGTTCTACCCCGTCACTAGGCAAGGCAGAATTTAATGGACGTGTGTCAATTAGCAGTCCAGACCCCTCCATCGGTCCCCCTGGAGAAGCGTCCGTTCCCAGAAGTTGCGTCATCCTCAGTCATACTAGGCACTAGATACTTTCTCAAACAAATATACCAGCAAATGCCTCATCGTTGCCCGAGTCGCTCTCCATCACTCGGGTTTCTCCATCAACTTGATTTCCTCCAGTCTGGAAGAAGCCCTCTGTACATTCCTCTTCTTGTCCGTCTGGCTCAGGGGCCGCAGTTCTGATCTCGCATGTTTGTTTCATAGTTTCAACAGGCTCACCATCGCGGGATTCATGTGTGTAGAAAGTCTCATGTCGGTGCCAGCAGGGTTGGCCTGAGTTTGAACCTTGGAAATTTTTGTCGAAAGATTCCTGATTGCATAGGCAGCAATTTGGTTGCAAATGACGCTGGATGAGTGATTGGGTTGCGCCGTCCATCACGAAATCCATTTCGCCCATCGTTTTGGTGGATGTTTGTGCTGCTGATGAGCAAGATTGAAGTTTGGGCGATTTAAAGGGGATCTTGGGCTTAGTTGTTGATGACGGATGAACCGGGGCTTGGTAATTCAGAAAATCCCCTAACGATTCTGCATTCTGCAAAGCATCGTCATCCTCATTCTTGGTCGCCTCTAGACCTGGAGGAGTGGGAACATGGCGTAGATGAGCAAGTTCTTTGGCGATGAACTTCTCTTTGAGTGGTGATTCAGGAGGGGTAGGAGGGCCCCCAACGGGATGATACTGATATTCAGCCATGTTTCGAGATGAAAGCTCTACTGCTTTTGATCAATCTGATCGCGGCACCGCCCCTAGATATTTAGAGCATAGACCCAACGAGAGATTTCGGGCCGCGGACAACCAGGAACGAGATGGACATGAAAGCCATTGGCGATACGAGATCAGAGATCCCGACCACATTGTTTCTGGTTGGATCCTGGCCGCCGGCATGTCCGCAGTAGAAGTTCCGCCATCCACTGTCACACGCCCAGGGACGTCACACCACGTATTTAGGACACTGCTCCGTAAGCGTAGCCCGAACTTCAGGATCCATCAGGTATGCCTTTGAGGGAAGCAAACACTCTTCCAAAGCAGGCTACCACTCAATCTTCAAGCAATGCATATTGAGGACTCCATGAACAAGTCATCAAAACGATCGCAGTGGACTGTATGAACAGAAAAACCATTTTGGTCCTGTCCGGATCTCGGAGTAAGTAATAGTTTTCCGATTCAATGGAGTGCGTTGTCTGAAATGGCAGTTAGAATAACCAATTTACGCAAAACGGACCGATGATAGGGGCTCATCTTTCCTCCCCCAATCCCCGGAAATGCCTTTGTAGATCCTCTTGATCTGCAAGGCTGGGGAGAATAGGGGAGGACCCTGTGGGGAAATGCCAAGTTCGGAAAAAGAGCCATCTAAGATATTCTCCGAAGAGCAGTTCATAAGGAAAATATCTCAACGAATCCTCTACTCGAGTCACACAACTCAAACAGTACGTGAATATCCCCATATGCTTGGCTTTCCGAGAGTTCTGGTCAGCTGCTCTATCGGGAGACATATTGCAGACTCTTCTTCGCATTTACCTCGGAGTTCGCCTGAGGCAGATAATTGCACCTGGCCACGATTTGAACCCCCCCCCCGGGCGAAGTAGCTTTAACACAGAAGCTACTGGAATTATTTCATGAAGTCACACGCATTATTGAGCTCTCAAATAGTGAAAAGTTCTCTAGTTCATCATACAGACACGGAACATGGCCAGTCTTTGGTGGCGAACACAACTAGGCCACAGTTTTTTGTCTGCGGAAAATTGCCACCCCGAGCATGCCCTTCCAAAGTTCAACGAGCAATTCGTTATGAATCGTCCACAGAGGCGTACGAGTCAGACAAGGTTTGTTGACAAGCGGGATGAGTACAAGTATGCAGGAAGTACTAAGCTAGTATGACTCAGAATAACGAAATTGATCACATTACTCCCCCTGGTGAGAGGAATCCCCTGTCTATATACTCGTAAGGTATGCACATTGATCTGTCATCCGTCGAACGGACCACATCTCAGCCACGTGATCCAGCCTTGCCAACGAGGCCATATTCGTTGTAGCACGAACCCAAGCTAGTGAGCCAGTACCAATCTACACCAAAATTCAACATACAACTATGTCCCACCAGAGCACTCAATTGGCTCCAAATGGAAAGTACAATCATGCGTTGTTTCTTGTGTGAGCATTTCAGCTCTAACTCCAGAGACCCGGCCACTATTGCCAATTGGGGGGTGGGGGAAAAACGCTGAAAACAGCTGCAACTAGCAACGAGCGCCCTCTAGAAGCTTCCCGATGCAAGATTCTACTGGAAAGGAGTACTGGAGGCCTCTTATCAATCCCTCTAATTGATGAGAGGCGTGTGTTGTTGAGTTCTTGTATGCCGAATTTTGGTGTAGATTGGTATTGGCCGACTAGCTTGGGTGGCTCTACTAGCTTGGGATTTACGTTACCTTCCAAACAGGGTGCGGAAAGCGCATCAAAATACACAAATACAAGAAATTGGCCTATACATGAACATGATAGAAGGCCAAACATTGCACGATCGCCTCATAACACTTCTATATGACCGGTAACCCTTGAAACATTCGACCGCCGACCACGATCCTGGCTCACGAAAGTGAGCGCGGTATCATTGGAAGCTCCTGCAGGTAGTCTATTGAAGGCGACAGATTCTGCAGCGAGGTCTTAAAGCGAATGAGGGGAAAACAAGAAAGGAGGAAGAAGCAAATAAAACCAGTGATTGATCGAAAGGAAAACTGACAGACGCGACAAAATATGGTGAAATCAGGCCAGAATCTTTCCTACGGCATCCAAGAGGTCCCCAAAGATGCGAAGAACGTGGTGAAAAGCCTTAAAAAAAAGGAAAATTCATTTAAAAAAGGAAATGGCTTCTTGAGAGAATGCATGTAGCGGCTTTCTGGGAAGGAATCCAGCCACTCGAACCAGCGAGGGACCTGTGCACCAGGAAACCATCGGAAACAGTTGAAAAGGTACATTGAGTAACACCATGAGAGTGTGTGAGTGTTCGAAAGAATCAGAAAGAAGACGGCGATATTTGGACTGCAAGGTCGAGCATGAAGAAAGAACGTAATAGAAGCTCGGAGACTGGACGGGCTCCATAGAATCTGCGCACAACAATGAGAAACAGCCCAAGGACATTGAAAGATAACCTTGATTGCAAGATGCCAAAGGCATAATATACAGATATATCAGACACCACCGAATCCGCACATCTGTGGCCTCTGTTCGCTCTTTTCCAGGTGTCCCTGCCCACCACAGAGCTGCGTGAAGACCAGCCTGAGCAGGTTCTATCTTCTGGTAAAGCCCTTTGGACTCATGTGTAAAATTGAACACACCCATTAAATTACAAGCCGGTCCCACAGTATGTTGCCCTGATCCTGTCCCTGCTCCATGGCAATTCAATGACCTGCGAGAAACGGGCCAAACACGAATGTGCCTGTCAGTTCGGCCATCAGCCCATGTTTCCAAGCTTGACACACGCTGATGAGCGTGAGTGAGCCGTAATCTTCAAAGTCGAATTGGCCAGATTGATGTGTTTAGATGTCTCAGGATACCTGACTCTTGATCCGTCCTGGCTCGATGTGTTTACTCTTTGTCCTAGGGCAGACATAATAGAAGCCCGACTCTTCCTCTCCTACGAATATACCGAGGCCCTCAATGGTTCGCCGCTCACACTTGACGGCGGCGACGGATGATACTGGTCATGATTGCAGCAGGAGCAATGCCGTCGCTGTTCTTTGTTTTCGAATCTGTTCATCAGAGGAAGACTTCTCCAGCTCATTATATGGTCAAGCTCAATCATGCGCAGGCAAAATGAAATAATAGCAGATGTGACAAATGCGACCCTGTCAAAAGAATCAGGAACTTTTTCCCAGCTTCATGCAAACGGAATTGACTTACAGGTTGATAATCATAAAGGCAAACATAACTTTCACCAGCTTGCAGTCTGTTGAGAAATATGACTTCCAGGGCCGAGTGCCGAAGTATTTGGACTCAAAAGCATGGCAGATTCCAGTCCCATCACGATCCCAGACCCCAATCAAGCTGCTCCAGGCAGCTACAAACAACGCGTCTAGGATTGCCATCATGGTGAAGAACATGGGACCTTCAAAGAAAATAGGTAAGATGGTGATAGCTGCGTAGACGGTGCAAACGCAGGATATCGAGATGGCCGCAACGGCCTTTGCAGGGTAGTCGATCTCTGCTTTAGAGAAATCGCTAATTATGGCTGCCACAAACCCGATAAGAGGTATGGAGACAACAATCTCAAAGACACGGAGGCCTATGAGGAACAATCGCAGGAAGACCTCGTCAAGGGCCTTGGATAGTTCAAGTTCTCTGGTTTTGAATCTCATTGTTTGATTCGCAATTGAGATTGTATTCGCAGTGAGCTCAACCGATATCCTATACTTTCTCCGGCCTATGGTATATATCATCCATAAAAACTCCTTTCCTTTCCGTGACCCATTCATTCTCTTGACCCCGTGAACTCTCAGAGGCATTTTCTCAGCGTCGTCCCTCTGGGGTGCGAGCCGTAGTGGTGAAAAAAAATGCTTTGATGCTCGTGACAGCTGGCCGGAATGGCGTGAGTCGCGAATATGTCGGCACTGCACCCCGAGATGGCCCAGACCTTGGCCAGAAATTTTCCATTCTCATAGATCATGCCTGTGAGGAACCCGCTATTATGAACTACTCACTGTCTGCTGCCTAGTCCTATATGAGATTCATGGAGGGGGCAAATCTTCTCGGCAGATACAGAAGATTCGCGACTTGCCGATACTGGGTTCTTGATACATCCCGACGAGTCTATGAATGAGGAGGGAGTTCATAAGCAAACCTCCCTTTCCCCCCCCCCAAAAAATTTTGGGTGGATCCATATCCTTTGTGTACTGGTAGCCCGAGCTTCATTCATATCGATGATAACGTAAAGGAATTTTTCAGCCAGAGTTCAATGAAGCTGCATAGCATCGAAAGCCGTAACGATCATCTGTGACACATGTATAGAGCAAAAATCGTCATCAGGATTCTGATTCGATTTTCCGGGCAAGAACGTTGTCGAGACTTGTCCTTGTGAGCTTTCACGGCGGGGGAGTTGCTGCATTCGAGGTGGATGCTTATTCGATGCATTGGACAGAACTTCTTGACATGGAATAAACTGAGCGCGTTCCAGTCGCCACAGGACCTTAAGAGGTCGTTCTGGTTCTGGTTGCTTCGCGAGCCCTCCAAAGTTTTTTTAGGCTTGCCGGCGGACCCTAACACAACGCCAGACCCGGAAGGGTCCAGCCTCGCTGCCAGTTCCGAGCCAAGTGGGCCGCTGCCGGGCACGACCCCATCGCTGGCATGCCACAGGCCACACCCATGCCGGGTGAACCCATTCACGCCTATCACCCACGAGAAACGCCCAAGCAAACGCCAAAAAGATACATGTGCCAGCGGCGACGTCCGGCATCCTCAAGCCCTTAGTCTTGGGTGGTCTGATGCATCTTTGATCCTGATGCCGAAACTATGTATTCTCCGCAAGCGAAGGGACAAGGGATATCCCTCTCCATCAACACGCATAATAATAAAAAGACGGGCTTCCTGGCGTGGAGTGATAGGATTTTGCTGGATTGCCCGATTTTTTCACCACCAAACAAATATTTCTTGCCTACAAGCTACCAGACTTCGAATCTAATATCGAACCAGGCTCAACAAGGGCAACATGTCGTACTCCCAGATGTACCCCCAGTATCAGGGCTTCTCGTACGACAGTCAAGTACGTAGCTGACGTGGCGAATATCTCTTGCCACTTGTTTGCTGAGAAAAAAAATAGCAGCAACAACCATGGGACGAAGTCGACTTCACTACTCTGCCAACCTCTGGCAACAACTACAAGTCGATAAAAGAACCTGGATACTACGACGTCAATGGTGTGCCCACAGATAGCCAAAATGCACCATCACCGAACTATTCGCAGTTTTTGAATTTTGATACTTCTGATGTGGGCTCTTACTCGGTACCCAGCGAGGATGTCCCATCCGAGCCTTTCTTCAGAACTTCGCCCAATCCGTTGAACAGTCCTCAACAGTCGACCAACTATCCGGTGAAGATTGAGCCAGAATTGGTGCGGAATGATTCTCTCCCGTGCGGGTTGCCTGGAGACTGTACCCCCCCGAGATGTGGACCCGAACCGACCTGTTTGCAATTAACCAGTCTTCCCGAGATTGAAGAATGCAATCCGGCGCCATTTCTGCCCACCGGCACAACTTCGTACGCCGATCAAAATACAAGCTATTCCAGGAGATTTTCCAGGACAAGCTTGAGCGATTCTGGCCCAGCGACCAAGCCCAAGGTCGAACGAGAGAAGAAACCGCGAAATAAACGCGGACACAAAGGCTCCTCGAGTGAAGACGAATCAGCACATATCCGAGCCAAACAAGCTCACTCGGTTGTCGAAAGGAGATATCGCGACAATCTCAATGGAAAGATTATGCAGCTGCATCGCGCTCTGGTCGCAACCGAATCGACGTCGCGGCTCACTGGCGTGTCAACGCACGATTTCTTTGCCTCACGAGAACACCGAGGCAAGGTTCGAAAATCTGATGTCATGACGGATGCGATGAATTATGTGCATCAATCCGAAGTGGAGATTCGACACATGTCCGACGAAATCAATCGCTTGAATGAGCGCGTCCGAGCTCTAGAGAAGCTTGTGAAATGTGAAGATTGCTCTCTCCTCAAACAAATGGTACGACTACAGCTTCAACAGCATCAGCCTCAACAGCACCAACCTCAGTGTCCGTGAAAAAGAACAACATCAAAAAGTCTTTCTTTGGTCAAGTCAAATTTTGTTCAGAGGGTACACCGTCAAGAGGGGCTCGGAGAACTCATGAGGGGGAGACCAAGGGGGGGGGGGGGAATATTTAATTACTCAACTCATCATGGGGGGATGGACTTGATCGATCAATGAGACGGTAAATTATGGCAGCATGGAATTGGCGTTTCGAGTCTTCACAACGGATGCAATGGGTTCTGAAAGGGTGCGATTTTGACACCGGGCAAGGACACATGATGCGACATTGGACAAAGTTATGACAAGGGACACTTAGGTTTGGACTTGTAACGAAGAGAAGGGCCAAAGAACATGGGGAATTGATTGACGCATCTCACTGATATGTCCGAGTGGGTAAATGGTCATGGATTTGCAACTTGGGGAACACTGTTCTCGAGAGAAGACAGGAAGGTTTTCTGATGAAAAAAGAGAAATGGTGTTTGACAACAGGATACCTTTAATATACATCGAATGCCATGACACTTCTTCGACTCGCACACAATTGTGCTTGAGTCTCATTGAAAGACCTGATGAAAATATCCTCCCCGACGTCCTTGTTCTTCGAGTTTGTGACTAGCTGTTTGACGAGGCCTTACGCAGTACGCAGGTGGTGATGCCGAGAGTGCCATACTCCCTCTACTAGCCAACAAACCGCCGTGGATGCAATTCCCGGCATTTGCCTGACCACACCCCCCTTCTTCATAAGGCGGCGAAACAAACATCCATTGCATAAAACGTGACCCAAAAGGGAGGGTGAGACGTGCAGTACCGAAAACGCCATGGGAATCATGCAAGATACAATTTCACGCTTGCAATTTGTTGCATACCTGAGATTCTCCTGATCAAGCGTTTTCAAGATTAATTACGCCGTGAGAATAGGTTGCCGCGGATGATGACCTGCAGCAACCAAAATGTCTTGAGTTGAAGGATCAGGAGACAGCGTGTTTGGCTGACCGGAGAGAAAATACGGCCTCTGAGCCGTCGGTGGTATGACACACTACCAACGGTCGGTGGTATGGGAGAGGCTTTCGCCTATACCGGCCAAAACACGGTGGCCGCCCCCTCCACAGGGAATCCCCTAAGCTTGGGTAATTACATATACCACAACTCGTACCACCCACTGTCACAGGACATTGATACGGGTACCATAGTCACGCCATTTTCGCCACCACCAATTCTTTCCGTCAACGTGCTACGTTTCAATTCCCGTTTGGGGTGTATACATTTGTTGAAACTTCATCTTTCACGGAAGTCATTTAATGGAAACGATTTCCCGAAAGAAGCGATGAATCTCACATCCTCCAAGGATGGGTTGACTAACCAGGTAACAGACACCTTTGCGTGCGGTCTCGTTGGAGTCGTTGAAGAGCCACTTAATGGCGGAAAGGTACCTTTGAGTATCGGACATGTACCTCGCGGCGGAGAACATTGAAATCGGTGAATCCATGGTCACAATTGATCGCGCAAGCCGAATCGCGGCGATCCTACCAATGACCAGACAATTCCACCGAGTCAGATCAACGACCACAGGACATTCTGCATGGGAAAAAAATTTTTGGGCGGACAATGAAAACCTCTAAGCCTTGTCCCAGCATGGCGCGTTGAGGCAGCAGTCGAAGAAACCAATGTCAACCACGCTTCAATGGGAAAGGAAAATCTCCGTTCAACAGGCCCGACTGCTCAAGTTATTCTATCAACATCAACAACTTTCAAGAGGCTCCCGTATTCAAATTCATTTTTTTCAGCCCTTTCGACGACACACCCTTTGGCGGCATTCTCTTCTCATTTGATACCCCAGCCAGCAGAACAGAATGGCTATACTTTGGTTCCCCTACCTTGGGCCTCGATCGACCATGAATGAGCAATGGGCACCACCATTTCACGACACCTATCATGCCCAAAGGAAGCCAATGCAGACTCTAAACATTTGTAGCAAAGTGCTCGAGTCACATTGGATCGGCAGACGATAAAATTCCGACAAGAGGCAGGGAACTCGAAAGCAGCACGGGCACCAACACCTTGGATACATGGTTCATTTCTTTTTTCGCCATTCACAAAGGATAGTCGCAGCGATTTGACCGCTGGCTCCTTTTGTCGGCAGAAAGAAGGATTTTCTATTACATGTCCAATGACGCTGAGAAGCGAACACCAAACATATGCTTTCCATATCGACCTCCCTCTCCAGCAGATTTGCAGACGAGACCTGGAAGAAAGTCGGGCCTAAACCGTGCCAGCGTCCAGTTCCCGTCTAGAAGACAAAATGGGGGAGGTGCGACATTGTTCCAAGCTAGGATATTTTGGAGCCAAAACCTGTCTACGGATTGGAGGGTCGTTGACAACAGAATGGTGCTGTCGTATACCCTATGCCCGTCGTCAGCGTCGGCTCCGGTGGTTTTTTTTTTTTTTTTTTTTGGGGGGGGGGGGGGGGAAGGGGGGAGGCTTTCTTCGACAACATGCACAAGCAAGGAAAGTGTGGAGGGATTGGAGGACTGGTGGGAAAGAGTGTGGATCTTCGGCACATTGTTTATGCCACGGCAGGGACAAGCCATCAATGACAATGACGAAGGTGGGCACGCATGGACTGTTCGAAACAAATTCATCTATTGCACATGGACTATGCCAGTGGTTCAGATAATGTTGGAAGGAAAGCTTCGCCTCACAGGGGAGGAGATATCTAGGACCTGAAGGAACTTTCGAAAGTGTCTTCTTTCCCATAGCTCCCTACCTGTATATGAATGCATATCATATGCCGATGAACAATTTAAAGAAATTTGTACAACCAAGGTTCGCGAAGAGAGTCGAGCAAGTATATGAATTGCACTTTTGTATGGGGTCACTAGTCCCCCCTACGGTGAGTGAGTCCGCTTGATCGACGCTGACATGGCATGCACTTACACAAGCAGGGAACCCGCCTCGAGAAAAATCAAGTCCAAGTCATCAAAGCACGAAGAGAGAAAAAGGAAAAGAACCCAATTAGCTAGCCAGATCTCTTCTCGTTCTCGGCCTCATTTCTAATCCACTGAGCCCACATGAGCACGACATATGCAATTAGAGCTGCACAACCCCACGCCAGCATGGAATTCGCCTTGAGATGATCAAGACCTAGTCCTGAAGCAAAGAAAAAAGGGCCGTCTGGATCTCCTCAACACCCCCATCCTAGACACGAAACGAACCCCGAAGGGAAGTGGCTGGCCAATGACTTGAGGGAATCACAACTACCAAATCCAGTCTGAGCTCGCTGCTCGAAGGCCGGAGAGGGATGGGGACGGGGATCCAACCGTGCTCTGGCCGAATGGTCTGCAGGAGATTCCTTGCAGAAAACTCGGTAGACCGAGTCGGTTTCCCTCACGTCAGAAGGCATGCGCCGCGACAGACTTGGTATAGCGGTCGTTTAGTCAGAGACCAGCGGCGAGATAGCCCCTCGGCCCGGGGGTGGAAGGTTAGGAGGTAGGCTCGCTCATAGGTAGAGAGCCAGGTCGATGGGCGGAGACAGGTAGGGAGCCCAGATAGCCGGACGGTGGCGAGCCATCAATGAGAGTCCAGAAGACAAAAAGGCAAAAACAGGGACAGGGACAGAGACGAGGGAGAGAACAGGTTGGCATTTTCATCTCCGCCTCCATCTCCATCTCCAGTCCTCTTTCCGTGTCTCATCGCGAACGCCGATAAAATGAAGCATCGATCCGCAGCAGGAAATTGACGCCGACATTCCTGTCCTTTCGCCCCGTAACAGAACCAGCATAGCGAGGCTTCGAGATGAGACATGAGATCCTGGGTGGCTCACAGCAACTGTCATGGATAATAACCCTTGATGAGACCCGTTTTGTCGCCTTGTGACCCTGGGGAGGTTTATTAGTAAATGAGTGAATTGCCGTAGGGGGAGCAGTGTATCGGGACCTCCTTTAATCCCTAAGCCTTGGGGGAGGTGCCCTTAAACTTTTCCGGTCTCTGCGCTGACAATTTTGTGCTTGGCTTTCCAGCTGGTACGTAAGCAAGCCTAAAATGCACGTGCACGAAATCCTTAGAACTTTCTTCCTTTGGGGTGCTTGCCGGCAAGTCAGGTGAAAGGTCGGGGCGAAGTTCGGGTGTAATTGGAACAGGAGTTTGTTATCCAACGGGCGTCACGGGGCGCTTAGCAGTTTTGATACCAAGCCTGGGCCCTGTAATGTTAGGTGGTCCGACACTTTAGATAAGGTGACTTCACAGCCTCTGGGCTGGACTGGGCTGAACTTTGTTGCACCACCGGTTAGCCAACTTTGGCCAGCCAGCTTCGATGCCTAACGAAGAGCGCTCCAAGTAAAACTTACCACGGTATCATTTGTCTGCTCGGGTGGCTCGATTTCTGACCCGTGCGTTTTTCCGTCGTATGAAAAATTGTTAGGTGAACGAAACCGAACGGGTTTCGACTCGACATGTGACGCGCTCACCCACCAATATCGCGTGCTAGATTGGGGGGGTTATCTGTGCCGTGTGGATACAGGACAGCCGTGCTCAACTGAGTCCATACTCTCAAGTCTCGTGTCAGCCAGGTCAGATCAACTTTGACCGGCATTCGGCGAGAGAAGATGCAAAGCGATAATAAAAATGGCGAGCTTCGTTTTTCGGTGCAAGCACACACCACAAGAATTTGCCTTCTTCATAAGCCACTGAAGCAAAAATCACTGCCTTTTATCGGATTTGGGGGTATCCCATAGACACGACCAATTGCATCTCGTTGTACATCAAGTACCGTTGACTTGAGATCTTGCAACACTCACCTTGACATTACATCCTCTTCACCACAGCTGAGCCCGAACACAACAAATACATTTGTCGTTGGACATACTTCCAATACATTGCCAATCATGCCTCCAATGCGAATTCCCATATCCCGGCTCAGCCAGGGACTGAGGACGGTCGTCACACAGCCAGCCTCGCGAACGGTCGCACAACGACTCGTACATCCCCGACATGTACCCCTCCACCACGCACCATCACAACGAATACTTGCCAAAGCAACAGCAGCATCTCACCACCCCAACGCCACAATTTTCCCTATGTTGGTGCGCGACGCGACGAGTTACGGGGCACTCGGGGTGTTGACATCAGGGGTCGCTTTCCTGATATATTGCTGGGTAAGCAATATTTCTTCATACCCGTCCCCACGCCCCTTTCAACCTGTCCCGTGGATTGATAGATGCGATTTTTAATTCCGCTCAATAAAACAGGGCGAGGTCACCAGAGCGGGTACAATTCGAAGCATTGATTCTGATGCTGATTTTTGGTCTTGGTCAGGATGATGATGCCGATCTGACAGAGTTCTTTGCTCTGTGATATAGTGGGTCAAAGTGGAACTGCAGTGCCGCAGGAGAATGTATGAAAATGAGAAAAGGGGGGGGGGCGAATGGCGTTAATCAAGTTGGTAAGGGGGCGTTCAGGAGTGTCTTTGCAGCACGACGTGATATGATGACATTGAGATTGTCCATACGGGGGGACTTCTCGTCTGCTCGCTTACAATGAAGCGAGCAGAAATGACGACACTTGTACATAAGGAATAAGATATCCTGGGAGAGTGAACCCAGGGACATTCCAAACCGTAGGGACTCGGTGATTCCAGATCTCTATTTGAAAATCCTGCATCTCCTCAGTTACCCTTGTCAGTATGACTTCGGACAAGTTTTATCGTCCACTCTTGGTCCAAACAGCCGATAAGGGTCTCGACCTTCGGCAGAGAGGCTGGCATTTGTCTCTCAGCGGTGACAGGGTCGAAAATGTCCGGGTTATTCACGTATTGGCAAGCAGAAAGACGAACAGGATATCACAGTGGGTATCGGGCGCTTCGACTTCCAAAGCAGTGGCGACAGGGCTTCCCAGAAGTAACTCCCGAAATCCTCGTGGTACATTATGCGTAGAAGGTTCTGAGAAAAAGAAAGACCGCCGCCGAGTAGCCAAGATCCGAAGATTTCCCACATGGACATAACCACGTGACGCCGCCCTTTTCTCCGTGAGAGATTTTTTGCCTCGGTCCCCGAAGAGCGCAAGGACATGCTCTCTCGTAGCACGTCAATCCCGTCTTTTAAAACTAATGCCGCGTGTCACCCCTCGATCAGGAAATATCGCAAGCCTTGCGTTCGAATGGCATACTACTTACTGATATCATCCGGATGTGGCCGGGATAGGGCCACCAGAAAGGGAGGTTGCCAGCCTATCAAACAGTCTCACTTTTCATCCTCAAAATCCTCGATAAGATGTTCTTCGGTTTCTCTATCCTCCCGCCACCGAATCACCGCTTAGGGAAGCACGGGGATCGAAGATCGACACATATTTCAGGATGCGACCAACTTCTTTCGTGTGCAATTTAAATGGAGCTCCAAAGCCTCCCGGATGCCCGGATTCCCGGGGACATGACTGGTCGGGCCTCGGAACAATTTCTGTGGTCGGGTACCGACACTGGTTGACGAGTTCTCTTGATGAACACTTGTTTCCGTGTGCCGCCCCCAAGTCAAATGATGAGCTTAGGAAACACGAAAAGTGCTGTCGCCGGTGTGGCAATATCCCGTCATTGGTGGGAAAGCGGGCGGACTGGTCATGAGTAAGAGCGAGGACAAGCTTGACGAAGATGATTAAACGGGACGAATACAATGATCCTTGACTTTTTTCAACCCTCGCTTGTTCGCTTGTTTCCCTCGTCACCGAGGCGTTTTCTGAAACTGGTTCATTATTGATGTATCACATCAATAGAATGTACGACGCAAGTTTAGCCACAGACACAATTAACATTTCCTCAAGCCTCCAATACCATCAACCTCCTCCAGCCTCTTAGGCTTTCGTGAGAGCGGGAGACAACAGCACAATCCAACCGAAGGTACGGACCGATTATGAAGATCGAGCCAGAGCACTGATATCCAAAAGTGGACGACTTACCTCAATGCCGATCTTGATCACCTACGCCACTTCTCGTGGTTCAACAAGAGGTGTTGCTGAACGGATTGCCTCACGCCTCCATGCTAATGGCTTTGCCGTCGACTGCCGACCCGTTGACCACGTCTACAGTGTCGAAAATTATAATGCCGTGATCCTGGGCAGTGCAGTTCATTCACAAAAGTGGCTCCTGGACGCCCAGAGATTTCTCGACATTGAAGCCATGGGACTTCAAATGAGACCCATGTGGGCGTTCAGTGTGAGTATGGCCCCTGCAGGTGTTCCAAGCTGGATGCGAGAGATGGCTGTGAAGAGAGACCGGAAGTCCATCGAGGAAGCCGTGACGAGGAAGGTACCAAAGCTCCGAGGCCATCGTTTGTTTGCCGGAAAAGATGATGGATCCACCATACCCTCACCGGTTCGGGGACTATACAGCTGCATTGGTGGAAGATTTGGAGACATGCGAGACTGGGATGAGATTGACGCTTGGGCGGATCAGATTGCGAAGGAATTGACGATGGAATCTCCATGAGGATTGGCGAATGGATTCCCCGATCGGTGAATGGGTTTGATTTCGGCGTACGGCGCTGACCTGCCGCGACATTTCGATGACCCTGGAATACCCCGGATTACAGGCTTCAGCCCCTCTGGTGGATCTTATGCAGCGTTTGGACATTTTGGAATGCCATCGAGTGTTTCCTCTCATGAGATGCGATTCTTCTCATGTATTTATGCATAACTTTTCTGTTCCAGTGAGCCCCAAAGGCGCCTCTGAGAACTTTCGCACACCATACTATCTTTGATACAAATTTTGGCGATTCACACGTGCCACCCCTGTGCGGCAATTGCATGTCGTCCGTCGTGGTAGAGGGAAGGAGTGGGCGTAGCTATAAGGTGCCGGGCTTCAGTAGTATGACTTCCAATCCAGAGATCATCTAGGCCATGTCGTAAGCGGTAAATTCAAGATCCGGTTCGATGGAAAGTCAACTGGTAATTCAGAGCTTTTGGGAGCTCATTCTGCCGGCGTCATTTACCTAGGGTGAGCTCCGGAGCGCGCAGACAAAGGGCGTGTTCGTACAATGTCTGAATCATCGTACCCAAGAAGCATGGTGATCACCAGGCTGAATCGATCTGACCTTGGACAGCATCCGCATTTAGCCAAGGCCATATCCTTTTTAGGATGTCAGCATCCAGGTAAGCTCAGGATCACCTAGGTGTTGGATTAGAGTGGCGGGTGTGGTCCAAAGTTTTCTGGACGGGGCTAGCTTGATCGCCCTGAACAGTTTGAATCAAGATTACTCTTGGATGAGTGGATTCGCGTAGAGGGAAGCCACAATAGTATTCTGTGTTGCAAAAAAGTGAGGGTAAACCAGGACTAACCCACCAATAAGGCGAGCAAAGAGCCTCAAAGAAACGAGTCGTGCCTTATCGTTCGATCAACATCGCAGCATCTAGTCTTACAGTATATTGCATGCATGTGCTCAAAGAGCCCTCCTTACCTTTCAGCATATGCTGCAAATAATAGTCCCCCAACCTTAGAACTCATAATTATATCAGTTCCCAAAACAAGCGCCGATAAAACTACTAAACATTGCTATCAATTGACACCTTTCCATTTAGCCAGTGCTGCGGCAGAGGAAAGAGTGTAAGGATGGTGAGCACCAAGGACCTGAATCCGAAGTTGCACACACTTCTCCATGAGTTTCATAGCTTCCACGTTCCTCCCGTGCGTTTGAATGGTGAATGCGAGATTGTTCATGCTGGTCAGCGTGTCAGGATGCTCCCCTCCAAGCACCCTCGATCTCGTCTCCATCACTTGCACGTCCAGCTCCTCCGCCTCCTTCAAACGGCTCTGACCTCGAAATGTCGATGCCAGGTTGCCCATGCTGGTCAGTGTAGAGGGATGCTCCGCCCCAAGTACCCTCGACCTAGTCTCCATCACTTGCACGTCCAACTCCTCCGCCTCCTTCCAACGGCCCTGATTCCGAAACGTCGATGCCAGGTTGCCCATGCTGATCAGTGCGTCGGGATGCTCCGTCCCAAGCACCCTCGAACTCGTCTCCACCACGTGCACGTCCAGCTCCTCCGCCTCCTTCCAACGGCCTTGATTCCGAAATGTCGATGCCAGGTTGCCCATGCTGGTCAGCGTAGAGATGTGCTCCGTCCCAAGCACCCTCGAACTGGTCTTCATCACCCGCACTTGCAGCTCTTCGGCCTCCTTCCAACGGCCTTGATTCCGAAACGTCAATGCCAGGTTGGCCACGCTGGTCAGCGTAGAGAGATGCTCCGTCCCAAGCACCCTCGAACTCGTCTCCATCACTTGCACCAACAGCTCTTCGGCCTCCTTCCAACGGCCTTGATTCCGAAACGTCGATGCCAGGTTGGCCATGCTGGTCAGCGTAGAGGGATGCTCTTGGCCCAGCGTTTCCCTCTGTCCGTTGAGAGCCTGTTGAAGGTACCATTCCGCTGCAGACCAATTGCCCTTCCAAATTAATGCCTCACCGAGATAACTATAAGCCCGTAGCGTCGGCAGTTCTGATGCACCGAACGTATACTGCCTCCACTGGACAACAGCAGAATGCGATCTCACGGCATCACCGTACTTCCCATCGATGACGAAACATAGGCCCATCTTTTCGAGCAATTCGTACCGCTCAGGAAGATCTTCAACGTCACGGCCTTCGCAAAGACGCTGGGCGTGCGGAAGATACGCTGTCCATGTTCCTTTATTCCTATATTCTCGCGTCGGAAAGATCTGCGCCGTCCGTGTGATGCAGGCTTTAATCCAAGTAGGAAACGATCCTTCCATCTTCAACCAATTCCGAGCAGCTAGCTGTACGAGTCGATGCATGTCGTACAACTCCTTCAAATGTTTGATGTCGCCGCTGGCTGTCCGCTTTGTGATAAAGGAATATCCCGTCAAGACGGAAATAGCCTTAACAATGTCCATCTTTGAGCTTGCTTCTGGTAGTAGCGACGCCGGGATATTCGTTTCGTGAAAGCATGCCATGCACGAAAGAAACCTCGCCGCGAGCGGATGGTGCTGGCGGATGTACTCAAACGAGATGAACCAGGTGGTGGCAATCGGATTCTTGGCTTCGGGATACCGTGACGGGTCTCCGAAGTCCTCGCTGAGAAGCTTAATAACGTCGATTTCCGGCTCGTCCAGCAGCTCAAGATAGGTCTGCACCGGCTGTTGGGTCATATTTGTAAACGAGGCGGCCTGAACAATAGCCAGTGGCAGACACGCTAGCTTGTTCGCCAGGGTCAACAGTATGGCACGGTCCGCTGCTAGAGTTGTTGCTTCCAATCTCTCCGTAAACATTTCAACGGCTTCGTCTTCGGTCATGGCTTTCAATTCAATCACTTCTTTTCCGGCAAGACCAGATGCCACTTGTCTCGTGCGAGTGGTGACCAGGATAGCACCGTTCGCCGTCCTCGGTAAATAGTTCGCGAGTGAGACTGTCTGCTGGCTCATGTCCGAGTGCTTCCCCCATAATGACTCGTCATCGGCGTTGTCGAGGATCAGGATCCACTTTCCCTCAGAAGGGTTGCTAAGCCGCTGCTTAACGAGGGTTTTGACATCGGCTTTCTCATCTTCGATGCCTGGGATTCTGAGCCTCTTTCCAATCTCGAGCATGTCCTTCTCAAAGGTCAGCTGGCCTGCAGCCTGAATCCAGAAGATGGAATACTGCGGATAGTCCGACCGGATCTGGTAGGCAAGCTCCAGGACCAATCGACTTTTGCCCACACCCCCCAAGCCGAGGACGGAAACAATTCGACGGCCACTGGTTTTAAAGATTTTCTGCTTGACGTGCTTCAGCTCGTCTTTGCGGCCGACAAATCCCGACATTGGATCAAAGGGTATATACCATACAGGCTCGGTCAATTCATCTGGATATAGTAAGCCACCATTGCTATGTCATATTCGGGTCAGGAATATCATGGTATTCTAGAGACGAAATGAGGAGGGATATGGTGATGGAATTGATGGTATCGCCGATCAAGATCAGGGGGAAGGATCTTGCAAGCAGAACGAAAGCTGTGACGAGCAAGGCACTTACATCTAGCAGACCTATTGATCTTCTTCTCAAGCCGAGAGAATGCGTTGTCTCCCTCACCATACCTCAGAGACATAAAAACACCAAAGATCCCAAGCAGACAGTACGCTTTGTCTTCTATCTTTTTGGTGTGACGTTTCGCTGCCCATCGTATCTTCTCATCATCGCTGAAATGAGACATAGGAGTGCCGCGGAGAGCCGATATAGGAATATCTGTAATCTCGTGAATCACCTGCTCGAGTAGATTTCGATCTCCGAGGCGCTCTCCTTCGCGCGAAAAGAATTCGACTGATTTCGGAGCAAGGAGTTCTTGGAGCGTCCAGCCTCGTGTGAACCACCTGCTTTTCCGGAACGCCGACTCCCATGGCCACTGCTGAGGCGGGTGGCTATGATCGTTGTTGTAAACCGACACATCGGACAGGTACACGTAGCATTTTGCGGCGTCGCGGTACCAGCGAAACATTGAGGTAATAGCTTCGGCGAGCTCCGTCAAGTTTGCTTTATTGATGCAGCAGGTGTCCACCCAGAAATATTGGAGGCCATTTTTCCTGGCTTGTTGCCCACAAAATTGAATCTTTGTATAACCAGCCTTGTTCTTGCCAGATCCACTGTATAGATCGTTGAATGTGACCTCATCCTCATCCGCTCCCCACGTATGCGAGAGAATCCTTCGATATGCGTAGCTCACCACCACGGTCAAATTCCAAGAGGCGCATTGTGTGACCGTTGATCGGGAGACCCGTCGAGCATATAAGAGACGGATGGGAACACGATATTGTGCATCGCTGAAAGGTATTTGATTGCTTGTGGTGAATTGTTGGCTATCTACCAGGGGCCGTGTGAGGCAGGCTGTTTGAAAGAGTCATATTCGCCATTGCACTTGGGATGGGGTTTGAGGTCGAAGTTCTGTTGGTAGCGTGGATGGAAAGAGGCTTGTGAATCTTCACCCGCTATGTCTGATCGAAGACTCTTGTGACTGCTGAAATCTGAGCCATAGCCAGAACAGTCCACATGGACGAAAGAGACGCATGTTGGATGTTCAATCAGGCTTGAAGTGCCAGCCGCGGCACGGGCCCCTAACATCACGTGATTCTATAGTCGTGTACCCAATAGACGAGCCGGCGCACCGGAAAACCTGCCCATTCTGTACCAGCAGCCGACGGCCTGCAGGTTTAATCAACCGCTGCCTTTGAGAAAGTAGTTATCGATCAAAATGTTGTTGAGAGCTTCTGGGAAAGATCTCAGTCTAAGTAGAAAAGGTGGCGACAGCCCGTGTCGAGAAGCCGGGAATTCGAAGGCCAAGCCAAGGAAGGGATTGGAGACCACAGGATAGACGATCACGTGGTAGAGCTGGTTTCCAATGGGCCGAACGGCCTGTACGGGCGTAGGGAATAATCCAATCATATCAATCACTATGTGGCGGATTTTTCAGGTCACATGCCATCGCCTTAAACTAGTTAAACAGGCAGTCGACACCGACGTCATCCGGGGACAAGGGCCCAGCGGAACGGTTCCAGCAGAATTGGATGGCGAAACCCCCATGTCTCACGCCTTGACGGTTCCACTCGGACAAGTTGAGCAATAACTGGGTGGATGAATTGACGTGCGGATGGCATTCTATCATCCCCGCCCTCCCTCAGCGGTCTGGTCAAGAAGTGCCATCTCAGTCCAATCAAGATCGGTAGCTGATGGAGTGGGAGGGACAGGAATTTTTTTTTTCCACTTGCCCAGCTTTCCGACTCCGTTCTGGAACAGCACCTGAGCCTGGGCAAATCTCGGCTTGAGGGAATAGCTCAACTACAAGCGGAGAATATTCGAGACTCGAGCAAGAGGGACTGATTACATGATATTTGGATCCGGGGTTGGGGCTGCAAGTCAGTTGGCAGCAGTGAGAATTCGTCCCCGGCCCGAGATCCCGTGAAGCTTTGATAATCCACCAAAGTTGGAATTTTGTTCACTCTACAGAACTTTATCGATCTGTTATGCCTCGGAAAACTGCAATCTTCAACTTTCGTGACCTTCGCACCGTTTTATCCGTTTTGAACGCTGTCTATGGAATCACTTTGCCGGCCATAGGCCAGTCAAACAGGCTGCCCATGGTCATGTCTTGACCTTCGCTCTCAAACGCCACTCAATCCACCGAGGCCCACCCGAGTTTTTGCCACTGTCCGCATCGCGCTTCTTCGCCGAAAGCAAACTTCATCATCCACATGCTCTTCCACCAATCTACAAATGATGTGAACGTATTCTCTAAGGACAACTTGGGTACAAGAGATAGCCCATTTACAAGAGATGAAACTGATATCAGGCCAGTAGCGTTTGATACGAGATCGCATGATGATCATTCCACCTTTTTTCGCCTTTTCCGTGAACTTTCTTCCACGGTCCCCTCCGAAGACACACTGACTTCCAATCCCATCGCGAATAATCTTCCACCCCTTGTCCGAACACGGATGTGAGCAACCCCACCCACTCGCCGTCATTGCTCATCTTCGTCAAAATCAGCCCTAACTGTTCTCTTCAACATGATCCAAGCCCGGAATTGGTATAGGGCAAAGTCACATAAGATGATTGATGCATAGACTTTTCTCCACTGCCATGGTTCCAAGGAGGAAGGGCAAGCGATGACCGCCGCTAACCGGTTCAAATTCGATCCATTCTACATACGGGGACCCGAATGCACTCTGCTTAATCTAGCATTGTCCAAGAGTTCCTGATTCGCACGGTAGGTCTCTTGAAGTCCTCGTCATATCCCTGTTCTCCCGAGTTGATCATACCAACAACTTTGAACCGGGGACGCAGCTCTACCGCAGCACGAAACATTCGTAGCAAAGGTTTTTACGTCTCCGTAAAATGCATAAAAACTCATAATCACAAAAGCTAGCGCCAACAATGCCTAGCAAACCGTTCGGCGATGTCCTTCGATGACTTTTTGATCTCTCTGAATGGGCGGCTCGTGACCAGAAAATGGCCGTGGTGTCGGGATACCCAAAATGAATGTCCCTTTGAATAAGATCTAGATATTTCCTGTTTGTTTTTTATTTTGGGCATCATTTTCTTTTCTTCGTTGATGAATACTGCCTTGAGGGTGGAAGAGATGTAACACATTTTGGAATTGTTTGGCGGAAGATCCCACATCCTTTTCGTCGCCCAACATATCCCCGGCGAACTCCCTATACCATTACCGTTTACGTCGGTCGTCTTCATGCCTTTCAACATGCACAGTGAACAGGAGCATCCACGAACTCGTCCCCGGGTTTCACGGGCGTGTGAGAGATGTCGAGTCAAGAAAGCAAAGGTAAAGTCACTCCTCCATGCTCAACAACTCGCGTCTTTCCACAGCATCCAAATATTGGAGAATCCCAAGACTGACAAACTTTTCCTTCCTGGTCATAGTGTGACGGCGAGAGGCCTTGTAAAAGATGCAACCTCGACAAGGCGCTTTGCTCGTATAAGGTACGACGGAAACCTGAATCGGTCAACGCATCTCAAAGGTATGACAAATCGTCATACGCCATATCCGGGGTGTTCTTGCTAATAACAAGGATTAAAAGATACACTGATCTTCTTCTCCAACATCACGCCGCTCTCACAGCCGGCATATTGGAGCTCTACTCGCGTCTTCTCAACGGCCAACAATGGGAAGGCCCCCCCGTCGAAGAAGTCAATGGAAGTCCTAGTGTTCATTGCATTCTGGAACGGCTGGGTGTGGTAGAGAGCGAAGACGATATCGACCCAAATCCCGATCCCTCCGCCGTCAAATGCGAACCGATCTCACCTTTAAATCCCAAAACTGTGCGCCCCATACCCAAAGTCAAGAAACCACTGAGACCCATGACGCGAAAAGGCTCTGAAGCCCCTGAATCAATACGGTCACCCGTCTCGACAACGACATCAAGAACCGGCCCCCGGACCATTGCACCAGACCTATCGCCTTTTGACACAGATGAATCTTTCCCGTCCGCGTTCATGATGCAGGCAGCCTCGCAACCGTCAAGCTCTGGAGCACGAAGCGGCTCCTTCGACTCGTGCGGCCACAGCACATGGGACTCACCCGGGTTTAGCGAAGAGTTGTTCACCACGCCAATTCCCACGCCCACAACCTCCCCGATCTGTACCTCCCAATACCAGGAGTCTCGGCTTCCGTCCCAGATTCAGACACAGACACAGACGCAAACACAGACGCGGTACTCGGGCCTGGCCAATCAACCAAATTACGTCCGAGACTCGATTCCCACTCCGCTGTTGATGCCATATACCTCCTCTCCGGACACGGGTACCGAAGGTTGTAACGCAGGATATTTCTTCGACGCCGCTGGTGGTATGGGATTGTACGGCTGGGACGGAAACGGCGTGGGATTCGGTTCTGTCGGTCAGGACTATAGTGCCTGGGACTCTGGTGTGTTTGTGTAGACGATGCTGTCCGTGCAAATACAGGACTCCTGGGTCTGGAATGGACGGATGACTTCATGGTATGCCATCGGCGGGAACAGCATCACCTATTTTTTTCTTTTTCTTTTTCTTTTTTTTTTTTTTCATTCTTTCCCACTTCCGCGAAAGAGAAGGAGATCCTATGGTTCAATCAATGGGTTCGGACCAGATGCATAAGGGTTGTTCGGTTCGGAAAGTGATGGACCTTCATTTGGTTCACTCGACGAGCATTGGGTTCGGGTCAGGTCAACGCACAAATTTTATTCGCTTCCATGGCGGGGTTCAGTGGATGAAGCTGAAGAGCACCTGTGCAAGGGAGGGGGCGGCAAAAGATATTCGAGTTTATATTTCCTCATGTCTCAGAAGGAAAGGACGAAGGGGGAACCCTGCGGGGCTCGCTCATACATACAAATATATCTATACACAAAATAATATTTCTTGACTTAATAATCAATGCTCAGGGTGGGCCATCACGACGATTCACTGTGCAAGCCAGCACAAGATGAATGCCCCAAAGAGTCAACCGGGAGTCGGACGAATCTCCCTCCGCCTCCATGCCACTGCCGTGCCTGCAGCCTTCCTCTCCAAGGCTGGGCGCCAGGCACCACACCTCATATTCGCCTAGATTATCGGCGGGGTAAAAAGGAACTTCAGAAACTTCAGGCAACACGGGGGTATAGCACTGATGAATGCTCTGTCTGGGCGAATGACAGAGTTTTTGGGAAGGGGGGGGGGACAAAAATGATGTTTTGTTTCGGATGATGGAATACGTCGCTGGGAAAGTTGCGCCGATCAATCGATCACTCTTGGGGGGTTATAAGGAAAAGGGATAGAAGAGGAGTGGAGTATTTAAAGGCCGCTTGGTTCCTCGGTCAATTCATTCAGACAGTCAGGGAGAAACAGAAGCCCATCCAAGTCTACTACCTGCGTAACTTACTGTCTAATACTTCAAATATCATCTCAACACTTCGCTGCACCAAATAGAACCCGACAAGCTTGGCCTGAGACTACCCACAGCACCAATATCTAAAGCTGTTCCAGTCCCTCTACATAGCCGATACCCATCAATCTACCCGGTGGTTCCAACTTCACACTTCTCGCCGACATTCAATAAACATGTCAGGCCAATATACTCAAACCATCTTCCTCAACCTGCCCGTGTTGGACCTCTCAGCGTCCATCGCCTTCTACACGAGTCTGGGCTTCGTGCAGAACAAAACCTTCTCCGACGATCGGGCCGCCATGGTGTCGATTCCCCAAGACTTCGACGCAGACCCAAAAGCCGCTCACGTCTCTCCGATTAAAGTGATGCTCCTGACTGAGCCACGCTTTAAAGAGTTCCTGCCGGACGACCGAAAGATTGCGGACACCAAAGCCAACACTGAGGTCCTAATTTGTTTGTCGATGAAGTCAAGGGAGATGCTGGATGAGTTTGTAGGCAAAGCCGAAAAAGGGGGTGCGAAGGTCGATATTAGGAAGCCCCAGGAGTATGGGTGGATGTATGGGAGGTCGTTTGCGGATTTGGACGGGCATATTTGGGAGGCGGTCTGGATGGATCCCAAAGAGTATGAGGGAAAGGAGTGAGTGGTTTATGGACAAGGTCTTGGTAGGGGGTGACAGGGAGGTGCACGGTCTGGAGATAAAGCATGTTGATAAATCGGAATGACCGCATGTGTCATATGGCCTCAGGTGGAATCGATAGGATCAAGAATGATATAGCTGATGGCTGGTTTGTGTATTCCTGAGGAGCCCCAGTATGATTCTCAAGGTATTTTGCTTCGCTGTGTTGCGCGTACATGCCCCGAGCCGGTTGTCAAATGTATAACGCTGGTCCAGTAATGGATCTTTCCAAAACCAACAACGGTGTCACAATCTTATATCGAGGATTGCTAATATGGCGCTCTAGACAATAAAACTTCCTCTAAAAGGACTGTAAAACGTAGATCCGCGGGGTTAAAATAATGACGCTTCCCAATCCGGTCGACCATCTTTTTCGGTACCATCACGTTCGAAAAAATGAACCCGATGGCCAACGCTAGACTGCGAAATACCCCAGTGGTCATCAAGGGAAGAACGCACACCACTGGAGAAGTCAGCGCGACTAAATTCAGGTTCAGTGCCTTGACTGGGACGATGACTGCGATATGCCCAGCTATACTTCCCAAACCATAAAGCCAGACTTCAGGCAACGGCTCACCTGCGGCTACCTCTTTTTTTCTTATGATTAAGTTACCGTCAAGTTGAGACGTTTCGCTGGGGAGTTGGCGAGAAGTTGCGTGTTGGCTGGTGCGGAAGTCGATCTTGGACTGAGAGGGTTAAATGTGTGGTCCAGTTGGGCCAAAAGGCCAATTCCTGGATGTTGGTTTGAGTCCTTAGCGCGGCGTTCCGGTTGCAAGAAGTAAGTGACGCATTCAACTGGGAAGAGAATCATTGGCAGATCCCCATTTCTCTCGGGGTCGTGACAACAATGGTGAACTCGAGGGTACTCGCTACAAGAGGCATGGTAGTGTCCGAAATTTCCCTCAACTTTGGCGTGGACTCCGGAAAAGGTTTTCTATTAGTAACTGACACCAAAGGAAGGTTGGGGGATGGTAGACCGCAGGCCATTCGGAGCGTGGTCAAAACAGTAGGGCTGCTGTATCAAGGAGGAACATGGCCACGAGCAACGTCGGAGCAAGAATTGCTCGAGATCCAAAGACAGGAGATTGCCAACTTGGTCGAGACTGGAGAATTGTTAGATGTCCGAAAGCGAGCAAGTGTGTGACGTGAATGGTATAAGTCGGCGGTAGTCAAGTTGGCTTGGGTAACTCGACACCGCGGTTCAGAATGCGTTAGTCGCCCGATTGCAAGCTGTAATGAGAGAAACAGATCTCATCGGTCAGACTCTAAGTTGGAAACTAGCTCAACGTGAGAAGAGCAGGAGATGTTGGGTTTGCAGAGAGACGGGGACGAATCTGGACGGGTTTCGACGATGGATATAGATAGTATCAGGATCTCTTGAATCGTTGAGTTTTCGTCCGTGATTGGCAATCTCTTTCCAATGAGGTTGAGTTGGTAATCGGTAGCATTGATAGCGTCTTCAAAAAATGGTGATGGAAGAAGGGGTGGGAGGGAGAAGCGAAGGTGCCCGGTCTTGAAAGATACCCGTTTTGAGCTAGATCGCACTCATGGAATGTTTGCCCATTCCACCTCAGTTTCCTCAACCGACGCTGTATTGGTGTGTACCAATTCAATCTGGCTGTCCATTTTCTCCTCGGATTCCAACAAAATCAACTCGCGAGCAATTGCGAAATCTGGCAAGTTAGCAACCACTACAAAAGGGTCCCAAAGGGCTTCCCTTGTAGGAATATATCTTTAACCCAGCCCATGCAAACCACGGCCGTGGTACTAGTCCACATCCAAATGAAGATTCTGGACGGCATCTAAAACCGATACAAACATTTTGCGCATACCATCCACCATTACATCCTGTATACCGTAAACGCCATCTGATACGCATTTCGTCTGATTCGTGATGTCCTGTTCTAAGTATTGTGGATGAGGAAATTCTTGAAAGAGTCCCAGTAATCCGAATTGACATATCTGGGCCGTCAGTTAGAGCGTCTCTTGTGATTGAGCGTTGGAGAAACGTACATGTATTTCATGCTGCTCCTCAAACTAGGTTGAATGCTTTCTGGTTGCCATCGGAAGATGTACATGATAAAAGCCCAACTCAAACTGGCAAAAACCGGCCAGGCATTATCTTGAATTTTTGCTCTCACGCCGGGCGATAACCTTTGTGTCCATAACGTGGGTGTCGGCGTTGAACTAGTAGCACTAGGAGGTTCGATGCTGAGTTTGGCCAATGCCAGTATTACTCGAGCAAAGACATAAATGACGATTTGCTGGCTCACACTGTGTGCCTTAACTCCTGAATATAAGTGGGTCATGACAGTGAATCTTACCTGCTGTGTGATCGGCCAAAAACGGTGTATCCTCCCAACAATCCGGCGAAGAAAGAATCATATGGTCCCTCTTTTCCCGGGTTCACTGGGTTGAGTAATCTTAATACCAGCATGGAGGACTTGTAAATGGTTGCAAAGGTTGCAAGATTTCGCGCGTGTTGTCGGGTAGCTTTTAACACAAGGCGGATCTTTTCTCGAAAGGTCCCGGATCGAAATAAGAAGACCATGACCAACGCATGAGGGAACCGAACTTTGGCCCCGTAGACAGCGCCATTTCGGGCGGCTTTGAGGATGGCGAGAAGAGGGGCAAGATCCGGGTTGAGGATGATTGATTCTACTGTTTCCTAAGCATTTGTCAGTAGAGATTCAATTAGTACGAGGCGATGAGGAAGGATACTTTAAGGACGTCCATCTTCTTCAATGGGACAGACGAACAATGTTTTCAAGCAAGGAGAAATTGTTTGCGACTTGTATGGGTGCGCGGTTCTGAAGAAGAGGGATGTCGTCAGGGTGTGGCCAGAACGCAGACTGGGAGAAGGTTGAGGTTGAGGATGAGAAAGGGAATGAGATCGTGACACGGGCTCACGTCACAGGTATGGAGGGAAAACGCGAAGCCGGCATGTGCCCTTTTGGGTCCTGGTCAACGATTGTAATGTCGATGGACGGCGAGAAGAAGAGACAGAGAAACGCAGGGTTGAATCCTCGGCGACGAGCAAAGGACCTTGAACGGATATCGACATCATCGGTGCATGTGAAGGGGAAGAGGGGCGTTTTTACCGGCATCGGGAAAATACCAGCAACGCCGCTTCTGCCTCGGCTGCTTGTATTCCTCGTCTATTCTCTGGCAGGACACTACACTGTTCCTTTCTCTCTCATTCTCGTTCTCGTACGCCTGACTTGCCAACCTTCGCGATCATGTGACATCAAGCTTTCACACCTGAAGTCCTGTTCTTTATCTCTTCCCTAGCATTGCTTGAACTTGCCCGATCTGAGCTCCATGGGTGGCAATTGACCTCAATGTTGGGAAATGAGCCTCTTCTTGTTCGAAGCCTTTCTTGCAAGTGCCTTCCGTAGTCTCATCCAGTGTGTTCATATGCGGCACAATCTCGATCAAGGTGCAATGTCCTTCAAGAGATTCGTCGTCGTTTTGGGTTTTCATTTTCCTCACTGTCCTCGCCCATCTCCTCATCCTCCTCCTCGTCACCAATACTGATCTCATCGCCGCTTCCACCTCCACTGCTTCTACCCTCGGACATATCATCGTCCACGTCCATTCCACCGTCAACCATGTCTTCGTCTTCACTAACAACATCTTCGTCAATACCACCAATCTCTTTCCCCTCATCCTCAAGCTCGTCCCGTCCCCTCTTCAGTCCCTTCATTTTCCGCGTTTGTAGACTTGAGAGATCTTGCTTTCCGAGATGGACACGACCAATCTTATCACCAACCAAATCCGTCTCGATGTTCTTCTTGGTCCGTGCTTCGTTTGGTCTGCGATTATGTTTCAAAGCCTCTCTCATCACTGCTGGGTCTGCATCTCGGTAGCGGCCGACTCGGAAATCGAAGTTGGGGCCGATGGGATCGAGCTCCACCCGGGGTATTTTCGCATTATTCGACCTCAATGTTCGGATTCGGTACCACCTGAGATGTAGGACGGGTTTGTTGGAAGGGTCGTTGATATCTCCAGAAGGACTCGAACTCTCTCCGGCAGCGATCATGAGGATGTATTGTAACCCGGCCACGTCAATCGAGGATATTTCTTCACCCTGGAAAAGATCCAACATTATTGACTTGAGAGTCTGGTACAGTGTAGCCTGTGCAGAGGACGACGTGTCGTTCCATTGAGACCCCGAAAACAAGATGAGAGGCTTCATTCCCACCCCAATTTGTATTTGCTGGTTCTTCGGTGGTGGATCTGTGGGTACAAGGAGAAGCAGCTCCACCATATCAAGCAGCTTTCCATCATATATGCGCAAAATTGTGACATTGTTCGGTCTCTTCTTTGAATGAGTCCCAAACACGACCACACCGCATTCATTTTTCCCCGCCAGAAATTCTAACGATTCTGCATTTTCGAAAGGATGGATGTTGTCGTTCTTCTTGTTCAGCAGGACCGAGTCGGGTTTGGTCAGAGTGTGGACAGTTTTCAACACAGAATTGACCGGTTGAGGGCATTTTGTTCCATGCAGCAGGAGGACTCGTTTTCGTGACTCTACGTGTTGAGGCTCTCGCGCCTTCACAATGCGGGCAGTGCGAGCGTTTCGAGGTTTGCTGTGAACGTGAGCCAATGTTTCCTGGTTCTGGTTCCGATTCTTACACTTCTCGCAGCATATCGAGGGCTCCGCTAATTTCTTTTACCTGAAAATGCCTTCGAGCGGTCAATTTTCTTGTCCATTGTAGACGGGTACATTGTCAAATCGCACCCATTCACCTCTTGTTAATATTTCCCCTTATCGATAGAGCACGGTAGAGCGGAGGCCGGGAAAATGCGGCGCCTCTCCCGTAATATACTCCACCGTAACACGTTGTTCAGCCTCGAGCAACGCGCAAGATTTTAATCCTAGAATTCTCTTCTTGACGCGATACTGCCCCTCGTTGTCCACCCCCGAAGATGCGCCATCTACTCCGAGCAGCACCTCAGCTGTCGGCGTGTCTGTCTACCAGAGTATGCGGCGCAAGTCTGCAGAATGGTACCCGGCACCGGCGAGAATATTCGAGGTCGGTCCCAACTACGTCGAGCTGGCTTCCCGTCCCATTTGTGACCGAGAACATCGCTGGCGCGCATCACACGACAGACCTTTTCAGTCGATTGCTGAAAGAACGAATTGTCACGGTCTATGGAGAAGTCGATGACCGAATGGCAGCTACTGTCACTGCATCACTCCTCTACCTTGAATCCGAGAGCGATCGACCGATTTCCATGTACATCAATTCTCCCGGTGGCTCGGTGACGGCGGGCTTGTCAATATATGACTGTATGAATTACATTGTGCCTGAAGTGTCCACACTTGTTCTCGGACAAGCAGCATCCATGGGCAGTCTACTATTAGCGGGAGGTGCACCCGGGAAACGATATTGTCTTCCACATTCGAGTATCATGTTACATCAACCTAGCGGCGGGCATTATGGCACAGCAGCAGACATTGCGATTCATGCAAAGGAGATTCTCCGAATCCGAACGCAGTTGAACAAGATCTACGAGAGACATCTCGCTGGCAAGAAGAAGATGTCCGTTGAAGAGATTGAGAAGATGATGGAACGAGATTATTTTCTCAGTGCCGAAGAGGCCCTCGAGCTAGGTGTTATCGATGAGATTCTTGCAAGCAGGAAGAAGGCTCCGGAAAAGACGGAAGATAAATGAAGGATGTCCCGTGATCAGAATGTTCAAGGGTCAATCCTCGAAAGATTCAGCACTGCCAAAGCAAAGACTGTGGCAGTGTTCGTTATGTAAAACGGGTGGAATTGCCAGACATTACGGTCTTGTACACCAGAAACTTCTCACCTTCGGCATTGGGCTGTTGCTTGTATGATCGATGCCACAGTCGCAGGGTAAATTGTCGGCCTCTCCCCAAGAAGGTTCCGCCCGCAAAGAAAGATGCATTCACCATGAAGACATGGTGAAAGGAATGCAATGGGCTCACATTCGACTCGAACACTATTGGCAGAGGATGAATGTTGTGCAGCATCCTGGATACGGAGGAGAATTCCATTCTCTTCTCCTTCAAAGACTCAAACCCTTCTTGATCATAGACATATGACACACCGGAAATCTACACACTATATCTCTCCCTTTGCTGTAAAGATGGTGTAGTTTAACTGATTGTGAGCCCCACCCGTATTGATGTCTTAGCATGACGCGCTACGCGTGAAATTCGGTTTCTCTGATTGCGCTTTTCCACTTCAGATCGAGGGGCCCTTAGAATTTTTTCTTTTTTTTTTTTTTTTTTTGTAGAGGTGTAGAACTTCTTTACCTTTTCAGGAGTCTCGCAGGCGAGCACTCGAGTTGGACCACTGCTCCGGACTGCTGGTGACAAGTTTTTTCTTCCTTTCATAATGTCATTATAGTACTAATAGGCCTTTCCCCAGTCCCCCTGTTGAATCACACGAATCTTCATTGAAATGGCCCCCTACGATTCTTTGTCACAGTCCGATGATGAACTGTTTAATCCTGCCTACAAGCACCCTCATGAAACAGTCGAGACCCTCCCTCTTCGACGACCCGGCATGAGCGATGCTGACGATTCTGAAATGGAGACGATGGCGACCTTGCCACTACCAGACCGACGAAACTATCTCGGTCAAAATGGGAACACGAGTCGACAAACGCAGCCAACTCAGATCATTGATCGATCCTCCCCTGATATGCCCTCGTCTCCTCCTAAAACAGGAGTTGTTCAAGTCGCCGCCTCGTCGCCCGCGACGGCGATGATGACGAACCGGAAACCGACAAGCATTCTTGCCAGTGCTATGGCACCCGCAGGAACGACATTCAGAAGACCATATGTGCCCTTTCAGCCGCGTCCCGAACCCATTACAATTGACAGTGACGACGAAGGACCAACATATCAAGGAGGCTCTTCAGATAGTGAGGGATTAAGTATTCGAACAAATGACATCAAGACCTCAACATTTGTACGGAAGACTCAATCTACAGAAAAGATACCCGAATCGCCTCAGGCATATACCAACGGACGGAACCGGTTTATGGAAATCACTGCAAGATCTATGTTTCGAGGTTTGCCAAATTCAAACTTGTCCGCTGGGTCTCGTGCAACCAAACGGTCTGCCGACGTCAATGCGAATGCCTATGGCAATGTCTCGAAGCGCCCCCGACAAACTGCGCCATCCCGTGCGTTATCAGTCTCGACTCAGAAAAGCCCGCCAGAGATGGAATTGGATGATATCAGCGATTACAACATGAGACAGAAGGTCCGGCGCATGACATCGATGCTTAGTCTGGTATCAGTACGAGAATGTTACGAAATGCTCCTAAATAAGAGAGGAAACTACGACGACGCAATTAACGAACTTCTCCAGACGAGTGAGAAACGGCAAGACGGCAACAGGAAAGCAATCGATTTGATAGGGTCAGAAGATGAATTAATGCCCACTCCCGCGGCTCGAAAACTCGCAGCAAGCCCTCCGACGAATACGGCCAGACAGCAAGCCAAGGCGCCCCAGAAGTCCATTGCGGAGAAATGGAGCTCGGCCCAGAATATCAAGAAACCTCCCAAGGCAATTGATGTTTTCGACATCCCCCCGCCTCAGAAAAAGAGGACACTTGTGCGTGGACGCAAACATTCTTCCTCCCCGCTGCTAGAGCATGTGGTTACCAAACCGGTGCGCGAGGCTGTTCCAGCCATTCAATTAGATGACTCCGACGCAGATGAGCGGGCAGCTAGTTCAGACGATCATTCCAACACCACCTTCCGAGCGCGCTTACTTGATCTATTCAATACTTGCTCGGCTGCCGACTTGATAGATATGACTTCAATCAACCGCGACCTCGCGGAACATATTGTCTCCCAGCGCCCTTTTGCGACCCTAAAAGCTGTCGAAAAAATTCAGGATCCAAACCTCAAGCCTGTCAGGGGAAAGAGGAAAACCACTCCAATAGGCGAGAGAGTCTGCGAGAAGGTTGAGGCAATGCTCCAAAGTTACGAAGCAGTGGATTATCTTGTCAATAAATGTGAGAACCTGGCCAAACCCTTAGCCGCGGAGATGAAGAATTGGGGTATCAACCTATACGGCGCGCAAGACGGGGAGACGAACATCGTTTCCCTACCAGAGACTCAGCGAACAAGTCACGAGTCTGGAATGGGCACGCCAGTAAGCGACGAGGATCGTGACCCGGCCATCAAGACACCTGGATCAAAGAGATTCATCGGCCAGCCATCCATCATGTCCAAGGATATACAGATGAAAGACTATCAAGTTGTCGGGGTGAACTGGCTCAATCTACTGTACCGGAAAGGATTAAGCTGCATCTTGGCGGATGACATGGGCTTGGGAAAGACATGCCAGGTCATTGCATTCTTAGCCCACCTTTTCGAGCAGGGTCACAAAGGACCGCATCTTGTTGTCGTACCGGCGGCGACTCTCGAGAATTGGCTGAAGGAGTTCAAGCGCTTTTGCCCAGCATTGACCGTCGAACCATATTATGCGTCCAACCCTCCCGAGCGGGCGATACTGAGGGAGAATCTCGAAGAAATCCGGGTCAATCTCAATGTCATTGTTACAACTTATACCATCGCCAAAGGCAAAGAAGATTCTCCCTGGCTGAGGAATTTTGGATTCGACTGCACCGTGTACGACGAAGGACACATGTTGAAGAACGCCGATTCTCAAGTCGCGCGTAAACTGGTGAAGATTCAGTCCGACTTTCGCTTATTGCTCACGGGGACACCGTTGCAAAATAATTTGAAGGAACTGATTAGTCTCCTGGGCTTTCTCATGCCATCCTTCTTCAAGGAGAAAGCCGAGGCGCTGAGCAGTATATTCACCCATAATGTCAGGGCCATGGACAGTAACCATGAGGCGTTACTCTCTGCAGAGAGAATCAAAAGAGCAAGAAGCATGCTTACGCCTTTCATCTTAAGACGCAAAAAGATTCAGGTCCTGAAAGAATTGCCCAAGAAAGAGCGGCGAGTGGAGCTCTGCGACTTGACTCCGGAGCAATCGGAGATTTATCAGTCCTGGCTTGATAAAGCGTACAGCATCCGGGAAAGAAGAGAAAAGGGAGAAAATGTCACCAATGAGTCAACCAATATCCTCATGAGACTGAGATTGGCTTCGATCCATCCTCTCCTCTTTCGTCGATTCTACCCTGATGCAATTCTGCCGGCTATTGCCCGGCAGTGTCTGAAGGTAGACATGTGGCGGGACTCAAACCCCGATTTGATTGTGACGGAACTGGAAGCTTACTCAGATATGGAAATCCATACCTTGTGCGATCAGCACTCGCAGCTAGAGCGATTTACTCTCAACAATCGTGAGTGGTTGGCCAGTGGGAAGGTCCAAAAGATGGTCGACCTGTTACGCAAGTTCATATCAGGGGGGCATAGAACATTGATCTTCAGCCAATTCGTCCTGGTTCTTGATATTCTCGAACTGGTCCTCGAACGCGAAGCTATAGACTATTTCCGACTTGACGGCAACACCAAGGTCTCTGAACGACAAGATTTGATCGATGAATTTTCGGCCGATGACAATCACACCCCTGTATTCATGCTCAGTACCAAAGCTGGTGGAGCGGGCATCAATCTTGCAAAGGCAAACAAAGTGATCGTCTTTGATAGCGGTTTCAATCCTCAGGACGACATCCAAGCTGAGAACCGGGCGCATCGGATTGGGCAAGAAAAGGAAGTCGAGGTGGTCAGGTTGGTGTCTCGAGGGACTGTGGAAGAACAAATTCACGCGATGGGCCTGACAAAATTGAGACTCGATGAGCAGGTTGCAGGTGACGGAACGGAGGAAAAGCCGCCGAGAAAAGAGGGTGAAGAGACCGAGAAAGAGATCGAAGGACGAATGATGGTGGAGGAAATGTTCTTCAAGAAACTCGAGGAAGAACCGATTGAGAAAGTCAAGGCAGAGGCTGCAAGTCCTGTGAAAGCAAAATTGCCTGTGGAAACTTTGGGCCCGGGAAACGCGCTGGCGAGACAGCCGAAAACAGAAGATGATGAAGAGCCGTCACCCAGTCGAAGAGGAAGTGACGACCTACCAACTCGCACCAGAACAATTCGGAATGTCAAAGCAAAGACCAAAGGTCAAAAGTGAGTAAGGACCTAATTAGAGTGAACGAGTAGAAAGGCCACTGGTCCAAGTGTCTCGGTGAGCACTTGTCTCAGGTCTGCACCGTTAGTCAATAATTACTACCGCGAGAAGCACAGGGAAAGAATGGAAATATATGGATATGCCGGAAACCCAGATTTACGCCTTGACCATCTTCACCTGTTTCAGACCTTTCCAATTTTCCCGCGTCCCAGAGTCTGGTCCGAAAGCATTGTCAAAATTTGTTCATGGATGCCTACCATGGTGTCATGGAACGCAAAAGTACAGACGTTTTCAATTGCGCCTTCACCCTTACACACACTCAAAATATTTGGGCCCACTTTTTTTAGTCCGTTACTACTTCAAGCTAGTCTATATAAAGTTAAGCGTGACCTCTCTATATCGCCAATCAACTGGAAGCATGCTCTAATCACGTGCGTGGCTTTACAGTACATTATATCCTGCATCGCACGTCACTACCCTATTGGATAGAGGTAAATTCGACTCTGAACGATGGGCTGCACGAGTTATGGACCACGAGATCCACTATTCGAGATCGACGCCTGGCAATTAATCTCGCGGACAGTGAAACGCTTGATTTACACGGGATCAGGAAGATCATTTCGCAACCTATATTGAAGTCCTTGAGCTTTAATATTGTGTAGAGTGGTTGATGAGAGAGAGAGAACCCGAGGGGAGGTCGGCAATAGCAACCCTTGATCCTAAATCTACGGGCACGCAAAGCAAAGCTGTCAAAACATTGACCACAACACAGCGCCGCTAGATCTAGACGTAAAAATAGGCATTACGTTTTACAGACCGTGACTTCCGCGTTTGTCTTGCTGATTTCCACCCACGCAGCCCAGGCAAAGGCCTAGTCGTAGTCGCGGTCGCAGCCGTGGCAGGGGCCGTATTCGTAGTCTCGCTCACCTTCTCGTTGCCGCCTTGCTTCCTGAAAGCATGCCGTTTCTCCGCGCGAGACTCTTCCCAAGAGCTCTTAAACTGCCGCTGCTTCCTATTTGTCTGCCACATCCACAGCCACTGGCTCAGCGATTCGCTGTTATACCCGATCCAGACCGTGAGAGCCACGACGACGAACGTCAGCGGTATGGCGGCGGCCCAGAACACCCACTGGCCGGATTCCTGGTTGCGGATGTCAGCCGTGTTCATGCCCATGAAGCCTGTCACGAATGACATGGGAAGAAACACAATCGTCACAATGGTGAAGACCAGGATCGCTTTTCCGTGGTCTTCTTGTTGGATCTCCACGGCCTGCGTCAATTGGCTGCAGAGCTGGGGGATCTCGCCCAGAAGCTCGTCTGCCTCCCGTATATCCTGCCGGTCTTCCTTGAAAAGCTTGTCGGCAAGATTCTCTTCAAAATCATGGTAAAGCCTCCTTCGTGTCGTGGTCGTCTTCTTGAAGCCACTTGAAGCCAGCATGTCTCTGTAATCATGCAAAACTTTACTGCAATCCCTCCTGATGTCTAGTACGGCCGAAACCTCGGTCTCCAGCATCCGAATCTCTTGAAGAAGGCGACGGCGGGGGTGGTTATGGGCTTCAAACGTCTGGTCCAGGTGGGTCAGTCGAGAACCAAAGGCTAGATCAAAGGGGTGGTTATGGGGTAGATAAGAAATTCTGCTTACCAGCCTGCTAAGCTCCTTTCGATGAAGTTTCGGCAGATTGAGTGGATTTCGTTTCGATCCTCTGTCTCGAAGGCCTGCGAGCAGTAACAAAACCATGTACTCCGGTCCCACGGTGTCGTATTGAATGCTGTTCGAGTATTCGTTGACACGACTCATCAGCATCAGGTTGCTCTTAGCTTCGTCAAAGGCACCCTCGGCTGCGTACCCGAGTTCAATTATGTGGTTCTGGTGGGTCGATTCGAAGAACCTGCGGAACCGCTCAGGAGACTCACGGTACGCCTGTAATGTCAGCGAGGCGGCGTACCCGGAGTAAGCCATCATCATCAGGATACGCTCAAAGGCCCGCACGAGCCCGTTCGGCAACTTATAGACGGCAGAGTCGAACTTCCCACTGCCGCAGACCCCTGCGACGACTTCGTTCTTCAACACCCGCAAATTGGTACAATGGTCCAACACAGTGTCTACAAGCCGCTTAGCGTCGCACCGCAGTCGAAAGCTATCGACTCTGTCCCCTTTCCGGACCCATTCTTGTAGTTCTTCGCGAGTCACCTCCGCATTCCGGAAATGGACATGGCGAAGATGGAAGATCGCAGTGTCCATGTCTGGATGGGAGAGCCAATGGATGCAGGACGGACACTCCTCCAGCAGGGGATGTGGAAGCTTCAGCGATGGGTCCTGTGAATTTCGCGGGGCTAGCTCGGCATTCACAACATAAAATGCATCAAGCGGCAGTTCCGAACGACCTTGCCTGGCGTACCGGGACCCTTGACTTGACTCAGCGGATAGCATTTGCTCAAGTTTCTGGTGCGGATGAGTTAGCGACATCTCTCCTGTAAGTAGAAACGTTCGCATTTATACGTACCTTGAGCCATATAGCAACACCGCCCCAGAACTTCTTGAGAACTATGGACGGGTAATCCTGGGGAAGGAAGAAGTCCATCAGGTCCTTCAGGATTTCTAAGCACAGCCCAATTTTCGCAGTGACATCAGATGATGCAGGATCCTGTTCGGCTTTCGGTGCATTGTCTCTACCACATATCTGGGCAAATGCCGCCTGTACCACATCTATCGAGGACTCTTGAAGGAGTTTGTATATGGGAGCCTCCGTATCTTTGAGCCTTTGCACGGCGTCGCCGCTGATTCGGTCGCCTCTGCTAAGTGTCAAATGGATCTGCGAGAGTATCAAATTGAGCACCTGCAAGTCTTGTAGGTCATTGACCGTATTGTTTCTGCTACTGAATGCAGTGACACAGCCTTCCTCGGCTGCAGGTGGAACAGCGGGGGTTCCCTGAGTTTCTTTGGAGCTCGGATCAACCTCATCGCTCGTTTGTGGCTTTATGTGGCCGGTTTGCCAAAGGAACACTGGAGGCGGCGGGTTCTCCGCTGGCGTCCTTTTGTCTCGTCGAGTTTTCCACAGTGGCTCCGGTGGTTTGGTTATGTCAGCGTGCACATGCTCAACTACCCTCGTTTGGAAGGAAGAATCTTGCCCCTGCTCGCTGGGAGACGTTGTCTTCCTCGCTCCTTGGCCCCCTGGTACGGTGTTGAGGCCTTGATTTTCGACCGTGGGGCCTTTTATGGAATGGAAGATCTCTTCGGGCAAGTAAAAAATGTGGTCAAATTTTCTCACATTAAGGGACTCGTTAGTGATGATGTTGGGAAGAAAGTCAACTCGATACGTCGGGTTCTCACGTCGTCGCTTGATTGATTTTTCGCGCTCATCGATAGATCTCATGTCTCTACGCACGAGAGCAAGCATATCTCCGTCTCGATCCGCGTCAGCAGATGGCTTCTTTGGAGTGATCCGATAGTCCGCTGCGCCGGTCGACTTGCGAGATACCGTACCTGGCTCCCTCGATCTGCCTCGAGCTTCTCTGTATGGGACTAAAGCGAGTGTGTTTTCATCCCGCCGCAGTCCTGGAACCTCGACGTAAGTTGAGGTTCTCGTACGTCTTGCGACAGGGGCAGAAGAGTCGGCAGTCCTTCTGGGACCCCTACGAGCTGGAGGACTCCTCGATCTCTGGGCTCGAGACTCCTGGGCCGTCGTGTCCAAGGGGGCAGGGGACTCCGTTCGGTCGTGAGAGTACATGCCCTGGTATTCATGTTTTATGGTGGTTGTTCGCGACGTGGGACTCGTCCCATCAGTGACATTAGCACCAAGGTTGGGTGCAGGACCATGTCTAGGTTGCAAAACGCTAGCCACTTCGCGTTCAATCTCGTTGGTCTTCTTTTCGATCCTGGCCTCCTCTTCAATCCTGGCCTTGACCTCATCACGGTGCCTCCTACTTCTGTCTCTACGTCGCCGACGTCTAGATATTCGGTAGTTCGGACTTTCGTCGTCTCTGTGAATACGCACGAGAGCTCGATGGTCGATGCGAATGCTATTCGTGATAGAATCACGGCGGAAAGCCTCAGGCCCTTCTAGAGCTGGTGGTGTATTCGAGGTGAGAGATATGCGCACAGTAGCGCAAAAGCTGTTCTGGCTGGCGAGGAACTGTTGCCATTCTGGAGCGGTGACTTCAACCCCGTTGACGTCATTGATGTGATATCTTTCAAGAGCATCGCCATATATGCTGCCACATAGGCCGACTACCTTGCCCATCATGGCCTGCGAACAAGGTCAGAAAGCAGGAAACTTTTGAGAGCATGTTGGAGCGTCTCCGTACAAACCAGGTTTCGCACTGTGCCGAGGGCACAAAGAATTGTCGGTCTGTCGGGTCCAAGAAGCGAATGATCTGGAGCTCCCCCTTTTCGGATTGGGTGGTGATGTCTTCGACGAGAACAGATGGCCCGAGGCAATCACCCATTGCATCGGGGGAGCTCGTGATTAGGGTTCCTACGAAAAGCGTCACGACGAAGCACCAAAGGCTTAGGAAGAGGGCGCTACCTGAACTTAGAAGCAGCACCCACATGTTGTGCACGTGGAGAATCTCGTCAGACTGGGATGCCTGGCGCATGATCTGCTTTGCATCCCGCTCCTGCGTGTTTTCCTGGTCCTTGTAGTGGTACTCGAACAGCGTTCGGGGGTGATGTGAATCCGCTGCAATCGATTGATCGCGAGGTCGCGGTGCGGCATGCAGGTGATGAATTGACAGAAAGATTGCCCACTTGTCGGGCTCCGAGCCCTTGTGGCCGTCACATCGGTCAACTCGGCCTTCCAGAAACTTCCCCCAGGAGTGACTCTGTTCATGCTCTTTAGCAGCCTTCGTCAACAAAATGGTGGCAAGGCTACGCTCGTCCGGATCCACCGAATCCAGGGCTGCTACGAAATTCTAGATTGCGTCAGGACACGCATTGACCAACAGCTAGTGTGCCTCAGCTTACTTGGAAATCATGCAGCAGTCGAAATTTGGCTTTCAGGTGTCTGCCAGTTGGCCACAAGGTCAGTCTTTCTCCCGATTGTCACTGGACGAAGCAACTTACATCCACTGGAACTGGAAATCAGCTTTCCCTCCGCCAGCCATGGACATCTGTGACTGGACCAAGGCGTTTTCCCTTGCGTCCTGATTGACATATCGGCGAACACTCAGGATCTTGCGCCATTCGATGGACTCGAAATGATAACGTTGACGGGTCTGAGCTAGTCTGTCTAGCCTGTGCTCGGTGATCTGCCGCGCTGGCAGTTTGGCGTCGAAAGTCGAACCGTCAGCAATGTTCTGGAGGTCGACCTCGATGACATTGTCGGGTTTGCAGTATCGTTCTGCCCTCGTCAATCTTCGCCTAACCGCTACGAAAGAGGATGCCGAGTCATCGGATTCAGAGTAAACGTGCTCCCTGCGTCCGTCATAGTCGTCATAGTTATCAACCCCCCTATATAGATCTTCGTCATAGCCATCGCGATCCCTGGGTATGAAGATGTATTCCCTCTCGGATGGTGTTCTGTCGCGGTACCGCGGCCAGGATCTGCTTCTGCTTCTGCTTCTGCTTCTGCTTTGGCTGCGATTGCTGCGTCTACGTGCTGAAGGAAGGCTGCCGATATTGACAATTGTGGGTTGGAGTCCACCGCCTGCGTTGGAGGCGCGCGGCCTTGCCTGTGGTACGCCTAGGTAATTGTGATCCACAGTCGGAGAGCGACGGCTACCAGATTCGCTGCCCGCATGGCTACGCACAGGCATTAACACATGTTCAGATTCGGAGTCGGACGAGCGTCGAGTGTAGAGCATTTTTTATTCCGTGCTCGGCCCTGGGCTATCCCTCCAACTAGCGCAATTCAACCCCAAGTGGGTTGGCTTGTTTTCCTGACCAACCCTGTCAGTTGGCCCCGGGGGGGCAATGCCAATGGACGCGTCGGGGCGTAATGATACAAAGGAAAAGGTCGATGAGGTCCTCACCTAGTCTGATAGAGACCACTACGATTCTTAAAAGGTAGATTAGTTTTGCTGTACATGAATAAATAGATAGAAGAAAGTGTTACGTGTAGAAGCATGTTGTAGAATGCGCAGTCAGGCTGAACCTTGGATGGTGATATTCGATTGGCGCCGAGATGGGCACCTCGGTGCCTACACGTGACCATCAATGCGTACACCTTTTCCCGTGGTGGTCTCGTTTATGGGCCTGGTTAAAATTGGATAGATTGCTGCTGCTTTTAGGCCACAGTGCTTCCATACTTTTGGGAGGTAATTGGCGATCGTCGTATACTGCAAGATCTCACATGTGTGGTTCCTGTCGATTGGCCTTTGGTGGGTCAGAATTATGGGGGCCCAATTAAATTTTGAGTGTATGTAAAGGTGAAGCCGCAATTGAAAGGCCGGGTATCTCTCGAGATTCTCCCATTTTCTCCTTTCTGATTTCTTCACTGTCGACTGTGATATTCTCGTTTCCTTATCGTTCGGAATATCTGTCTGCCGTGTTGCTTTTTGCCCTGCTGTTGATGTTCCTTGAAGGGGCGCCCCCGAAAAGCTGCCTAGCATTCTTTGACATACCTCACAGACTATCGCCTTTGTATGAGGTCTCAGCTGTGAAGATAACATTGTCATCAATATGCGACCGAGTCAATACATGTCGGCCCACCTCTATGTCATCCAGACAATGTTCTCTTGTTCCAAATTTTTCCGGTGGCAATCAGAAAACTTTGTGGTGGTTGTACACCTGAATGTCTTGCCAAGGCATGATACTCAGATGCATGCGATATCAGCAACTTTATTCTCGATAAACGAGGCCCCTTGCACTTTGATATTTCAGGTATTGTTTTGATCTACCTCTCCGTTTAGCTGCACATCAAGCAGACAATCATTTGAGTTTCTGAATGTCACCTGCGCCAAAGTATCGACTAGACTCAGTGCTTCAACGACAATCTTCAGTTCTAGGGAGTTTGCACAGCAAGAGTCTTATGCGAGGCACCGCACTTATTGTGCACTTCCTCGTCAATGATTCAAGTTTGGATGGTAGTGCCAACGAGGAGGTACCACTGTGCCTGAGGCCAAACTGGAGTGTGGCTCTGGTGCTCACAGAATCATTTGCCAGGTCTCAGCTGGCGTTATCCGTTCGGCAGTGGAATGACAGACGCGCTTTATATAGTGCGTGGTTTCAACGCCCAGTTCTCAGTTTGGAGCTGAAAGCAATCGAAAGAGGCGAGCTAAGGTCTCAAATGAGGCCACTCGATACGAGTTTTGGAAAAGTCGATCTTCAGTCTCAATGAGACTTCAGAACTGCGTGGGTAACCGTGGACGAATTCTAATGACTCGTCCTCCCTCAGCTCTGATCCTGTTGCCTTTCTCAGTTCTAATTACAGCACAGGCTACAATGAATAGCATCTTTCGGGAAACTGAAGAGTTATCTACATGATGATCAATGATTTGCGAGAACTTACGGATGACAATGGAATCGGAAATAGAGTCTGCCATGCCGCCAGGGCCGTGGAATGAGAAATGGATTGAAAACGAGAGAACATTTTGGAGATTTTGGTTTCAAATGAATAAAAGTTTCATCTCCATAGACGAAGGAATAGGCCTGTGCTCCAGGCCGGCAATATCATTAGCCATGACTATCCAGCATGTGGCATAGACGCAAGAAAGCACCATCCAGCGAAAATTTCTCTTCTCTTCGCTTTTCTTCTCTTTTGTTTTCATTCCCGCATTCACCCCCCATCGTCTGGCCATCATCGGGTTGGCGATTCCAATGTCTATCTGGTAAGGATACAGCGCCCAATGTATCTGTATGAGTGTCTCATAATTCTTGCCCTATTCTCAAACATTCCCCAGAAACCACCATACTCCACGCTTCTAGTTAATTATTTCATTCAAACAGGGCAATCAACGGCAGCATGGCCTCTTTGGCACCCTAAACCGATACCAATACCTCCGGGGGGGGCTTCTGTCTTGCGGACTCCGGTGGAGACGTCAAGTCAATATCCATGCTGAGACCCCATCGAGCTGCGAAACCTTCACATACTTCCTGGCACGTCTTGGCTGCTTGTCGGGTTTTGCATCGTCGGTCCCAGTCGCCAGCTTGAATAAGAAGAATGCTGTTCTCCACAAGCTCCTCTTCTAGGCCCATGTCCTCAACCATATCGCGGACGGACTTGAGTTTTCGTGTCGCGGCGTTGGCGGCCAAACGGGATTCTTGGAGCAAATCTGTCAGAGAGCGGAGCGTCTGACTGAGATCGTCGGTTTGCGATGCGAGAATCTGGAGCGAGAGCAACGGATTCTGGGGTCGTAGAAATGGGAGAGTGGAGCTCAGCGTGTTGACTTCGTCGAGGAGTAAGTCGATCATCTCTTCGGGAAGATTCAGTGTTCCGCCGTACATGAGCGAGTGGCTTTGGCTGAACAGATCACGGGTTTTATGTGTGCGGTGGGAGGCCATCGAGGTATATGCTGTTATCAATCGAGTCACGCCGTACTCAATATTTCCCTGCGGTCCGAGATCTTTCAATTCTTGTATTGTCCTGCGGATGGTTCCGCCACCCTCGCTCACTGCATCTTCAGGGTTGACACACATGCGGGTCAAATTCTCGATGTCGCGGATTCGTTTCCTCAGAATTGGTGGTAGATCATCTTGGTCCTCCATGTCGGAATCAACGCCGTAATCTGATCCATCATATGCAGATTCGTGCCTTTGGTGCCCAGGTCTTTTGTTTGTTCGTGATGTCGAGTTCTTGGTCTTCTGAGGAACATGCAAGGTCGAAGACTGCCCATCATATTGCGGGCCATCTGGACTCTGCATCACCATGCCAAAACCGAAATCATGCATGTCATTCAATTCGTAGGGGCTCTGGAGATCACGGACGGATGAATCCGGACCTACATCGCCTTCTCTTAGACCCTCGAGGAAATTCGGCTGTCCCTCCTCTTCTTCGCCTTCTCCTTCCCAGGCCTGTTCGAGTTCGTCGGCCAAGTTCCCGGCGCCACTGTCGCCTAACTGCTCTACGCTCCTGTTGCTATGTATGCTTGTCCTACTCAAGCGACGTTGCTGCGAAAAGGAGGGTGGCCTGGAGGACTTGGATGACATGGGCCGCGGCGTCACCGGAGACCGTGGTTGGTACGAGGTCTGCGAGGTCCGGGATGACCGTCTCGAGTAAGCGGTTCCATTTGTTGTCCCACTGGTATAGGAACTGGTCGAGGTCGGTTCTTGAGCCGGAATGTCGACGTTGGACAAACGGAGCGACCTGCGCTTCCGCGAAGGCGTCGATGGGGATGTTGGTGGAGATGTGACGGTCATCGTCTAATGTAGGGGGGGTGGCTGAGATGCAGGGAACCGTTCTAAAGATCGTTCTTGGTGAGGAAAAGAGACGAGTCTATCGTGCAGATTGAACCATGCCTTTCGAACTACGAATTCGTAGAAGACGCGACTACTTGTCAAGAGAAGGACAAGTATGGTTTCTGAGTGAGGACCTTCGATCGCAAAGTGAGGTTCAGTGTGACCGTGGAAGTGGTGGGTGATTTGCCCCCATGTTGGCCCACTGGCTGCTGAGTATTTCGGCCCCCCCAGTGACAGGCGGAACGGCGCGTTTCGTCGCAGCTCAACCTGTGCCTTGCGAAATAAAAGTTTCAAAGGGCTTGGGCTTTGGTTTCGTATTTCTCTGATATTGCCTGGAGCTGAGATAATAAACTGCAATGCCCACCATCCGAAGAGTCCAGCCCTCTGATCTTTTGCATCTCAATCTCTGCAACCTCGATCCATACACGGAAAATTATGATTTGAATTTTTATCTCACGTATTTAATGAGATGGCCTTCGTTATTTCAATGTATCGAAGAACATGGCCAGATCGTCGGCTACATCATCGGCAAAGTTGAGACATCACCTGCGCATTTACAGTAAGCGACTGATTCGATGTGAGGGAACACATAAATCTGAGAAATACTGTCTTGTAGAGGAACACCACATTACTTACCGTGGCACGGCCACATAACAGCTTTGTCCATCGCTCCACAATATCGACGGCTCGGGTATGGAAAACTTCTCAGTGAGTCTCTCGAGAAGGCATGTAATCAACAGAATGCCTGGTTCGTGGATCTCTTCGTCCGAGCAAGCAACAAGAATGCCATCAAAATGTATGAGAGTATGGGGTACTCTACGTATCGGACGGTGGTCAAGTACTATTCAGATGATCCAACCGGTGTTTCCACTGAAGGAGAAGACGCATTGGATATGAGGAAACCTCTTGACAGAGACAAGGATCGAAAACATGTCCGCGAGAATGGAGCAAGCTTCAAAGTCGATCCCGATGATGTCTTTTGATATTCCATGAGCAACGAATAAATATTTCTAGACCCCTCCTACGGACCAATGCTGCATGCCTTGAACGTTGACAATACCACCTGATTCCGCCACATTCGCTCACCATTTCTGCTGACTTTGAAAACTCAACTTCGAACAAGAAAGCCAAAAAGAAACTTTGCCACTGAGCAGATTCGAACCGGTGTCTGAATTGAGGGGAAAAAAACAAGACAAAAATTAAAACCTTTTCAAGGAAATTTTGCCCATTGATAATGCACCGGAGAAGACCATCCATTGCTTCTACAGGAGCTGTTCTTTGTCATTCTCCTTAGACTGTGATCAATACCGGTATACGTTCTCGCTTCGATACTAATCAGTATCAGTCCGTCCTTGGTCTGGTACCAGCGTCTGTATATACATTCTTATTCGATAGCGGTGCATGATTCAGTTGGGATTGCAAGCTTCCTTTTGTTGTTGGCAAAAATCCTCGACTTGAAAAATTTACAGATGAATTTTCACATGGCACTGGAAATGGAGGATTGAGTAATTAGCTAAACCGAGATCTAGCAGCGTCCTCACTGTCACTGTCCAGAGCTACGACAATGGAGGAGAGTGTTTTTGCTTGGTATAGCCTATTCGGCATGCGAGAGAATGTGTCATCAGGCTCGTACAGTCCGTCAATCAATCAAAGCCAGAGTGTGTTCCTCTTAGCGATTCCTCTCTATATCATTCGGCCCAAAGCTCATGGGCAATAGCTCCCCGATCGTCATCTTGACCGCTTCCCCATCCAGCCCGTCCTTGCCATACATGAAAATCGGTAGATCCTTCGTGGTCGCAAACTCGTTGATGAATTGCCTGCACATCCCGCAAGGGCTGGCGGGCGGCGTGATATCGGTGCTCACTGCGATAGCGCGAATGGTGGGCATCGCCGGTCTCTTCATCGACGCCACAATCGGTGCGATTGCACATCGTTCAGCGCATATGCCCACCGGAGTGCTGGCGACTTCGACATTGGATCCTGTATGATATGTGCCTGTGGAGAGGAGGACACATGCTCCGACGCGGAAGTTGGAATATGGACCTTGGCGTCGGTGTTAGTTGCATGGAGTCACAGGCTGGGGAAGGTTGATATCTTGTGCCCCACAGAAATGTAGCGACGGAAGAGTTCCCCAGGAACAGGTCCATGGGGCAGCACACATTAGGGATTCCTGCCTTCAGACCAAACGGCAGTTTCACTTACAGTAGGCGCTTGCTTTGGCCTCGATGGCCAAATTGGCAAGTTTGGTCAATTCTTCTTCCGATAAAGGCATTAGAGCTTCTTTGCTTGCCATGTTGGTTTTAATACCTGCTCAATTACTGATGAACTTGTCTTGAGAGTTGATTCAATCAGCTTGGAATTCAATTTCGTTGGAAGGGAAGGCGAAGGGAGATGTAGAAACTCAGCCTTGCAAGTTGAAATGCCAGCCTTGCCAAGACATTGATACACGGCAATACGGTGATGATGATGATGATTTCATACACCCTGTGCGGGCTAAGCCCATAGGGGACCAGCTACTTACTACGCGCTACCTCCATTGTCCACCGGTTCGGCAATACGACCTCTTGCATATGCACCCAATGGAGGTATTGGACTGTAAGACCCTATCTCCAGCCACAACGTCGGAGCACTTCTTCGTCCAATATTCTTGGGAGGCCACACGACAGAGATAGATACGGTAGATCGCCATTTACAAGACATGGCCTCTCTGCCCGACACATGGCCTTCATGGCGCAACAAAGTCAACCGAGCAATTGCACGCAGGGCTACTCTAACTGCACCATCGCAACCCACCAGACACGCACGGCCGAGTCAGATGCCGCCATCCTCCTACCGCACATCAAAAAGACAGATCACATTCTCGATGTCGGCTGCGGGCCAGGCATCATCACCACGGGCTTGGCCAAGTACGCTAGCGAAGGCACCACGGTCGGCATCGATATCTCGACAGACGTCCTGGAGAAGGCAAAGACATTGGCAGCTGCCGCCAACGTCCCCACTCAGGGGCCAGGCTCCGTCGTCTTCAAGGAAGCCAATGTCCTGGAGAGGCTCCCCTATCCCGACGATACGTTCGACGTCGTCCACGCCTCTCAAGTCTTTGGGCATCTGCCAATGCCAGACCTGCCACTCCGGGCCCTGGCTGAGATACGACGGGTCATGAAGCCGGGCGGCATCCTGGCCACGCGCGACGCAGCAGAGCAGCACTTCTACCCGCGGAGCCTAGACCTCGACCGGCTGTGGGTGCGAAATCATGTTCGGGGGTTGTATAAGGGAGCGCCTGGCGCAGAGTCCCCGGCGACGAGTATGCCGGCGCTGTTCCGTAGGGCTGGCTTTGACGCCGACGGCGGCAAGGTCCACATCGGCGCCGGAGCCAGGGTGTTCTCGGGGGCGGAAACCCGGAAGTGGTTGGCCTGGCGTGTCACCGGCCAGCTAAAGCAGGGAGATCCCTTCCGCCAGAGCTGGCTGGATGCCGGCATCACCGAGGACGAGATCCAGGAAACGCTGCTCGCCGTGGAGAAGTTCGCCGAGACGGAGGATGCATGGTACATGGCGCTGCAGTGCGAGATGCTCGCGTGGAAGTGAGTGACCGGACGGGTTGCTAGAGGGGGGACAGTAAAAGGGAGAGGGTGGAGGATCAAGACCGGGTCAACCCCAACCACTCGTTTCTGATCCAACTCGAGGACAATAGCAACCGCTCTCGTACGAGAGTACCATTATGATACCCAGATAGAGAAAGCCGGACAGCTCCATCGTGCCTCGATAGCAGGCACTATATCTCTATCACGATATAAGGAGATCCTGAGGGGCCCTCCATCCAGGCGCTATAGTTTAGGCTATGTAGCCAAAGATACCCATTCTTTAAAGAAACCAACGGCTCTCTTTGCCGTCTTACGAAGGGGACAATTTCCGGGCCCTATCCCAAGCGTAATAGGAATGGCATCATGTAGTCACATGCGTGATTTTGTGTGATAGTAGACTAGGAATGGTATGATAAATAGGTCGACCTAGCTACGACCACGATCCGCATCAAGAAATAAGCCAATGGATCGCAGAGGCACGGCTACGCGTGTGCTGGACACAATGCAGAGCATGCAAATGGGGACTGCACCAGGAGGGCGATGGCATCGGTGCTGTCTCTTAACAAACGTCTAGCCATTCTTGCCATTCCTTTTCGATGTCTAAGCCAGCCTCCATAGCCTGTCGCTTGTCTGACCCTATACATCTTGCCCTATGCATTCTTGTGTATACAGCAGTGACCCTACACCAGGTCATCGACGAGGCCGCACCTTGCCATTCCCGTACCTCACAGGCGGCACGATTCTGGCGTCTTCCTGCGTCTTTGGATGTATGGGTACCATTCCGCAAATACCCACCACCAAAGCACGCTGAATACTCGGAAGCTGGCACGGACACCGGCTGCTACGGCCGCGGCGCTGGTGCTGCACCATACCAAGCATATGAGTCTGCACAACATTGTGCTTTCCAATCACCCCTGTCGTATACGTGTTTTGGTGGTTGTCTTCGTCTTCCTAACATCTCTCGAACACCGATCATACATTTTCGGCTTCTAATGGTAAGGCGCACATGATTGCCACCTTGAACCCTCAGCAATTTCGAGGTGGAGCGGGTGTCAACATGATCAGTCAAGAGAGGTCAGAATCGTGACTCGCTGTCAGAAAGGGTAGAGGTCCATCGACGTCAACAAAGGGGAGCTCGATTCAAGGTGTCGTAGTATTATGAATGCGATGAGATGCCGTCGAAGGCCAAAACTTACGAACTTGTTGAGGTCGAAAAACTGTAGGCGGCTGTACTCGGTTTCTGGTAGGGCCAGGTCTCGACCAATCCTCTTCAAGGCGGGCGGCAACCGCCGAAATCATCCCCACACGTGAGTGTGGCTTTGGAGACGGTGGATTTCTGCCAAGTCTCCATGTCACGGGGGCAGATTCGGGCTTTTTCAAAGTTCAGCTTCGATTTCTGAACGTATCTACAGTACCAGCTGTTACGGCTCCTGCTTCACTTGGCAAAGAAAATATTAATCGCTCAAGCAACTAAGATTCGCAGAAATCGGAAATCAGCATGGCAGCACGACGAAATATCCAACCTGAAAAGACCATTTCCGATGCACAAGGTGGTCCGCCAATGCAGAATCAAGTATCAGACACTATGCCCGCAGTCCCAGCGTAGGTGTGAATTCCTTCCGAGGGACATGCAATCCGTCTAGAGGTCTGACTCAATCCAGTCATGTCATCTATAAGCTTCTCGGGTTTACGGTGGCCATGGTATGCGCGCCAATAGGCTCCTATTTTCTGACCGTCAATGTCGTCTTCGGAGGTAAGGCTTTTTTCTGTCCATTCACTTCTTAAACGTCTTTTGGCTCTCTGTGATGAGCTGAGACGCAATTAGGCAACGCCACATATGCGGGCGCCTTTGCCGCCATCATGGCGAATGTCGTTCTGGTGGCTTATATTGTTGTGGCCATGCGAGAAGATCAAACCGACAAGATTGAAGCAGAAGAAAAGCGCAAAAAGGCTCAATAACAGATGGTGATGAAAGAGTACCAGTTCCAATTCGATAGTCAGAGCCATGCATGCATGCTTGGGAGGAATCCATGGGGGCTTAGCCCCGATGTTCTTTCAGGCTATAAAGGGCGTTCGAAGGAGGGCACGTTACGGTATAAAGAACTGCATCATTTTGGCCATCGATTCTGTCTCGAGACTAGTCAAGCGCCGAGTCTTCCAAATTCGACCTCCATCCCAAGCATCGCCATTCATAGCCACATTAAACGGGTCCCACCCGGCCTGACATTCGACACCGCATTACATCAAACATTAATCATGAGAAAGCGCCCGCTCGGGGGAGTAATTTAGGTATGCAGATCCAAGGTAAAACCATGCACCCAGAATCATGGCAACGGCCAAGAAAAGTACCAAAGACGCCGAAAATGAGCTATTTTAATTCAGTTCCATTTCCAGCCGACTCACGCCGAAAAGTTCAATCCGCTCGCCGACTGAACCTCCGCTTGATCCAACTCGGTTTCTTTGGAGATGTGGGATTGGTGGGTGCAGAAGAATTGAACGGAGTGTCAGATGGTGGGCTGTCAAGTTTGATTGGCTGACGTGGATTGTTCGGAGCATATTCTTTTGCTGGGATCGGTGGAGGAGGAGCAGCGTTCTCTTGACCATAATTGCCATCGTCCGAGAGGTATGGCGAAAATGGTTTGGTGGGAGAAACCTGGTTGAACCTGATTTCATTGACATATGGATTGTCCATGCTGAATTCGTCGGGCTTGCGAAATTGGTGTAGTTGATCAAAGGAGCTATTTTGCGAGCTGGGATTGGTGGATTTTCCATATTCTTCGGAGCCCGAGGTCATGGTCTCATAGGAATGTTGATACGAATGGGCGGACATGGGACTGTCACCAGACGGGTAGCCGTTCTGATAGCCGTTCTGGTACCCGTTCTGGTATCCATTTTGATACCCATTCTGAAAGCCATAGGACGGATTTGAATGTTGACGCGTGTTCCGACCATACATTTGGGCCGATCCTGGGGCTTCTTCGACAGAGCTTTGAGGTCCGAATCCATATCCGTAGGAGGAATTGCGGTAATAGCCGCTGCCAGGAGAAGGCCGGGATCGTTGAGGAGAATATCCATTGCCTGTACAAAAGTGAGAGAGGAACAGCCATACACTCGAAAACCCTCTTACTGGAATAGTAGCTTGTTCGACGGCTCATGTCCCCATTCCAACCCGCTTGGGAGTCTGCCAGCGTCAATATCCATTGATTTCCTAGATCAACCTCTCAAACCTACTCGGTCTGTTGTTGTAGGACGAGCGGCGAAAACTCGTGCCCTCCGCAGCAGCGTTAAACGCACGGATGGTATCAAGAGGTCGCTCCATGCGATGACGGGTAGGATTGGAGCGATCCGGATCGGCTGCGGACAGAGGTTAGTGCATGTTCGTAGGCAAACCGTGAGGGTAGAGGGAGTAAGGGCTTACTGATCACATTGCCATCTTGGTCCTTGTGCAACATCTTTCGCAGGTCGTCGACCGTAGATTCTTCCTGTGCTTGTTCCGCTGGGAAGGTGATCAGAAATTTTGTTAACAGAACTTGAAAGGTCGTAGCTAACCGGGTGTGGCCTCGTTGAGAGCTTTCGAAGGATCCGCCTTTGTATTCAGCCTTTTCTTGTCCTTCGCGGCTTCGGTCAACTCATACTTATTGGTGGATGAGCTGCTCCGGCGAGATCGTTGGGAGGAAAAGCTCATGGTAGTTTGAGCCCGCGGGCGGGTATCGTGGGGCGGAGGGGAGATTGGAGGAGACATGGTCGTCATGGTGTTGACGATAACGAGAGAAATAGTGGAGATTTGATGATGTAGCACTCAGAATAAGTACCGAGATCGACGGGGAGATCGGTTGAAGAGAGTATGTCAACAACGACGGTCGACGGAGTGAGAGCTTGGTGATTTTGATTGGGAAAACGAGAGAGAAAGGGACAGAAGACACTCGGACCCGAGCAGGACGTTGAGTAGGGTGATAATAATGTCGTGCTGTGGCTCTCTAAAGAATCTCTGAGAGCATGGACAGGGACAGTGGGACCGAGAGTGGTCGGCTCGGGTGGCGGGAAAGTGACAGGGGATATTTTGGTTTCAGGATGGAAGCCCAGGAACCGCAGACAGGGCGCGGGTGGGAGGTATGGAGGCGATACAAGCCAGGGCGGTTGTGTATTGAGCAGTGATTGGCGTTATTGTCTTGTGGATGGGTGGGATACGTTGTCCTAGATACGGGGATAGCGTCTTATAACAGGCCTGATGGACAAACAGAGGGAGAACGAAGGGGGGGTTGTGGTTTGGTGAAGGTTCGGCGCGTATGTGAGAAAGAAGCAAAGAGAAAACGAAACTGGCAGACGGAGCAAAGCTGCAGACGAAAAGTAAAAGAATATTCGATGAAGTCGAGTGTAAATGCTGTCCACGGCGGGTGCTAGAGATGTGTAGTTGGATGGAAAATGTTATGCGCAAAAAGCCCACGCACGCACTGCACTGCATTGGCAGACGAAGCTTCACAGCCGGGCCCTCAAACACATAAAGCCACTGATGCGTTAGACTACGCAAGGGAAAGCCTCGCACTTTATCTGGGCTTTTATGTCACACACACTCGAACGCTCACTCCACCCTCCTCAAAAGCACCCGCCGCCTGCGCCCGCGCCCGTAGCCCTGGCCTGCTTGTAACTTTCCGCTTCCTCCCCTACCCAGACCCTGGGTCGCTAGTGGTCTCAACTGGGCCGAAGAAACCTTGTTTGGATTACACCCGTCATGAGCAAATCTCAACTACGGTTTGTCAATGGCAACCTAGCGCACCCTGCGTCCCTGGCTACTCCAAACACCACAAGTCACGACCGACCCTCTCCTCCCAAGACTCTCAGACAGATCTGCGTGGATGTGACGCCAGTCAACGACCAGAAAATGTCCCGAGACCCGATCTTCCAAGACAAGGTCGCTGACTGCTGTTCGGATATACTTCATCTGTAACCACGTCTCTTTCTTCCTTGGTTTCGCATTGACAATTCTTCTTATCCTTCTGGCCTGGACGACGCGCGGCCTTACTACGTTAAGCAAAACCCGGTGAGCTTGCTTGTTTTCGAACCCGTTGAATGACGCGAGAGAGACGGACGACCGACGGATCTGGTCCATGCAATCAATGGTTGTCGCCAGACAGCTTCCGGCCCACTCATCCATCAGATTCTTCGTCTCTCATCCTCCGTTGTCGAATGTCCAGCTTATCATGCACCCGACCCGCAGATATTCAAGCGTGATTGCATCATGATTTCTGAGACATTCTGCATCCTCCACGGCTGATCCGGTCAACCTTAACCTTTTCTTGGAAGAAGCCTCCTTGCTCCTCAACAGGTGGTCCTCGCAAAATTCTTCCTGAATCCTTCTCACCAACTTGCCGCCAAGCCGTCCAAGACTTTTTGCTCGCATAAATTGGTCTTTCTGGAATCGAAATATTCCGTAGCCGGAACTTCTATGGTGCAGGTTGGACCAATGGGTGCCGGTTTCGACAACTTCCACAACCACTCCAGTCAGCTCGATCACATTCTGGCTGTCCCGCATCCAGGAGAGAGCTGGCCTTCGATAATTGACTGAAGGAACTATTTCAAAATGGGGGGAGGAAGCGAGGGCAGGTCCCCAGGTCTCATGTCGTCTCCTAGAACCAGCCACACCTAGCCCGCCGATAGTGCACGCCGCCACGATGTTGCCACGAACCATTGATCCTAGCTCCATTTTCCTGTCCTTTATCCTGTTTATGGCGCATATCCCACAAGGGCCCTTGTTCCTGACTTATGCTCGACATGTTACCATCTTCCTTTGAATTCCACAAAACGGCGGGCAGGGAATTCTGCACGGAGCACCGTGCAGTGAGATACATAAAAAAGGTATTTGCTTAGCTGGGTCATGCCAGCCCCTACGAACTTCTACACATGGTCTGAAGACTCTGAGTGTCCGAATCAACGTCATAGTCTTGCAAAAGAAATCCTACATTCAAAGGACCCCGAGTGGAAGTAAAGTGGATTCAGAGTGAAATTTCGCATCCCACCCAATCCAAACGATGGCTCCGGTGAGGATGATTTTACCAGACAGATCATGAACACAACACACATGGCTTCCCGCGAAAGGAAAGTCTACCGAGCAATATGAATTTGCCGCACAACCTTCGTCCCCCCGACTTCCTTCGGAAGAAAATACCAAGAGAACTAGTCCGGTCAAATCTTCTCTCGAGGTCCAATGCAGGTTCTGTGAATGAATGACTCGCTCTCGAATCCGAATCGATACGAATTAATCTAGCTCAATTGCAACCGGGATGGTCACGCAACCGGGATTTCTGGCACTTAGGTGAAAAGATAACGAATCGTATTCCGGCTTCGGCGAAGATCAAGGTGAGCTCCTTTTCTAGCAAGCCTGGTCTCGAAGGTTCTCGCGAAGGTGCTCTTCTCGCGCCCATACCTCGTTCTGACTTGACGCTCTGCTATGATTGGATGTCCCCCCCTAAGGACTGACTAAATGATCGAGTCATCGATCCGGCACATCTCTTCTGCTCTCAGAGAGCGATTTAGGATATACGCCACGAGTGTCGACTTAAGCGCGGGCAATGACATTCGACGCCAATATCCTTGACCCATCAGGACTCTTTGTTCTGTTTCCATACCTCTTGAGGGACCGAATGGATGGAAATAGATGTTTGCTGTATTCATTTTCCGGATACGTCGATCACCATAGTCAAGTACCTAATTATCTAGGAACCGTTTTGGTATTTGTCTTGCTTTTTATGCACACATGTTGCAGGTCTATCTACCCGCCCGTCTTGGGGCAGGGTAAGTCATGTTATAAGTCGTCGTCAAATGGGTACGCCAATTCCACTGTACCTTCTCCCTGTGTGGTCTCCGACCACAAATTAGTCTCGCCTACTTGGCAGTTTGATCTAGCAATCTACTCTTCTTTTCGGCACCAGCACAGCTGCATACTTATATACGTGTTGACTGAACCGGTTGAAAACCCGCACCAAGTCACAGCCCACATCAATTCTGGATTCCAGGTCATGTTCTCCCCCTCTTTTCCTCCTCCAAACAATAACCAACGCGGGTCAGCCTACAACTTGTTGGGTGTGCTCTGGGTGTTCCACTGGTACCCGGCCGCGTCGCTGAACTTGTAGCCGTAAGAAGCTGTGAAGTCATCGAGAACGGCAGGACCACGAGAGCCTAAGAGAAAAGCATCGTTAGTTCCTCAGTTGCTTTTGGTCGGAGGATAATGATGATGGGAGACTTACCATAAGGATATTCCATAGGAACAATCTCCTTCTTTTCATCGAGATAATGCAGGAGAGGAGTGAAAATTCTCCAGGAAGCATCCAACTCGTCGTCACGAACAAAGTTGGAATGATCACCCTTCATGGCATCAAGAATCAAACTCTCGTAAGCCTCGGGGATCTTCAAGTCAGAGAATCGGCGTCTGTACGTCAAATCGAGTTCTGTGACGACTGTTTGCATAGACAGACCGGGCAACTTGGAGTTCATCTTGAGGTAGACTGATTCATTGGGCTGGATACGGATGACGAGCTCATTTCGGGGAATGTCCTTGAAGATCCCGGAAGTGACGTCCTTGAATTGGATTCGAATTTCGGTTTTTTGCTCGTTGAGTGCTTTGCCAGCCTTTAGGATGAAGGGCACACCATCCCATCTCTCGTTTTTGATGAAAGCCACCATGGCGGAGAATGTCGGACATCTCGAGTCCTTGGGAACTGTGTCATCTTCCTTGTATGCGGGCTTGGTGCCATCCAAAGACTTGCCATATTGACCAATGATGACGTTCTTGGGCTCAATTTGGGGAATAGCTCGGAGAACTCGGACTTTCTCATCACGAATGTCTTCTGCCGAGAAAGAGATGGGTCGTTCCATGGCGAGGAGGGTCAAGACTTGAAGCAGATGGTTTTGCATCACATCACGAATGATGCCGAACTCGTCGAAGTAACCACCTCGTCCTTCAGTACCGAAAGGCTCCTTGAATGTGATCTGCACACTGTCGATGTGGTTGCGGTTCCAGGTGGCTCCAAGGAACTCATTACCAAATCTGAGGATGAGCAAGTTCTTCACCATTTCCTTTCCGAGATAGTGATCGATACGGAAGATCTCCTCTTCCTTCCAGTCTGGCTCGAGGCTGCAGACCAGTGGTCAGTCCTTTGCCGTGGGTATACAGGTACGGATGCAAACTTACGCCTTCTGCAACTGCCGTGAGCTGGCCAAATCCTTGCCGAAGGGTTTCTCGATAATGATTCTGGCAATGCCGTTCTTAGGATAGCAGTTTCTCTTGAGGTGTTGCGAAACGGTGATGAAGACACTAGGAGGTAGAGCCATGTAGAAAACTCTATTTCCCTCCTTGCGACCCTTCTCAATCTCAATAATGTGCTTGTCAAGCACCTGGAACGGGCCATCCTGATCATATTGGCCAGAAATATAGGTGCAAATGGAGCAAAATTGGTCGAGTTGTTCCTCCACCTCTTTTGTGGGGGTCTTTATGTATGATCTAACCCGCCGAAGGTATTCATTATGGTCCATCTTGGTTCGAGCATATCCGACGATCTTGATGTCTTTAGGGAGGAATTTGTTCCGGAACTGTGATTTGGTAAGCAAAACGCCTTTTCCAATCTGTGTCGAAGGACGACCTACCAAGCCGAACAGTGCCGGAAAAGTCTTCTTTTTGGCGAGATCACCTGAAGCGCCGAGTACGACGACGACAGTATTCTCCTTCAACTCAATGGTGCTGGTAAAAAAAAAAGGGAATGTCAGTCCATCAGATTCAATTGACAAGTAGTGGGGGAGCGGTGGACGAAGCCGCGGAAAATTGCAGAACTCACCCTGCATTTTCAGGTTCGTCTGGACGAAGGACGGTGTCGGCCATGATGAATGATGTTGATAAGACCCCGAAGTGGTGAAAGCGGAGGGAAGAGGATGAGATGGCTCAACAAAAATGCTGGGACGGTGGTAGTGTTGGCTCGGGGACACAGTGATAAAGCCGGCGTGGATTTAATTATTATTGTCGGCGGGCTTTCTAAAATCGGCCGCGGGAAGGATGATGGTGGGGCAGAAGGTCGAGGCTTTTTGCCAGAGTTCAAGCACTGGCCCCCCACAAATTCTGGTTATTAGGACGAGCACACAGTCACAATGATGCCTTTTTGCTCGTGAATTGGAAGTTGATCCTGATTCTACTCCTAGCTGCGTCGTCAGATGAGTCTCTTTGACGTTTCAGGCTTCGAGCCGGTGGTGGTAGCTGCAGAGGGAGATGGAGGATCAGAATCGACGTTTTTATCAACAGCAGCAATGATATATCACTATCCGCCCCTGGTCAAGTTTTGTCATCACTAATCAGTAAGCAGTGGGATACTGATAGCCGGCATCGCCTGGCCCCTTGGTCCCAAAGCCCTGCGGAATGAATCGGCTATCCATGCTGCCCCTGCTTGTTGAATCTATGGTAGACTTGCTTCGTCACTGGTGCAGCCTTATGTAATCTTTCTGATTCTGCTATCCTCGCATCGCTTCAGATTGGTTTCATCCCTCCCTCAAGACCTTAAAAATGGCATTTGCTTCAATCCGCATTATGTAAAGTCGTTGCCGGGAAATCCACTTCTGGTTTAGGCGACCTGCTACCACAGGACTCTTCACGTTGTTGTCATAAGAATCTCTCTCCATCCTCTCTCCACTCCAGTCCCTCTCCCGCTGTGGCAGGCACATGCGCAGTAGAAGAACCGTCCAAGAAATATACCTCATGGTCTATGGCCACGAGACTAGTTTGCAGTGGATAACAGATGCGCCTCCCGCTGAGTTCTCTAACCTTGGACGAAGGGAAAACAGCATCATAGCTCAGGCTTAGGCCTAATCTCCCAGTCGTTGCCGATGTAGTATGTTACCATCCGATCGCCAGCGACAACCCGAGGCAGAAATCCATTGAAGCTGCAGAAGTCTATGCCAAGAATGTTCATCTCAGAAAAGTGTGAATCTGCCGGCGACATATAAACTGATTGAGGATAACCAAGTTAGTGGCCAAGGTATTCATCCTATGGTGATTCACACTTACATAACTCGAGATGAACGTCAATGGTGGCCCGGGATCCACAATAAAGAAAACCCAACGAGCTTTGTCTTGCATACCGACGACACATGGAAATATCATGCACAGCTTCTGGCCGCACTGTTGTCTGTGGAGTTGTTAGGCTATTGATGCCTCACCTTCGTGCCTGGCAATGGTTGTTGAATCGTGAGCGCTTGGTTCGATACGGTGCTGCAGGTCAAAGTCACGTGACTATACACAAATCTTGGCGCCTCCCCCGATTTGCCCTAGTCCACACACTCCAATTTCTGACTTTCAGAAGAGGACAATCTCGTTACAAGTACAACTCTCTCGGTCGTACCGAATTCCTTCCGTTCCTTCGCCAGCATATCGTCAAGATGGTCTCCGGCAACAGTCACAGACGTGAGCATCCCTCCTGATCATAAGACTTTGACGTCGCCAGCCCAGAGCCGAAAATGACTAACATCGTGTCCTGTCAGTCTATTGCAAGGCCAAACACTTGTCATACCAACGAGGCAAGCGAAACACGAACCCCAGCACGTCTCTCCTCAAGATCGAAGGTGTTGAGGACACAAATGCCGCGAAGTACGTTCTAATCCCCGCCCAAGCCCACATAAACCCGACTCAAAGAGGAGGATCTTATTTAGCGAATCTTGAAATTTGACGGAGGAAGAGAGAGTCGAACATAGTCGATATGGACGAGGAATGTTGAAGAAACAATTAAGTAACAAAATCTTCCATAAGCAGATTCTACCTCGGAAAGCGTGTCGCATTCGTCTACCGGGCCTCGAAAGAGCGACAAGGGAGCAAGATCCGAGTAATCTGGGGAAAAGTGACCCGACCACACGGAAACAACGGTGTCGTGCGAGCCAAATTCAAGCATAACCTTCCTCCCAAGAGCTTCGGTGCCAGTGTCAGAGTCATGCTTTATCCCAGTTCGATATGATTTGAATTTCGCATGGTGTGGGGTGGGGTTGGGAACGACGTTGAGGAATAGGATGGATAGTGGAAGCGGATTGATGGTGATGATAGAAGGACACAATTGGTGTGATGGAGAGGTGTCAATCTGGCCCGGGATGATACAACTTCAATGATCTGGCTTGGGAGACGAATGGAAAATAATGAAAATTCTATCACAGAATTGCTGGCATGGCATGATTACAGGAAAAAGACCAATTTTTAGCGCCGTGAGCGCACGCTTTCCGAATGCATGGATCAATTTTTTTTTTTTAAAAAAAAAAAAAAAATAGACAAATTTTCAAACTTGACCGCCGATGTTCTGAATAAAGCCATAGTAGGGCATGTTCATGGCCCTTCATTACCCTTTCCTCCTGTGCGCGACATGACGAAAGAGAAATTGCAAGATTCAAACATGCTAATCTAGGCACTCACTAGGGATGTTTTATATTCTGTTGCAGGGAGATGAATGAGATTGGTAATGCAAAATCAATCTGATTTCAGCCCTGTAGATATCCGGGGGGGAATAATCTGGATAATTATGCTTCATGTACAGAGGGAGGGTCGTCACATTAATCGAGCTTCTTCAGACGTCTGGCAGCTTCCGCAGCAACCACAGAACACAACGCCCCGATGAACATACAAACAGCAATAGCATTCGGTGCGTTCTTCTTCAGATTCAGCCATCGGTGATGATCAGGATCTTCATCACCCAAATGATCATTCTTATCTGGCTCGAGAATGGAGAAAACAATCCAGCTCAGCATCGTCCCGACAAATTGCGGCAGAGTAGTGTAAACATTCAAGACACCTAAGTAGATGCCAGCGAGCTCACCGGTGGAAGAATGTTCATCTTGCCCATCTCGATGGTTGAGCATAAGCACACTTTCAGAAATGAGCCTGGGTCCTCGTCTGGCTTCTTCCATTTCTACATCACCGTCTTCTTCCTCCATGCTTCCGCGAATGGTAGTGTAACCGGGTACAATGGACCCACGAACGTATGTATGTCCACTTGAGGACTGTTTGTTGATTTCAATGCCGAGTAAACCGAAAGGGGCCCAGCATGATATGGCCCATGGGACCCCACAGGATCCGACCATTGCAGTAGCGGCTACCAAGCTCCGAATCAAAGGTGCGCCAATGGTGATTTGGGCAAAGAGGAGATTCGACACCATCCACGCGGACGTCAGGTCAGGTCGCAGGTTGTAAAGCTTGACCAAGAACGACTGAGCCGGCTTTGGCAGTGAAGGATGCGGCCGAGGCGTAAATTTCTCTTCCTCAGCCTCTACTGACCGAATGATATAGGGGAGGACGACAGATGAGCAAAACGTGACCAGGGAAAAGATTACCAAGGAGAAGCTCCCCAGCCTACCAATATTTCCCAGGGCGTCATGCTCGTCTTTCGAGCCGGGCTCAGGAGGCGGATGCTCATCTCGATAGAAGATCTCCCCTACGAATGTGCTGGAGTAGAAGAGGAATGGAAACCTACGTCGAGAAGAGTCAGCTGGAATTGAACGTAGCCCATCGGAAATGTACTTACCAACCCACCCAATTCCAGAACTGCACCCAGCATATCGATTGTATCCGCGGAGGCAGATTTAATGTCCTATGCCAAAGGCCGGACAGCACTTCCGTCACGGAGGGTTCGTCGTCGTCTCCAAGCAGTCTTACCCTTTCAGTGACCGCCCAAGATGTTATGCCCACTGTAATCCACAGTGCCAGTGCAGATATTACCGTCATCTTCTTAAACTGGGTGTCTCCTCCCAACCAAGGCGGGAATATACTCACCAAATCCAGCGTGCCGATGAAATAGCCGGCGAGGTGTCCAGCTGCAGTAAGCCTGGATGCCCAAGCCGATCCTGCTTGTTGTTGGGAGATTGGGAGTGTATCAACAATCAAGCTGCGACAGCAGGCTTGCACTGCATTAATCGAGAAGTCGACAACATAGATGCACAGAATGGCGAGCAAGATCGTAACAGCTTTCTTAGTCTCTCCTTCTGGGACGAATATTCCCACAACTTCGGATGTCCAACCGAGCAAGAGCAATCCTATGCCCGTAGTGATTGCACCAATGATCATGTATGGCCTCCGTCTGCCATATCTTGATGTAGACTTATCCGCATATGCGCCAACGACAGGTTGCATGATTAAGCCCGAGAGTGGACCTGCAATCCAGACGAGAGACGTTTTCGATTTGGTGAGACCGAGTTGAAGGAGATAAGGGGTGCCGTCTGATGTAAAACGACTCAGCAAGAAAGGCTCTGTTGGTACCTCGGGCTCTGTCTCTTACATGTCATTTCAATGCCCCAGGTGAACCTGATCGTGACGTTCTTAGCGAGATCTGAAAGAGAAAGGGATGGATCAACATACTGCAGTCCAATTAGAGAGAACGTGAGCAAGCACATGCGAACGGCCTCTGTCGAGCCCTTGATTGAGGGTGTCCCGCTCCATAACGCCGTGCTCTGCATCTCATGAGTGTAAGTACATGTGATGCGATAGATCGACGTGGAGATGTTGCGCCGTACCCGCTACTGCCGCGGTATAGACGGACTTGCAGGCAACTCCGATCCCAGAGACAGAGATTTAAGTCTGTCAGGAGTCTCTGCCGGGAATCGAGGGATTACAAATGTCATTCTTGAAAAGGGGTGGTCGTTATCGCGGTACAAAAGGAAGATCTCACGTTACGCGTGTTGGCAACGCAGGGGAGTAAAATTATTGACAGAGACAATTCCCCCGCATGCAGATTGCAGATAGCATAATACTGTAACTGAACAGGGTAAAATTTGGCGAGAATAGAAACGTATTCTCAATTCTAGCTATGAATGAATTAGCTTTTCCTCCCCCCCTTTTTTCCTCTCTATCTGAAACCTGCACTGTGAACTGTGAGGTAGGTTGTGGTCAATAGGAAAGCTTTTCATCTGATCGGATTTTTCATTTCATGTAATCAGTCGAGGTTGCTCCAGTTCCTGAATGAAATCAGTCAATCGTATTGGGTGCTCCACTTTAGACGGCCGCACCAGAAATGAAGAACCATTTATCAACACTTCCATCGATTGGCGCCGGTGGGAGGTTTTGGCCAGGTGGGATCTTCGCGAGCTGTGATGGGTCGACACGATCTGGAGAGCTGAGGTTGGTGACGTTGGCCAGGCTAATGTCACCACGTTGCTGTTTTCCGGTGATCAGACGTTCCCAAGCATCGCTGCATTCGCGAATTATTTCCTCGGCATACTTCTTGTTCTTGCATTCACCGCTGAAAGCAAATTGGTTTTCAGGCTTTCCATCAGGGATTTTGTAGATACGGAACCATTCGTTGGTCGCTCGGAGAAGGCCGGGAAGGTGACGCTCCACGTCTTCAATGTCATTCAACTTGGGAGCTAGAGGGTCGTTGACCTGTTACGCATATGGTCAGAAGGCCGGAACAGTCCAATGTAAACTCAAGATCGCTTACGTCGATGACAATAATCTTCCAGTCGGTCTCCTCCTCATCCAGCAGCGCCATGACACCAAGAACCTTGACTTGCTTGATTTGACCAGTGTAGCCGACCAATTCACCGATTTCGCAAACATCCAAGGGGTCATTGTCGCCCTTGGCTTTGGTCTCGGGATGGACAACATTAGGATCTTCCCAGGTCTAGAACAATCAGTCGATTGTACATCCGTGTATCTGTTCGCCACTCACTCTTGGGAAAGCTCCGTAGTTCCACAGATAGCCTTTGTGTGGGAAGCAGTTTCGGACGAATCGAAGCTTGCCTTTCTTGACATCCTGCTTGATGGGATTCCTGGACCAATTGTGTCAGATGTGGTGTGATAAGGAGATCGGGAGTGGTGGCATACAGGAATTCTTCCTTGGAGATCTGGCCAGAACAGTCAGCAAAATGGTACATCGAATCATTTAATGCCAGGTTTCACAAACCTCCAGCTTTGCATTTGACCATCTTGGGATCTCGACGATCATGTTCAGCACCGTCTGTTGCTCATTGGCATAGAGGGGAATGTCATGAAAAGGTGAGAGAGGCATGCCATCCTTCTCAATATAGCATCTGAACTCGTTTGTGTGAAGAGCACCATTCTTCCGAGGCTGGTACTCGGAGGCCTGTTTGCTGTACGACATGGTGGCGGTAGGTGATGAAGCAGCCGTAGCCAAATGTCGAGAAATAGCCTCAGAGCGTTGGGAAGCTATGTTCGCAGACGTGGAATGGAGGAGACGAGGAGAAATGGGTTCTGGCGAAGGCGTGGTGGGAGCCAGGGCGCGGGGTGTTGACAATTGGCGGTGAAATGACAGCGGACTGTGAGTGGCAGGAGGAAGAGGCCTGTAGCTGTTGCGGATTCTGATGCAGCTGCAGGTTCGCGGGCTGAGTTTTTGCTTGAACGGGCTGGAGGATTGAAGCATGTGCCTGAGGAAAATGAAGGAAGACGACGGAAATGGTCTCTAATTAACTCTTCTACTAGTCTTGAATCTGACTGTGCTTTTGCCCACCTTGGGTATCGACCGTAACTTGTCTACGGAATATTTTGATTTGGTTGCTGGGTGAAGCATCCGCAGAGTTTTTGGACGTACCTTTGGCTCTCTTTTTACCATTTGCCCGACCGTATACCCGAGAGGTGTTATCGTTATCTCCACGTGATGCTGCTCAAGTTTCTCCGATCCATATTCGCACTGCGCAAGCCATGATTCTGTAGAACAATTCAGCCTCCCACTTTATATCCGCTTTCGTATGAATGTCGGCCATGCCGTTCGGCCACGGCCTCTGCTACGACACATTCTATCCTTCATAAAGCCGTTCGCCGTGTTTCGACCTGTGTGCCATAAAATGACGTCTCCTACCGTCCAAGATTCTCCTGCAAACCTCGATCCTCCCCATGTTGTTATACCTAGAAGAGGCGTTGACTACCGCGGCAAGGTGGTTCTTGCTCCTATGGTACGGTCGGGGGAACTGCCTTCGCGCTTGCTGGCCTTGAAATACGGTGCAGATCTCGTATGGGGACCAGAGACAGTTGATAGATCGATGATCGGGACAACTGAGCACACCAATCCTCGGACTGGTTGTATAGAATGGACTCGTCGTTCGAACAACAACTCCGACCCTGATATACCAGCAAGGGAATCAGTCATATACCGAATCGATCCTAACCGAGAGTCGACAAAGTTGATCTATCAGATCGGGACTTCTTCGCCTGATTTGGCCGTGCAAGCTGCGAGTCTTGTGGCGCCTTATGTGAGTGGGATTGATGTCAATGCCGGCTGTCCTAAACCCTTCTCTACCGTAGGAGGTATGGGTGCAGCCTTACTGCGGAATCCAGACCATCTTTGCAACATTTTGATGGCCCTTGTCACTCGTGTTGGAACGCCTCACGAAATTGGTATCAGCGTTAAGATTAGACTGCTCGAAACGCCCGAGCTGACCTCTTCGCTTGTAAATAAGCTTTGCAAGACTGGAATCACTGGCTTGACCATTCATTGCAGGACAGCCCCCATGAGACCACGCGAGCGTGCTATCCGAGATCAGCTGCGCATGATCGGTGACATATGCAGAAGCCGTGGCGTCGCTTGCCTGATGAATGGAGATATTACGTCCCGAGAAGAAGGACTTGCTCTTGCTCAGGAGTATGGCGTGGACGGAGCGATGATTGCTACCGCTGCTGAGGCTAATTCATCTGTTTTCCGCACTAGAGATCAAGGGGGTCGGGCTCCTTGGCAAGAAGTTGTCGCGGAGTATATACAACTGGCGATGAGCGTTGAAAACAAGTGGGGAAATACCAAATTTCTCTTATCACAGCTCATGCCTGGAAAGAGTCCCGTCTATCAACCCGTTACAAGGTCACGGAGCTACAGCGAAGTTCTTTCAATCTTAGACATCTCCGATTCCGGCATTGTTGAAAAAGCAAAAGAGATCGACCAGATACTTGGTCTCGATATTCCGAAGACCACGAAGGCGGATATCAAACGTCAGCACAAGCAACAAAACAAGGAGAATCAGGAGAGGAAACAAGAAAAGAAGAGGGCTCTTGAGCAGAGACGAGATCAAAACGAACATATTCGTAACGAAAGTGAAGAGCGAAGCAAAAGGCCAAAGGCAGAGATAGCCACCGAAAACGTAGGTTTTGACGGTGTTGGACAGAGAGCGATGGCAATCGCAGCTTGAGGACACAGACAGATGTGGAATTGCTCGAGATCGTCACAGAGATGATCCTTCTAGAATGAAGTCCTCACAACTCGGAGAACAGTCTCCCGGGATTCGGAGGGAAAAAAAAAAAAGAGTAGCCTGACGTTCATATCTCGAATCGAAAGGGATGCCAAATCTCCGCATTCGACCAAGTTCGAGAAGCCTGTGTCTTCCATTACCTGATGGCAAATGCAAATTGAATTCGCAAGAATCTCGTGGAGGTCAAGAATCCTCGACATTGTAGCGTCACCCTTGGAGCATCCTTGGATGTCGCATTGTGCGCTAACGCTGGAAGGAGGGATCATCGAAGATTATGCCTCGAAACTGAGCCAGGAATACCGGTAAGCCACCAAAGGTTGGAGAGCTTCACAATGGCATCATACGTTGGTCGCATTCCTTTACCACCAACCAAAGCTAAACATACATTGTCTGATTCGACAGCCACAGAACAGGAATTCCTGTGTGTGGTCTGGGATCTTAAAATCTCCTCCAATTTCCTGCCCAAATTGAACTCTCTTTCTCGTCGCGTCTCTAGAATTGGCGCTTGGTGTTTCAGCATCTTCGGCCGAGTCTCCCCTTCAAAACAGAGATCTCATCGCCCAGACTCCCGCCACAGCCCGTGACCAACGTTTGTCTGAGGTCATCTCAACATAACGAAGCTCAGAGCCATTTCGAGCTCTTTCTTTTCAAGACAAATTCACAACCCCAATCTGACGAGCGTCCCTTCAAACACGAATCAAATCAGCCCGAAAGTTCTTCTTTCCTTGCCGAAACCCTCGCATGCCTATCGACCTCTTCGACAATCTCCTGCAAACCCACCCATTTGACCTTCTTGCGTTCCGTTTCTGATTTTCTCTTCTCCAACGCATCTGCCGACCAGCTGTACTTCACCGTCTTGCCATCTTTAAAGCCTAGCTCTAAAACCGCTGGGTCCGTCGACGCCCGTGGGAATTGTGTCGCGTTGATTTTAATTGTCTTGTGAGCCTGGGGGGAAAGGAGGTTGAGGAAGAGCCGCGGGATTCGGGATGTGGGTTGGAACGGGTTGAAGGCGACTTTTAGTGTGGTAAGGTAGGTTGTTATCATCGCGAATAGGTTCGGTCTGTGGTGCACGAGAACGTTGTAGCGGCGATAGTATATGGTGGTGCTTGGACTCCGAGCAAGGAGAGAATGAAGGGGTCTGTAGCTTGACCGATCGAATAGTAGTTGTCGTTCTGAAGCTGACTCTTTCGAAGGAGCCAAGTCTCAGGAAACAGCAATGTGGTCAAAGGCTGACGGGACCGAGACTGAAGCTTTTCTCGTCTGTCGTGGGAGCCTTTGTAAAAAATGTGAGTTTCGAGAAGCTGCGCCTTTCAATGTCGAGAAACTTGTACGCTAAGCAAAAGGTTATGGAGTGTGGTGGGTGGAGTGTGGCTGTTGGAGAGTGGCTGCGAAGCTGGGCGAGCCCGTAGTGTAATTTCTGGCTCTGTGGTTAACCAGCAACCAAAAATTGTACTTGTAGTGCTGAAAGCATTTCCAGCTTTGCCACTGCCAGGAGGGTTGACATGTCGTTCTCCTTGACTCAGCGACTGCAAGCTCTCGCAGACTCTTACAAAGAAACCTTGAATTTGATCCAAGAACTACGAAAATTCTCTCCCGCATCATACCCAGATGGAGATCGAGCAGAAAGAAGACTGGAACTTGCGACTGAAATTCATGACAGGTTGAAAGAGCAGGAAGACACTCTAGACATCCTCAGGCAAGAACTTGAAGACGAATCAGCACCATCCTCGCGACGAGATCGACCGTCCTCTCCCGGAGACAGCGAACGCGAGCGAAATGCGGACTTGGTGGCCCGACTTACTGAAGATTTGAAAAGTGCCAGATCCAATTTCAGGCGGGCACAACTTCAGTCAAAGAGAAATGCTGATAATGAGAAGCGAAAAGAGAGGGAGCAGCTATTTGCTGAGCGAAAGGACAGTGGTCAACCTCGAGGACGTGCCACGCACGAGAAGTTGACCCAGGATGAACTTGCTTTGCGAGCGGCTGACGACGTTACGATGGCTCTGAGGAGAGTTCATAATCAGTTGGAAGGGGAGTTGTCGCGATCACAATTCGCCCAGCAGACTTTAGAGGAGAGTCAGCAAGCACTGGAGAGTCTGTCTCAGAGCTACGTTGGCACAACCGATTTGCTGAAGTCCTCGAGGGGATTCGTGAGCCAGTTAGTTCGCAGCAATAAAAGCGACACTTGGTTTTTAAGAAGTTCCTTCTACATTTTGGCGGCAACGATATGTTGGCTCTTTTATCGGCGAATTCTTTTTGGTCCGATGATGTTATTTATCTGGTGGCCTTTGCGAATGATTTGGTGGTTCGCAACGACGAGCCTTGGGGCTATGGGGCTTGGGAGAGTTGAGCTTGCATCATCACCGGCTCCAATACCCTCTTTGTCAGTCTCTGTGCCTGGTGTGAACGCAAAAGGAATGCCGACACATAATCCCAACATGAAGTTTAAGAGTATGGAACTTCCAGCAAAAGGAGGAGGGTGGGAAAGGCCACCTGCACATGTGCAGCAGCCTACCCCCGAGGAGAGCGTTGTCGAAACAATAAGTCGCATGATAGAAGACCACGGGACCAATATGGATGATTTATCGGGAGAGGAACGGAAAACTCAACAGGAGCAGCCGCGAAATTCCAAAAAGCGAATGATGGAGGTGGAAATTGAAACTCCGGGGGTATCAAGAGACGAATTATAAGTCTGTATGCCACATTGTTTCGAGCATTGACTTTTCGGTTTCGTAAATTTCCAGAGTCTACGACTCCATGATGAGTTTTGCATAAAAACGAGGCATTTGCCCATAGCCTTTACTAAATGGGGTTTGAAATCTTTGCCTCCTGGATATCGGAGCCTTGCCTGATCACATGGCCGTGACAGTCGCCAAGGCCACTTTACGCGACTTGATGCGCGTTCTCTCCATCGTTTCGATGTCGGGAACATCCCACACGCAACAAGACACATCCGCAAGTTCTACGTTACGGAACGGACACGATGGCGAATTTCTTCGACAACAAAGCCCGCGCCGCCGCCGCCGCTTCCAGCTTGAAAACCAAACCCAGCGAGTCTGTCGTCGCAGCCCCTCGAATGCAGCCATGGGTGGAGAAATATCGACCGAAGAGTCTCGAAGAAGTCAAGAGCCAGGAACATGCTACCGAAACCTTGCGCAGAATGGTCAATGCCTCGAATCTTCCTCACCTCCTGCTTTACGGACCAGCGGGAGTGGGGAAGACGTCGACCGTTCTTGCGCTGTGTCGGGAATTGTTTGGACCAGAACTCTTCTCCTCGCGAGTGCTTGAGTTGAACGCATCAGATGAGCGAGGCATTACCGTCATCAGAGAACGAGTTAAGCAATTTGCGGCCCTGCATCTTGTCAATGCGCCGGTGTCAAAGGAGTACCGAGCTCATTATCCATGTCCGCCTTTCAAAGTTGTAAGTATCAATCAATGGATCGTATTGATGAGAGTACGGCTTCTAGACCAATCTGCAAATTCGCTAACAAACAGAACCAGGTCATCCTCGATGAAGCCGATTCTTTAAGCCAGGATGCTCAAGGAGCTCTCCGCCGAGTGATGGAGATCTTTAGTGGAAGCACGCGCTTCTGCCTTTGTTGCAATTACGTTAGTCGAATTATCAGCCCAATCGCAAGTCGCTGCTCCAAGTTTCGCTTCAAACCCTTGGAAGGTGAAGATGCCGCAAACAGAATCAAAGAGATTTTGACAGCGGAAAATGTCAAGTGCGATGACGGCGTTATTGAGAAGACCCTCAAAGTTTGCGAGGGCGATCTACGACGTGCTATGAACCTGCTTCAGAGTGCTGCTCGACTAGTGGACTCCTCGAATCCCGATTCAAATGGAAAGCAATGCTCGAAGGACTTGGACGAAGAGATGGCAGACAGCGATACCAATAAAGCCCCCCCGCCCAAATCAAATAGCATCAAGGTCTCTGTCATTGAGGAGATTGCTGGCGCCTTTCCTCAAGATTCGGCTGATCAGTTGGTCGCAGTCCTCAAGAATGGCAATACGCGAAATTACGACTCTGTGGCGGCGGAAATAACAGACATTGTGGCGGCAGGGTATCCGGCCAATGAGGTCATATCGAGCCTCTACCAGAAACTGATCTTTGACGACCTGCTGGAAAATAACAAGAAATATAAGCTTACAGGCGTCTTTTCCGAGTTCGACAAGCGTTTGGTTGATGGTATGGATGAACAGCTTGCCATGCTGGATTTGTCGTGCCAGATTGCTGGCGTGTTAGCTGCTTAGCGATGTTCTGGACGAGCGGTTTTCATAAGATGAGAGGAGAGCGTCTCATGAATCAAGGGACGGGGTCATTGATTTTGCTGCATGAGCGATGGTGTTATGGTCGTAAAACCGTCTGACGAGGATGTGATGAAGAACCCCGAAAGGCATGATACAGGCATCTAAGTCATGGCGCTGTAATATATGAAATTCAACACAGGGATGAGCGGTGCTGCTCCATTGACACGAAAGACCGCCTCCCATCCTGATTTTTTTATTTTTTTGTTTTTTTTCTTTCCTTTTTGGATTTCACATCCAAGCCAGCCAGTCAGTCAGTTCATTCCAGCATTCCGAGTTCGCGTCGTAGCGAGCCTGGCCAACACATGTGCCAATTCAGCCCTTGTAGTAGGATTTTCCACTGTGGTGGTCGACGTAGCTACCATGGGTTTTCTTAGCAAACTCTTCAGCCCGGTTTTCATGTCCAACACTATCATATCGTTATCTTCGTCCGTATCAACGCTTCCCGGACGCGTAGGCTGATCCCCGCCCTGTCTATCCGGCAAAAGACTCTGTAACTCAATGCCTTCTTCAGTCTCCCTCGGTCGCTCTCGAGCACGTGACCTAGCACGGCCAGCCTCCAAGTCGGGCGGTTGTGACTCTTCCTGTGATATTATATCCCCTAACAGAATTTGCTTTTCATTTCCGACCACCAACATGAGTAATTGCAATCCACAAATGACCACGTCCAGAAACACCAGGCGCCACTTTGTAGTCCCCAACTCCCCGACGAAATCGACGATCAGCCCCCCATGTAACCGTTTCGTACTGGACTTGTGCTGTAAAAGATGTGTCCCGAAACACAGGAAATTGGCAAAAATGACAGGCGGTAATTGAATTGAGCTCGGCGGCCGGTACTGGACGTGGAGGACTTGGGACACAGCGCGCAAGAGTAGGAGGAAGGTCAGGTTGTCGCATAGATACGAGATGCCCAGTTGGAGGAAGATAAGAGCATCTAGCGAGCGAAGGAGGGCGTTGATGTAATGAATCTTCTGGTCGGGGATGCGCAGGCTGCTGCGCTCCAGGCCAAGCGAAGATACAGCGATGCTGTCATTTTCGTTGGTATTCATACCACTACTCGTAGTTCCTGGGGGAGCGGAAGAGTTGAATGACAATCTCTCATCGTAGAGCCTCTGCGTGTGGCAGCTAGAACAAGAGTCGATTGTTCAACGCTGGCACTTTTGATAGAGCAAACCACTTGATGCCGAAGAAAGTTTTGTCTGCTGCGAGTCGACGTACTGCCGCCGAGAACCACGCTTGCGCTGATTCGCCCGTGTAAGCATCGCCTAACCCTAGACAAGTCGTTGCCCACCAGAACCACGAATCAGCCATCTTGAGAGGCCTTCTCAAAGTCATTTCGAGGGCGATATCAAAATCCAGCATGGATGGATATTCTCCCGTTTCTGATTTGAATCGGTTTCGTTCAGCTTTCGCCGTCTGCAGATTCGAAACGCTACTAACCATCCGTCGGTTCTTCTTTTCCTGCTGGCATAAGGATGTCCGTATCGTCCCCTTCAGCCTGGAGCTTTTCTTTTCGAGCACCGGAAGAGATTCCTGGCAGACCACATATTCCGCCTTCAACACATTGGTCTCTTTTACGACGACATAGCAGTTAATGGTTCTTTGAATTTGGTGAGAACTTTTCATCCTAAATTCTTGTCAGTACTCTCTAATGCGCTTACGCCTGATCATGTACGCCATATACATGCCACTACATCTGGTTTGGGGCACGAGGACCACGGACTGCACATCCAAACCCGTCATCTTCCTTGTGTTTTCCTTTCTCAAACAGTCCATGAATGAACGCCGCAATATGATTTCGGCTTCGGCGGAACATGAATAGCGATTTCTCCAGAGCTGATATAGCGGCCCTCGGACCACAGTACTCCATGCTCGAATGGGGCTTGACTACTTCCGCTTCTCCCTCCAGCTCATCATGGACAAATTTCTTCAATCTACTCCAAATATATGGGTTTGATCCAAGCACTCCGCACAGGACGATGGTCCCATAGAAGTCAGCTTGGATCAGCATACTGATGAGTATTACTTGTGACTGGCGTCGTCTACCTGGAGTCTATCGCCCTAAATATTAACTTATACAGGAAGAGTACGACGTTACTATCGAGGGGACGACCTATTCTTACACCTGGTGTGATCATTGAGTATGTCGTCTCAGTCAATCGGTGCAAGGAGAGGGACACTGGAACATACTAGAGGAGGTAACTACTTCGTATTAAGATGTGTTCTTCACAGCAAGATGTCTTTCAATATCAGGGACATTTTTCAATGCTGACACCTCTCAATATCGGGACAGCGTCTAGGATCAGGATAATGTATATGAAGCTCCAACAGTTTTTAAAGGGGAGAAAGGAATGAGCAGTCTTCTTCGAAGGGAAAGTACCATCGGCAATAGCGGATGGACCTCTGACGCAGAGTCAGAATTCCTTCTCAATCAGGTCAATATTCAAGAATAATATAAAGGCCAGGGGGGGCATCATTTTGAACCGTGGCATCTTTGACATTACAACATGTATCGCGATACGCACCGACCTTCGGCTCACGTGACCCGCCCTCCTCCATTTTCCAAATCACCTCCTCGCTCCCCAATCCGTGCCTTCCATGATCTTCTGCATAGCGGCATCGTCTCGAATCTTCATTGCCTTGGCCAACGCACTCTCGTCCAAACCGCGCGTACTCTTCATGTACTTCTTAAAGTCCTCACTCATCTTGACGACCTGGACGAGATGGCTGCGTTCCAAGACGATCGAAGCTGTCTTACCTGCGCGCCGTTTCTTCTCGGCATCGAACTCGGCAAGGGCGACGATCGTGTTGAATGCATTCCTGATCTCGCGACCATTCCACTTGAGATCCAACACACGTTGGTTCTCGAGCGCATAGTCCATGAGACCCGGTCCGACTTTGACATCGGGCCGTTCATCACCGAGTTTACGGAACGATGTTGTCCAGATCTTCTGGCGTTCAGAGTCGTCGAAGTCCGCGTAGTGGAGGACCACGTGGATACGGGAGAGCATGGCTTCATCGAACGTCCCGACACGGTTGGTGGTGAGGAAGAGGACGCCTTGGTAGTATTCGAGAGCGCGGAGGAAGATAGATACCAAGCTGTTGCGGGCTAGGTCTCCGCTCAGCCGGCTCTCGAGATACACGTCGGCTTCGTCGAGGAGGAGGACTGCCTTCCACAATGTGGCGAGCTTGAACCATTTCATCAATGCGCGCTCGACCTCGTTTGGCTCAATGCCCAAGTCTCCGCACGTAATCGCGAGTAAAGGAACTCGCGCCTCTTCTGCGACACATTCGGCGGTCGAAGTTTTGCCTGCCAGACGTTAGTCTCTAATCTCTAGCTGGGGATCTTGAAAAACTCACCAACGCCTGGCTTTCCATGAAGCAAAAAGATGCGGCCCTCGCCTTTATTCTGGACGATATCGGCGCTCCAATGGCCAAATCCTTCGCCGTTATCTTCACCGCCGGGATTGTCTTCCGATCCGATGCCGTGGGTGCTCGAGAGTGCTTGAATCAAGTTCTTTGCTTCGTCCTTCAGGACCAGATCATCGATGATGTTCTCTTGGAACACTGGATCTTTCAGATTATCGATATTCAGGAGGTCTGTCTCGGTGTCAGCAGATGGGGTCCAAAAGAAACGGCTAACTTACACCATCGACGCTCTCTCAAGACAAAACCCCAGATCCTCATGGGGAAGAGCATAAATTGGTCATCCGTGAATTTAATTTTGCTGGGCTCAACCAAGTCATACTCCGCCATTCCGTTGCGGCGGAGCGGTGTCTTCTTGAGATCCTTGATCCGGCGTCTATAGTTGCGCCTCTTTCGACGATTGTGATATCGCGAGTCCGAAACTCCGCTGCTGTCACTGTCGCTTGAGCTTTGTGACGCAATAATGCCGTCTTCAGTGGGGACTTTCAGCCGCAAAATTCGATCAGCGGCGTCATCATCATTGTAGTATGTTCGAGAGTCAATCATCACGCGACCGTTGACCATTCTCGAGGGAGTACTGATCGTGGCCAGAGTATCCCCTTTATAAGACATGTAGCTGCGCTGACAGAGTCGGACGTACTTTTGCCCTCTCTTTACCAACTTCTCTCGAAGCTGAGGGTCTCGGCAAAATTCAACCGGATAGACGGGTAAAGATGTAATCTCCTTTTCCCCTTCGAAGGGCGTAATCGTGACATTGCGAGGTCGGCGACCGACATGTGTTCCGTCGAACTCAAGATAGTGTAGTTTAACCACGACGGATTTGGGAACAGGACTGAATTCAACAGACTCTCCTCGAGACATGTTTGGAGGGCGAACTGCTTCGGCCAAACCGGGCCTTCGACGGGATGTTCTGGCCTTTTCGTACAGCCCTTCAAGCTCGTACCAGTCCACAATGTAGGCATCGACACTGTCACCAATCCAGGCGTAGACCATCGTCCCTGGTCTGAAAAGTAGCCAGGACATCGCATATGTGCATGTTGGTACAGGTTTCTTTCGCAAAGCCATTTCATGGTCGAAATTTTGGGTGAACTCGGGAGTGAACACGAAATCCAACAGCAGCGGGATGTGTTTCTTGGGCTCCAAATCGGGGGCCCTTTCCACGACGTCCTCTTCTTCGTCATCGTCCTTATCATCCTTGCTGGTGACGGGGGATTCCGGTTGCTTGGGTCGAGGAACAGGGTCATCAGGTAAACTGTCGCTGTACTCTTGCAATTCCTTTCGATAGTGAACAATAAGAGTATATGGAGCGGGTACGATCATGAACTCAAAGGCCCGACTCAAACCAGGATATACTTTCACACAACTCCTGATCGCCGACATTATAACATCAGAATAGATGACGACGTAGCTACCCAACCCAGCTATTACTTGGACAGGACGCATTGGTCGACCACTGGTGTAGGTTCGACTTCTCGAGTTTCGCCATCGGTCTTGTCCTATTGAATCAATGCTCGGACTTCTCTCTCTAGCATATGTAAATCGATCCCTGTCGTAACGGCTGCGGTTTTTTCGAGATCCTGGAGGAATCGAGTACATGCTTACAACCCTGAAGACGCAGTTGCTCTGATTTGCTCCATTGGCGCTCGAGCGTGCACCGATTTTAGAGATTTTTCGGGGCGCTGGTGTTGTGGTGGCATCGACCATTCCAGGCTCTTCGAGCTCGCCATCGGGGGACCGAGTATACTCATATAACTCGGTTTCATAGCTAATCGGCCCAGGCTTGATCTCTTCAATTATGGTTCCCCGTCTGGATATTTGTTGGGGTTGGCTATCCTCATCGTCATAGGCACAAATCGGTTGGTGACGATGAGCGACATCTTGGAAGGTAGGTATATCATTCCTTCCCCTTTCTCTCGGCGAAGGTGGTGGTGATAAGCCCCCGTAGTCGCTTATAGGTGTTAAAGCATCGCCAGCGGCACCCTGATTATTGGGAGCAGGATCATCCAGGTCGGAAACATCAGCGCCCGAATCGTCAAAAATCCCTTGAAAACTCTCCATCATCGTTGCTAAGGCTTGTTTGAGTTGCTGTTGTTTCCGCTTTTTTCGCGCAGCACGTGATCGATGAGCAGGCGGATTTTGCGGTAGAGTTTGGCTAGGAGAGCCTTCTCGCACAGGCTCTGGCTCTGCAGTCATGGCGATGTTCTCCTGTTCGTTGGAAGCTGGAGCATTTCCTTCTACAAACCCGGAGTCCATGTGAGCTCCAGCTGTAGGTGTAGACATTATGACGTCGAGGCTTCAAGGAGAGGAAGGAACTGAAATGAGAAGTCCTTGGAGATAGCGAAGTTTTTCTCAGACGACTGAATGTCCAGTTATACTCTCGTATCACACTGGATGAGACTATTCTTCAACCTGAAGAAGCTTCAGGCACCCTATAAGTACGAGCATAAACCCCTACCATCCAGGTCAGTGGAACGTTCGATGGCAGCAAGGACCAAAATGAAAAAGAATGAAATGGACGAAGTGAGGCTGAAAAAAATTGGGCGGCATGAAGAAAAGTGTTTGCATGGCACCAAGTTGAATCAGGCTGATCAGGCGTCCCATCACCCCTGCTAGCTTCCGCATCATGATCTAGCACCCCAGTTCAGCCGTGCTCAAATTCCGTCCGAGACGGTTTCCCCAGTAAAAGCGTTAAAACTCACGAGAAGAGTTGGGGGCTAAAAGGCCGAAGGCTGGCGCCACTGTCACGGCGGGTCATATCTGGTGAGACCGTGAACCTTGTTGGGCTACTTGCTGCATGCAGAAGGCCGAATTCGATGGTTGACTTCGTGAATCTTGATTGCTGACTTTTCTCCTTGATTTTATAGATGATGTAAGAGATATCTCTTCCAAACAATTAGCCATACCATCAGAGAAATGCCACCAAATCGAGTGACCGATCTAGCAGCCGCTCAGCCTAACACCCTGCTAAATTTCGCATGGGAAAATGCAGGTGCTGCCGACCAAACTACTCTCATGATGTCGATAGTGGACGATGCGAAGGAGCAGCGGGAGCAGGAAAAACTCCGGCTTCAAAGCTATTACAGTGGAAACGGTGCGCCCAGGTAAGGTCTTTGATATACGGAACGGACCGATTCGTACTCGTATATACCAATCATTATCACACAGCCTCGAGATCCAGTTTCTTGGAAATGAATCGACCCAACTGTCTCAAGTACTCCAGCAGCTCGCCCCGAATGATCCCAACAAAGTGTGGACGTTTCAAGACTTTCAGAACGCAGTTGAGGATGCGAAAGTCAAATGGGAGTCCAAGAAACGCCTAGGTGGTGGAAAGGTCCAGGCCACATTCCACAAACTGATGGGCAAATTTAAGACACACTCGAACCTGTTCAGTTTCATGCCCTCTGGTAACGAGTATACCTCGATCATTTGCTGGGCATGCTCGGCCCTGGTCAACGTACGGCTCCCCTTGTTCGCGGTGGGCACGCTCTCTGGCTCTAGCTCACACTGAATATAGGCATCTGTCCAGCACACCGATACGGTAGAAGAACTCGCAAATGTCATGGAGGTTGTCAATGAGGCGGCCTCCATGGTGGAGCTTGAATCCGGAATGTTCAAGGGTGAAGTGGTCCAGAGGGCTGTTGCTAAATTTTATACAGCTGTTTTCCTCTTGCTAGGCGATGTTGCAATGTGGTACAACTCGAAAAGCTGGGAAAAATTTCGAAACAGTTTCCACGAGGGATTCCATAAGCAATTTGCCTCTGCCCTTCAAAACGTACAAAGAATGTCGGCCGTTGTGGGTCGAACGGCAAGCATGGCTGCCGCAGCAGAAGGTCGCCATATGAGGCTCACTGTCGAAGAGCTTCGTCAGGAAATCATGGACGAGCGAGCTGGCTTGTCGGGGGCTCTGAGAAGGATCGCTCAGTCGCTAGCTGATCAATTCGCCGCCCATGCCCAGCGTCTGGAAGAGCAGAGCAAGCTGGACCATGAAGAAACGAGAAGACAGGTTCTGGCGGCCGTCAACGGTCAGATGCAGCATACCGAAGCATCGTATCGAAAGATCATCAACAGTGGATGGGACCTTCTACGCGAAAACCTCCGAAAAATTACATATGATCAGCAGGAGGACCGAAACAGGAAACAGTTGATGTATATGCAACAAAAATGGCTTATGGGGCCGGGAGCCGAGCTCGAGACAAATCACGATGATATTCCTAGCGGAGAAGCTCCCCCGAACATCGGTGAAATGCAGAAGCTAGTGGAGAACTTGCTCGTCTATATCACAAAAGGGGCTCGAATGCTGGACGAACCAGAAGAAGTTCTTCCCACGACAACCCACGAGAGGGTTGCGGTCGCGATTGGAACGTGGCTCCAGTCTCCCGATTCGGCAGTGCTCTATCTGGAATATCCGGCGATGTCAGGAATTATTCCACAAATATCTCTTGTAACTTATCGCCTTGTGCTCTCCGCTGATTCATTGAATGCTCCGATCATTTCTTTTTTCTGCAGACCAAGCATTCAACAGGAACAAGATGAGGGCGATGGCGATAGTGACCCGCTTGTTGGGTTGGTTTATTCCTTGACATACCAAATTCTCAGCCAGCTCCCGAGTCTACAAAGCCAGAGTACGATAAGTGCGGATGCCGATTTCGAAGGATTGGACGCCACCAGCTGGAAGAAGGCTCTGCAGTTATTCGAAAAGGCTCTCAAGTGGGTTCCGCCACTGATGTTGTGTGTCATCGACAGACTTGAGGAATTCGAAAGACGCAGAGAAGACCAGGTGAAAGAGCTGATCGATGTGCTTCGAAACCAGGTAAAAGAGCCCAGCAAAACATTCAAGGTGCTCTTTACTTCGAGCAATCGCTCCTTCGCGTTGTTAGACTCTCTGCCAAGCAGCGAGATCGACATCGTCGAAACCAACACTCACAGCTTCCGAGGAGGCGGCCCGGGAAGGACCCTCTTCATAGTTTAATGTTCACGGTGTGAACCTGTCTCGACGTTCCTGGGCTTCAAGCTGGTCGTCTCTTCACAAACTCCTCCAAGTCACTTCTAGTGACGACTCCAAGCACGAATTTCCTGTCTCCATCAGTGACAACAGCAAAATCTTGAGCATCCCCGGTAGCAAACGGTCCCACGTTCTCGAAGAAGCCTTCCAGCTCCCACAACTCTGTGTCCATGGTGATGACTTGGTATTTCTTTCCACCTTGACGCTGGAATCTCACCATGGCCTTCGAGACAGGGTCAGAGGGCTGTAGTTGCTTCGATTCGAACAAATTCTTGAGTCTAGAAATAGGAAGATACCCCAAAAGGGAGCGTGTGTTCTCGGACAGGACAGTTAGGTGCGAGTAGTCGTGCGAGGAGGCTGATAACATGGCAGAGGCAAGGGAGGTGCTTGGAGAGGTCGACAAGGCAGGAGGAAGGTCCAGGTCTGCAACAGTAGCACCACGGTATTTGTCCGCCCACGCGGACAGTTTCGCTGCGTGTTCGTCTTCGTCAGGAGGCATTCCGTCGGGTAGAGGCACGATTGTTTTGCCCAAAGGGACTCCTTGTTCGAGAACGGATGTCATTTTTGATGCGATCATTATAGAGCAGAGACAAATTTAAGTTTTGGCAAGGATGTGAAATCAGATCAGAGAAACCAGAGAGCGCTCAGTGGGCAGCTGCGGGCATTTGTCGGAATCTCGATATGTTCTGATATTTTGCCTAAGGGAAAAAAAAAAAAAAGCCCGCTGGGAAAAGAATTTGACGCCTCTCGAGCTCTACCCTTTGGGCTATTATCTAGCCCAAGAGCGCCCTCGGCGATGGCTGTTTCGCCCCCGTTCCACCTGTAGCAGTTGAGCCTGCCAGCCCTGTGACGAAACAACTCGTCAATGGTTGGTAACATATCTTTGTGTTAAGTAATGCACTCGCATGGCCCTGCCAGGTCCTGACTCTTTGAGTCTCACCCTTGCACAATTCGACCTAACTTGCCTACTCAGTAGCGTCCTCTGCTCTTCCATCTCCCAACTTTTTACTGTATCATCTATCCCATCGTCGCTCATTTCACCTTTCGACCATCCACCTGCTGTGGCATAGTCGTCTCCCCAGACTCGAGGTACCCCGCCCTTCCTCTCCCGAGCCCGTCCGCCAGGACTTGGGCTCACAGTTTTGCTCCATTGATCCCGGAGATAAGCTAACCTGCTATAGCACCATGGTCGGTCTCTTCCCGAATTCAACGGCCCTTCACCAGGCCTTCCTTCCTACTTCGCCATACTACAAGCCTGCTGCTAAGCCCGCCGAACATCCTCAGAAGCGTCCCATTTTCTCAGCGTGGAGCGCGGCGGAGACTGCCAAAGACAAGGCCATTGAACTGAGCGGAGCTGCCCAGGCCGAGTATGAGAAGGCGAGCCAGAAGGCTCAAGCTAAAACTGGAGGCATTGAACTCTATTCAGCCAAATACTATGCCGCGTGCACCGTGGGAGGCATCCTAGCTTGCGTATGTTTGCAATGGGACGTACTACTACGATGCTCTCGGAGCTGACCCCGCGCAGGGCATCACCCACACAGCAGTCACTCCTCTCGATCTGGTCAAATGCCGCCGTCAAGTCGATCCTAACCTCTACAAGGGCAATTTCGAGGCTTGGAAGAAGATTGGAAAAGCTGAAGGCATCCGCGGTATCTTTACCGGTTGGGGCCCAACTTTCATCGGCTACTCTGTCCAGGGTGCCGGAAAGTATGGCTTCTACGAATACTTTAAACGACTTTACAGCCAGCTCGCTGGTGAAGAATATGCAGCCAAATACAAGACCGTCCTGTACTTGACGGCCTCTGCGTCCGCCGAGTTCATCGCCGATGTTGGACTCTGCCCATTCGAAGCTGTGAAGGTCAGAATGCAAACCACCATCCCCCCGGCCTTTACCGGGACCATGCAAGGAGTAGCTTCAATCACATCCAAGGAAGGTGTTGGCGGGTAAGTGGTGGTCTTGTGTGTCGATTCGTGCGAGTCGTTAACAACGGTCCTTCAGGTTGTACAAGGGTATCTATCCATTGTGGGGCAGACAGATTCCTTACACCATGATGAAATTCGCGTCTTTTGAGAATATTGTTGCTGCCATCTACAACTATCTCCCGGGCCAAAAGTCAGACTACAACAAAGGAGCCCAGACTGGCGTTGCCTTTGTTGGTGGTTATCTCGCCGGTATCCTCTGCGCAATTGTCTCACACCCCGCCGATGTCATGGTCAGCAAATTGAACGCGGAGCGCGCTCCTGGCGAGGGATTTGGCGCTGCTATGAGCCGAATCTATGCAAAGATCGGATTCATGGGTCTCTGGAATGGTCTCATCGTGAGAATTGTGAGTTCGAGAAAATTTCTGTCCTGCTGCAAACGAATGCTAACCACATGATCTTCAGGTGATGATTGGAACGTTGACTGGATTGCAATGGATGATTTATGACTCTTTCAAGATCTTCATGGGCTTTCCGACCACTGGAGGAGGCGACGAGAAGAAGGCCAAGGCATAAAATGGTAGAACAAGATGAGACCGAAGACACGAAATCCCCCTGGGTACAGGCGGCTCTAGATGAATTTGCACATTAGCTGGGACTTGGTCAAGAATAGGACTTTGCTTGTCGGTAGTAGTTATACTGCGAACTATTGAAACTCAACTGTTGTGAACTCGGGCAGCCCTGCGGATAATAAAAGTACTAGTATCGCTATTAATCGAATATTGGGTACGCAATGGATTGACCCTATGAAAATGGTTGCCTGCAGTGCCAGTGGGCGGAGGGGCAACCTGGATTGGCCAGCGATAGGCAAGGCTTGGGCATGCACCTTAGCCAAGCTTGGCCGACGTCAAAACTCGCCCTGGCAAATCAAACGTCATGGCAGGCGAATGGCGAGAGTTCAGGCGAACGGTCATGCCACAGCGTCCATTGCTTTTTGTCCCCTCAATGGCCATGGCATTTTCTTGGTCCCGCCGCTTGCTGTTCTCCATATCATTTCACATTCTCTCAGCTCTGTATTTTCTTCTCTTCTACTAAACATCCTTTCACAGTCAAGTCCATCGCTGAAACCATCTGATTTTCCATTTGGAAAAAGGCTGCGGAGGCCCCCAAAATTTTTTTTTTTTTGGGATCCGACATCTTCGAGTAAGCTCTCAAACTCCCGGGGACCATACAGCCTTGCCCTTTGTCTGCGGCGTTCCATCAGCGGTCACAGCCGCATGATGAATTGAGGACCACAGGCGGTTTTCGAGAGGATTGCGGAAGAACAATCATTGCTAACTGCTTCAAGCGCTACATAACAGAAATGGCAAACGTCTCTCACGGCCGTGGCGGTAAATTCTCCCCCTTTGCAGAGCATCAAACAACCAGCAAGCTAATGTATGTTCAGGTGCCGCCAACATTGCACCCGACGATACCCCCTACACCGACGGCGAGATTGTTCGCAAGGGAGAAGTAGGAAACCAGGGAGATGGCCCATACTCTGCCGGGCGTGGCGGCGCTGGAAACATTGATAAAGATGGGAAGACGACGGCCTCGACACCACATGACGCAGATGTTATCCCCCAGACAGCTACCCGAATCTCCAAAGAAGAATCTCACCACGTCGGCCGAGGAGGTGCAGGCAATGAAGCCCATGTACACGAGAAGAAACATGAAAGCTTCATCGACAAGATTAAACACTTCTTCACTTCCAAATAGGAAGAAGAAGAGGATGGGCTGGATGGTGGAATGATCGTCCGCATTGTGACGTGTTAATGGATGATACCCTGCAATATTGATTGGCTTTGAAAATGTCGTTGAGAGGCTAGCCGTATGCTCATCGCGATCACCACCTCGTGATCTCTAGATAGAATAGTAGTCCAGAGGCACAATCCGAAGATGTTCTCGATTGTCTTTCCCGTGATCAGGCTGGAAGCAACCGTAGTACTCGCTATATCGACACTGGGGACCCGCATGTGCTCTGAGTTTCGCGAATGATTGTCGAGAGGATTTTGCATCATTTTGCTTTGATCGCATCAGTTCTAGGCTCCGGCCCAGATCCAAACGTGGATCGCGGGCCTTGCCGAAAGTTAGGTAGGAAAATCAATGCCGGTATCCTGTTGTTTGGGAGAGAGCACTCAGTTGTCTTATTCGTACTAAGCCACTACAAAGCAATAGGACTTTCTCCTGAGGAATACATGCCTTGGATGGTGACATGTTTGCTGCCAGGAGCCGGGGGGTTGTCGGACTACGGAGGACATAGTCCGCAAAGCATTAGATAGCTCCACAAGCCATTGACTAGCCACGTGTAGACGCAGCCGACTCGACGCTGACACAGACAACTGACCAAGGCGTGTTGGGTCTCATCAACTCCCAGCTTCAATCATCATCACCGATTCTTTTAACGCCAGCCATCGATGCTGTTGCCACGGCCCCTCGCTGCTAGGAGCTGATTGCTTTCAATCAGGACCAGCACCACGTGCAGGCCAGGACACGACATTGTCCGCGACCTCGAGAATTTAATTTCACCTCGTCTCCGCCTCACGTTCAACACCTTCGCTGCAGACTCTTGTCGCGTCCGATCGATCAGTGGTGTCCATCTGCCGCATCTGGGGTGCAGGAAATTTTCACATAAACGCGATCGTTTTTGGCCCAGATAACGTGGGCTGCCCTATTTATTACCGGTCCTCCATGGCGTCGACTGCACCTGCGACGGAGCCCTACCCTCCTAACATGCCACTTACCCCAGGCGACAGCGAGAACGGAGATCTTAACGAAGACCCAACTGAGGGCATCCAGGAGTCTTCCAGCGAAAACTCCCAAACGGCCAGACGAAAGCGCAGCGCCGCTGAGATGGAAAACAACCCTAACGGGAGGGGTGCGGAAACTTTAGAAACCATTGAGGCCGAAGTTAGTCCTGACTTTACGATTTTGTGTCCTGTGCAAGCCAGAGACGCGAATTCACCTGGAATCGACTTATACATCGAGCGTGACGCTCCGATACTGGCGCCTGAACTGGCCATCGAGTTTGGGGTAACACCGGGAAAGAAGTGGCACAACATGACCACCTTCAAAAATGCCAAATGTAAGTAAGAGTCAAAGACATGAGATAACGCTTCTGACGACGTTTGTCCTTCAACAACAGTTAAAGATCCATTTGTCCTCATTTATTCCAAAGGGCAGATTGTCTACGTCAATCGTCACAGCCCTGTCCCGTCGTCTCCTCCCGCCGACGCGTCTGAGGACGAGAGATTACGATATGACAAGGAAAATCTTTGGGTCGGATTGATCTCCGAGTTCCGGGCTGAGAATCAAGAAAAGGTTTATGTCCGAGTTTTCTGGCTGTATTGGCCAGAGGAGCTACCCATGGGCCGACAGTCATATCATGGAAAGGGAGAGTTGGTGTTGAGCAATCATGTCGACATCATCGAGGCGCAGACGATTGCCTGTCACGCCGAAATCAGTCATTGGGACGAAAATGACGACTCGAACAAGACGGTGCTCCAGGAACGATATTGGCGACAGACCTTGGATCTCAACAAGTCGGCGGTGGATCCGAAAAACGCATTGAGCAAGCTGCGAAGATTCTGCATATGCGGTGGATATGACAACCCTAGCTTGGATATGTACCAGTGCAAGACGGTGGGTTGTGGCATGTGGAATCACGAAGCATGCTTGAAGAAGGACATGGAAGAGAGGGCATGGGAGAAATTCAAAAAAGGAACCTTGGGCCACGAAATCCCAGACAGACGGGAAGACAGGGGCTTTACACAGAAGGTAGGAGAGACGTTCGGTCATTTGGTCAAGAAAGGACTGGGACGAGAGGAAGGCCCGAATGAGGCGCAATCAAACACGACAACTATCGCCAAAGGCAATAAAAAGCTCAAATTGACATCGGGAGGCAAGAAGCCATGGACAGGCAAGTTAGAGGCCAATATCTTCAAGCTGCAGAGGCCTGGCCAAGAGGACACCCACGCTGCGACGGTGACTCAACTCGTTCCAACAGCGACGAGTAAAGCAGTGCCGCAATTCGAGGCGAAGGTATGGAACATGAAGATGTGTTGCCTGAAATGCCAGGAGTCATTGAACTGAATGATGAGGGCACAGGATGGGATGCCCTCTGATCAGGATTCATTTTATGTTTCTGTTTTTTTTTTTTTTTTTCCAGAGTGGCAAATAGGGAGGTTGCCTAACCTCCCTTGCACACGAGAGATGTGGATACAATTTTAGTTTCGGGCGTTTGAAAAGCGATTGGGGAAACGAGGTAGTCTGAATAGTGATGAATGCATCGGAGTTGTTTGGCTGTTTTGGGGCGCCTATAATATCTGATTTTTCTGATCTCTGAGAATACCGGGCTTGTGTACAATATTGTAGGATCTGACTTTTGACTGATACGAATACACAGGATTGCATTCTGATAAGATCCCATGGCCCCTGAATTACCGCCTTTCGCATCGGCTGCCACGTGACTCGGCTCGGGGCCCAGTCCAGCCGGTTTGTTCAGGCGTGCCACCCCACAACCCGTCTCGCTTTTGGTCTCCCTTTTCCCTCTCTTTTACAACCCCGGAGAAGGAATGCTCCATCAACCAGTGAGCGAGAGGCTGAGGATCTGTACGACTATGAGGACTGTGTACGAAGAACTAAGCATTTCTTCATCTCAAAGCTTGGTGGATCATTACGTAATTCGACAGGGTCTGGCCACAGTCCCTCCGGTCCCTTTCCAATTCTTCCCAGCGGATACAACCTCCTCCCATGATGCACCCATCCGTCATAGACTGGAGCCCGCCAATCGAAGAATTGCGTTGAAACGCGACTCGGCTCCGAAACCATAATGCAACCGACAGACTTGACTCAAGGTCCTCTTCTTTTAACGACGTCCTTTTATGGCAGGCTGGCTGTACTCCATTCCTTTCTCGCGACACCATTGCCTTCTTAGACTTTGCCCCGTTCGACGATCCTCCGAGCTTTTATCCCAGAGTAAACTCAGACATCCTTCCTTTTGCCTCGACCGTCCCGCCCTTGGTTCATTACTTCCATTTGACATCCAAGCCGGTCAACACCTCCTCAGATCAACAGTGTTTTGCTCGAGACGGGCGTTCAGCGTTCGCCCACGGCCGGAGATCTCTGCACCATGGCTAACGACGCCCAAAAAGACTTAGAGACACAAGCTGAAGGCCTCTCAACAAAAGATGCCCTTCCTCCAGCCGCAGAGACATCCTCATCAAATGAGACACCCTCCACTCCCACCGAAATCAACAATGTGTCCGAGAAACTCCCTGATCTCCCTCCAGAGAATCTTGCCGGAGATCTTCAGGCCGAGAAACTGTCGAAGCCTGATCTGACGAGAAGCGAGTCCAGAGCTGATCAGTTTTCCAAGGGCAGAATCATTATCATCATGTTTTCTCTTTGTATGGCTTTGTTCTTGGCTGCTCTCGACATCACGATCATCACAACCGCCCTGCCTACCATTGCAGGGCACTTTAGGGCAAGTGCCTCTGAGTATACATGGGTTGGTTCGGCCTATCTTCTGGCAAACGCTGCTAGCGTCCCCCTCTGGGGTAAACTTTCCGACATATGGGGTCGGAAACCTGTTATCTTGCTTGCCAATGCCATATTCATGGCAGGAAGCTTGATTGCCGCCGTCAGCAACTCAATCGGGTTACTCATTGGCGGGCGAGTCATTCAGGGCGTCGGAGGTGGTGGACTGATCGTTTTGGTCAACATCAGTGTCGCCGACCTGTTCAGCATGAGAGAACGACCTAAGTACTATGGCATTATCGGCATGGTATGGGCAATTGCCTCCGGAGTCGGTCCAGTTGTTGGCGGTGCTTTTACTGAGGGCGTCTCCTGGCGTTGGTGCTTTTACATCAATTTGCCACTGGACGGACTTTCCTTAATCCTCCTCACCCTCTTCCTCAAACTCGAAACACCCAAAACACCGTTTTGGGCTGGCATCCAAGCAATCGACTGGATCGGAGTTCTCACTATCGTCGGGGGAGTGGTCATGTTTCTCTTTGGCATGGAATCCGGTGGAGTTACCAACCCATGGGACTCTGCTTACACCCTGTGTCTCATCATTTTCGGAATCGTCACCATTGTCTTGTTTTTCTTGAACGAGTGGAAGTTGGCCAAATATCCCATCATCCCTCTTCGACTGTTTAAGGACACGTCGAACTGGGCTTCTTTGGCTGTATGTTTCGTGCATGGCTCTGTCTTCATCGCCGGCAGCTACTATCTACCCATCTACTTCCAAACTGTCCTCAGCGCCAGCCCTCTTCTCAGCGGTGTCTATCTGTTTGCTCTCGTCATTAGCTTGTCCATTGTTTCGGCAATGGCAGGCGTGTTCATCAAGAAAACAGGTCGATTTCGAGAACCGATTTGGTTCGGTCTGTGTATGATGACTTTGGGGTACGGTCTCTTCATTGACTTGGAACCGCAAGCCAATTGGGCCAAAATCATCATCTACCAAATCATCGCCGGTATCGGGGTCGGACCCAATTTCCAAAGTCCACTGATTGCCCTGCAAAGTCATGTCAAAGGCCACGATATCGCTGTGGCGACCGCTACATTTGGATTCGTCCGGAATTTGTCCACCTCCATCTCCGTCGTTCTGGGAGGCGTCGTCTTCAACAACGAACTCACTAAGAAAGAGCCATACCTTCGGGGCGTTCTCGGTCCACAGTTAGCTGCCGAGCTCACCAGCTCTAGCTTCGGGTCGACAACGGATCAAGTCCGCCATCTGACAGGCGCGGACAAGCAAGCTGTGGATAATGCTTACACTTCCAGTTTACGGACCATGTGGATTTTCTACACTGCCATCTCCGCGTTTGGTATTTTCCTCAGCTTATTCATTACCAAGAAGGAGCTCAGTAAGAATCATGAGAGAGCTAGGACAGGCATCGAAGAGCAGGAGAGAATCAGGCAAGAAGAGAAAGCTGCGAGGAGAGAGAGACGCAATGCAGCGGGGGCCCAGAATAAAGAGATGATATGATCTGAGCATTTGGTATGAAATGGAAAATGGTTCAAAGCAGGGAATTCACATTGCATAAATGAGGATCGACATCGGAGGCTTGTTGGTGCTCTTGCGTTCAAGCATGTGCATGTCATTGAATATCGAAGGTGCCGGCTCATCCGTACCATGGTTTGCAAGCTGTAAAATTCGTCAACGAGAGAGTATCCACTCCATCCTTCTTCCATCCTTCCTCTCTTTTTGCTGACAATCTTGTACCCGCGCTCATACTGGGCCTTACATTCTTCGTTCTTCAAATCGACCCGCGTGCTCATCCAGCTGGAGAGCTGATCAGAAAAAGTCTCAACAAGCTTATCAGGGTACTTTGGTCAGTCCGTCTCTGTAGACCCCGCACTTCAGCCTCGGCTTCGTCTTGCTGGCAAGCAAGCAGGCACATGGGCACCAGTGATTTGTGCTGCTCCACTCGGTTCGACCAGAGCCGGGGACACCTGTATGATTGCTGAGAAAGTAATGTTGGTTGTGGCTGTAGAAATCGGGGCCGAGGACAAGAGTAGGATTCGAGAAAGAAGGCTTGGTGAGAGAGCCGGAGACTATGTCAGCCCCTTGAAGGGTTTGGAGCCGGAAACTGAAGATGTCGTAAATAGGGAGGATCGCGGTTGTAGGAGAGTTGGGCCCAGGAGTATCTGAAGGTGGAGGTCAGGGAAAGGTGTCACTTTCTAGGATGGTTGAACGGGAGTTTATATATGTACAGGTTTTCACACCATCGAGCTCCTAGCTGGAGAAGGGAATAGAAGGAATTATCTCGGACAGAGATAGAAAGACATCATTGAATACACACCGATCCCCTTCTCACTCCGATCGCATATTGCATATTAGAATAGGAGCTGTAGAAAATCCAGATGTGGTTGGTAGTCCGTATTCCAGATGACTTCATCCTCAATCTAGGCAAGAGGTTGATCTCGGCGCCCATGGAGGGCGGGCAGTATTTCAATCGGCCCCTTGCAATTGGTTTTGTCGATGCAGCTGAGAGAGATGCATATCAGAGTGATGTGCCAGTTTAAGAGGACCAGGAGAATGCGGAAAGTCGCGGGCAACAAGGTATTGGTCCTGGAATCCGTGCCGGTTGCAACCCTCAAGTTGAAGAGATTCTATTCTAGTATGTTGACGACCAAATAATACGAGATCGATAAAAGTTTCATGGTCGACGGTTACGAACAGACTGTCTCTCTCCATGAATGCGCCGAATAGCCACAGAGTCCCTTCATGTTTGGTGTATGGCGGAAATCGCTTGGCCGCTCTGCGCCCTCCCGGCTGTATCACCGTATTTTCTCTCGCTCATAATGTTATCCTCATCGTGTCAAGAAGGCGAGCTTTCCAAATCTTGGACGCAGTGATTGGGATGTTGCATTCAAAAAGTGGATAGTGAGGTCAAGGAAGGGAAAAGTCGTTGTCATTCTGGAGCCTAGGAATTTTTGTAGGTCATTCAATCTGGAGCAAGAACGATTTGTCGACCGCGGCTAACACATCTTAAAATCGGAACCATTGTCCACTATGTCAGCAAGCGCACATATCGATGTGAGGTCCTCCAATGATCGAGATCTCCCGTATTTGAAGACCACACTGCGACAGGTTGGATCCAAATTCGTAGTTGCTGGGCGGCCAGCATCTTGCTGATTGTTGCGGTTGGATCTGGGAGAATTTTGGGAAGATGGTATGGAATTCTCCCCTGACGAGTACTTTCACCTCCGGTCACGTTTATTTCTCCATCTCCCTCCCTTGCCACCTCGACCTTTCCATCCAAAATCTTTCCGTGTCTCTTCTTCCTTCTTCTCCAATTCGGTGGTTCTCTCTCGTCTTTGGGCATCACCATCTTTTTCTCCCGCAGGAGCAGCAGTAACACTCTTGAGGTGGACACCATGTTTGCACTCCTTACCATCCGGGCAGAACCCTGCCAGATAGAATTCACACAACTTTCTCCTGACATGTCTCTTGGAACATCTTGGTCCTTTCTCACAGAACCCCTTGTTGTAGTCTTCGCACATGGGTAATTTGGAATCTTCCTTAACATGGACATATAGACACTCGTCGCCATTCTGGCAGTATCCGTTCTGATTGAAAAATTGGCATTCACTCATCTTTCGCAGGTTGTACTCATGAAGATAGTCGCACGCATCCCCTTTCTTACAGAGGCCCTTGAGCCAATGTTTGCAAACATAGTTGTCATTGTTGCGACCATAGTGGTGTTGAGATTGCTGAGCGGGGGTAGGGTGACGATCGGGACATCGTCGACCGCGTGGACAGTGACCGCTTGAGGCGAAATCGGGACAAACAGGTACGGTAGAGACTAGAGCAGCCAGACCGTTTGCTCGAAGGAATGGTGCAAAGCTGAAATTATAGGTAGGCGGGGGGGGGGGTTGCTTCTTCTTGGTGTCCACTGCGTCGGCAGTACTGTTGGTGGCCACCGAGGCCATGATTTCGGAGCTCTGACCGGCTGAGCGTGTGGAGTGCGAACAAGGAACGAATGGCTCTCACTGATAGGCGTTTTCAGAGAGTTGAAATATTAAGGCGCAGAGAGAATGGAAGTCTGATTGAAAACCTGGGGAAACGCAGAAAGCCCCGAGGTGAGGCCGGAGTCCATTTTCAGCTTAGTGCGCTTTCTCCTGCTTTTAAGGCGGTAGGCTCAACACGCAAATTTCCATCTTCGTGCTGTTGAGGAGTCCTCGATGCTACTTGTCCACCGTCAGATGTTGGAGATGAGGAAAGCATCTAACCATTGGCTACTATGAGGTCCTATACGGAATTCGCTGGCCAATCTACATTCCCGGGAACAGGTCCACGAAGTATTTGCCCACCAATAACAGGAGATTTGCTGAGGCATAGCCCGAGATAGCATCCTGTCGAGATCCAAGTTACTGTCAGTCCCATACTCGACGGGAGTCTTCAGCGAAGAAAAGATTGAAAGATGATAAAAATGGTCTTGGAAACGGAAAAAATATCCTCATTTGATTCTTCATTGCCGGTGGGGTGAATGGAGCTAACTGGCCCCCTTTGTTGTCTATCCGCAATCCGTTGCCATGGATCCTATGTACGGAGATGTCTGGATGAGAGTCAGAGAGGGCGGTCTTCAGCTGCCGGAATCTTCCTTGAAGCTCTTCTGTGGGGCACTGACGGGAACTGGCATTGGGATTCCGATCCAGTTCCCCCTCCTCGTCATCTCCCCCACGTCATGTTTCCCGTTCAAAAACATTGCTCATTGTTTCCACGAAATATTTGCCCCAGACCGACTCTCCTTCTTCCAATTCCTTTTTCTCCAGAAGATCCTGGTAATCCCTTTCCTTAGCGACAACATGTCTGTTTCAACGCAAGCGACCATTGCTTCATTCGGGGGCAAGCTCCTCAAACTCGCTCACGATTCCTCCACCACCGGTTGTGAAATGAAATTCAATCTCTATCTCCCTCCCCAGGCTACGACTAATGCACTTCACAAAGTTCCCTTATTGATATGGCTATCCGGCTTGACCTGCACGGGTGACAACTGCTCCGAAAAAGGCTTCTTCCAACACGGTGCAAGCAAGAGAGGAATCGCAGTCTTGTATCCGGACACTAGCCCGCGTATGTCAGAGACTTGCCCTAACAGTCCATTCTATCTGACGCCGCATAGGGGGGATTGGCATCCAAGGTGAAGATGATGCCTATGACTTCGGTACCGGAGCAGGTTTCTACGTCGACGCCACTGCCTCTCCTTGGTCCGACAACTACAAAATGTATTCCTACATCACCGAAGAACTCCCCAAGACCGTCTTTGCTGCTTTTGACCAGATTGATGCCAGCCGAGTAAGCATCAGTGGTCATAGTATGGGTGGCCATGGCGCTCTGTCATTATATCTAAAGAATCCTGGGAAATACAAGAGTGTTAGCGCATTTGCTCCAATTGCCAATCCCCTCAAATGTCCTTGGGGAGAAAAGGCGTTCAAGGGCTATTTTGGTGATGATTGGCAAACCCATGGTGCCAAGCACGATTCAACAGAGCTGCTCAAGCAGTGGAAAGGCGGAGATTTGGACATTTTGATCGATGTGGTGCGTCAGAATCGTATCATCCAAGTGGGTCATGCTAACTTATTTCCAGGGTACCGGCGACAACTTCTACAAACAAGGACAGCTTCTACCAGAGAACTTCATTGCAGCTGCAAAGGAGATTGGACAAGAGAAAGGAGTGAATGTCAGATTCCAACCAGACTACGACCACAGCTACTACACAATGGCAAGCTTTTCCGATGATCACATTGATCACGCAGCAAAGTATCTGTTTGCATAGTATGTCTACCGCAACAAGCCAACAATACAAAACAGGCTGACCATGACAGAAGCGGAATGAAAAAGAATCAAAAGCTTTGATTCTACAATACATTCATTTCTCAAAAGCTATCCCTTTCAAGAGTGCGACCTGCTATTCACCACATCCATGATTCCCCTGCCGTTGCTGCTTTCCTTTCCCGTGCTATCGTGGCTTTCGTTGCATTACCCCTTTCTTTCTCAGATGAACCCGATCGCCGCGCCTCTCACAAGTTTTAGATCACCTGTTTCCTGTCCAATTTTCTTCCGTCCTCGCATCGAACGAATACCCGATTGCCCCTCAGACTCACAATGGCTCTTGACAACAGTTACCTCAGCTACCACAGACGTTTTGTCCGCTTTCAAGCGGAGCAACGACTTCATGCAAGAAAAGACGGCATTCGAATCAATGCCAAACACCAACATTTCGAGGTCGCTGGACAAGAAAGGCCGCCTCATCGAACCTCCATGGGGGCACGATCCCTCCTCCTTGCTGTGATATTGCGGGATGAGACTGGACACCAACATCCCAAGATGGGGCTAGGCAACTCCCCAACCAAGAGAGCACAAATTAACGACGGCGATGAAGGTAAGGAATGGGTTTGGCTTGGAGAGAAATGAGCGTGCAAGAAGAGGACTTGAGCGCCAAAAGCGTGCCAGATGAGACCATGAAGATGCCGACGATTGTGATGATTACGATAACCATCCTAACCATGAAATGAGATGAGTTGAATTGATACTCCGGTTCCGACCCTCGTGAAACCGTTCTTACCATGAAATGCAGCATAGGATCCTGTCTATCCCAACCTAATAGCTCCAGAATTACGTCCTCTTCTCACACCGCTCTGAAACCTCGGTCGGTCCATGGCGGATGCTGCCCGAACAAGAGCATGGACACAAAGACTTTAGCACCTTTGTGTGCGTTTTGTCCCATGCCACCAATTATTTGTTGAGACAGGCCATGCTGTTTATCATCTGTGAACAAAGAAGATCACAGTAAAACTCCAAGGGGGCTGACCAAGACGAGTGTTTCACGGCACACAATGCAAACAATAAATTCGTTCGAGTTGTATTCGCCACGCTACAAGCACTTATTTCCTCGTGTAAGTGGAGAATGAGAGCTGTGAATGTCTCGTCCTATACATATACCTACTCGAGAACGAGCCCACGACAGATTCCCTCGCCAGACCAATAAATTAGTGCACAACATATTTCGACAGCCTTTACGCAACGTTCAATCACAATACTTGTACGTCAACATGACGAAGGATACTAATACTCAGGACTTAGCGTACAAATCCATCTCGGAATTGGTAGTTACCTCAGAGCCCATTTTACTACCCGTCACGCCGACATTGCCCCTGGTTCAGTGCCCGAATTCCTTCGTTCCTCATCCTTTCGGAGCAATCGGTGAACCATGTCCTGTTTTGCAAGGTGTCTCCTCTCAATCCATGAGATCGGAACACAAGACGGACCACTACGAACAGCACGATTCCTCTCAAATGATGCCGACCTGGGACCTTGAGGAACTCGACCTGTATAATTTAGCTTCCTCATCCCGCCTTCCGAGCCCTCTCAAGACAGGTGATGCCACTGCTATACATGACGAACCGGGTCTCCAAGAGCTAGGAAAGCTAAACGGTCCGGTAATTGATTGGAAGCTGGACGTCATAGTGCATCTCCTTAACGGGGACTCGCCGTGAAGTCATCAATTATTGGCTTTTGGGAAGTATCCAGCTCCATGAAGTCCATTGATGCTTTGCATCACGGAAGTATCTAAACATACTATCCAAGCTTATTCTATGATTTCCTGCCTATTGCATTATCCAATCTTGCTACGCTCCATCAGTTCCTTATTCCTTGCCTACAACAGCTTCCATAGCATTAACACCATGCCCAATTGTGCCAAGTTCTTTCTTCCCATTCGCTTTCCGGCCACCAGAAGGAGAAAGTGACTTATATGCATTCAAGATTGCCAATGGGGCCTTGCGGCCATGTACGGCGCGACGCCCTGGATGTGTCTTTTCTCCACTGCTCTTGCTGGTTTGGACCACCCTCTCAGGACTCACTTCAAAGATCGTGGAGAGACGAGTGAACGAGAATCTTGCGAATCGATATGCTTGTCGTCGAAGCTGAGGTGGACGCTTCTGCTGATGCTCTAGCCCGAAATGTGGCTCGTCCTCGTGATTCAGCGACTGGCTTGAAGATCCGAAATTTGGTTCTTGACCGAAAAGATGGGTAGTTACTTGATGATCAACATGGAAACCATTTGGGATGCTGCCGACCGGACCCAGAGTTGGCGGAGGGTGCAAGGCTGTGTTTTCAGGGGCGTCTGGTTCCGAAGAGAGCACTAGCTCACGGAGCTGAGACACAGATCTGTGAGGGATGGCTGAACGATACGATTTGATTAGCTTACCGAGGTGGAGAGATCGTCATCGTTGTTTAGAGACTGATGATGCGACATGATGATGGCTGGGCCCGACCAAAGTTGACAGAAGCCTCGGCAGGTAAAATTGTGTTGAATAGGGAAGTAAGAAGAGAAAACACGTTCTTTTCATGTTGATGGGCGAAAGGGAGTAGTGGGAGAGTGCAGTCTGTCTCCTTCACCACATCCTGGCCGTGTATATATAAACGACGTCCCTCGGCGTATGGTGGCAACAAGAATAAAACAGTGAATCTTTATCAGCGCAAGCTATGAATAAGATAGCTTCCTGCCTACCACTATTGAACATTGGGGCGCACTCCCTCGAGAAAATACAGCACTAGCAGGTAAAAAGGCCAGAGCGAAATATTGAATGCAAGACTCACACATTGCGCCTTTTTGGAGTCGGTCCGTGGCAAATGCGGCAGATTTTGACAAGGTGATCGTTCAAGAGTCTCCTTAGAGCCTCTTGACTCCTGAATCAGCTACAGAGACATTGTAGACAATCATGTTGGTGAGATTTTGCAGAAGCCATTTGCAGTTGCTATATTTGCTCGGAAGGGCAGAGACTAAGCAAACCGAGATCAATATGAAAGACACAGTCTACTAGAAGTTCACGCGTCATGGAAACAAAATCCAAGTTAGAAAAAGTCTTTGATTGAAAAGCTTAGTAAGAGCGATAGCCTCGTAAGGGGCTCCTCGGAGAAACACCAAAGGTCCTGCAGTCCACCGTAATCCGTGCCAAGGCCAGAGCGATTTTCAGTGACAGACGCAAAAGTCACATTCGCTTCCATCGTGGGTCGGGCACGAACTGCACACTACGACCACCACCTCTGCCTGCTGCTGTCCCTCCCAAAGGCAGAAGAATCCAGTTGTGCAGTCAAACTGACACCAATTCCTCCTTCACACCGACTATCTCCCTCGTCACTGCGGCTATGGAATAACTCCGGAAGCACGTGCTTCCACTTTCGTCACCCCAGATGCGGTGACTATATCAACCCACCAGTGTTCCGGAAGTCTTACGGTGGATGAGGAACACTGGCATTACCTGATGGATGACCAGGTCAGTCAACTATGAGCGCCATATCCGCCCCCTCTAAAATGTCTTTTCAGATCGTTTCGGCGATTCAAATCGCTTATGATCCCTCCTCCGACCCAAATCTCAAACGCCAGGCCTTTGACTATGTCAATCAATTGAGGCAAGAGCCTTCAGCATGGCAGCCTTGCCTGGTCATCTCTCTTCAGGTACCTCGCCAACCTGCAGTCATCCGAGTTTTTTGCCTTGAAGTTGTCAACAACGCTGTACAAGCGGGGCTGGTGGATCAGCAAGACTTGAAGACCACGAAAGAGCAGATCATGACATACTTACGAGAATTCTATGGCGGGTCTGTTGCGGGGCAAGACGAGACTCCAGACTCTTTGTCGATTGTGAAAAAGCTTGCTCAAACCGTCACGTTTCTCTTCTCCGCCCTTTACGGCTCCGGGTGGGAATCCTGCTTTGATGACTTGTTGGCTCTTACCACCACCCAGACAGGCTCTCGGGACAACTATCCCGGGGTCATTTTCTATCTCACGGTTCTCAACTCCATCCACGACGAAATTGGCGACCAACTTCTGTCCAGGTCTCGCGCTGAACAGGATCGTGCGAATACCCTGAAAGACCTCATCCGAGAGCGCGACGTCCGGAAAATTGCACGCTCATGGGAAGAGGTTCTGACTCACTGGGGGACCTCTAACGACGAGGTGGCAGAACGATGTTTGAAGGCTGTGGGCAAGTGGATCAGCTGGGTTGATATCTCATTCGTGGTCAACCAGTCAATGCTGGCGCTATTGTCCCAGCAGCTGGAACGGGCTCAGAGAGATGATCTTGAGTTTGGCGTGGAGGAGCCTCGAGATGCCGCCGTTGACGTACTCACCGAAACCGTCGCCAAGAAAATGCCTGCTGCCGACAAGATCAACATGATCACATTCCTCAACTTAGACACTGTCGTCTCTCAACTCGTCCGTTCTCCTCCCCTGAGGGACAATCGAGTATCGAACTACGACGCTGATTTTGCCGAAACTGTAGCCAAATTGGTCAACACCACCGTGGTGGACATTGTCAAGGTTTTAGAGACCGAGAGCCAGGACTCACCGACATGGACAAGGGCCGAACAACTGCTGGGGACTTTCATTCCACACCTCCTTCGGTTTTTCTCAGACATTTACGATGAAGTCTGCTCCTCAGTGCTCAATGCCGTGAACGATGTTCTGACATTTGCGCGCCGTGCAAACCGTGGCGAGTGGGCAACAGATCGAAGAAAAGTCATGCTCGTGCACACTCTTCAGGCGATCTTCATAAAAATGCGGTACGATGACACTTCAGACTGGGGCCATGACAATGATCAAACGGACGAAGCAGAGTTTCAGGACCTGAGAAAGCGATTGGGAGCATTGCAGGCGGCCGTTGCCGCCGCCGATGAGCAACTGTACATTACGGCAATCTCGACACTCGTTCGGAAAACATTTGAACGCCTCCAGGAAGAAGGTCCGCAACTCAATTGGAGGGATCTGGACCTCGCATTACACGAAATTTATCTGATGGGAGACCTTGCCGTCAAAGGAGGCGGTCTCTATCTGAAGAATAAACCAAACTCTCCTGCTGAAGAACTCGTGGGTATGATGCTTCAAATGGTCAAGTCAAGTAGGTAGCGAGAACAGATGGTTGACCATTTTGGTACTGACGTATCCCAGATATCGGGTCGTTTAATCACCCTGCCATACAGCTGCAATACATGGAAATCTGTGTCAGATACAGCACCTTCTTTGAAAAACAAACGGAATACATCCAACCCGTCCTGCAGAATTTCCTTCAACTTGCTCGTCATCCCAACTTGAAGGTCAAACTTCGCTCATGGTATCTTATTCACCGTTTCATCCGACAACTGCGAACCCAGATTGGGAATGCAGCTGAAGCAGTCGTGCAAAGCCTGCAAGATCTTCTGATCATACGAGCCGAGCTTCCAAACGAATCGGATGGAGATGACATGTCCTCAGATGGTGATTCGGCCACCGACTCGACCTTTACTAGTCAATTGTATCTATTCGAAGCAGTGGGCTGCATCTGTGGTTCCATTACGGTCCCGCCGGAGAAACAAGTTCAATATGTGCAGGCTATCATGCAACCAATTTTCTCCGACATAGAGCGCAATCTTGAGCCGGCCAGAACAGGCAATGAACTTGCTCTCCTCCAAGTTCAGCACAGTATCATGGCCTTGGGCACCATGGCTCGAGGCTTTTCCGATTTTACTCCGGGAGGTAATTCACAGAATAGCGGAGCTGAACCAACGCCACAAGCGAAACAAGCATTTGCGCAGGTCGCGGAAGTCACCCTTGTCTCTCTGACAGCGCTCAAATCCTCTTTCCAAATTCGGACGGCCGCAAGGTTCGCCTTTTCGCGCCTGATTGGCATGGTCGGCACCCAAATGATGCAAAACTTGCATCGATGGGTTGAAGGCTTATTGACCGAATCTTCGTCACGGGATGAAATGGCTCTTTTCCTCCGACTCTTGGACCAAGTGATTTTTGGCTTCAAAAATGACGTCTATGATTTCCTCGATCGCCTATTCTCAGGTCTTCTTCAGCGGGTGTTTGCTGGGATATCCGCGGCAACCTCTGGGACAGACGACGAAATTGAATTGGCAGAGCTGAAGCGAGAGTATCTCAATTTCTTGCTTGTCATCCTGGGGAATGACCTAGGCGCAGTCCTGGTAAGTGCTACGAATCAGCCCATTTTCGAATCTGTGATGAGTTCCATCGAGCATCTTGCAAGGGATGTGGAAGATTTCCCCACCGCCAAAATGGCATTCATCCTTCTTTCCAGGATGTGCAGTGTTTGGGGTGGACCTGACGTGATCTCGGGCACGGGACAGGACAAAGAGACGGCAGCTGGTCCACAACCTGTTCTCCCAGGGTTTGATCAATTCATGATCAATCGATTTTCTCCGTTATGTTGGGCGCTGCCAACCAATCCATCTTTCAATAGCAGAGATGCACAAGCTCGTCAAGCACTCTCAGAGGCTGCGGGTTTGCAAAAAACCATTTACATCAAAACAGGTCAGCAATACTTAACTTGGCTGCAAGAAAAGGAGTTACGAACAATGGGGATGAATGACACCATGATCAATGAGTACCTGCAGAAGTTGGCGACCATGGATATGAAGGCGTTCAAGACATTTTTCCCCAAATTCATTGCACAAGGAGGGCAAATGTGAAAGTCGAAAGGCACGAGGAATGGAGCGAATGGCTGGGGGGAAATCTTTACGAGTGATACGTGAAAGTTCTGAGATGGTGGCATGCATGGACCGTTACTCCCTATCATCGAGAAGAGAAGACTCCGGATATTAGACAGAAGCCTTGGGAAGCCATTTGCTATTTGGACAAAATTTGCCGCTTTAGAAGGATAAATTTATGCCAAGCACATGCACAAGCCAAGGCCTTCGGCAGACCTGCCCAGCTTGCTCCAAACCCACATTCGCAAATTCAACTTCAATTGCGAACATTGCCCGGGACCAGCGTCCAGACACGATCAAGCAAAACCTGCACGTTCCGGGGGTCTCTACTATCATCAAGATGGCCAGTAAGTGCGTGAGCTTGAAATAAAGAGTATCTGATCTGACCGCAACCAGAATCCAAGAACTCGTCTCAACATAATCAGGCCAAGAAGGCTCACAAGAACGGGCATGTCTTCTCATTACGCTGTTGATGGTGCCTACGGTTCTTAGATGACGAAATCACTGACATGTACTGCTCTTTACAGGATCAAGAAGCCAAAGACCCACAGATACCCTTCCCTCAAAGGCACGGATCCAAAGTTTCGAAGAAATCACAGACATGCCCTGCACGGAACGATGAAGGCGTTGAAGGAGGTGAAGGAGGGAAAGAGAGATTCCGCATAGACTCAAAAATGTGGACATGGTTTCTGTAATTCGATGGGGAAACAGGAAGAGGCCTTTCCATCGGCGTTAACTTGCCCGCACCGATCGAGGGATGATTCACCAGGACGATGGAAACGACGTATTGCGGTCGACAGGGAACGTCAGCACGAATTCAAGGATAGCTTTCGAGGCCAAAATGGCTTTTCTTTGAGAAAGATTACTTCGAGAGGAGAATTAAGCATCAAATGCCCTACCTGCCAGCAATACCGGCCACATACTTTGGAGCGATCTTTCCCCGTCTGATTCGGTTGACTCTTCTCTTTCGATGGCATTGGTGTGTACAGCGTCGTGTCTATTTGCCTCAATGCGCGATGTCTGAAGGAGAATATTTTATCGTGCCTATATGAATCACCCTCCCAATTACCAAACACTTTCCTTCTCAATTGTGGGGGATGGTGCATGGACGGGAGGGGACAAACCCGCCAGATCAAACGCTGACATGCAGGACTTCAAACACTCCCTACATATCCCTCTTAACTACCGATCATCATGTTCTCAACACGTAAGTAAACATGATAGAATTGTAAACGCTTGGCCAAAATTCTCTCACTGGTTCGTGCGAAACGAGAAAGGGGCATCTGGGTAGAGGCATCTGAGTAGAGTTACCTGGGTAGGTGCCACAGGCGCGGTTAAAGGTGCATGCAGAGGCGTTTGAGTTGACCCTGATGAGCTCACCCAGGTGCCGTTACCCAGGTCTGCTGGATTCTGAACAGGAGCCCAAATCGGCTCCGGAGCTCGGGGCGACCCTCAAACGTGTCAAAGGTTCCAGATCCAGTACAAGGACGCGGGTCAAGGCACCTGGATAGAAGCACCTGCTTTGATGCTGCCGCTGTGAAGCCCATGCTCAGTTTTTCTAAACAACCAAGAAATTAATTCCTCTCACGCAAGTAAGACGTCACGAGCATGTCTCTAGCACCATGGGTCTTCAGTCACCAGGTTCTTGTCATGAGGCGACGCCCATCAGGCGCCTGAGGCCTGGCCCTGACATAGGGATGTAGAGACCACCTTCTTAATGGATGGATGGTTGGGTTCTCGGAGGAAGTCTCAGAACGCACAGGACTCGGGGAGTGGCGTGCAATTCGGAGCGCATGCGCTATAATGGTGAATCGGGATGGATGCCATCAGGGCCAATCAATGTTTGTGGCGGATTCTCAATGGACAGCTTATGAGAGAATTCGGAAGAAGGCTCTCTATGGTGCCTCGCTCAATGTATTCACCTATTTGCGTACGAGCAGAGACCACCGATGAGCGTGGTGGATCGTACGAAGATTTTGACATTGACGGTTGACGATTCGGATGGAAAACGGATCGGGTTCGGCGTATTGTGCTCTTGGGCGAGGACAATTCTTAGACGGCCTCGCCAACCACGACGAGGCGAAACTTGTGGAGCAAAACTCACCGTCATCGAGAACGTCACGATGACCAAGGAGGAGTGCAGAGTATGCAAATTGATGGCGACAAGAGTGCTCGATCGTATCTCCCGATAGGGGTAAACCGGACACAGAATTTCCTTCTAGCCTTGCAAAGAGCGCAGCGCGAAGCAGAGGCCCTCCAGGAAAGCAGCCAGGACATCCAGAACAAACGACCGTCAGGATGGTGCGAGTTTCTGGGGACCTGTTTTATATAAGAAATGGTGAGATGACGTCAAGGCTCCTCCTCGACGCGTCTTGATCAAAGTCGCGTCTCGAATCGGGATTTCCTCTTTTCGAATCATTTGTTCAACAGCGCACTCTTTGCGACCTCACAACACACAATTGTTGAGGGGCTGGAAATGGCGCCCGCTGTAGTCGACATTGAAACCGTGTCTCCGTCAGGAGACTCTTTTGGATTCCTCAAAGAAAACAGCAAAGTCCTGCAACAAGCATCAACCCATGGCCACCCCAACACAACAGAACTACCCACGCAAGACTTATCAAAGCCAACCTCTACCGAGAGAAATCTCCATGAAGAACACCAATACCTCGATTTAATTCGCGATATCTTGAGCCGTGGTGAACATCGACCAGACCGAACGGGTACAGGAACACTATCTTTGTTCGCTCCTCCTCAACTTCGCTTCAGTCTTTCCAAAATCGATCCTACATCTCCCACCGGCGAACGGATACCCATTCTGCCGCTTCTGACCACCAAACGCGTGTTTCTGCGCGCTGTCACCACCGAACTACTCTGGTTCGTCTCAGGGTGCACCACATCCAAACCTCTCTCTGAAGCGGGCATCCACATCTGGGACGGCAACGGCTCGAGACAATTCCTCGACAATCTCGGCTTCACGGATCGTGAGGAAGGAGATCTAGGCCCTGTGTACGGCTTCCAATGGCGACATTTTGGGGCTGAGTACCAGGATTGCCACGCAGACTATAATGGAAGAGGGGTGGACCAGATCAAAGAGGTGGTGCGAAAGTTGAAGCACTGTCCATATGATCGTAGAATCATCCTAAGTGCGTGGAACGTGGCCGACCTAAGCAAGATGGCCTTACCGCCCTGCCACATGTTTTCCCAATTCTACGTCAGCTTCCCTGACGCACCAAGAGGGGAGGTGGCCCTGCAGCGGCTCAACGGATCCGTCCAGAATGGAGACAAACAGAAAGCCAGGGGCCATCTCTCATGTGTCCTCTACCAACGGTCCTGCGACATGGGCCTCGGTGTGCCTTTCAATATCGCCTCTTACGCCTTGCTAACGCACATGCTGGCACACGCCTGCGATCTCGTGCCAGGCGAACTGATCCACACAATGGGCGACGCACATGTCTACCTCGACCACATCGATGCGCTGAAAGAGCAGCTCCTCCGTGAACCGCGTGAATTTCCGACTCTGAATATCAAACGCGACGACCGAGGCAGTGGCGAGATGGACGGCTGGAGAGTGGAAGAGTTGGAAGTGGTCGGGTATAAACCACATGGCGGGATTAAGATGAAGATGAGTGTATGATCAGGTACGACATTTTGGAGAGGTTGGGGGATATGCCATTCAGCGTGTTGGGTCCTAGTACTGTCTGCATCAACAGGGTTGGCATGGATTTGTTACAGGAATTATCATTTCATGGTCGCATCAGATGCTCCCTGGCTGGCTAGCTGGGTCCAACTTTATCCCTCAATTTCTCACATATAACGCCATTGCTATGCATATGCATTGAAATTCCGCTGCCGTCCTTTTCTTCCCTCCAAAACCAAGCCGATGGGACCTCAAAAATACAGTGTTTCGTCACGCCTCTGTCGGCCCAACACCTCGTAAAAGTACTACGGTGTTCCCACTCGCAAGCGCCTTGCCGACTTTCTCAGCAAACTCCAACAACCGTCCCCCTTCGACGTGATATACACGCAGCCGCTGCTCCTCGGTCTCGACACGATTGTTTACGTTCGCAACCTGTAGTCTCTTGGCTGCTTCGTCCAGGAGCCGACCGACACTCCAATCTGTGGAGAAGAACAGGTCAGACTTGGGCAGCTTGCTGGATGTGCTAGCCGCCTCGGCCTCGACGTGCAAATAGATCCGCTTTTCCGGGTCGAGTTTGTCGTCGCCCTTGGCGGATCTCTTCAGAGCGTTGAGCGCTGCGGTCTGCGCCGCTCGACTGGTGGGTTTAGGCTTCGGCCGCAGCGCCTCTTGTTGGCCTTTGCCCCAAGACTTCAGACGGCCGAAGCCTAATTTTATTTTCTCCTTGTTGCTCTGTACGGCGATGTCCAGCGGTCTAGCGCCGATCGGTATCAGGTTCTTGCAGTCGTGGTCCTCGCGCATGCGGTGTTTCAGGCAGTACGTCCTATTGCAGTCCGCGCAGTGCACGCCGGTGTTCTGGAAAGTCTTGATAAATGTCTTGCACGTGGGCTCGCTACATTGCGACGCATTATGATGGTTCGGTTTGCCTGGAGCGGACGTTGTGTTCGTCGAAGGTCGCCCAACTTCATTGCGCCGTCGGTTGGCCGCCCATTCGCCTGCGCGCGGACACTGGTGTGCAGTCTCTGTTCGGTGCTCGAGGCAGAATGTATGGTGGCACGAGTCGCAGCGGAAAGGGAGGAAGTCGAGTTGGTGGCAGTAGGCGAATTCGCAGTGCGCCCCGATTGCTTCGACGTCTTTGTCCATCGGGGTATAAGATGCTTCGGGAACGGCGGTGGAGGTTGACATGTTGGGCGAACAAAGGTAATATACAGACTCTACAAGCAACGAAATCGTCCGATAAGTAAGCAAAAGCGCTCAAAGCCGCCACTCTGAGCAGGCAAGAGAAGAGTCGTCACCAAGTTGCCGCGAAGAACATGTACTGTAAGAAACAAGGTTGCGTCAGGCTGGAACATTCGGGATGCTACGCAGAAATTCCCCGCGCCGAGGCTGAGGCTTGGAGACTAAGGCTGAGGCCTTTTGTTTCGGTGGTAACTTGTCTTTCAAAGCAGTCTGGATGTAATGACGTCTTCTCTTCAATCCCACAGCAACACCGCTTTGACCGTCTTGCCACTATAAATATCCTTTGCCGCCTGCTCCGCCTCCTCGGCGGCATATGTTTTGATCAACTGGTCGTAGGGAAACTTCCCCAGCTGGTGTGCTGTCAACAACTCGGGCAAGAATTCTTGAGGATAGCAATCCCCTTGGTTGCATCCCACGTAGCTGCATCCCGCCTGCACCATCTCGAACATATTGTGGGAGGCCTCGGCTGAGAGCTAGAAATCTTCATGAGTTCCGCGTTCCTGACTTTGGCCCTTGGAATCTAACAACTTACCTCGCCTACACCGACAGTCACCACTTTCCCTTTCCGTGCGGCACTATGTATGAGTCCCTTCACAACCTCTGGTCTTCCGGTCGTGTCAATGGCTCCGTCCACCCCTCGTCCACGGGTGATGTCCATAAGAACCTTCATGAGATTGGGTCGGACCTTTGCATTCACTCCATGAGTGGCACCAAACGATCGAGCCATCTCAAGGCGGGCTGGGACGATGTCGACGGCAATGATTCTCTTGGGAGGAAACTGGAGCAGTTTCAGCGCCATTATTGCTGACAGTCCGACCGCCCCAGCTCCTACCACGGCGACCGACATGTCCGATGTCGGGTTGACCACGTTCAGCATCGCTAGGAATACCAGATCAGCAAACGGCCATGACGAAGACAATGGGGACGAATATATCTACCTCCAGCGCCCGTCATCACCCCACATCCCAAGGGCGCCAACTTCTCAAAGGGAATGTGCTTGTCGACCTTGACAAGCCCATTCTCCGATACAAGAATGTTTTTCGCAAAACTGCTCTGCCCGAAAAAGTGGGAACTAATCCGCCTTCCATCGCTCGTGGACGAGAAAGCCTTGGATCCGTCCAATCGCCCAATGCCGAAGTTGTACTGAAACCACAGGTCACAGTAGGAAGACTCCTTGCGTAGGCAATACTTGCAATTTCCACAGCAACTGTAGCAGACAATAACGTGATCTCCACGAGAGACCCTGGTAACATTGGCCCCGATGCGTTCGACGACGCCAGCGCCCTCATGCCCCAAGACCGCGGGAAACAGCTCCGGCATGGTCTTTTCTTTTGCAAAGTTCAAGTCTGTGTGGCAGACGCCGGTGGCCTTGATACGGACTTCCACTTCGTCGGGCCAGAGCACGTCGTTGAGCTCGACTTGTTGGTATATGAAAGGTGCGCCGGGTTTGGCCACCACCAGAGCTTCGGTGATCATTCTGACGGGTCGTCACAGTGAGTTACTGTTTGAGCAGCAGAAAAGTATTGTCAAGCTAGCCAAATATTTCACCGAGCTCTCGTCCGCCGGGCTCTGTCGTCACCTACTCGCCGCGTGGTGTGATAGTCGACAACACATGTCGTGAATAGCTACCGTTCGGAATGCGATTCTAATGCCCTCTTCTGCCGGTCGACGCTCAGAGAGGATGCACGAGAAGCTCTACAGCTGTCAGGGGAGGGTGTTGTTACCCAAGCTGAACGTTGTGGAGGAGCATTGTGGCAGTTCCTATGGACGGAAGAAAGTTTCTCAAAATCCCGCGCTTCAGCCCTGTGTCTAATAAAACCACTTCTTCCTTCCCCCTTCTATCCTCAAAATCTCAGGGTGCTCGCTCAGAAAGGTCACTGGACTTGACCGTGTTCAATGGAGTACCAATCGATGCGCTTGCAGAATCTGCTTCTTTCAGACCCCTCCTTCACCTTCCCGGCTTAGGCAACATAAATGAACATACATTGACGAAACCATACTCTTCTGCATTCTTTTCTATGATGGCTTCAATACCAAAAGCACCTGCTTGCAGCTTCGGCGGTAAAGTTCATCTCCCCGGGCCCCATAAGCCTAATGACTTGGTTTGGGTGTCCCTGGCTCCATCGTCCTTGGGAGTGAGTCCGTCCTGGTCATTGGCTCCGAAGGAGATCTCCTCCAACAATCTGGTGAAGCCATGGACCGACTTCAAACTGCTGGTGATGTTTGACTCGGGCGTGGAATAGACTTGATCCGATCAGAGATTGTTCTGACTCGGCCGGATGCGACGCCAGCCATCATTCCACTCCGCGGGAAGAAGACGCTGTTCTTCAAGTCACTTAATGTGCTTTTGGCAGCTGAGAGGGCGAACAATGCAGCCCGCTTACCTTTAGGGAAATTCCCGATTCGATCCATCGACGGTCGATCGTCCGAACCTTCAAATTCGTCTCGCAGTTGTTGCATACGATACAGTCCACCATATCTACCTCAAATGGCTGAACAACACCGACTATCACTATTTGGGGTATGCTGATCGTATGCAGAGTAAGTGATTGTGTCCGTGTCTAAGCATTGTTCTAGTGGCCCCAACCGATACTGATGAAAGTGTACACTCATCCATTCCTTGACTCTTCTTCTCTCGACTCGATGGACTATGATGCAAGGTGCTTTCGTCTCTTAGACTGAGGTATATAGTCAGGATCGTCCTCTTCCTCGTCCACAGGATCGAACATGTTCTCGCCCGGATTCACCAATGCGTTCATCACCTTTTCAAGGCCTATCTCACCACCAGCTTTCGTCTATGAAACTTCAGGATCAACCCCACCGCCGTGCTCGCTTGCCGGCTATGCTTCGGAGAGTCAATGCCATACAGGGCAGTGCCGCGTATGTGACACAGTCGGAGATAAAGGATGGCATGTCAGCATCTACAATCATCGGATCAACGTTGTTATTTCAGACGTGCTCGAAGCTGACAACAGCATACCCATTTGCAAATCTGACGACGATTGTGTGGATTACTACAATTGGGATTGTGACCATTCAAGCCCCGATATGGGTAGCTGCCGCAGCAAGCTTTATCTACCAAGGAATCTCGACAAGATTCATGTCTGCGCCTTGAGTTTCCCAAAATCCGACATTTTTATATTTCCCCTTCTCCGCCCTCACCAGTTCAACCACAACATTGGCACCTTCAACAGGATCCCTAGTTCCTCTGTATCCGTTGAATGCCGTCTTGCAATGTCCAGGTCCAACGATTTGAAATTCGACGTCTTTGTTGGCGGCATCTCGACTCATTTCGACCGTCAACATGTTCAATGCGGTTTTGGAAAGACAGTAGGGGATCGATACGGTTGGTGGCAAGACGCCGAGGGCTGAAAGAGTGATTGAACCCCGACGAGAAGAAACACTGACGACTTTGCCGCCATGCGACGATCTGCGGAGAAGTGGTAGGAAGAATTGGGTGGTCAATGCGACCGAAGTGACGTTGGTGTCATATACTTGGGCATAGACGTCTCGCCAGTCTGAAAAATCGGTGGCCGATGGTATGCCACCACATCCAGCATTATTGATTAGGACATCGAGCCGACCGTGTCCCTGTTCGACGACTTCGACGGCACGCTTGATAGATGCATCAGAGGTCACATCGATCGCGACCGGGTGGACCGGGGAGGTAATGCCCAAGTTGTGGAGTTGTTCGATAGCTTCTTTGCCTTTTTCAGGATCGCGACAACCGAGAAGAAAAATACCGTCGGCCGTTTCTGGATGAGTCGCCAGAGCCCGAATGATGGCAAAGCCTATTCCTCGGTTGGCTCCTGTAACAAGAATGACACGAGGTTTGGTGAACATGGCTGGACGTTCTGGAATGGTGAACGATAGGAAACAAGTCGTTTCTATTTTCGCCGAACAGTTAAGCACCGTCCTCTCTGTGCTTCTATGTGTGAGTCTGCAGCTTTTATATGCATTCTCTATGTTGGGGGTGTCTATAATTCTATGAATATACCCAAGTCCGGCATGTGCGAGGGCTCGGACATATTCTGCTATTTCCGCGTTGTACGCGATCTGCATTGTACAACGTAGTCACGTGGACTCTGTTGCCTAGTACGAGGAATACGCTCACTACAGTAATGACGGCGCCAGGCACCAGTCAGCCTACTTCGTACTCCATCACTCCTTTTCACCCTTTTTATCCGCTTTCAACATACTCGAATATCATTTCTGCGCTCTCTTCTGTCTATTAGCTTCCTGTCAACTCAACGCGTCGATTGCTCGATTGAATGTGTCATGGCCTTACACCCGTGCCGCTCCAGGCATCCATCTGCCACCGATATATAAAATGGCATCCTTTCGCGACTACACATTACTTTTTCATTTCCCTTTCTTTCCTTTTGATCTTTCTCTGGCATCATGCCATCTTCTGGAGCTCAGCCAGCCCCTCCTAACCGAGAAAAGTGCAAGCATGATTCTCTGACTTTCTCCCCTTCTAACCATGCCGTGACTTGGGGATACTCTCCATACACAAACCAACAGATCCTAACTGCCATCACTGGCAAGAGAAAACATTCACCCCGAGCCGCCTTCAGCCACCATTTGGACATCTTCCCGGCTCCTCTGGTCCTCCCTGGTGATGAGATTGACGTGGACCCGACGTGTCCACCACAAAGTTTTCGGTCGTGGGTGAACCTCGGAGTACGGAATCATGTCACATCTCGTCGAAATGTGATATATGTCGCTGTTTCGCCCGAAATTGATCCCAGTGTGGGCTATATGAGAGAGTGGTGCCGCCCAAAAGTTGATTCATCAATGGTATCATGTTTGTCAGGCGCCAGGGGTCCTTTGTTATGCTGACGAGACTAGAATTCCAAAACCCCCATCCAATCCACTCTCGATATCAGTTCGGTGGTTGCCTACCTTCAGGCTTTCTACCACGGGCTCGAGGTCAAGCTATTTCCAACAAAGCTGACCTTTACTTCGTGGACACACTCCCCCGGTCACAGGCCGACGCGCAGTCAGAAAACACCGTCGAAAGGACATTCTGGAGTCGAATATGTTGCCCTCTCCACCCAACGCGAACTTGTTCGCATCCGTGTGCGCAGCAGAGCCCCTCTCGATTCGGTGTCTCCACCTCACCTATTTCCATACACCCACCAGTTGAATCTCAGCGATCTAACAGATGGCGCCATCAGTATTCTACCTTCAGACGCGTATGCGCTCCTATTGACGACCGTGCACGACATATATGAATCAGATGATGACGACTTCTGTTGTGGACGTGCGTGGGGTGCAAGCCGGGTTGCCATTGTGTCGAGTGCACGATATGATCCTGCCCTGGATAAATTGCATGCAGTCGATGAAGATCATGTTTGGCCGGCAAGTCATTGCAAGACGTTCGTTGAAGAAATGAGCAGGGAAAACCTAGATGGTGAGGGACTGGACCGGGTAGAGAAGCGCCGAAAGATCACCAAATCTGCGACCGCTGCCTATTCCTTATCTCTGCAGAAAGCTCTCAAAGCACACATGACTTCCGTCAACGTGCCGCCATTGTCCCCGTTGGATATATCCTCGGCTAATCTGTTCCGCCTGTGCCGGACTGCTTCGCATGAATTAGGTCACTGCTTAGGACTCGATCACTGCATGTACAAGGCCTGTCTCATGCAAGGTGCCGCTTCTGTAGCAGAGGATCTACGACAACCACCGTATTTATGTCCGATCTGTGAGCGGAAAGTTGGCTGGGCGGTGTGGGGAAGAGACATGGCCAGGAGTATGCCAAAAGCGAAGGTCGGAAAGACGAAGGGTAAAAACAAAAGGACACTGAACAGGGAAATGGACAATTCTGATTGGGAACGAAAATTTTCAAATTGGAAACTGGATAGGTGTTTGGCGATGAAGCGATTTTGCGAGGGACAGGGAGGGAGTTTTGCTGTCTTTGCGGCATGGTTGGAGGATATGCTTGAGGTTACGGGTACTCGGTCTGGAGGCTCTGATCTGTGAAATATAGACACATCGGAGATGTGTGTGTGAAAATTGACCTGGCGAGGCTGGGGGAGTGGAATGTCTGCCCGGCGGAAGAAAATATCGGGCTGACAAGAGAGATATGGGGATCTCTCAGTAGAGGCGCTATTATTGGAGGTAGTATGGTTAAGGATATCGTCCGGTCAACGAGTCAAAGGATTCTGTTGCTAATTCTCAAGAGGACTATAATATCTGGCACTCAGGTACAGCGGACCGCCTTGAGAGGTGGGAAAGAAGGCTGAGGTAAAGGACGACTCCAAAAGCGGCGGTACCATCCGCCCAATTCGGTAGCAGATTCCCTACTGAGGAATCTGCCTCTATTTTAGGTAGGTTTTCATTTCGGGAATAGTCTATATCTTGGCATCCCGCCGCTTTTGACCTCGATATAAGAAGGCATCCTCCCATCCTCCATCAACGTCGACCGCTCCATCCTCCCCTCTCTCCCTTTTGATCCCCACTACTCGGCTCCATCTGCAACCCAAGGGCCCCTACCATCGCTGAACCAAGTCCTCCCTCCGATCACCAACTCGAACAGTTATGGTAACGTCGACCCCACAGGTTACCCTAGGCCGCCGACGTGGTTTCACCCACTGTGATGTGACTCACAAATCTCATCACGTGCGGGTAACTGCCCCCCCTAACAGATCTCCATTTGTTTAAGTTTAAAAAAAAAAATGAAAATGAAAAAAGCGAGGGTACAAATTGTGTCAAATGACCCTCGTATCAAAGAGGAGATCCTGGATGGGATCATCCAAGAATACACGAAAGAGGATGGTCACGAGAGGAGCGCCTAAAATCGACTCGGTTGACTTTAACAATGAAGATTACAACGTACGCTCACCGGAGCGCACTCAACTCCTGATCAAAATTGAGGAGGCGATCCGCGACGCTGACGTCTCCCCAGCTTTCTGGGCTTGCTGTCAGCTCGCCGATATGGAATGCTTGCAAGACATGGCCAAAACGCGTGTACACATGATTCTTGGGTATGATAACTCGGTGGCGCTCCTACCGTTGCAATGTGAGTTGCCAGGATTTAGATCAAATTGAGGCGCTATACATATGCTTACTGTTAACAGGGAGTCAGCGACTCAAAGCGGAGGGTCCGGGTGCAAAGAATCGTAAACTGAATTCTGGTGGACAATCATGGGTGCAGCGGTCGGAACAACAGGCGGATAAGGTAAGTAGATATTGACCATCACACCACATCTGACAATACATAGTACAAAGAGCGTGATGGTTACGAATGCGCCCTCACGAAGCAGTCATTTCCCGAGGCAGCTCATATATTCCCCTACAGCATACTCAATTCACTCCCAAGAAGGGAGACCAAACCCAAGCCTCGAGAATGATCCCCGATTTTTGGCAGTTATTATGTCTCTTCTGGGACGAGGATCGGGTCAACAAATGGAAGGAGACAATCTTTCTGGGTTCTCAGAATCCTAATACTGATCTCATCTCCCTCGATGCCGGCGTTCATATGAAGTGGACTAAAGGATTGTTTGCGCTGAAGCCGCTGCGACTTTCAAGCGACCGTAGACAGCTCACAGTTCAATTCTTCTGGCAAGTTCCTGGCGATTACAACATCGACAGCCGGGTTGATTTGCCTACGGAACCCACATCATCAAAAGGCCTGGATATAGTTGGGAACAATTGTTTGTTTTGCGTGCAGGATCATGGCTCAAACCGAAGATTTAATTCTGGAGACGTGTTCACTTTCACCACCAAAGACCCCGAGAAACTACCGTTACCGAGCGTGGAACTCCTAGACATGCAATGGGTTCTCCAACGTCTCGTGGGAATGTCAAGCGCTGCGGGATGGCCAATGTTGGACTGGGATGACAATGAAGGTGTCGACGATGATGGTTGGCTTATTGCGGACCATACCTCCGATGTGGAGGATGCCTTGAAAAGAACCAACGACTGGGTTGCTACCGAGAAGCCTACGGAGATCACACCGGGAATTTCAACGGCGACACCCCTGTTCTTCTGTGATCCCCTATCACTGAATGGACCCGAATTCATATGAAAAGTGTGGTGATCTTGGCGGATATGCACTCGAGAGTTTCGTGGATTGTACAGTAATTCTGCTATAAGATGAACCAAATCGACCTGGGTCGGGACCGTGATTCGATTGGTCACGAGTTCCTCGTTCTGTGTGGTTACCGCGTGGGAAGGTCAAGAAGAGTTCTGCAACTTGCGCTAGAGGGCTATTGTTGGAGATAGTGTGGTCGAAGGCATCTTCGCTGAAAGAGTCAAGGCTTCCGTTGCTAGTCGTCTCTTTCTCTTCTCTTCTCTTCATTTCATCAATTATTCTCCCATTTGGCCGAACGGGAGAACATCCAGACAAGACAGATTGGAGTCTCCAAGGCGACCAATAGGGCCGTCATCTCAAAGCTCCACAGGCTCATCCTAAGTCCGGTAAGTCGATCATATTTTCTGGCAGCTCATTGGCCCAACCCCTACGAAGAGCCTGAGCGTCAACAATTGGACACAAGACTGCGCAGCCACAGTGGTCCAGTCATCCTTGGTTGGTGGGTTTGATGGGTGCCTGAACGACGCCATCCTATTCATCCGACTCTGTGGCTGTGCTCCTGTCCAACTCGAACTACAAATCCAGCCTTCATCACGATCAGACGACTTTTGATTGCACCTCAACTTTCACTTTTCCTTTTTTGTTATTTAGAATTCATGATCAGGTAAAGCAGCATCCGATACTTACCTTGGGCCGTCCTTACGCGGGCTGCGTGGCCCCTCGGTTATATTGTAACCTGTACATCACAGATAACCAACACCTAACTTTCCCCTCAGAGACATCGTTGCTGTTACCATGCCTCCTAACGAAAAAGCCAACCTACAATCCTCTCACAGCACTTCCCCCGCCCCTGCAGACCTCCCACCATCATACGAAAACACTGTTCTCCCCAGATCCACGCCCAGCACCACTTCTACACAACCAATTCCTGTTCCCAGCCAAAACCCGCTTGACGCCATTTCACGCCTGACGAGCATCAATTTCTCAAAATACAACATCCCCCAGGCTAAAATATCCAAAGACCAAGCCACCATAACGACCGGCAAACCCGAGCTAATAGCGACGCAATATGCACTGGTGAAATTCATCCACGAGCAAGCGGCCCTGCCACCCAAGCCAATCATGATCGTCCGCGGCACGCATCTAGGCGCCTACAGCAAACACGGCGAGACGATTGTCGATTTTGAGTTGAAATTCAACTTGACTAGCCTGTTAGATCTGGATACTGGGGCAGATCTTGACGGCACAAGATCACCAACGGGCCGGATTCGTGTTAAGATGTTCCAAGGTTCCCCTTCGTCATCAGGAATGCAAACGAGCAGCGGTAGTGGCAGCGGCTCTCGAGGGAGTAATGCATCGAGCCTGAATCCATTGGAGCAATGGGTCAAGAAGTTTTGCGATGACAAAGCGGAGAATAGAAGGTATGTCGTGGTCGTTCCGATGCATGAAAGTACCCGTCCTTCCCCCTTTTTTTTTTTTTTAATATTACACATCTCTAAGTGATCCCGCCTCCATTCACATCTAAACTCAATCTGCATCTTACCTCATGTTACATTCTAACTCATGTTGTCATCCCATCTTCTCAACCCCATTCAGTCCATATTTTATTTCATGCTCTTTCATTATCCCCTCCCGGTCCAACTCAAATCGAAAACACCAGTACTAACAGCTAACCTCGCGTGCCGTACATATAGTTTCACCCTGCATCGTCTCGCTTCGAACCTCCCCACTCCGATCCTCGAAGGCATGGTCCGCACCTTAATAGCCTCGACCAGGTACCGGGGCAAAGTCAGTGTCGAGTTTCCCGTACAACACGCCGAGGTGACTGTTCTCCGCCAATCGGGAAACTGGTTCACCAATATGCTTCGCCTGTATCCGACGAAGAAATACGAAGTTGTCGAGGCGGTATGGGACGTTGGTGCCACATCTAACTCCATCCTAAACCCCGGCCCCGGCTCCCAAGGTTTCGCTGGCGAAGGACGAAGTTCTGGCAGTTCTGACAACAACACGGACCGAGACAGTCGCGCGGGTCTTATTGCTCAGGCGTGGTGGAAGGAGTGGCAGTTCGCGATTTGGAACGGCGTGCTAGGTGGGAAAAAAGGTTGGGTTACGGTGGAAGATTGGATAGAAGCGAAAATGGGAGCGAGGGAGAAGGACAAATCTAAGGATTGGGGTGTGGATTATGATGCATAACCCCTTCCTTTTTGAGCAATGCTGGGACAAGATTCATGAAGATCGTGTCACGCCGAATTAGCTATCGATGCGGTTTCATGGGTATAGAAATCTCGTCGAATCTATGCAGGGCTTTCAATTGATCGCTCTTCACGGGCAGGTGAGACTTAGAACTAATCCATGTCCATGACAATTGACAATCTTATTCCTCGTCGTTCAATCCCTCCGCCTCCTCCGACTCCTCACTATGCGACGATTCTAAATCTTCAGATTCCGAAATAGGAAGACCCAGCACAGCCAAGAGTTTCCAGTATATGCCGTACAAGAGAAAGGGGTGGATTGAGGGCGGCAATAACGCCGACGCCGACGCCGACGACGTTGTGTCTTGTCCCCGTTCAATCCGCTGGATAATTCCACGTATTTTGGCTGCTGCATCGAGTCCCATTTGTTCCATGGTATTGTCGAAGGGTTTGAAGGCCTCAAGTGCCGCTTTGAGACCACCCTCTTGACGCGCGGCGTGCATGAGTGGTTCGGCCGTCACGGCCGTCCATACATCAGAATGGCAATCTCTTTGGCCCTTGGCCAGGAGAAGATCCTGGAGGATCTGGTTCGCAACGTCGGGGAGGAAGGGGGACATGCGGAATTCATTGTGACCAAAATTGATTAGCACCCAAGTGTCAAAAGCCCGCTTGGACTTCGAGGGAGAGGGTTTGCCACTGGCCATATATTTGCAGTGGTCGATGGAATAGTAGGGACCTGTTTGCCGGATTTGGACCGGAATATCGTTGATCTGTTCAAAGAGCTTCTTGTGGCGTCCCCAGAGCGGTAATGTTGCGACCTGTTCGCTGGACATAAAGATTATCGGGAATCCGTTCTCCGCTTTCTGGTGGATGGCCTCCGGGCAGAAGAGTGTGACGCGAAACCATGCCGCGGGCATCTCTGAGCGAAGTGTTGGACCCAGCCTGAGCCCTTCATCGCGCCTGCTGTGATAAAACTGGACACCGCACATGGGACAGCTGAGTTTGTAAGCCTCCACGTCGTCAAGTTGGTCGTTGATCCATTCCATAAAGCAGCTTAATGCCCAGCTGTTGTTACACTTTCCATCCATGTGTGTGATAATCTCGCACTTCTCGTGCAGAGGACCCCGGCACCACAGGCATATTTCGCGTTCGCGGGGACCTTTGCCTCGGGACACAAACCAGTTGGCTTCTCCCAGCGTAAGAAGGCGTGTGAGATTGACGGCGAGAGTGCGGTCAACGTCGGGATGGAGCTCTTCCGGACGAGGCTCTATTAACAGAGCTGGTATGTTACCCGTCATGATGGTCGTTCGCGAAATTGGAGGTTGGCAATAGCAGGACATTTAGTCGAGGCTGAATACGAAATCTGTCAGGCATAGAGGATGCCACACTAATCGGGCGCCGGTGCTGAGGTCTGGGCGTGGTCTGGTCAAGATCGGTACCAATTTTTGCTTATTGTGGCTTTGTGGAACAGGCATCACGCAGACACCGTTGAAAAGGTGACTGGCCTCGGACAAAGACTATCCAATTTTCTCATTAGAGAGGAGCCTTTTTCCGTATCATACCTGCATCATAATTCATGTTAATTTTCCACGTCAAATTTGGATCAGGCATCATCCCTTGGCCCCTGAAGCAACGATGTAACCACACCCCGAGTTCCAGAGTTTTCATATGTGACAGAGGATCTCCCAACAAGAATTCCTTCTCGCCTTCCCAAAGATTGTCGAGAATATACTCGAGAGAAGGAGGATAGATGCAGTGGTTGTCCAAAGGTGGGAGGTGGAGCTCGTTCTCGGTCTCACCGACAATTGCACCTTCTTATCGAATGCTCTACCAAAGGACATGTGAAACTGGAAGTACCCCGAATCAGCACCACTTCTTCACGCTATACCACTGCTCTGGCGGACACTCGAAATCCTCTCAGTCCGCAGCCGGACTTCAATCTTCTCAGTCAATCCTACCGCAATGTTGTTGATGAAGTCGATAAATTTTCAAACCTGCCTGCATTCCACAGGTAGCGGACATAATGCGCTTGCAAGATCCAGACAATGACCCCGAAGATGCCAGCGACCACCGAGTTCGGGCTGAAAGGTGTCGGCACACGGTTGTTTTGTTCCCATATGGAGTGGCAGTGTTTTTTAATATTTGCAATCCTCCGGACGGCTGAAGGTGTAGGATGCTCCCACCGATACCGGGACCAACTGTGAAATGATGGTGAGGATCTTGTCGGCGAGGAGGAGGTAGTGAGTGAATTCTTCGCGTTTTGCAATGGGTTGTCTGCAGGACAGTCAATGGAGGCTCGGAGAGTAACAGAGTGGTCTCGTACAGTCTATTGAGAGGCATTTTGGAGAGTCGTGGTGGTCTGTTAACCAGCTTGAGTGTGTGGTAACGCAGGCAAATGAAGACACAAGAGAATGGATTGATTGAGGCTCAATGGGAGGAAGAAAGAGAGCATTCAAAGGCCAAAGAAAACAGGCTGCAGTGGTTTTGAGAGAAAGACGAAGTGATGGGGCCTGCTTTTTTGTTTGACAAAAATTCAAGTAACTTCTCGTGATCGGGTGTTTTGTTTAGCGACTCGGAGGAAGCAAGAGAGTGGATGCCACGGTGGACAAAGGCGGAGGGAGATGAGGATGCATTCCACCAGGAACTGGTGCCCCGTCACTGAGTGACAAAGGAGAATTGTAGAAGCTATCGAGTAATTGCGTGTGCATGTCGAGCAATATCAGTAGTAGCAAACGAACGGATGCCGGATCGGTTCGCCTTGTGGGGGAGCGTCCACATAATTAGCAGCTTTTTGTTGTGTTCCTCTACATCGAATTGCGAGGAAATCATGGACATAGATACTTCAAAACGATCTTGATTAGACGCCGAGAACCTCCGTACCCTGAACACAAAGTGATGTCTATCAGACATACGATATTGGTATCAGTATCGTTATCTTCATGGTGCATTTCCCTTTCCTTTTCTCACCTAAAATTTGGCCAATGCCGCTTCATATGCAAACCCCAATGTCATCTTCGCATGCTGCAGCATATGATCAAAACTCAAATACTTGATCTGGTCTTCCGTCGTGTGAATCTTCTTGTCTGAATATTCAAAATCCGATTCAATCACAAATGCCGACGGGTACCCATATTTGCTCGCCGACGCGTGATCCGAACAGGCATATCCACACTTCGTCAACGTGTAAGGAATGTCGCAGTAGGCATTGATAATCTCCTTGACGAATTCCGTGAGGTTGGCATTGACGTAGTCCGTTATCACTCCCACTGATTCTGGTTGCCCATGTGCCAGTGTCTGCTCGACGTATCCCGTCATGTCTTGTTGAATCATGGCCTTGACTTCTTTCTGGCTCTCATGGTACGATTTGAAGATCGCCTGGCTTCCCAAGAGGCCACCCTCTTCAGCAGAGTACCAATGGAACTCGATGGTGTTTTCAGCTCCCCCTTTGACAATTTCCGGCGCCCCCAGAAGCGCCGTCAGCGCCTCGAGGATCGTGACCGAGCCGCTACCATCGTCGTCCGCACCGGGGGCAGCCAAGATAGATGGCAAAAACATGTTGATACTGTCCAAGTGTGCTCCAATCACCACTGTATGGTTGGTTTGTCCCGGTATTTGTGCGATAATACTGAACTGGCCCCATGGGTGCGAGAATTTATTCAAGCTGGCCCCGTACTCGAAGGCGCCTGAGTCTGACATAACTTGATATATCTGCTCGTAAAGCCACGTAGCTGCATCAATACCATATTGGCTCTTGTAATACCGAGTGTGAAAGGAAGTGAGGCCCTCGAGATGCTTCCGCATGTTGTCCTTGTCCAGTTTTTCCGCCAGGGCCTTGACCACTTTCTTGTGCTCGGCCTTGGATGGGTAGGTGATGGACATCGGTTCGCTTTCTGTGAGTGCCACGTATGGATACGTATGTCCATTCTCCGTGATGTCCATGAACTTGATGCCAATCTGATCATTTCCAGTGAGCAAGCTAGACTGAGATTCAACGTCCGGGATGCCATACTCGCTTCAGCGCCCATTTATCCTCCTCGGATACCCATAATGTATTTCCCGGGCTGATTTCAACCAGATATCTATCCTGTTGGATAGGTTGTTCCTTCTCCAAGGCGATTTGTTGGTAGCGACGATCGATAGAGAGGGCCGAGACCACCGCGGCGGCTATTAGAGGTAGCAAAGAGAGGCACTTCATGACTCGCGGTGAACAGATGGACTCGAAAGGGAATTAGCCAAGAAGCATAAAAGAATGGAATCACATAGATCAGACAGCTCGGTTGGGGGGGATTGTGAGTGTGTTGATGCGATGTTACGGAAGTTCGGCGCAAGGCAAAGCATACGCGACATCTTAGACCCTCTTCTGTAACGCCTTTTCGGGCGATGGGACCTCCCCAGTTGACCTAATGTTTACCGGAATGAATATTTGACTCATGAAGCCACAGCACATGGAAAAATATCACTCTCCAGCGTTACCATCGTGGCCATCATCAGATGCTGCGGTGATGAATGAGTATGATGCCCGTGGTACTTCTTGACTCACCATGTGCCTGACTGCTTATCGTCATTCGCCCGTCTCCAATTCTCCGGATACAGCGCCCATTTCCATCTGAACCCCCCTCCCCATTTCCATCTCCGTGTCTTCATCTCTTTCTCCGCGCCTCGAAGACTTCTATCCTCCTCAGTCGTTCTCTTCGGGCTTGTTCTTTGATAATTCAGGTTCATTGCCAGGCATTGATCTGGATGCTTTACTGTTCGGTGTCTTTCATGTGCACAAAGCTCTACCCTCTCCATTGTGTGACTGCCATTGTGCGCGGCTAGCCACCGAAACTGGATTAAAATGGCGATTGTTCCGATAATGATGCCTGCAGAGGGTGCTCAACCTCAACCGGTCCAAGGCACTGAAGCAGTTACCGCGCACATGGGCAAAGTCTCTATGGAGCCTACAACGCCCAATCGGCCTGTCATTGGCACCTCCGTCCGTATTACTGTACCTCTCGAAGCGAGCTCAAGACCTAAGGACTCGACATCAAAAGTCCACACCGAGCGAAAATTGATTCGCCGCGACAGTATGGAACGCCGCGAAGCTCTGCTCAAGGGCAAAGAGGGCTCACGGCAACGTCGGCGATGGGAGAATGGTGCTTCACTACGCGACTCGTGACGTGTATATCCAAGGCTAACCGAGTCTGAAGATCGCCTCCTATCAAATCCATGGGCCGTACCTCCTTTACCCTCGGATTGGGAAATCCGTCCCACGTACCCCCAACGCACTGTTCCTTATTACCTCGCTCCCTTGTGGGACGCCGCCGAGTTTCAGCGGGTTGTCGAGTCCCGCCTAAAAGGCCGGAAAAATAGTGCACGATCTCGAGGCCAATGTGCTCAAAATGCCGGCATGAGTCCAATGGAAGAGGCGGCCACCAATATCCCAAAGGAGGTCCGTGCTAGGTTGAAGCGCGCCAAAGCAGCCAAGGGGCTGCTCCAAGATCTGGAGGAGACCGTGCGTGCCTTTATCCAAAGGTGGAACCAAAGAGAAGCTCGATTGAGGGACGACGGATTTCATGATCTTCCATTGACAAGCGACAGTGAGGAGGACGAAGAAATCGTTTTCATCGGTCGAAACAGTGCCATGCACGATTCACCTGGCCAGCCGCTGAGACACCAAGAAGAAGGTCGGGATGATACGATCAGCACCGAAAAAATGGTCTTTGACGGTCTGGATAACGACAAAGGAGCAGCTTTCGCCCGATGGCTCGTCCACTGCGTGGGCAGCTACTACGGCTTGAGGACCTGGAGTGTCACTCGTGACGTCGAGGGTAAGGAAAAGAGGAGAGAAGCCTATGTGGGGGTGGATAGGAGAGCTAGAGGGTTCATGGGCCGGGGAGTCGAGGTCGGTCGAGAAATCGAACTGCCCAGGCCGTTGTGGGGAATGGTGTGAGATGTGAATGTAGAAGATATGTTTTAAATCACACCTTTCTGATTCGAAGGGATATTGTCGAAGATTTTTAGAAATTAAATCACCAGAGACATTCAGCGATTGCAGGTCGAGCTGATTCTCTTACCCCCCCCCCCCCCCCCCCCCCCCCCCCCCCGCGGGGGGTGATGAACACCCTTTGCTCGTTTTCGATCAGCCATTTTCATGGGGTTCATCCGGCCAGTGCAGGATCCAAGAACCGCAGACCTGCCATTGGACAAGCTTCATGTCAACTTGCCAGGTTCGACCAGGGAATTGGACCATTTTTCTGGATATTAGCAGATCGTGCGTGGAACGTGTGGAGCTGATCCGGGGTCTCCTCAACCACAGACCGTCACACAGCATATCGCAGCGAATAGAACGAATTATTCATAGTCATCGATAAAGCACCTGGATTGACCCAATAGTGGAACGAAAATCAAAAAACATGAAAATCCCCGTGGGAAGGTTCTCCTCTGGGATAGAAAGAAAGCTCGGCGGCTTCATTGCCCCTCTTGTATCCGAGCGAATGAGGAAGCGGAGGCTATTTCAAGGAGAAAGACGAAAACTGTAGAAAGCAGCCAGCTTATCGTATGCCGGACGCACATGTGTGATTTCAGGGCACACTGACAGAGTTCCCTCAACTGCAGAATAACAGATAGGCGAATCCCCCATCTTGCGACTTAACCCCTCATAAGCTTTCTGCTGTGAAGCCTCAAAGGGACCAAAATGGATCAAACATCATGGAAGGACCTGGTACGAAGACCCGCCGAACCGAGGCACGATCATTCAAACCGAACAGATCGAGGGTCGGCCCATGATGCGGCCGTTCACCCTACATTGCACTTGCATGTGAACGGACGGGAGACGGGGATCAGGGATGCAGCGGCATTCAGGGACGCACCGGCAAAAGCACTGAGTTTGTCACGTAGCTTGATGTGGAGCCCAATGAAGACCGCAAACGGGTACACACGAAAACTCGGAGTCGAAAATGTACGTGCCGATATTCTTTAGGAGCAAACTTGCGGTTCGAGCCGGGGCTAGCTCTTTGCTGATCAAGGATGATGCAATCTATTTCCGTCAGGACAAGTTGCGTGAGATTGAAACGGTTGCATGACTTGTAGGTACGCTGGATTCGTGCTAAAATGCCGCACACCTGATGGATTATGAGACGGTTGCCTGACTCAGACACGACAATCTCGCACGTGCTTGGAGCGGAGGACAGAGAAGCACCTTGGCCGTTGAACCAATGATTTGAGATGCGAGAGAATTGACCCAATGCTTGGGAATGAAGCAGAATAGCTGCCCAATATGAGGAAGATTGCGCATTGGAGAAAAGGTTGTGGAGAAATTTGAGCTGTAAGTCAGTGAATGATAAGACACTTGGAGGTGATACAGAGGTGCAGGTACAGCATCTAGCCGTGAACACATGTTCATCCTTACCTGAATCACAGCAAGCGACAATACTATTTGAAGATCGCAAAGAAGTAGGGCCTAGCGGAAGAGGTCTTTGAAGCAGCGTAAAGCAGAAGAGCGTCGATGATTTCGGCGGTGTCATACCAATGGGGTGGCGCCACGCATCTCAAGACGAAGACGATGAAATTCTGCAGGTGGTTTTTTCCGCTTCTCTTATTGACGGAACGGTTCAATTAGACATAGGGCCGCTAGTCCATATCAGGAATAGCGGGCCGGCGGCTGTATCCTTTGGGCCGTCATCCAGCAAACTTTATTTGTTGCACCAAAAGCAATACCGTCTGACTCCCCTCCTCCCGTGAGAGGAGCCCTAAAAGTTGGGTGTCAATTGCTTATTATTTGTGGAAGAGATTCTAGGTCAGACTGCTCTGTTAAATCTTTGACTCGATCGTCTGACACATTCCGAGAGACACACGGCAATCGATTCTGCCCAAAGTGTCGCCCGTTTCTCTGGTGCCTCCTCCCTCCTCGCCATCATGTTGAAAATGCTTTTTCTCATCTCTTCTGACCAACCTGAATGTTGATAGGACTTGTCTGTTCTCAGGTATCCTCGGTTCTCCCCTTCGCCACATTCCTTCGCTGTTATTCGCGTTCCCGTCCTCCGTTTGCCAGTTTGCCTCCCACGCCACGGAGAATAGTCCTCGCTTAGACGCTCTCTAACCAGTCCGACCATAAACAATGAAACGGGCGACTTGCTATCCCCCGAACTAGGACGGTATCTCACATCTCGCGGCTAGCGTAGGGTGCACTCAACCAAGAACTTTTTTTCTTAGGTCACCGCGGCCCAGCATTGCAAAAATGTAGAATGCCCCCAATTTTTTTTTTTTTCCAGAAGAAAAATGGGCCCGGTAGATGCGTCCCGGCCGCACCCGCTTGCCTGTTTTCGTACGCATCGGGTACGACTTATGCTGCGCCATCCATCAGCGCCTGTCGATTCTCGTACAAATGGGCATGAGGAAGGGTTTCCTTCCACATTCTGTAGTTCAACTCGTGGAGTGATTTGGACACTCGGCTCATTCGTTTTTTTGGCCTGACTACCAATCATCGTGGGTCTTCCGATTGCTTTTTGGTAATGTTGTTGGTGAATCAGCCTTTGGTCCTCTCGATTCTTTCTTCTCTGGGTGATATTTGCGCTGTCCCGTATCTTTCCCCATCAAATATGACTTCCTCTACATCTCCTTCATAGTTCGCACCCATACCCATTCTCTTCAACATTCGATATACATACGTTGCTAGATTCTTCACACATCATGCCGCGATATACCCCAGGCCGTGTGTGGTTCAAGGGGTCTTCCACCTCGTCAAGCTCCACATCGACCCGCAGCCACGAGTCCAGCCTTTCTAGCCATTCCAGCCACACTCAATACACCAACGTCACTTCATATAGCGACACCAAACCGGTCGTCAAGTATTCCAGCAACTACCAAGAATATGAGGTGACGGACGAATCATCGTCTTATGAAGACGAGAAAGATGTCGATCCCCGAGCCTCCATCGAAACATATGCTTCTGGCGCTTCCACCGATGCTTCCGAGCAAGAGTCATCTAAACCTCCTAGCATATATCCCTTAATGAGATCGGTCTGTTATCACCCCGACGCCATTGCCACCACTCCCCCCGAGTTTGGAGAATTGTTCCCATCAACAAGAAGGTTCCTCATCCAACACGACGACACGACTCCCGACGGCAACCTCAATCTTCGACTCGACACCGAATTGACCGTTTCCAAGGGTCAAAAACTGAAATTGACACTCTTCCACCTCCGCATGTATGATCTTGCTGAACGTCAATTCTCACTTCGTCGATATCAGCGGCAGTCGGGTCGGGAAGTTTGCAACACCAAACGAAAATATCTGAAACCTGTCACCAAAGGGTCTTCCTCACCCAAGAAGCGTTCACTGTCCAGCACCTTCAACAGGATGAACCTCAAGTCGTTGGCGGCCAAGCCCCGACCGAAGACGTCATATGAGGCTGAGGACGACGATTCCGAGGATGATCTGGAATTCTTTGCCGCTCATGCAGACGTGAAAGCCACCATTCCCACCAACACAGTCCGGCTCGAATTCTCGAATTACGCCCAGGTCGAATTGGAACGGTGCAGGAGAGGAGACGGCAAGATGTATGACTTCGAGTACTGGGGTGGAAGGTACACCTGGAGACGGAATGTCTATCAAGACGAGTCCGAGATGGTGTTTTCCTTTGAGTGTGTGAACTTGGCCACAGGGGCGTGTGTTGCTCATGTTACCCCCGACAAGTTATCGCCCAAGCAAATCCGAAGAGAAGCTGCTCAGGGAAGTTGGGTGCCGCCGTGCAGTATGCGGATCACGGAGAAGCAGATGTCGAGTGACCTGGCGGATGTCATTGTCGCAACTGGCCTGGTCACACTTACCGATGACTGCATCAGAAGAAAGTGGCCCGAAGCTCACCGCTCCTAGGTGGGCAGGCTACATGAAACAGATCATATTTGTGGGTTGTCCAAGTGAGAAAAGGGACGGCCAGGACAAAGCTTCCTATTAGAGGGGTGTGTTACACAACAATCATGGTGGTATGGGATGCATCGCGCGAAGACGGGATGCAAATAATACGGCAATGGTGAGCATTGACGTGGTTGGGCGTTGGGTGAAGGATCCAAGGTCATTGTACATTGTACACTATATCATCAAGTTGAACTTGCCGGGCGCATGGCTGGCGATGAACAGGTGGGGAAAATACTGTTTATTAGGACACGACACATAGCACGACTGAATGTTACATAGTGATTCGGGTTCTCTGAAACGCAGAGACGGCAAACATATCAATTATCCCAGACTCGGCGAGGAGATCAAAGCTGTACGCAAAACACAGGTACACCTCGAGTCGGTCGATAGTTTCGCCATGCCGATGCTGATCGCTCCTCGAGCGTCGACAGGAAAGATGAAGGTCCTCACATTTTTAGAAGCGACCTGGGATGGGGGCGATCGATCCAATGGCGTTCGGCATGGGGGGTTGGGCGTACGTATCTTAAAGACGAGGGAAGGTTTCGTCCAGTGTAGAGGCACGTGGGGTAAGAAAGATACTGATTCTGGTGCTGATGATGGAGTTTTGTCTGCTGCCACTCGATGACGGGGAGAGCAAAGGACAATCCACCGTGACGGTTCGAGCTATATGAAAGACCTGGGCAGAGTGGGCGTGAAGGACCAAAAGTGTTCAACTGCCAGTGGTCCGAATCAGATACAAGACGTGCGCTAGACCCCATGTAGCGTAGTGGGCCGAGGCTTGGTTCCGTTAGCATTTCACAACCCACTCGACAGCAATCTAAATTTCTCCCCCAATATCGTGGTATTGTATATAGACCTTTGGTACAGACTATATAGAATAGGATTCCCTATACTTATTTATGGACAGTTCCCGGAAAAGGGGCTGGTCAATCAATGAAAAAAAAAATGTAGACTCTCGTAACCTGCCCTGGGCTTGGCAGCGCCGAGCTTCCTGCAACCGCCCATCTCTCTGGGTCTCAGCCTGCGCCCGCTTGCTGAACTTCCGTACACGTCTTCAAACCCATCCCTGTGGTGCTTCTCCAATCACCGTCCTCCACCCTCTCACAAAATCCCTGCCGCTGCCACACTGCACGGCTCACTGACTTAGCCGTCCTCTATGCTCTCTGCAAGTTCTCCCGTACCACAGAGGCAGGGCTCCCTCCCCCATAGCCATCAACATTGCTGACTGGTCCATCAAATTTTTATTCCGGCAATAGAATACTACTCCTACCCAGCTTATTCTCGGCTTCTCTCCCAGTCACGGCCCTTATCATCTTAGTTTGTTCTCCTGCTCTCACTACTCACCTGCTCTTAGGTACATCTTACAACCGGGCGCCCACTCCCGCTCCATCTCCCACTTCCTCTGCCACTCCTTGTCTGCCCCGAGGCTTGAGCGAGATAGAGAGACGCGAGATGTGACCGACGTGGAGCGACAATATGCGTGTCCTGACCCTCCAACTACGTTGCTGCCCAACGGCCATCTCCCTTCCGAATGAAGCAAAGCAGCCAATCCCGCGTCTCGCCCCGATCTCGATGCTTACAGAGACCACTATACGCACGGAAGAGAGGCCAAATATCGTCTTCTTCAACCTTGCGATATTGGGTGGCATAGCCCGATGAGGCCGAGAACATCTCCGCTATCTCGCATTCCGTTGCAACTAGCCTGTCGGCTTCCAGCTCTGCTGTCCCCACATGGAATACTCTGTCCGGCATTGACACACTTTCTAGCCTCTCCAAGGTATTTTGCCATTCCTTCGATTGCTAGTTTTGCTCTACGCCATCATGCATATCATCGCATGGACCCGAACCAACCCACTACTGTACACGACCGGATCCTGATGCGCTGGCACGTTCTTGCTGGGTGAGGCTGTTGCTGGGTGCTTCAAGTTTTTTTTTGGGCTTTGCCTTTTTCGCCATCCCATCTAACCCACGTCTTGACAACATTGTCTCTCTGCATCCTCGCGTCTGTGCGACCTGAGATTTCTTTATAGACAATGCCAGGGCGGCCTCCCGCTGATCGATACAAAAGTGTCACGAGATCTCAGATCATGTTTCACAGAAGAACCATCTCTGTTTACTGTCCTCTGCTGTTCTTCTCGCTGCCTTGATTGAAATGAAGCGAGTCTGATAGAAGCAGAGCCTGTCATTGAAACCAATGCCCGAGTGTCTGCAGCTATCCTTCGTTCATTCCTGCGTCCACTCCGTCACTTGCTCTGTGTCCTCAGCTGGATTCTGAGCTGTCCATTTGGGTCTGCTGAATATAAAGTCCAGTCGATATCGTGGTCGTGCCAACTTGTTCTGCCTTCATATCTCACCTCATCTTTCCCCCGTTCGACGCTCATCGACTATTCTGCAAAATCGTGGTTCGGTTGGATTTGGCAGTTCCTGTGTCCCTTAACCACAACATTACTCCTGAAGAAGAATGGCTACCAAAACCCACAAAACCTGGCAGGAGGAGCTCGCTGGTAAGTCTCACAATCTGCTTGCAATCACCAAAAAAATGTGCCTCCTGACACTTCCACAGCCGAATGCCGTAAATTGAGACTTCCTGCTCCTGTTTTCAACATTGTCTCCGATCGTCGTGGTAAGGTAGTTTCCTGGGTCTATTTCTTCCCCGTCTCTACCCAATTTCGTTTCAAGAGGGGCTGACTCTGTGATTTGTCAATTATATCCAGGTGGACGTACCGCTTGGTCTGCTACAGTGACGATCCAAGGACAGAATCTTGCCGCCAGATACTGGTACGATGGTCAATATCTCAACAATGCCAAAGAGGACGCCGCAGAAGTGGCTTGCACAAAACTCCGCAACCCTTCTATTACCGCTGGCCAGTCAACCACCTACCGCACAGGAGGGGGCTACGGTCAAGGCGGCTGGGCTCGCTAGCATCCTCTGCCGTCTCCCTCCACTGGGAAAATCATGCTTTCGACCATGTGTGGATTCCATGTGCAGGTCAAGAATTTGAAGAGAAATGGGGTCGTTGTCTTAACACATACTTACTCGCCGGGAAACGAAAACCACGGGCTTCAAGGAAAGCATAGCGATGGCGTTAGGACCCCACACACATGGACACAGGGGTACCGGGTTTTCTTTGGGATTGGGATTTCTTTCTTTCCTTGTTTCCTTCTGTTCCTACACCAAAATTCCGAAAGAGATTAGAACCAGTCGAGTCAGGTGGGCAAGAAGCTTGTGCGCCCGTCAATGATGGGAGGTCTCAGTCCTCTCACAAATTTTTGACCGCTTTTCAGGTTGATAGAGGAATTCAGTCTCATTATTGACCCCAATCTGTTCGTACTCTTAATATCATGTAGTACATCTGCCCGGTTCGAGCACAGGTATTTTTCACCACATCATTAGGTCACGCATGAGGACTGATCTTGCGTCGTGGGGCAAAATCGCTGTCGTGCAACCCGAGACTCTGGGAGATACCTCCTTGGCCCGGGGATGTGGACATCAAATCAGGCGAGCTGAAAGTCGCAGAATCCTCCGAGGGCTGACTTCGCCCCAGAAACCCTCCAAAGTCTCAAAGAATCGCTCTACACTTCTCATCACCCCTCCTGTCAAGTGGTCGGCAAGCAAAATTGAAAGTGTCGAAGATACATCTCCCTGTGCCACTTTCGGCAGGGTGCATTTATTTCTGTGGCAGATTTCATATGCGCCAGGCTCTCCGTGTAACCAGACCACGACCTGATATCTTCACCGCTGCCACAAGGTCATACCTTGCCCTCCTCAGTCCTCATGCATCTGGATCAGGCGCCAGCATGTCTACGGTCACGAATTCCTCACCCCTGACCTTTGACCTCAAAGCACGCTGCTCGGTACGAAGTCACCAGTCACTGACCCCCAGCCAGATCTCGTGAAGCCCCGATTGACAAATCTATTCTCTCCCTCTAGACCTCTAAGGCTCGTGCCTCGACACTCCATCTCCCTCATGGCCCTGTCGACCTTCCCATCTTCATGCCCGTGGCCACCCAGGCGTCCCTAAAAGGGTTGACTCCTGAACAACTTGAAGAGACTGGCTGTAGGTTATGTTTGAACAATACATATCATCTGGGATTGAAGCCGGGACAGTCCGTATTGGACACGGTTGGGGGGGCCCATAAATTACAAGCATGGAACTACAATATCCTGACGGACAGTGGTGGGTGGGTGGTTTGCTCTAGGGCCACGCCTCTACAAGGAAACGGGACTGATTCGCGGCTGAAGTTTCCAAATGGTCTCCTTGCTCAAATTAGCAAAGATTACAGAAGAGGGAGTGCGTTTCCTAAGCCCACATGATGGCAGCCCGATGTCTGAGTTGATTTGACCAGCGAAGGAGGCAACCCAAGGCTAATAATGTGCCTAGGCTACTCACACCAGAGCATTCGATGTCCCTCCAAAATTCCATTGGATCCGATATCATGATGCAATTGGACGATGTCATCCAGACAACGTCTCCTGATCATGCTAGGATGGAAGAAGCCATGCATCGATCAATCAGATGGCTGGACCGATGCATTGCCGCCCACAAGTATCCGGAAAAGCAAAATCTCTTTTGTATTATCCAAGGCGGTCTCGATCTCGAGATGCGGAGAGAATGCTGTGTTGAAATGGTCAAGAGAGACACTCCCGGAATAGCCATTGGCGGTCTCTCTGGTGGAGAGGCCAAGGCAGACTTTTGCAAAGTGTAAGGCCCTTCGCCGAGGTTCGTTGGCCTGCCGGATGCTCACCACCCTGATTAAGCATCAGTGCGTGCACGGAGCTGCTACCTGAGCATAAACCCAGGTATGTCATGGGTATTGTATGACTGACTCTTTCACGTCTGCAAAGAATCTGTACTGATCCACGATAGGGCTACCCCGAAGACATTGTTGTCGCCGTGGCTCTCGGGGCTGACATGTTTGACTGCGTATGGCCTACGAGGACGGCAGTGAGTCTGATCTGTTACTTTGGCCTACCGTGGTTCTCTGCTCACCTTCATACTTATCTCCAGCGATTTGGCAATGCGATCACATCCCACGGCGTCTTGAATCTCAAACATGCCCGCTACGCAGAGGACTTTGGCCCTGTCGAAGACGACTGCACATGCACAGCCTGCCGACCGAAGGAGAACGGTGGCTTGGGCATCACTAGAGCGTACATCTACCATCTTGCCGCCAAAGAGACGGTTGGGGCCCATCTGTATGTTCTCTTCAATCCCGTTCCACCATCAGGTTATCACTCTTTCCAAATCGAGTGGAACGTTTCCCTTTCTGTTTTGGTACTAACGCTTTTATGACTTTAGGCTCACGACGCACAACGTCCACCACCTGCTCTCCCTGATGCGTCGAGCTAGGAACGCCATCCTGGAAGATCGGTACCCGGTGTTCGCGAGAGAGTTCTTTGCAAGTTATTTCCACGACACCGCCGTACCGGATTGGGCGGTTGATGCCCTCAGAGGGGTTGGGATTGAGATCTCATAGTGGAATTGCTTTATTCAAAATTGCTTTGGGTGTTGGCTGTGGATATTTGTAGAGACTAGCATCCAAAAAGGAGAATGCAAATGAATGACCCGAGACCAGGTCATGACTGGTTGGACACGAAGTCGGTTTGGTATATATCTTTCCTTTTTTTTTTTTTATGATTCTATCACGCACCACTACTTCTCACTGGCATTTTTCTCTTTATCCCGAGTAAAGCTCCTGTCGAGGGCGTTGATCAGCGCGTAAACTGCTTTCAGCAGCAGGGTGGTGACGCCCTTCTCCTCGGCGATGCGCAGCGCGTTACCTACGATAGCATCGACCTCCATGTTTCGCCCCGCAAGGGCGTCAGCGAGCATGCTCGGCTCGATACCAGGGAGAGCGCGCGCTTTCGCCCGCCCGATCTGGTGGGTCACCACCGTTGGTGAGATGGAGCTGTAACCGGACGCCTGTGCGATCGAAGCGATCTCAAGCATCATTTTCTCCACCAAGTCGGGAGCAAAAGGGGATGAGACGAGAAATTGTGCGTCTCGGCTCCGCGAGAGAGCGCAGATCGGGTTCCACGACGCGTTCACCAGGAGCTTCTTCCAGCGCTCATGTTGAACGTCCTCGTGCACAATTGCGGTGCCACCACCTTGCTGGATCAGATTCGAGAAGGTCCCTGCGCTGGTCTTGTGTGCCGCTGGTGCCATCGCAGGGTACGTGCCGATGTGCAGCCGTTCGACTTCACGGTGGGAGATGGTGCCGGGGGAGGTCTGGGTTGCGGGCAAATAGACCACACAGCTGAGAATGGGATTGGATGGGAAGGAAGACCGGTAGAGAGCTTCGATGCCGATGCCGTTTTGGATCAAGACAATGGTCGTATTCTCTGAGACGGCCGGGTGGATTTGTTCTGGGAGCGATGGGGTTGTCGGGATGGCTTTGGCCGTGATGACCACATAGTCGAAAGGTTGGCCTAAGGACAGGCGCACAGCGTCGGCCACGGTGCGGACAACGTGCGGTCGGATGTTGAGATTCTGGCCGAAGATCGTCGAGTTGATGGTGAAACCATTCTTGGAGGCGACGTCGAAGTTAGACCGACAGACTGTGAATACGTTCGCAGGCGTGACCGCCCGCGAGAAGATGTAGGCGTATACGGCGCCGATGCTACCAGTGCCAAAGACGAGGATTCGAGGCGGCATTTTGGTGCTGGAAATTGTTAAATCGGGTTGAACAGGATATTCAGGGTTTCATTTCGGCGGGAAAATAGTGGTAATACGCGGATGATGGGAAGGATAAACGATTGATATCAAATATAAAAGAGGTGAATGCGGAGATAGGCGAGATGTCCGACGGAAGGCCATACCTAGTTTTGAGATATACGAGAGAGATATACGAAAGTCTAGGATCGCAAGGAAAGGCAGTTGGAATCCTACCTCTTCGAAGATGCCGTCGAGACCCTCTACGATCTCTCGGTGGACAAAAGTCGAACAGACGCCAGATTTGGGTCCCGGTGGGAAGAGGTCTGAACTGCAGCGGAGAGCCAATATCGTGGAGGATGTTGTACGTGTATGTCGAGGTCGGATGTGAGGGTGCTTTATTTGCAGCAACCCTAGGACCGAAAGTGCGGCCTTCAGACGGCTTGACTGGAAAATCGGCAGATGCAGAGCTGACTGACTCAGAGAAGTATTCATCTTGTATAGGACCTAACAGAGTGATACATCGTCAAGGGCATGGCGCTGCCGTCATTGAGGAACACGGCGACTCCCCAGGATTCAGAATAATATAATTAAGCTCCTCTTGCATCGGATAAAGAACCAAGCAAGACCAATATCCACAGGGGCAGGAGTATGGACCATGAAAGGTACACGAGAATGGATATGGCCACTAACAAGCCGGCTCAATGGCCGCGATGTGGGTACAGATGAGTCGGAGGCAGTACGGTGGAGTGTTGCAGCCTAACAAAACGCGCGACTCAGGGCTCAGGGCCAAATGACGTTGTCGATAATATGACACAAGACGAGGAGCAAGCAGGTTGACTTCTCTCCATTCCAGCACACGACCATAGATGCTCGAGGGTAACATCTGCGCAAGAGACAGCAATAAAGGACGACAAGGACCTCACGCAGCATGGACCCAGACATACCACACACCTCGATTGAACAGGATGCCCTCCCCAACATCAACACCAGTTCACACTCTCCCGCGTCGCCCTCCATCCACATCAATCCCTTCCCTCGCTCGCACTTGAATTCTGCCGCCTCAGTCCCGCTGCCTCCCTCCTCGCCCATGCGCACACCCCACCACACCCCAATCGCGAGCAAACAGAAGAGTCTCTCTCCCAAGCCACCCTCTCGTCCACCCTCACGATCCCCGTCTGTGGCCAGTTCATATCGTGGAGAAAAACAATCCACTCCTACGCTGGCCACCCGGAGGTCGACTTCTAGTCTTAGCACCACAAGAGGAGGGACACCACAATATCAGCAGTACCGACGGACTTCCTCCAACCTCAACCCCTCGTCTCCCGCGACAAATGGCAGAGTGCACTCGGGCAATCTCTCAGAACGTTCCCCCGTGACGGCCAGCTCAGTCGCCAAGGACTACTTTGGAAGGGAGATGGAGGCTCATGCTTTCTTGCAATCTCCAGTCGTTGTCATGGTTCACGATTCATGCTACGGCCATCGCTTCTCCCGCCCTCGATCCACCAAGAACGCCTTGGCCACAATAGTTGAACGACCAGAGAGAATCCATGCCGCACTCTTGGGAGCCTCCGCTGCATATGTGCGCTTGGGAGGACGACATGCCGAAGGCGAATATGCTCCCCGACCCATGCACCATTCCTCCCACGTGCGCAATATCCCCTTTCAGATCCGCAAGACTTCTCGAAATATCCCGCTCACGCACCCATCTGTGGCTTTCGTGCACGGGTCGAAATGGATGGAAGAATTGCAGATCATGTGCGATACGGCCGAGGGGAAACTAGCCCTCAACGGCAAGGAGTTGGTGAGACCGGTCGGATACGGCAAGGATGAGAACGGCGATCCTCTCCCGAAACTACATGAAGGCGATCTCTACCTGTGCGCTGAATCATTGGCCGCCTTCCAAGGCTGTCTCGGTGGTGTCTGCGACGCAATTGATACGGTCTTTTCGTCGGGCGTGACGAACCGCGCCTTCGTCTGCATACGTCCTCCGGGACATCACTGTTCTTCCAATTTCCCTTCTGGCTTCTGCTGGCTGAACAATGTCCACGTGGGAATTGCCTACGGGGCCATGAATCATGGTTTGACGCATGCCGCCATCATCGACTTTGATTTGCATCACGGAGACGGTTCTCAGAATATCGCCTGGGATCACAACTGCAAAGCTCAAGGGGCAGCAAAGAATGCCGCCGCGCACAAGAAGACTCCTATCGGTTACTACAGTCTCCACGACATCAACTCATATCCTTGCGAATGGGGTGACGAAGAAAAGGTCCGCAATGCCAGTGTGTGTATTGAGAATGCCCATGGCCAGTCCATCTGGAACGTCCACCTAGAGCCCTGGAAATCACACGAGGAGTTTTGGAAACTGTACGAGGCCAAGTACACAATCCTGCTGGAGAAGGCGAGAATATTCCTCCGCAGTCATACTGCAAGGCTACTACGTGCTTCCGGAAATCAGCAACCCAAAGCCGCCATTTTCATCTCGGCTGGTTTTGACGCCAGTGAGTGGGAAGGTGCAGGCATGCAGAGACACAGCGTCAATGTTCCCACTGAATTCTACGCGCGTTTCACTGCCAACATCGTCCGACTCGCCCACGAAGATGATCTCGGCGTTGACGGTCGAATCGTCAGCGTGCTCGAAGGGGGATACAGTGATCGAGCCCTTACCTCGGGAGCATTGAGCCATATCTGTGGTTTGGCTGGAGACGCCAATGCCGCAAACACGGGGAGCTTATCAACGCCTGAAGCAACCAAATTCCCGACGATCAACAACTGGGTCCCGCCGGACATGGAGACATCGGCCAAAGGCCCGAATATTTCTTACTCGGCCGACTGGTGGACGTCGCAGAATTTGGAAGAACTGGAAGCGGTAGTTGCAGGTCGACAGCCGCCACCCCCCAAGTCGTTGAAAGACAAAACGGGCAACTATTCTTCACCTACACACGCTTCTACCCTCAAAATGACTGATCATGCTCGGGAGAGGCAGTCACTTTCTGCCCTACAAGCTAGACTCTCCTTGGAATCCGAATATGTGCCGCCGCCACCTGAAGTTGATTGGGCGATAGCTTCCTATGAGTTGTCTCGTGTTATCATTCCAGGCGATCGCCAGACCTTGAGTTGCACACATGAAGAACTGAACGTAGACGCCACAAAAGCTCGACGCGAACGGCCGTCAACCGCCAGCGTCGCCGCGGCTCCAGATGAGCGAATGCAGCTTCGTGGTCGACGAGCTAAAGCACAGCCTACTGGTCTTGTGGGTGTGAGAGCGTCCTCACGCAATGAGAATCGGCGGACCACCATTGCAGCCATCAGTGATTTGCCTGACCCCACCATGCAACACCATGAGAATGTCAATGGTAGAGCCCGACGGAGATCTAGCGATGCCTCAAGCATCCTGTCAGGTTTTCAAGCCATGAAGCTGTCCGACGAGACTGACGGCGCAAACAAGACTGGCAATATACCCTCAAGGACGCCCTCAACTGTTCCGGAGAAACCGCCAAAGGCTGTTGCCGTCAAAAAAACCAGAGCTCCCACTACAAAGGCTCCGGTCAAACCAAAAACTAGTCCACGAAAGCCGAAGTCCACTTCACCCGTAGCTATCGATGCTCCAAAGCCTGGATTATCCACCCATGTTGGCGATGAACAGTCGGAAAGCGATAAGTTCAAGAGAGAACCGACAACCACTTCGCAGGAAGGAAGCAATGTAGCGTCGAAAGCGGATGACATGGAAAATCTGACGAACGGAATGAAGAAGATCAGTATCAAGTTGAAGATGCCGTCAGCAGAAGAGCATGCGGCAAGACAGCAACAAAAGGCGATCGAGGACAAGCAGAAGAAAGGCCGCGTGTCACGAAAGCCGCTGCTGGCAAAGAACACCAAGGTCGTCAAGGCAGCCGGCCCTGCAGATCAGGATCGCTCTGTTCACATCCAGCCGAAACCCATGCCGAGTGAGGGACAGGAGGGGCCTGAATCAACGACCGACTCAAGAACCACCGTGTTGGAAGCGGAAAACACTTTTGGCCGACAAGGGCAAGCTGGCAGTGCGATCTTGAATAATTCACCCGAACATCAAGCCTCAAGCCACAGCGGGCCGGACGTCAGACCACCTGAAGTTTCGCAGACGGCGTTCGGTGACGTGCAGATCACTACCCCCAATATGTCTGATCCAGTCATCACTGATCCCGCGCCTTCGACACAAGGGGATGTCGTTGACCCTCTTCCCCCAGCATCCATGATTCCTTCAACTGATCAACAAACACTCTCCCAGCCCTTAAACGACCAAATGCCCCAAATGAGTGCCGAGTCCACGCAAGTCAGACCGACTTCGGCGAGAAACGTCACGCCGAAGAGAACAAAGCAAGACCTTCCGGTCTTCGACTCGAATTCGCCGATTCCATTTGCGGCCCCGGTGAGTGCCTACATCAACAACCCGAATCAAGACCAAGATGTCAACCATCAACACTCAATCCGGGATATTCTGGAGACAGCACAGCAGAATTGAAGCTTTGTATTCGAACATGGCGTTCAGGGAAGGGGTTGCGTCGACTATGTCACCAGTCTTACCTAGAATTGAAAGGGCACTGAGAGCTTAGCCCTAGAGTGACCAAGGGGCTTCAGCGCTGCTTTTTGCTTCATGTGATTTTGGAGATACCCCCTGACGGCATGAGGACTGGAGTTGGGTGTGGATTGGACTGGACCGGACCGGACCGGACCTTGACCCAATATTGTCTTTTCTTTTGTTAACGGAGCTGGGCACTTGGACCAGACTAATAAGCTCGACTGGATTGGACTGGACTGCACTTCTTCTCTTAAGAGAAGAATTCAAATCAATCGATTATTGCAAATTCTCACTAGGCTTGTCTATAACAGATCTTCTTGGATGTGAACTTCGATGACCTTTGATGCCAGCTCCAAGCATAAAAATTACCTACAACACCATCTACATTACGGTACAGCGGCTTTTCTTCTCTCCCCTCCGCGGCGCAGCACACCGACATTCCGTCCTCCTTATTCGCTGCTCGTGCTGGAAGAACATCAGCTCCCGCTCCTCGTCGGCCAATTGCATGATCAGACGATGCCGCATGAGCTGTGCGTGCGTGTATCTGCCCGAGTCAAGTAATTTCTCGCACTCCTCATACAGCTCGCGCCTGCGTCGGATCTCGGCCTGGTGCTGTAAACGACTCTGGCGCGCAGCTTCAGTATACGAGCTGGATCTAGGAGGGGGGTACCGGGCCCGTATCGTGCGAGGAGAATGACCCTTGGAAATGCCCGCGTCGGCTCGCAGTGGAGATCGTGGAGACCGGCGGCCGCGAGGTGACCCCGTCATCTGTGGGATGTGTGGGACCTTGCGGACGTCTCTCAAGTTGCTGTAGAATCGGGGTCCCGAGGATCGTCGCCGCTCCCGCTCTGCCGGCATGTTGATGCTCTTCAGGTCGCGCGATATGTCGCGCATCGTGGCAGACATGGCAATGGGCGGCGAGGCCGAAGCAGCCCCTCCGGAAAACTTGCGCCCGTCGAGAAAGGTTGACGAGGAGGCGGAGGCGGCAGTGCCGTCAATGACCACTCCCCTGGTAGCTCGAGGTGGTGATTTCGGTGTAGTCGGTACGGGCTTGAGAGGTGGCGGAGGAAATGTCAGGTATAATTGACAGGTTGGGTATGGGTGGAGGCACATCGCGGAAGGCTGGGTGGATTTCCGTCGTCGTCGGTGTGAATGGGATTCCATGTCGTTGGTAATAGGCATGTTTCTCGCAGAGTCGGTCAGTTTGTTTCCTGACAGGAGACCGAAGCGTTTCGCGGCACTGGGCTACTGGTAGGGCGCAGGACCATTTTTCATTCTCACCTTTGCAGCCGCAGCGGTGGATGATTAGGGCTTTGTAACACATTCTATTTGGTTCTCTTCAGAAAAAGGGACAGCTGAAAAGATATCTGTAGAGTTATGGTAGGGATGAGACGGATCGCGTGCCCAAGTGCTATTTAGAGGGTAAAAGAACATGGGAGTCTTAATGGGACGAGGAACACATCATTCTTTGTTCAACTGTCCGGATGCAGATAGGGCGCTGAGCGGACGCGGCTTCAGGTACGAGGAGCATAGCGGAAGGCAGTTGAGAGGCATGATCCTTTTTGTTGTCGTGAACTGATTGATGCTTTGCCTTTATTCAACTGAAAGAATGAGACCGTTCGTCGTCAGCTACCTTGGTGGGAGGACGCAGGTCGACCTGGACTGGTAGGAGGTGGGAGGTGCATTGCGATACTCCCAAACACATAGCCCTATGAGCACTGGCGTTGGTCCTGATGGGTCATGATATTGACATCGAAGGTGGCGGCTCGGTCGCAAGGCTGGGATGCCAAGAAAAGGGTGCTCGTGGCGGTTGCCGGGGCAGGAGGTTGACGGCTTCCTAATTGGGAAACATCGCCATAATGGCGATCATCGTGTGGCTCCAAAAGGCGCAAACTCAGCCACCCTGAATCCTATTCGACATTTATTCTCCCTGTGAAACAGGCCTCATCGTTGCCCTCACTCTCACCACGTCTATATCTCCATCAGTCGGCGCATGGATTTATCTTTGATCTGAACCCAGACCGTGTCTCGAGTAAACAAACCTGTCCCTCCCATATTGCTCAACCATGGACGGACCTCGTACTCCCACTCGAGCTCCTCCAAGTTGTGCTGACGGCCCTCCCTCTTATGTCCATACTCCCGGCGAAGAAGACAATATGAGTGTTCCCGGGCACAACTCGTCGCTCAGGCTGCTCCCCCAGGACGAGTACCGATCGTACGTGACAACTCCCACTACACCTACGCAATCCAATGACCTCCCTTCACCCAAATTCAAGCCAGTTTTTAGCCCAATGGCGTCGCATGCAACTTGGGACGACTCCCCCATAGAGTCTGCCGAACGAGGCACCAGACCACAAACTCCTGGGTGTTCTCTGATCGCTGAGGCGGAAGAAAAGCTCCAGCGCGGTCGAGAAAATTTGGCCTTCATTGGCCGGGTTCCTACTCTCAAAGCTCCTGTAACCTTGAAAAAGACTCCCCCGACTGACCGAAGTCCTCCTTACAGACCCTCTCCAACAAGTCGAGTATCCCCCGAACGATACCAGAGACCCGCAGCTTCGACCGCCTACAGCTCTCGTCCTAGCTCAAGTCTAGGCCGAGCACCTTCAATACCTCTCCCCACCGCGAACCCTCGGTCTCCCATCCGACCATCCACTCCTTCTCGCGTCTCCACAGATTGGGGCAGACCGGCGGCCTCTAGCGTGGCATACGAACCCGCCGACCTCAATGGCAGTCCCCGTCCAGGCACCCCATCTTCACAATATGGCGGAAGCCCAAGGAGACCTCTACCCCCTGCGCCACTCTTTTCTACCAAGGGTCCCTCGGAAACCACAATTCCCATACCAGGGCCAGAGTCAGAGAACGATGTCTTCGCCAAGGGTAGCCCCATAATCCCAGACAGTGACCCCCGGGCAAGTTTGAAATCTACACATTCATACATGACGGACTCCACTTTCACAGAAGAGGATGACATTCCGAATGAGAAGTTTGATCACTATGGACCGGCACCAGAAGGGAGGCAAGACCGACGAGGATTGAGAGAAGCACAAATGACCAAGAAAGAGGTCAGACTGATCAATGGAGAGCTGATTCTCGAATGCAAAATTCCTACGATCCTGTACAGTTTCTTGCCTCGAAGAGATGAGCGCGAGTTCACACATATGCGATACACTGCCGTCACTTGCGATCCGGATGACTTCGTGGTCAAAGGGTACAAGCTGCGCCAAAACATTGGACCGACCATACGTGAAACCGAGCTCCTCATCTGCGTTACCATGTACAATGAGGGAGAGATCGAATTTACGAGGACAATGCACGGCATCATGCGAAACATCGCGCACTTTTGCTCCCGGACCAAATCCCGAACATGGGGGAAAGACGGGTGGCAGAAAATCGTTGTCTGTGTCATTGCAGATGGAAGACAGAAGGTTCATCCACGAACACTAAATGCGTTGGCGGCGATGGGGGTTTATCAAGACGGCATAGCCAAGAACGTTGTCAACCAGAAAGAAGTCACTGCCCATGTGTACGAATACACGACTCAAGTGTCCTTGGACGAGACTCTGAAATTCAAAGGTGCGGAGAAAGGGATTGTCCCCTGTCAAATGATCTTTTGCTTGAAGGAGAAGAACAAGAAGAAACTCAACTCTCATCGGTGGTTTTTCAACGCTTTTGGACGGGCGTTGATACCAAACGTGTGCATCCTTCTTGACGTTGGTACCAAACCCGATTCCAAAGCTTTATATCATCTCTGGAAAGCATTCGATCAAGACTCAAATGTGGCCGGCGCCGCCGGAGAGATCAAGGCCGATAAAGGTAAAGGATGGATTGGCCTGCTCAACCCGCTCGTTGCTTCACAAAACTTCGAGTACAAGATGAGTAACATTCTCGACAAGCCACTCGAGTCAGTCTTTGGCTACATCACGGTCTTACCGGGTGCGCTCTCAGCATATCGATACTATGCTCTCCAGAATGATCCGAGTGGTCATGGTCCGCTCAGCCAATACTTCAAGGGAGAAACGCTGCACGGTCGTGATGCCGATGTTTTCACTGCAAACATGTATCTTGCAGAAGATCGAATCCTTTGTTGGGAGCTTGTCGCTAAGCGTGGTGAGCAATGGGTGTTGAAGTTTGTCAAGAGTGCCTATGGCGAAACGGATGTGCCAGGTATGGAAACCTAACATGTCATGGGAAGAACCCTGCTAACTGGTAACAGATGCTGTCCCAGAGTTCGTTTCTCAGCGGCGACGTTGGCTCAATGGGGCCTTCTTTGCAGCAGTCTACTCCCTGGTCCATTTCCGACAAATATGGCAGACTGACCACACCCTGACTCGAAAAATTTTATTGCATATCGAATTCGTCTATCAATTCATATCCCTCCTCTTCACCTATTTCTCTCTCGCAAACTTCTATCTTACCTTTTACTTTATTTGCGGTTCATTGGCGGATCCTCAAATCGATCCATTCGGCCACAACATTGGCAAATATATTTTCACCGTCCTGCGCTATATTTGCGTGCTCTTGATCTGTCTTCAGTTCATTTTGAGCTTGGGCAATCGACCACAGGGCGCCAAAAAATTCTTTATGGGAACCATGGTCACTTATTCCGTCATTATGGCGTACACGACATTTGCATCCTTGTATATCGTCATTAAGCAGCTCACGGCTCATGCCATTGAGGAAACCGACCCAGATAATCCCTACAAGCTGGGGAACAACATTTTCACCAACCTCATTGTTAGTACGGTTAGCACCATAGGATTGTACTTCCTCATGTCATTCCTTTATCTGGACCCGTGGCACATGTTCACCAGTTCAGCACAATATTTTGCCCTCCTGCCGTCATACATCTGTACATTGCAGGTGTATGCATTCTGCAACACTCACGACGTTACATGGGGTACGAAGGGTGACAACGTTCTCCATACCGATCTCGGTGCCGCTAAGGCCATTGGATCTGGAAATACCGTCGAGGTCGAGATGCCTTCCGAACAACTTGACATTGACTCTGGATATGATGTCGCCTTACGAAATTTGCGAGACCGTGTTGAAGTCCCCAAACCAGCGGTCAGCGAAAGTCAGCTTCAGGAAGACTATTACAAGTCGGTTCGAACATACATGGTGTCGATCTGGATGATTTGTAACGCCATCCTCGCCATGGCTGTCTCCGAAGCATATCCCGTGGGGAGCCACATTAAGGACAACTTCTATCTGACATTCATTCTCTGGTCTGTGGCAGCGGTTGCCTTGTTCCGCGCGATAGGTTCTTCTGCTTTCGGAATTATCAATATTGTTTCTGCAATTGCAGAAGGCCGACTGCAAGCCAAGTTCGAAAGAATATTTGGCGGAGGAGACGAGCATGGACGCCATCGGGCTGGCCTGGGAAGTGGGATCAGCGAGTCCGGCAAGACTGGAGTCTCGGGTGGCTCTAGCGGCAGTGGGATGAGCTTGAGTGATGTGACGAGCAAGATTAGTGAAAAATTCAGCTGGATCAGTGGGAGGTAGCAATGATAAGGAAATGGGTTATGTTCATGTTTGAATGGCATCTCGTGAGTTTTCGGGAATTTCCTGGGATTGGATGTTCCAACATGTTGGGTGACGGTGGAGGATTAATGATGCATTGAATGACACACTTCGATTCGAGTGTCGAGGGATAGTTTGTCTAAATATAGACAAAAGAGACTCAAAGGCGTCTGGGATAGAATGATTCATGAGCATTTCCATTTTATTGCTTAAAGAACTTCAACTGATCGAGTCATTCTAATAGCTCCAACGCATTAAATCACAAGCCGGATATGAGAAAAGTTCTTCGCTCCATGAGAGAATTGCATTTCCCCATTATTCCTACCCTGTTACCTTCCGAGAATAAACTCCGTATTCACATACCTTGTGCCTTCTATGTATGAGGCCTTTGATCCTGGTCCGTAACATATCAAAGTTCCTCCCATTTTGGGGCAATGCTTGTCGAAATCAAAGCTCGTCTGTCTCACTCAAGGAGATGAGGCTTCCATGGTCGAACACAGCTGCTTCTTGTCGGGAGGGGGAGGGATGTCTGTCTTCTCGGCATTGTGAACGAACAAGCAAAGAAGAAGCAGTGTTCCTTCATTGTCAAGGGATAGATAGGGTAGGGGGTTGGTGATTCACTTACCTCATTCATTCATTCCCGTATCTGAGTAACGATGACCATCTCGAGGTCTAAGCTTCGACTTGTAGTTCGATTGTGCTGGCAGTCGGAGACGTCCTGAGCATCCAGAGAGACCCGCAGAAGAGGCCGTGGACTGCGGAGGCATTTGCAAACGCTCTGAGCGTCGGGAAGGACCTGCGGAAGTCGAAATCGAAATCGCATTTGACACAGATCTTGGTGAGGGAAGGATGCCCTTATGGGTCTGAACCTCGCGGAAGACACGACCATTCTGAATAATAATATCTGATCTGTCGCATCGGAACTCGTGGAAGTAGCCTATGACTTGCCCGTCTCGAATGACTCTGTACAATGCGCGCTTTGAATTGTTGTTTGGGGAACTGATGTCTTCCTCAACTTTATGCTTGCCTTTGTCTTGAAAGTTGTCGAATCGCTTGTTGACATGCAGGGTCGATCGCGTGCTCCGTGGCACCGGCGGAGGCGATGCGCTGGAGTGTTGCATGCGAACCTGCCCTGGACCATGGCTTGACGATGCCGAGGTCAATTCTTTTCGCATATTCTCAGATTTCTGGTGCCGTCGCCGATCCTGGCGACAAGGAGCCAAACGATTTTCACGAGAGCGACTGAATGAATCCTCACGCAATCGGCGTCTGTGCTCCGTCGCATTGAGGGATTTACTGACAGGGATATCGGATCTCGGAGTTGTAGGCGTTGCAGTTGGTCCGGGAGTCAAGGTGACAGATCTTGAGGACGGTGATGATTCTGGAGCGACCAAGTCAACTACAGGTATGTCACTGAAGTCTAATGGAGGTAGGTCGAATTGAGAAGCGTCGGCGCTCTGAGCCAGTGCATTCGAGGATGGTTGCACATACTTCGGTGAGCAGGGTCTTCCGAGGGCAGAGCTCTGGAACGAGCTGAACATCAATGGTTGAGATTGAGATTGACCGAGCCTGGATTCTGAGCTTAGAAAACTACCAAGAATCACGAATCCTGGGGGAGAGAGCGGCTGAGTAGACGAATCTGAGCTGCTTCCTTGCTCAGACGCTTTGCTCAAGCTAGAAATCGGATTCTCAAACGATGACTTCTGGTAAGTATTCATAGCTGGCTGGGGCTGGGATGAGGGGGGACGATTGCAAACGAACATACCTGGTTCGGTCAAATCAGTGAGAAGGTCCAAGTTGACATCAATCATTTGAGCCCAGTCGGCTAGGGATTGCTGATCCATATTGAGGAACTCTTGGCTCCAATTGTCAAATTCAATATCCAACCCGTTTTCCGAGATGATTGATTGCTCCCTACCGGAGGTTTGCGCCGTTCTAGATGCGGGTTCCTCAACTAGAGCCGGTTCTGAAATGGTGCCGGGACCATTCGTCTTCATCGTTGATTCCTGTCCATCATCCGGATCCAGGTCGATGTAGTCCCCTGTATTGAAGACTTCATCAAAGAAAGAGTCAGACATAAGATTGAAATTGTCCTCCCAATCAATTTGTTCGTTTGAAATGAATTTGAGGCCGGTTTCTAAATTGGCTAACCGGTCGACGTCGATCACGAAATTGGAATCGAAATCTTGGTACGGCGGTGGAGACACGTCCATACTTGGTTCTTGGACAATAGCACTGGTCGAAAACATGTATATACTCGGCTCTGAGTAAATTGCACGGGGAGGAGACCTGTGCTGCTCGGCAAGGGTGGGTATGAATGGATCAAGAGGGTTGACCGTCAAGTGCAACCGATGCTCCTCGAACAGTTCATCAAGCGAGCTCGAATTGGAGAATGGCTCGGATTCGCCGTCAGAAGGGACAGAGGTCCAGTCTCCTGGAGTTCTAGGGGAATTTGATCCTTCTTGCTGAGACGCCATGTGAAAGGATTGATCTTCGAATCTGCCTCCTATCGAAAACGTGTAGAAACTAATGGTCTGTGTAGTAGATGCTTTCGTAGTCGGTCGGTTAGGCCTTTCAGTAGCGTCTGCTTGTTGAGGTAGAAGGATGAAGAGGGGGACGAAAGTCGATGCCTCCAGCGCGCCCATCTTTATAGAATTCCCTGTCGTATTTCCCAAGCTCTTTTGATTTAACAAGACAATACATCCGCCAAAGCCAAGTCATCGAGACAACGTCGCCTGGATTGAAACACTAATGAAGACGCGTCATTAGACAGTAGAAGACAAACCTTCTTGCTCGAGGAGGCTATGTTCATCGTTCAGATAGGTTTTTGCAATGGTCGTTTTCCAGTGCTTTGTCGGTTATCGTTTGTCGAGGTCTAGTCATTGTTCAAGCAGTGACGCCAGCCATAATGAAGGAGTCAAAGGATCTTTCACCACCTTTACCTCCACCTTCACAAAGCCAGTCTCTTCCAATCCTGAGCCACACAACAAAGCTCGGCAACGTCGGGAAATGATGGAGCGGTAGGATTTGGGTCATCGGCGCTTCTGATCCTCAGTCTCAATTTCAACACCTTACCTAGACAACATCATCACCGGCTTGAAACCGAAACAAGCCTTTGGATCCTTTCACAAGACACAAAGATACTCCGTACCTGGCTAGAATCTCCTCGTCAGCAAATCAGAACATTCTCTTCTTCAATTCAACATGATTGACCCCACCCAGACCACCGGAACCCTCACCACTGTGATTGTCCGCATTTTTATGGCGAGATCGATCATCATCAGATTGAAGCGTCCACATAAAGACCATGGTCGTCGATCAGAGCGGATCTGTCAGAGACGATATGCAGTGTCGTGGTCAACTGCCGAAGGTGAGTACCAGAGGGGTCTGTTTTCGCTCGAGGTAGGATTTGTTTTCCAAGTTGACGATGTTGATGGTAGCACTTCCAATCAACCCGGCCTCAGTTCGCCCGGTCTAAACGACGAAATACACACATCAAGTTGATTTGCGTCTTCGGAGGTAATGAATCGGTCAAAGGACATAGCAGTAGAGACACTCATTGGGTGATCAACTATCACGCACCACGGTAAGGTGGGTGAATACGAGAGCAGGCGTGGCGCAATGGGCCTGAATGAGCTGCTAGGAATCAGATCATTTGCCCTCGACCATTTAACAAGATGCTAAACAAAACGAGGGTGTTATATTGTACGGATAACAATGATGACGAGGCACCTCGGTCATAAGGTAGGGCCTTTCGGCCGAAGTGGCTCGATGAGCGAGGATAAAGGCCGAGGCGTCTACACAAAGTGCGACGTCTCGCATCTCTCCATTGTGGATTCCGCCATATTGCTAGCAGAATGGCCATGAATACGGCGTCCAAGGAGCTTTGCCGTTCCCCTTCCTATTACCGCTTCTGCCTATTTTCCTGAATTATTTTCTCTATCGTTCCCTCCCACCAGCGAAGTTCCTATATTCAATCCTCTGCTATTGATATTGTTTGGGAGTCTCAGAACCCCCGGATTCTTTGGTCTCACCCTCAGTCTGTCGATTTTCAAGTCAGAACGAAACTCTTCGTATTAATAAGCTCCATGGTCAAGCTTCTCGTCAATCGCTCGCAAGCCACTTTGCGTCCGGACTCGACCAATCACCGCCCCGTCCTCGGGCACTAAGACTGGGCCTGGGCCAACATCTCGTCTGGTCAATTCAATTCCGACGACCCTCGGCCATATCGGTATTCAGCCAGGATTAACCATGGGCCAGAAGCGTCGCCGTTTGGCCTTGTCCTGCGTCGCCTGTCGTCGTCGGAAGGTCAAATGTGACAGAACCTATCCCACTTGTGTCCGCTGTCAGAAAGGAGGTGTTACTTGTGACTATGTCTCTTATACATCGAAGCAGGATAACACTCTACCTACGCCTTCCGAGGAGAGTCCACACCTCCAGAGAGAAGCATCCGTTACTTCATGGACTGAGGACGCAAACGTATGGCACGCCCGCTCCCAGGAGCACGAACATGTCCGCGCTCACAACGATGCCACCAATTCTTCCACTGCTCAACCTCGACTCCAAACCCGGACGATACAGGAGCTCCAGACACGGGTCTTTGAACTTGAATCCTATGTGAGGGCGGCAGCAGGATCACGACCTATTTCATCCGAGAAGTGTCTGGGCATGGGTCATCCTACGGGTTCTGGTACATCGACCGACAAGAACGCACTCCAAGATTTTGAACGGGCTCTTCTGCGGGGAAAGAGCTTCAAGACGCAATACTTTGGCCCCAGCCATGGTGCTAGCTTGCTTCTACAATTTGAGGAGCTTTCTCGTATGGCCAAAGATACCCTGCAGCGGCTATCATCCCTCGACAAGTCAAGATATGCTTTCAAGCTCCAACGACACGATGTCAGCTCGTCGTTGGTGCTGCCTGACTTCGAAACCCTGGTGTCATTGGTTCCGGAGCGGACTCGTGCGGATGCCCTGGTGCGGGAATACTTTGAAACCTTGGAGACCACGCACAGAGTCCTGCATGCCCCGACTTTCTTTCGCAGATACAAAGACTTCTGGGCCTCCTCACCAGACTCTTCGGCGGCTTTTCTGGTACAACTACTCCTTGTCTGTGCCAGTGTCAACAGCGTTGTCCCCGGTGGAGCTACGGGTTTCATTGGCCGAAACACCGTCGCTCGCGATACATCGTTGAAGTGGATCGAAGTGTGTGAGAGCTGGCTCGACTTGCAGAGTCAGAAGCATATGACGCTTGACGTGTTTCAGGTACAAGTGCTGCTCGTGATTGCAAAGAGATTGAATTGCGTCAAAGTCAAACGGGAGTGGACCGTTGCCGGCCATTTGCTGCGACTTGCAATGTCCGCTGGTCTGCATCGAGAACCAACATTCCTGAGCAAGAATATCGGTGTGTTCGACCAAGAGATGCGGAGAAGACTGTGGTTCACCATTTTGGAGCTGGAGACTCAAGCGAGTCTGGATCGTGGGATGGGTGCCAGTCTCGGCCCTTTCGACTGGGACACTTTGGCGCCATTGAATATTCACGACGAAGATTTTGACCCATCGACCGAAAAGATGCCTCCTGCTCGGCCGATAACCGAATTCACCCGCACCTCGTTCCTCTGCCTGGCACAGCAACACTTACCTCTTAGGCTTGAGATGTTATCCAGGATTAACAGCATCCGAGTCACTCTCGAGAGTGAGACTGCGGTCGAACTCGATCAAAGAATCAGGCAGCTGCTGGACAATCTTCCGAAATGGTCAAATAATGCGGCCCAAGCCATGTCACAGGCTCTGTCGGAACTGCTTCTTTATGAATTCCTCCTGCTTGTGCACCAGCCGCTCGCGGCGCAAGCTGGTGCACAGGCACGGCACTTTTACTCACGAGCAGCCCTACGCAACGCAGCTTTAGCGACGATCAAAACCTACACCAAAATGCGACCGAGTACATCCTCGACTTTGACGAGTCTTCGAGACGATCTCTTCCGTGCGGGTCTATCCCTGTGCCATGATATCGTCGTCTCCGTGAGCTCGAAAGAGGAATTGATGCAAGATAAGACCACGGCAATGCAACTCATTGACCAGGCCGTGGACATGATGGAAAATCGAATTCGAAACCTGGGACAAGGATTTCACTCATATTGGCTGACATGCAGTGCCCTGGGACTGGTGCGATCCAAAACTTCGCCAACGAAAACGGCGGACGAGCTTGCACAAGAGACGGCCGACCGCGTGATCAGGCTTCACGATTACATGATGGCCCAGCAAATAGCACCACCTGGTCAACATATGGGCAAGGGGGTGGAAGACGTTGCGATGAGTGCTGCCAATACACTGGAAGGGGTGAGCCGCCAGCCCGCTCCCAGTCATCCTTTGCCAGAATTAGATCCTTTCACGCCAATAGGGGGCTCGTTTAATACGTTCTCAGAGACATTGTTCGATTTTGACATCACGGATATCTGGAACCTGGACGGATCCACACATTTTCAGTGATGGCAGAATCAAGGGGGAGCAAAGAAGCACAGGTAGTTTTCCCATAGATGCGGATGAGGCATGCATCACCACTCAATTGCACGAGACTTTAGAGGAGTGAGAGGTTGAGGCTACAATTTGTACATTATGATGGACAATGAATGACATGCAATGCCGAGATCCGCCAAGCCTCTAAAAGGTCTGTTTCGGCAGACTTTCCTGGAACGGAAGTGGCGTATCGCTAGTGGCAGTTCATCGCCATTCCCGTCCAAAATTTCGCACTTCGCCCCCTTCTTCCACCTTTAACAACTCTTCAACCTCTCTCTTCTCATTCTTCGTTTCTCTCTCCTCTTACACTGCAGACGTCGCATCAAGCCTCCTCTGCGGCATTCTCTGGCCTCTTTGCACCATTCCTCTCCACTCCCTCCCTCTTCCTCTCACGCAGACTCACCTCGGGACCTTGGCGCCTGTCATGTCTTACGGAGGTGGTTACGGATCTTCAAGATCCAACGGATATTCCAACGGGTATGTGCAATCCATCTCGATCCCTAGCGCCTGTCTTTTAGCGATGGCCCCCAGTCCAAAAACAACGAGCCTCGACCTCTGGCTTTTGTTCGGTTTCCCTGATTTTCTCGACTATTACTAATATCTGAACAGCTACAGTGGCGGTCACAGTTATTCCAACGGCTACGGCAACTCGAACGGATACTCTGGCGGCGGTGGCGGCGGTGATAAGATGTCGAGCCTTGGAGCAGGATTGAAACAACAACATTGGGATCTTGCCGCACTGCCAAAATTTGAAAAATCATTCTACAAGGAGGATCCGGCGGTCACAAGCAGATCACAGCGAGACGTTGACGATTTCCGTCGAAAACACGAGATCTCCGTCCAAGGTCGCAATGTGCCACGACCAGTCGAGACTTTCGATGAGGCTGGATTTCCGGCCTATGTCATGTCCGAGGTCAAGGCCCAAGGTTTCGCTCGGCCCACGGCAATTCAATCTCAAGGTTGGCCCATGGCACTCTCTGGTCGTGATGTCGTTGGTATCGCCGAGACTGGATCTGGCAAAACCCTGACATACTGTCTTCCAGCCATCGTTCACATTAACGCTCAACCACTTTTGGCACCAGGCGATGGCCCCATTGTGCTCGTTCTCGCGCCAACTCGAGAACTGGCCGTCCAGATTCAACAGGAGATCACCAAATTTGGCAAATCCTCCCGCATTCGAAATACTTGTGTTTATGGTGGCGTTCCCAAGGGTGGACAAATCCGTGACCTCACTAGAGGTGTGGAAGTGTGCATTGCTACTCCGGGCCGCCTCATCGATATGCTCGAATCCGGCAAAACTAATCTACGTCGCGTTACTTACTTGGTTCTTGATGAAGCCGATCGTATGCTTGACATGGGCTTTGAACCCCAGATCCGCAAGATCATCAGTCAAATTCGCCCTGACCGACAAACCTGCATGTGGTCTGCCACTTGGCCCAAGGAAGTTCGCCAGTTGGCCTCGGACTATCTCAACGATTTCATTCAGGTTAATATTGGTTCCATGGATTTGTCCGCAAACCACCGCATCACTCAAATTGTCGAAGTTGTTTCCGAATTCGAAAAGAGAGACCGCATGGTCAAGCACCTGGAACAGATTATGGAAGACCGGAACAACAAGATTTTGATTTTCACCGGTACTAAGCGTGTTGCCGACGATATCACTCGATTCTTACGTCAAGACGGCTGGCCAGCACTTTGTGAGTTTCACACAAAACCCCTCAACATAACTCTCCAGCACTAACAAAGACACAGCAATTCATGGTGACAAGCAACAAAATGAGCGTGATTGGGTCCTCAACGAATTCAAGACTGGAAAGAGCCCAATCATGGTTGCTACGGACGTTGCATCCCGTGGTATTGGTATGAAAAGACAACGAACCCGCTCCCCCTCCCTTTTGTATCTTGTTTTTTTTTTTTTTTTTTTTTCCGGTTTTGCATTTCTTACCATTGCCGTCGTGTGATTTGGTGCGCGCTCTCTTCGCTCGTTACGCCTCCTTCAAACCACGCGTAACTTGTCCAGGCTCTGTGTTCTCAAAGGTCCTTTCTCCGGAAATCCTGGAACTTGTTTTGCAGTTTGCCGGGATTCAGTAACTTTGATTTCCATATCTGCTTCGTTCGAACGAGTAGGTGGTGGGACACTTTTCTTGACCATATCAAGCTGCAAATCCAGGATCTCTTCCCAAGGACCGTAGACAATTGCCGACTCCCAGGACATGGACATTGGCCACCAAAAGGATTAATGCTCCGAGTTTCAGAGAGAGAGTGAGAGAGTGATGTGCATCTTCACTCACACGACCACATATGGTCCCCAACGCCTCGTAAGAATACCATTTGCGGTTTTGCTAACCTATACTTCAAGATGTTCGAGATATTACTCATGTGTTCAACTATGACTATCCCAACAATTCAGAAGATTATGTTCACCGTATCGGTAGAACTGGACGAGCAGGAAGAAAAGGCACAGCTATCACGCTCTTCACCACTGACAGTAAGTCGATACTGATTCTTTCGGATGATTTGTCAGCCCGCTAACATTCTTCAGATGCCAAACAAGCTCGCGATTTGGTTGGTGTATTACAAGAGTCTAAACAGAGCATCGATCCTCGTCTCGCAGAGATGGCACGCTACTCTGGTGGCGGTGGAGGTGGCGGCCGTGGTTACGGACGTGGTGGTCACCGCGGTGGTGGTCGTGGTGGCTTCACTGCTTCCAACGCTGCACCACTGGGCCGGAGCCGATGGTAATGTGATCGAGTCATGGTGTTTACGTTATCGACACGATCCGGATTTTCCTCCACATTGAAGAGTTTCGTCACGCATCTGCACAGTCATTGTGCCACATCGCATCATGGGCGTTGAGGAGTCATGAATCATTTTGGGAGATAGATAAACCGTGTTTCTGGCGAGCCGGGATGATTTTTACCCCCTTGAAAGAATAGGGGAATGAGGTCATGGTTTTCAACTTGCGCAGCTGGAACAATATGGACATTCAAAGCCGAATCGATAGACCTGGTGTCCATGACGAGGGATGCCATTTATGTCAAGGCATTTTAAGGGCATCCACACGAGCATGAGCATTGTGTCCAAGACAATAGATATAGATACTGTTACGTGGCTGTGTACAATGAGAGACATGAAATCGCCAGTGGTATCTTTGACTTTGTGCGAGTGATCTATTCTATTCGTAGTGTTTTGCCTTTTGAAGCTGGGGGAATCAGTGCCCGTTCGACTACGTGTCAAATACTTTCTTTGTTCGACACAGGTTTGCCGTGGTCATTCCAAAAAGAACTACTGTAACCCGACATTTGGTCCTTCAAGGGAGACAACACCTCGGAATTCTTCTAATCAACGTTTCTGATTTACAGTCTCCATAGTGGATTGTACGGAAACTATTCCCGCTTCGAACAATACTGAGAACTCGTTTCGTTCGTTTTCGTCTGGCCCCCAACAGTCTACCTCTCTCTCATGGGCCCTGTACACTTCTCTGCACTACTCCGTTTCCCTGCCCTAATCCTCCGGATCAAGTCTTTTTTTTTTCTTTTTCAACTTGGTCGGAATATCAGTGCCAAGATCCTACATTGAGAGCAGGGTCTCTTTTCTTGTTGGTTTCTTATTGGTTTCTGTTGCATTGTGTGGACCTAGGCCATTTACCCAGACAGATTTGCTTGAACTCGTGAGGTGGTAGGGATTTTGGGACCGGGGGGCAAAACTCGATCAAGGGAAAAGGGAGGAGCAACAAATTGTGACGGTTCATTCTTAGGCATCATTGTCTTCATGTGGGTGCTGGTCAAATTGAACTGTGTGCCCCTCCCGGAACTGGGTCAGAATCCGGTTCAACATTTCGGTCAAATCTGGAGCGTAGCGTACAGTAGATGAAAGAAATTCCAAAGGGCCCGGCGTTGTCATCAGCGCTCTTTAGTGGTCGGGAGACCAGCGATGTCATATCGAAGCTCACTGCTTCTTTGCCAACCAGCTTTCACAACTCAGTCAGAGTGTCGGTTTCAAGTGTATTGAGATTCCCCCAACTCGTCCATACCATTCCGGTTCTTGCAGCTTGCCTTCAAGAGAAGGAGCTCGTAGGTGGCATTGGAGAGTAGAACGATGAGTCTGGTCAAATCGAGGAGAGCTCCTGGCTCACGGAGTGCGAGTAGAGAAAGAAGTAGAAGCCTGGTTTCTCCCTGCGCATATGAGCATTTGCAAACCCTCTTTTCCCCCTCCCCTCCAACCCAAAAAGGGGATGAGACATTGTTTGAATCGACCATGTCGATATTGGCTCCGAAAGTCGCCTGGAGTTGAGTGTGTTAGTTGTCTAGCAAGTTGGAGTGCCTTGCTGAGTCGTTGGCGAGGATGCTTTGAGGTAGTGGTGGGTTGGCTAGCATTGGGACAACTTAGGACACCGCTGAAGTGGCATACGACTTTTCAGGTCTTCTGGGAAAGGGGGACAGTGGCAGGACTCTATTGATTGTTGTACTTTTCTGTAGGAGTACACCAACTGGGATGGTCTTGCGTCAGCCAATTAGAGAATATGAACCTGGCAGTGTTGATTGAACTTGAGTTATAGCTTTTAAGGCAGGGAGGCTTTCACGATCAATGTTCTTCTAAGATTAACGCTGCCGTCAGGATGTATTGTATTTCTTGAGGAGCACTTGGAGGAACAGTAAAGGAGTCAACTGTGAATGCTTCACGGGATGGAGAGAAGAGCGTCAGACGACGTAAGTTAGATGTATGCGATGCGCTTCCCGATGCCCTCAAGATGTTCTTTGGACGATTCCCGCCTTGGTTGTTCTCCTCTCCTCCGAGAGTATTCTCGTCAATCGTCCTGCGCGCCGCCTGGTACGACCCAATTCCTTCCCTTGAAGTCACAATCAAATACCATCTCCTTCTGCCTGCTGTATTTCGTAATCGAGGAAATTGCGTACCCAATGGCTATCTAGAAGGTTACATGAGGTCAAACTGTGTCGGCAGCTCGCATGTTGTCCGGCGTGGACGGAGGCAGGACGAATAGGCGGTAGAGTGCCATGAAGGGGTCAGTATCCTGGTGCGTCAATGCAATGAAAGTCTTGTAGTATCGAAGGAAGTGCACCGAAATAGATCATAACAAGTCTGAAGCCGAAGAGGAGGTTGAACCTGTTTGTTCGATGAATTATCTATTGCGAGTGTCAGTCCACGCTCGATGCTTCTTTTCATGAACCGGCGATGGTATTCTGCACCGAGGAATGTTTCCTGTTTCATCCCATAGCCATGATAGTATTCCTCGCAGTACTCTTTAGTTCCGTAGAGAAGAATTGTTCAACCAGGTTTTCTCACTTGCTTTCACACGGCTTTCCGGGACAACAACTAGAAATGGTATTGCTACATTCGTGCCACTCCATCTCTCTATAAGAGTCAACATGGAAATTCGTAGACAGGCTCCCCTTTTGCCAGGGCCGGCGGTTATGGGTATGGTATTTGCTGACAATATGGCTCTTATCGCTGCTCTCTGCTGGTCACGTCCATTTATTCTGTGGGTGCGCTCGCCTCGGGTTATGTGCTCTTGTTGACACCGGTGTTTCAAGGGTTCTCTCAGGCTTCTTAGAGTCGTGGTACATCGATTAGGAGTCATCTGTGAACTCGTTTAGTGATGACACTGGTAAGCTGCTTGCCACAGAGCAAAGGACCGGCTAAATGATGTCGAAGAGGGGCTACTTCGAAGGGATTGCTTCATCCCCACCTATACACGAAGTCTTTGGAGCGATCAAGGGCAGTTCATGTTATAAAAAGAGACGGTCGGCTGTTTTCAGATGCACTGAGCAAGAAGAGTTTTCCATGGGAACGCGTAGTAATAGCACCCCAAGATCTGGAGGAAGAAGTGCCCCGGTTCGGTTCAATCCAGGTATTCGAGGGAACACAGGGACAATCGTTGAGAACGAAATTTAGATCACTGTATCCCTGATTCCGTATAGATCCCGGGGACAACAACCGTGCAACCTTCAAAGGAGCAATTGAAATTCCCTTGTCGCACCAGAACAGAAAATGACATATGCAATATAGATAGAAATAGAGACAGGCATCCTAATCTTCAGCCAGGGAGTGGCGAAGATGCGAAGGACATTGGTGATATGATGCCTGTCAAGACTCTCTCACACACAGAGAGCGATGCAGGCTGTCAGATGAACTTCGACCAGCGGAAAAATGGGCTCAATAAACCATGCCATATAAGTGAGGATCCACCCAAAGCAGGCCCCGTAAGGAACTGTTTCCTCTCCATTCTCACCATCCAGCCCTTTTGAGTTGACGAAAGGCACTCTGCTAGAGAGCACGAATATTGCAACAGGATTTAGGGGAGCTAACTATTGACCGTCAAAATCAATCAACATGCGTGGGTGAGATCCCGTCTCAATACTGATCATATCAGACGGAAAACTCAATGTTCGGGCTGGGACCAGGACTTTTCCGAACTCGTAATCTGGGCAGAAGGTTTGATCGGGGCCATCGAATGGAACCCCCAAATCTATTGTTTGGTTCATTTCTTGTTACCTACCATTCAATTTTGTCTTGACTTGTTCGATGGACCATTATCGGCCCGTCAGATACAAATTACGAAGCCATATCAAGTAAGTCGAACAGTCTTGTAGACTGCAACTCGCCTCGTGGTAACGAGTCCCGTGTAGGTCAGGCTTGGTCGCTTATTGTAACTCGCTGCCGAAGTTTGGAACCTTGGAGGGCGTCCAACTGGCAGAGAAAGGTTCTGGAAACTCCTGCAAAACATTGACGAAAACGTTGAAGCCGAGTTGCAACGTATGACCTAGTACTTGAAACAGGTATCTATCCACACATTGACGACTATCCGAGCGTTCATGGCATCGTTTGATTTGGGATGATGGCTTTTCCTTCCACCCCCAAATGGTTCTAATCAGGAAGGAAAGAACCGTTTTCAACTCCACCTGGCTGTTAAGTCTTGAGGGTCGCAAAATAAATTGAGAACATCGGAAAAGCTTGCAAAAATGTTTGTGCTGTCTCCGGCTTTTTCCTCTCAGATAATCAATCAAGCGAGCAGATAAACAAGAGGGACCAAAGTCAAATTCTATCGCAACGTACTGGTAAGTTATGTGACCAGAAGACAGAGAGTGATTTGTCGTGCTCGATCTCGAATCTGTGAAGAAGTGATTGAACGAGTGGAACTTGAGCCAAGTCCGTGATTCCGGCTTGACTTCGTTTTCCACGAACTAGATTTCATAGCAAAAGGATTACCGAATATCCTAAATCAGTTAAACAGAGTTGGGGGGGACGTTGAAGCGATCGGCGTATCTGTCCCGCTTTGGAGCAAGGAGTCCGTATGGCTCAATACGTAAGAGAGGAAGGTAGCTGCCCAATGGCCACATACTCAGGCTGATTCCGAGCACTGAATCGATACGGGGCGATCAGCGTGTGTAAAAAACATCCTGCGGACTTCTTCATCCCTGACAGGATGAATAAGATTGCGTCTCCTCTGCAGGATGAAATGGTGGGGAATGAAAATGAGAGGATGCTTTCATGCATGGTGACCTATGTGGCTAATCTGGCTGCGTGGACCAAAATTGGCCGGGATCATGGGTGTGGAAACTCCGTCTGCATGGGGAGTTCGATTGGTTGGTTGGGATACCAGGGTTTGGTGGTCGATAAAGACAATTTCCCAGAGCAAATCCCAAAGAGAAAGAGGCACTGCTCGCCGCCCATTGTGCTCGGGGCTGCATTTGAATCGAGCCTAGTTGTGAGAATGCTTGTAA